GGGGGGGGGGTCAAATAAAGAACCTGGGGGGAAGAAAGGAATTTACCTGGAACGGATGCCCCAATGATACCCAAGGCACATTCGCAATATGACCATGTATTGATCATAGTCGCATATTGATAAAAAAAACCTTTACCTTGATAGGCCTCGACAAGAATAACGAGCCGCCCAACACTATCCGTATTCACCTCAACTTTAGATATCCGTGTAGCCAGAATTGAAAGTACAAATGCAAGGAGACAATTGGGAGTGAAAGAAATCAAAAATGCAGATAAAACGAACGTACCATGCAATGGTAGCCAGCAATCCGAGCATTAGAACACCTAGCAAACTGATCCGATATATCAAAGGCCCCCGGATTTTCAGAACAAGCGGGATAGGAAGTATAGCGATCACAATGTCAGCAAAAATATGGAGGACGCTTGTGCCTTGATAGGAAATATATCATTAGTGGGCATCAATGGTAATACGATATTATAGTTCTTACTGAGAAAGAAGACGATTCGGTTGATGCACCCTACATCTTTGGCATCCGATCTTACAGACCAGACATTCGAGGGCGGTATGCAACGACATATTGACACCAATACGCATGGAATGAACATTAGTGTGATGAATACTAGGGTGAGCCATGTTAATGCGCGAAGAAGCCAGCCACTACTTAGGTATCGAAGTTTGTTCTCGCGTTTGCCTATGACGCTATTGCGTTAGTATATTACAGCGCTTTTCTCATGGAGGCATCGGGATATATTAAAAAAAAAAAACTTACATAACCGAAGGTAGAGACACAAAATGGAAAGTTTCGTCAGATATACGCAGGTGTAATAGAGAATAATCAAAACGTAGTCATATTTCAGCTATAAGATCGCAATTTTGCCCTGGTTAGCCCTATTAATAGTGAATGTACGATCTCATTTTTTGGAGCCGGCTGGATTTGACGAGTGCACAAGGGGGTGAAACCAGACCTTCAGAGTTATTGCGTCTGGATCGAATACACCTTGTTCGAGATGGTCCGAGAGTGCATAGGCGGTAGGAACTGATGCAAGCTGTGTTCCTGTAAATCCTATGAGAAATATCTTGGCCAAAGAAATCTGTTAGGGGCTATATTTTGTCATTAACGCTATGGTGCGCAATTGCGCAGACGGTTCGACATATCTCGAGATTACCATACCCAGGCGAGAAGAAGGACCCAATCATTTAGTTCCACCTTGCCAATATAGAATCTTCTGATATAAAGTCTGCCGAGAACCACAATAGCTAATAGGTTGAAATCGAAAATTAACAGTTAGAAACAAGATCTCTGATATCTGACCATGGAAGCCAAAATAGCCGATTTATACAAATGAATTAAACCCACAACGATCGTGTGATATGGAAACTTCTATCGCGGCAAAACGTACTAGTGATTACTGCAAGCGCTGTAGTCAAAGCGAGTTGTAGTTTTATCTCTGACTTAAGAATTGGTGGAAGACCCTTTGGATTTTCGACTGAAGTGGGATTCGGCATCGTTCTTCAATACGACCATATGGCCATGTCAGGACGGCCTATAAGTCCACGTTAAACTATCCTTCTGTGTTGTTTATGTCATATTTCCCCCGTAAACTGATTAACCTCAAAGCAAAGCTGGGGTCGGCACGAAGAGTCTCGTGAAATAACACCTTGCAGGTCCCGAAACTGACGACGTAATGTTGAAATAAAAAAGTTAGGGGTCGCCTTTTCCTCATTTCCTGTCAGTTATTATAAGGATTAGCTTTGGTATATACGACAGGGCCAAAATAAGAACCCTCCCGAACAGTCAAAAATCCTGGCCGGATTTGGAAATGCGACAACCTCTGCTGCGCTGCAGCCGTACGATGAGCATATAACATGAATCCGCAACCGTTTATCTTCAGCCACACTGATCTTACACACCGATCTTGCGTTCTAATGCCAATATTTTGATCCTGTTTAATTCTGACGCAAAACAGGAACAGATGATAATGACATGGCCATTCTAGAAGTTTCAAGTTGGCCCAGACCGAGGCGACATTTTCTAGCGCTCTACACCAGAAACCTCTAGTCTATATCCGGGCTTTCATCTTGAGAGGCTGCCGGATATTAACATGTAACATCGCTTATTTATATTGCGAAACTTCTCACCAGGCGCCCCAGAGTGTGGTCTCGAGGCCAAAAACCCCCATTTCGCGCGAAACAAGTTTGTCGAAAATGTATAAACCTTTGAAGAAACCGAGATATGCTACTAAACTAACTCGCAAGGCTTGTAAAGCTTGTTTGTAGTGAATGTGTATACATGTAGTCTAGCTTAGATAAGAGGGCTGAAAGCCACCAAAACGAAATTTCAATCTCGACCTTTTCTAGTTGAGGAATCAGGTATCTAGATCTATACTGCACCGAGAACCTAGGATCCTAGGATATATCTTCTATAGCCATGGCCAGTTAAAATGATATCGCCTATCATGAGTTGAGTTTCCAGGAGTAGTCCATGTTTTAATCTTATTTAAGTCCTCAAGAAACCTAAGTTGCTTTGTTTTTCGTGACAAATAATAAGAATGCTTCTACATCCTTGAAAATCGACGACCCAACTACCCGTCGTTGCACCGCCATGGGTATGTTCCCCGCCGCATCTATTATAGTTCGTGGCCAATTGATTAATTCAATGCATAATTTAATCACATTTTGAGATAGATTGGTTCATGAGGAACCTACCACTGGCCGTCGCCATGCTCCAGGTGACACTCGGCTTGTCGTCACCGGTTTGCGGTGCTCGGAAAGTAACTCGCTCAACAGCGATATATTGTCCTATAGTGTCCTTTGGACCGATTGCGCTGACTAGTTCACTTGTCTCCGTATTCTGGCCCTTAGTATCAGGTGGTATCTTTATGGGGAGACTGATAACCATGAACTCCTCTCCATCGGCTGCTGAAGCTAGTACCAGCAATACTGGGAACACTCGAGGATTCAACGGCCATGGTAGGTGGTGATGAATTGCATATCCTACATATACGGATCCGGATATTAGTAACTCTATAACCTGATCATATGTCTACTAATGCGCCTCAAGACGCCGATACATTAAATCGGATATTCTTGTCGAATTCAAAGTGAATTCATGAAGTTTATGAAACTTACCACCGACTTTTACAATTTCCCAACCAGGCACGGCGACGCCTGACAAATCCCATTCTATGTCGAGAGTATCGACACGGCTAACCGAAGGACCGTATTCTCTCTCGTTTTCGAAGTGGTTGTGGAACAGGAGACCCTTAAAATCATCCCATTGTAAAGTCTCTTTCACAGTATCTCCTTCAACCCCAACTTCATGAATACTACGTCTAGCAAACCAGTATTCAGTTCCCTCACTAATCTGGTGATGTCGAGAAGAGACCTCAACCTCAACAAATTTATTATGCTTTTTGAACTGTAAGCTCCACGGATTCTTGGGCGGGGAAACAAGGGTGCTCATAAGCGAGTCCGCTTCCTTGATGACATCTGCAAGATATGTGCTTAATTCCGGGCCAGACTTTGGAATTGATTCCACGGGAGCTGGGATTGATTTGATATAGCTTGAAGTCATTGCAATATTGTCAAAATTATATGCTCGGAGGTTGGAATATCGATGTTATATCGATATCGATAGCTGCGCTGCCCGACTGCAGTTCACGTGAATCAAAAATGACTTGAGACCTGCAAGGGTGGCCAGCCGTGTTGCAGAGTTCCCTGCTACTCTGGCCCGGCACTGCATGAATGAACTCGCGTCAAGGAGCGATAAAGAACGTCATGACTTGGACAATTCATCCAGCCCACGAATTTTCTTCCTTTTGATTCCCAGCGCTACCTGCTGACCATACATATACCTAAGTAGAGATTATTCCATATCAGTCTAGATTGAAGATTGGGAATCCAAACATGCAAATCTGCAAATGCAATGCAATGCAACAAAATAACTTCTGAGGTGGTGCCCTGATTAGCTTCGGCCTGACGAAGCCAAATGTCATCCAAACTGTAAGTTGAGTGCCCCCACCCATTCAGCCGTAAATTCAAAGTATCTAGCTCCAACGACGAGGAACAAAATGCTACTGGATCGGGGCTTCAATCTTCTTCCCCAGGCCTCTCTAGGCCTATCCTAGTAGCGCGACAGAACCACTACATGTACAGTGAAGAATCGCAAATTTACATCAATGATACGAAGTTATCATCGTTTCTAGTTCCGGCGGGAATATGCCAGCTCTCATCGATATCATTCTAGTTCATAAGTACAGTGGTTTCAATTGCTGTCAACAGCACAGGGGTGTCCAGGAACATATGCCAATCCAACTACACTGATTGGTGTCCCAAATTAAGAAGCATAGCCGGCTCCCGGCTGCCATCCGAGCAATCGAATTGCATCTTCGATCTTTGTTTTTGCAATCAACGCCACCGGCACCAATCCCGTCATTTCATTCCGACCGCGCAGAAGAAGGCGACACATATGCAGGCCCGGAAGGTCGTATCACACCAACAAACCGGCATCACGATATCGCATTTACGATCCTTATCGTACTCAATGCGAACCTCTGGCTGAGAACCATATTATCTCTGGAAATTCTGCCGGAAATATGAATTTTAAAGGTCATCTGAATAATTAAATATTGGGATTGGTTTAAAATTAATTACGGCTTGGAAGAAAAATATTCTACCGTTATTCGATCGATGCATTCTGCTGGCCCTCGAATTAAGTTATGAACCTGGACAGTGAGAACGAATCTACCTGACTGCTTGATAGCACAATGCGGTGTCTCAGCAAAATTGACCAGGGAAACCATGAGATATCTCCCACATATTCACTACTGCAAGCACCCCCCACCCAATATCGTGATATAGAGCAAGCTCAAGGGAGGAACCCTGCGACCTGCAGCGCGGCTTGCCGCTGTCGAAGTTGGATGTCTGGTCACATAAGTTGTGTTATCTCTCGTTATCCAAGGTTCTAGCTATAGCCCGCGTGCAACGATTATTGATTATCATTGCATACTCGGGCTCAACGAAATAATGACAACTGTTACTCCCGGGCTACTTAAGTCCAGGCTTCCCAGATTTAAACAAACTTTGAGAATGACCCATGAATTACTGATAGCAATCGATCGAAGGATATATATCAGGGTCTGGAGTGGTGCCGATTTGTTGCAATCTGAAACCTCAACACATCTTACGACATGAAGTATCTCGGGAGAGGGTTTATATCACTCCTATGTACCGTTCTATCCTTATTAAAGTGTACGGTCTTAGCCCAGGACTCCTTTTGCGACAAGTACACAAAGGCTTTGTTCGGTGATAATACTGGGAGCAACCAGTATTCATTTATGATCAGGTTAATCAACACAGCCTTCATCGGGAACTATAGTGGGCCGAGCAGTGTCAAAATTACAGGTATCTTGTCTCCGGGAACCTTTAATGGAGACGAGGTATCTCTATTACCATACTTTAATGGAGGACTTGCAAGCGCAAATAGAGGGTATCGGCCTGGAAATCGAACTATCATCAATTTCCTCGACGATGGTGGGGTATTCGCGCTAGGGCAGGGTAAGCCCTCCTACAGTCAAAGGTCGAAGCAGTAGTATGTTCATTACCCTAGTACTCCCTTTTATCTTCATAGGTCGAATAATAGAATTAGGTTGACAATTTTCTTCAATAGTAAGCTATTCAGCCATATGTATCAATACTTTGGCGGGATGCTGGGATGCTCGCTTTACGGACAAGACGGGTTTCCCGCTTACCAAGGAAGTGCCCGCATGTATGAGGTTCACAAATTCATGAACCTCGCACCTCCTCAACTAGGGTACTTTATCCAGGAGCTGAGTTTAGCAGCCATATCCCTAGGCGTAGCTGAAGGGGACATTATTGCAGTCGCCTCAATGCTCAACTCAACCTTCGGCCAGGCATGCGCACCCCCTACCATAGTTCTTCCCGACGGTATTCTAGACCTGCAAGCAATGTGTATTAACACTGCTTGTCCGCTCGCTCGAGACCCCAGGTGTGGTGGCTACAATCACCAGGGTGGTTTTGGAATCAATCCAACCCCCGCTGATACGACTGCTGGACCACAAGACACCGATCTTGCCCCCGTACTATTCTCAATTGCCAATGGTGGAAGGGGTAAATATCGAACAATGACAACGTCCGATATAGACATCACAACTACCATTTCTGGGAAGAAGACTCTTATTCCCACCTTCATAGTGATTGCGCTTCCAGACGCCCCTATCTCCTTCACAGCCTCCGATATCTTAGTCACAACAATAATCGACGATACAGAGACTGTAGTACCATCACAAACTCTTGTTCCTATTGGTGGTGGATTCACCATCACCGGTATAAAAGAAGCCACGACGGATGGGTGGATTTTCTCACAGGAATTCACATCAGTAATCCCTTCGTCTGTAATCGAGGAAGCCACTACCATTCTCACAGCCGATAGCTCAGTTATCACTTCGACATATTCAATCACTGTTGTCAACACAGCACTTTCTGGGTATAAGGAGGGCCTGAGTTTGGTCACCCTAACTTCGGTATATACATCTGGGGGAGGAGTCTTTACGACAGTCGTTACAACGGAGATGCGAGAGGTGACTAGCACTAGTACCCAATCACTGAATGCTGCAGCAGCCCAAACAGCTGCTCCTTTGGCTATGGCTCTCATCGGCGCGGGCGTCCTCGGCCAGATTGTATACATATAGATTATAAAACGCTTGATATCATGATAGGGAGCATGTACCGTTATGAGGAGGCTTCTATACATACATAGACTAGTAATTCACTAATTAATATAAGGTTTCGTTATAAGATTTTGATTAACAATCGCCTGCATTAGAGACGAGGCTTACCCCGAGCCCAACTGTTACTTCACACCGAGGGGTTAGAAGGTTTAGAATATACCACTCAAATTTGAACGGTAACTGAACATAGTAACTGGATATCGTGTATTTTAAATCGTGACAGGTACAATATGTATAAGTAGACTAATGCATATTCCGAGCTCCACAACGCCGTAACCCCTCTTCTAATACAGCACCCAGCGCGCGATCGATCACCTCATGATCAATTGGTTTGGCATTATTATGGCCATTTGGCACGACTAGGTCGCCCTGGTTGCTCCTTCTCGATCCTATAAATTTCTCCGGTAGAATCAGAACTCATGAAGATTGCCCCATCATCGGCGATAGCCAAACTTGTCGGTCTGAAACAACGACCGGGACAAGAGTTCAGGTCTTTATTCGAAAATATTGCTTTGAAGCCTGTATCTGATGAACTGTCCGCCTTCGGTTCTCCGGTTTTGTTATCGAAAGGGATTGTGATTAATTGGTAGCCCTATATATTATTATTAGAGATAGGTTCTATTTGTGAGTAGGTGTGCAGCCGGATATATGCCTTCCAGCTTTTTCAAAATAACGTCTGGACCAAGATCATACTTACAATTGGAGGATCTCTATTCCATGAGCCATGTTGAGTAACCCACGCGTCTCCAGCCTTGTCGAAGATGATATCCAGTGGTGCGGTGTGGGCAGGAAAAGCAAGTCTCGGAGCCTGGTAGTCCGAGGCACACTTAGCATCATCCACCTCGGAATCGAGAGAAAACTGCTGTCCCCTAGCAATATCCTCGTGATCAGGAATTACGGAAGGATCCCAAGCAGTAAAGCAGGAGGGGTAGCCGTAATTCCTTCTTGAGGTGCTAGTGTCACGAACTGAGCCGTGAAAGTTAAGCTCCTCGCCTGGGTTATCAGTGTGAACGTCGACACCGTCTCTAAAGCCAGACAATATTGTGTGTTAGGACGAGCTAAAAAAAAGCTATAGGAGGTCTTGATTATAGGTGGACGAACCTTTTGATATTATCCGCAGAGTTTTCTACACTCCAGAGTTGCCCCTTCTTGTCGTCCCGTAGGCCAACGCTGTTCCGAAGCCCCCAGCCGAAGTTTGTCCCACCCTCTTTATATTCTACTGATTCTGAGAGCAGGTCTTTCCATTGAAATCCGCGAATTTGAGAGCGACCCGAAGAATACTCTTTGGTTCCTTGGTCAAAATTTCCGTCAGATCCCACACTAATGAGCAGGATATCAGGATTCCCGTCGGGCACTAGAAGACTGCGGGTAGTATGCCCGCCGGACGACATTCCCGTCACCAAGGCCTTTTTATTGGAAACTGTTCCACTATCTGTATCATAACTCCATCCATAGGCTATATCCGAGGTTGATGCAAAAAGTGTCTTGCCATCGGTAGAGATTGTAAGACCATGGTTAAGCTGCGAATATTAGTACCGATCTTAAGTATCCTATAATATGCCTTTTGAGGATATATTATGAAAAAACTTACGTTGGAATCCTCAATAATTGTTGTACTTCCTACCAGGAGCCCGCACCTATCCACTTTGAATTGCTTAACCCCGATACCTCTGTCAACTACGAGTAGTCTACCCTGTTTATCAAAGAGAATTTGGCGAGGATCCCTTAGCTCAGTGATGGCTAGTTTTGCCTGGTACCCAGATGCCACCTCTGGGGCCGGGAGAGAATTTTTAAGTGTTCGACATTTGGTTTTCTCTGCAATTGACTTAAAGAAGTCTAAAAGCTCGGGCGGAATGGATAATATCTGAGTAAAGAGCGAAGCCCATATTAAGAGAAATGCAAAAACCTTCATACTGTCAAGTTGCGGCGGTTTATAAACAATATAGGTAAACCTGTTTCCCGCTACCTACTAGATCTTAGATCGGGAGCTAGTAGAAATCCTTGAAATATCAGATCGATGATAGATCTCTAGTGCACGAATGCTCTTATATATACACTCGTCAAGAAACCGCAGATCCGGTACCTTCCCTGTCAGCATCATATATTACGTTAGCCAGGAGGGGCTAAGGGCTTGTAACTATATCCATGCAGCCATCGCCGTCCAGATTCCACATAAAACTTACTATCTAGCTGGCACTCTTTCTACGCAGCTACCTTGCTGGTCTCCGCCTTACATGGAACAAAATTTCATCGATAGACAAACCCAAAATATGCAAACCTGGAATTTGGGTAGATGGAATGGGACACGATCGCAGGATGTACGTGTGCCAAGGGTTTCCTGTGACTGATATTCAAATCGGCTATCCTATGCGGTATATCATAGACTCGCGAAGCGAAGCCGAGCCAAACACAAGAAAGGTATCTATTGCCTCGGATCTGAACCTCACATATGTCTGCAGTTTTTATTTGAAATTTTGATTACTGGGTTGGCCGCTGATGTCAAATCTCAGGGCTCCGCCGTTTTCATCAGCTTGTGAAGAGCAGATTTGAGTTTCGCTACCGAAATTGGGGTGAACGAGAGGGGAAGCCGCTGGTTTGAGTCTGTATTGAAATCTTCGAAACTCTAGAATTGTATCGATAAATGTACGATCTATCTAGAGATATCATGGATAGATTTGTGTCGATATGATAGTAGATTTTTCATGGATTTTAATTTCGGAATATCTTGCCACCACCTACGAATCGTCGAAACTCTACGGTAGAACCATGTTGTTAACTTTGGAGTCATGCAATTAGGGACCGAAAGGTTCTCCAAAACGCCTCCGAGCCCCGAGTATAACCTACTCCTGCGCGATGGTCTCCTGTGGCACTTGGTGTTGAAATATTGGCGGCGAAGTTTTGCAGTTTTCGAAATTTTCTGCCGTTTGGCAACATTGTCGCTTGGTCAAGTGCGCACCACAGTGCTTGGTACGTTGGCTGTTCATGCACCAGAAAATAACATAATTTTTGAGAAAAGTATCTCTCTGTCAACAACATGTGCTAGCACAGCGTCCAAATCTACGAAACTGAATGGTATATATTCTGCTTAAAAATTTGGTGTCAAGTCGCTTGGTCTACACCTTGTTTTTTCTCTTCCTGTTTTGCGGGATTGGAAAATTTTCATGTTCATTACTAATTTGCCTGAGGTGTTAGGTAATTCGCCTGACCTGGTAACTTTCACATTAAAAGCCGAACTTCGGACAAAGATCCGAAGGGTCTAGGTCACATTGCATCCTAGTCTGCAGCCTGGCTGGGCACAGAAACTAACAGTTTGCTGCTAAAACAGCTGATGCATTCGGTGGCGATTCCGACCAATGCTTAATATTCTCCCAAGAGTCTTGAGATTTAATCAATTTCAAAAATATAGATCGAAGTCCTTCGGCGACAATTCCGAAACCAGCTTGGGTTATCTATACTCTGTATACAGCTAATTTTTAGGAGTTCATTTACGCTCTGCTTTATATATACTTATACACTGTCAAGGAAACACCGGTACACCTAGTGCTGCGGTACACATGATGCAGAGATTAATCTCGCAAGGCGACTTTTGGTTCAACCACAGAGATGAAATGGCAAGTTCAGAACGAAACTCTGTGCTGGGCTTTGGTCACAGGGCAGCCGGCCAAGACGACTAAGAATATAGAATGGCGGGATTCAATATTGCACTAGTCGCATGTAGGCTCAAGCGAATGTTGGCAAAAACGCCAGTGCGGCTGAACTATCAACAGAGATGCAAACATTGAAAGGGGTCTGTTTTCATGCCAGATGGAGATAAAGATGGCGGCTGCGATTCGAAAGAGGAGAAAATCTTTCAGCCTTCCCAACGATTCTCGGATTTCGGAATATATTTAAAGATTCAAGTCGAGGTTGTACTCCAGCGAAAGGTGAGCAAATCCACAATCCTTAATTCTCGTATTCAATACAAGGTTGCACCCTTCCGAATTCCACAGTGGGTCTCAAAGCCCTTGTCAATACCGAAGATCAATACCACTTGAGTACTCTGGTTCTACAGAATCCCTAATATCTTAAACGATAGACACCAATCAAGATCAAGATGAAAGTATCGACCTTGTTCATTGCGGCTTCATTGCTCGTGTCTGCATGGGCGCAAGAGGGAGACGACCCGTCAACAACAAGTACCACTGAGGAGCCAACTTCGACGACCGACGCGCCGGAGTCTGCGGTCACCCTACCTCCAGAGACATGCTCAAGCGCTGGGTTTGAACATTGTTACCATATTATCACAATCTTGACGCCGACAGTCTATGTTATTTTGACGGCGGATGACCCAGCCACTATCGCTGATGCTGAGCCAATTACATCTGGTGATCCAATCCTCACACAAACAGACAATATTGCTAGTTCTGGCCAAAGCATCGAAGTACCCACTACTGCGCTTGTCGAAATCCGATATAGCAGTTCGACAGGGACAACTTGCGTCGATGCCCTCACAACTATCTCTGTCCTTGCCGATGATGGCGACTCCGAGTGTCCTATGGCTACCGCTCCGTTTTTCAGCGCTCCTGACCAAGTCACCAAAACCCGTGTGATTAGAAAGGTTCGAGAGGACGACACACAGGGTAAAGGGACCGAAACAGGTGGTGGCGGCGGCGGAGAGACCAGCCCGACACCAGCACCAGGAAGCACAACAGATGGAAACTTTGCTGCCGTCACCACCACCGATCCGGCGCCCGAGCCTACTGGTGGTGATACACCCACGGAGCCCTCTCAGACAGATAATGGTGCTGCCCCAACAGATGATGGTACTCCAACGACCGAGGATAATCCTCAGCCGACTGAAGGACCTACTGAAGAACCAGTCGAAGAACCAACCGGTACGAGTCTAACTTCTACTGAAGAAACCCCCCAGGAAACTGAGAATACAACTGGTACGACAACTACTTCTGCCCCCGAAGTTCCCACTACTATTGCCGTTCCCAGTAGCAGCAGCAGTACCAGTGCGAGCGAAGAAACACCTTCCTCTGACTCTACGCTCCCCATCACAGATTCCTCTATCCCTCCATCTATAGATTCCACCTCTACACCCACAGAAGACCCATCTACATCTATACCTACATCAACAGATTCTAACGATACCCCGACGGACAACCCGACCACTCAAACGAGTGGCTCGGAGTCCTCGAGACGTGCACCTACAGGATTAAATGAGTCTGGAAAGCCAGAAGTTTCAACCGCATTTACTACAATTGCTGAGACCAGTGATGGAATGACCAAGTTCTTAACAAGCGCGGTGGCAACGATGACAAGATCGGCACCTACTCCAACCACCTCTGACGGTGGTTCAGGTGCTGGACCAAACTTCCTTGTTAAAGCTCAAGTCTTGTTTGGTGCCGTCGGGCTGGCTGCTGTTGTTGGTCTGTAGAATGGTCAATTCCATCGGCTTTATATATAGTTCTATTGCTTTTTCAGTTTTTATACCTACGATACGCATACAGAGGTCCTTTTTATACCTCATCGATAACTTTTAATGACTCTAGTATACATATTTATACATTTACGTTTACAGCATACATAGGTACCAGGTATCCCTTATTTCATGACATTCGCTTCCTTCTTTTTTTTTTTTTTTTTTAGCATATTTCTCCCTTGAATTCGGGGCATGTTTAAACGAAATGAAAGCATCGGGCAGGTGTAAGTTGTTTCTCAAAAAGTTTCAGGGCAATCAACCATTCTTTTATTATTTCTATAATATCAACTCATGTCTATCTGGTCTCGTTTGGTACCAGTATCTATCCTTAATCTATTTATCAATACAAATCGAATATTTTCCGGACCTCTGTTTTTTCCTATTTCTTCTTATTTAAACTTACCAATCTTTGGTCGTAGGGCTGTGAAATCGTACGCGCAAGCAGATAAAGGCTTTAGACAAGATGTTTCGGGGACATTTTTCATGCGCTAGAACCGGAGCTCCAAAATTGCATCGAATCAGGCTCCCAGGGCTCACATTTTCCTGGACCAAGGAAAAATTTAAAACAGTGAATCGTGTGACAATCAGAATAAGTGAAGACCCCTGCACTTATGACGACCTTTATCGATATTCCACATTCTAGGCATGTTTCGAACACGAAAGCCTCCGAATTACCACGGGCCGACTGAAGTTCTGCAGATGCAGCCTTTTCCTTTGCTCATACGTACATAATCTGGTACCGTGGTGCGGAAACCATGTTTGCATGATGCATAGGAGGCGTTTCATAATCCGCTAAATTTATAACCCAAGAATCCAACACCATTTCGACAACAAAAACAACACTGTTCTTAAAACACTTTTGGCCGTAGTATCTTGACAGTCTATAAACTAGTTACATGTTGAATTCTTAACCACCAAGAAATTCCATGTAATGGAAAGGGAATGACAGAATAGAAAAGCCCTCCAAAGTTCCCTTGTTCTGTAAATATTGAGTCATCGGGGTATAAGTTTATAAAACGGCCACGAAAACCCTGTAGCTCAGTAGGTACATTGATATACATAAGCGCATCATAACTCCAGAGAAAATGCAATGTACGATCCCCAAGGAATATAAGATAGTTAAATGGAAATAGCAGGTTTAACAGGTTTGGGTGTATAAGAGAGCGTCACGAAGTTTGAAAATTCGGAGCTGGGGTCATACATGTAAAAAAGACGAAAATGGCTGTAAAGCGGCTTCAGGCTCAGAAGTATATCGGAGTGGCTAGCGCTTGTACTCGTGCGGGAACATTAATCCCCTCTTCTGCTCTTTCTTTTAACCTCAGCTTCCTTACAGCTGCAGGCTTAGTAGTATGACACATAGCATACGCTCCCGGAGATGGGTGAGTCTCTGTAAAGCAGGTTGCGCCGCCAGGGCAGTTTGTAGGCCCGGGCCAGCATGAACCACCACATTGGCCTCCAATCTTGGCTGTTGCTGTTGGAGGGGGCAAATTATCCTTGAATTGGTACTTGCATGTGTTGGCGGCCTTGGGGCAAGCAGTGCCAGTGTACTCTTTCGCTTTGGTATCCACGCAGACGGAAAAGCCAGCTGTTTGACAAGCGCATGCGTGCTCGTGGGGACATTTGGTCTTACGCATATCCCAGACTGTAGAAGAATCTGTCAGTACAGTATTTTAATAGTAATAGCTTTTTTTATACTTACGAGGGGCCGGGGATGGCTGGCTAGTCCCGCCACATTGGCCAGACGGGTCGGCGCCATAATCAGGTGGCGTATCAAGCCACCAAAAGGTGACTTTCGGTTGGACAGCGGGGCCAGTATATGTTATGTAATCGGCATTTAGAGTGACAGTGGTCGGCAGGCATCGACTAAAAGTCTTGTCTTGAGGAACACAGAAATGATCGGTTGGGCAGACTCTTGATGTTGAGCTTTGAGTATTGCACTTTCCGAACGGGGTCGCCATGAAAGGCTCAAGGGAAGCGAGACCGTAGCTCGCTGTTTCCGTTTCTATGCAATCGCATGACTTCCCTGCCCTTTTCTCTAGGGGATGTTTTTCCGCAGGGCTAGAATCCCTTGCTGCTAGGCCATTGAACCCCCCCGGAAGTGAATCTAGATCTCTTTTTCCGTTTGCATAGAAGGCTGGAGGAGAAAACCCGAGCAGATTGTAGGACTTCTTGCCAAAAAGCTTCCAGCCAAAAGCGTTGGTGGTGTCTAGGAGGCAGGCCGTAAACAACAAGACTGATGTCGGACGAACGAACCGCATCTTTGATATTGGCGGAAGAATTAGGTCTGAAACTGATGCACGGGTACTCTGCGAAGCGACAGCGGATGATTCTTCGTTTTAAAATCCTTCTCACTTACGGAAGCTGATCATCGTCAAGAAGGGGGGAAAGGCAAAGCAAAGTGTCTACCCGGAATGACCATGTTCTTATATGGCTGGTATAAAAGTCTACAGTTGTAGTTTAGGCTAGCTTATACGACAGTTCCAGATTATATCGCGGCCTATATACGTAGTATGTACCCACTCCAAGATGCGGAGACACGCAACTGCATATGCGATTGCACGGATTGCGGTCAACTTTCCGAATCTTTACATGTCACCCACAAAGATCAAAGCTATAGACGCTTGAAAGAGAAGATGAAGGAGGAAACTGCAAGTTCTGCCGCGCATGCCGGCCATGCCCTAGTCCATCACACCGGCCAAGACTGGTCGTTGCCGCCTTTGATGGCTCGTTCTTTAAGCTACTCGCATGGCCTTGTAAAGTCTGGTCCACATGCCTGAAGAATATTCACGAGTTGGTATTGATTACGCCCGCCTTGGAATGCTAAGTAGAGAAAAGGCACTGTGAAGCAATGGAGTCCACGCGAAACGGCAAAAGTTCACGAAGTCCAAGGCTCTTGAAGCGATAGTGTGCACCAGTCCTTGGCATGTAGATTTATAGGTAGGTATTTGTTTTTCAAGTCTGCAGCCGGTTCCGGTTTCCGCGTAGGATAGCTCGAGTTTCGTTGGGTGGTTTGGCCTCAAGAATCTTGGGTTAGGTAGAAAGCTCTGAGAAAAGGTGAGGGTTGTCGTGCTCGCCGGTATCCGTGGCCTTTCGTCGCCAGTAATCACCCTCCAGAGTGCTTAGCCGACTCTATCATTTTAAAACAAGGCTTGGTCGCTTAGGCATACCTGAACCGACATAGATCCTAGTTATCGCAAAACCTTGCGAGCATGGGCTGTTTTTGGTAACCGTCCGTGGTCGGACGGACGCACTATACCTGGTTTGGCTTCTAGGACATCCTGGCGCATACAAAATAACACAAACATGACCTTCAAAAGATTACGATCGAAACAGCACGGCGTGCCTTAGCGGATGGATGCGCCCCTACATACATAAGTTGATATCTTTATTTGGTCGCAGCAGGCTCGAAAATTTTTTCGTTTTTGTCACTCAAAAGGGCTGATGGCGTTCGAATCAGCTGCAGTGTCTCATCAGAACCGCCTTGAAATGGGTTGTTAACCTTCTTTTGGCTTGGACTACTTCTGGTATATGATTGATATATTGGCATCCCGCTGTTTGGTTAACAGACCCGCTTTTTATTTCTTTCTCTCTACATATTCTATCGTGATATTGATATTATCGAAGCATACGATTTCCCCGGCCGAAGACAGCTCCCCATAGACAAGAGAGCTCTAGAGAGAAACAGAAGAGGCAACAAAGACAAAATGGCATCTCCCTCACCGCAAGATGCTCTCCCTCCGCTGCCAGCTGATTTTCAGATTTCACCCCACGACATGTACCAGGTTCTCAGCACAGCTATGTGGTTAGGTGGTTTATCACCAAAATTTAAATATGAGACAACAGGAGAGGTCATCAAGCGATACGCCGATTATGCATGGCAAGTGCGGGGCAACATGACAGCAAAGGAGATTTCCCAGAGATTCGGACCTGCTGAGCCGCATGCACAGTGGCTCATCGGCATATTTGACGGACCACAAAATTTCGCTGGAACGATAGTGACGATTGCGTACCAAATGGCACCGATTTTACCGCATCCCACCAACCCGAACGTCGTCATCCCGCTATTTATCTCGTTCACAATAATTACCACATTGATTATGGCATTACGTTTGTGGTCGAGGTACAAGGTAGCTGGAGGAATTCAGCCGTTTGATTGGTTAGCTGTTGTTGGTTATGTAAGACTTAAATCTGATGACGAGACGTGCCAAAGCTCAAGGCTAATCCAGCGATCTATATCTAGGTCCTAACCGTAATCTGGGGAGCAGTTGCCGTCGCTCATGATCACATCAGTACGTAAAATACTTCCCTTGCAGTACATCAGTAGACTCTCATTCCTAACTCCCCGATTCTAGATACGCAATGGCAGGCTTTCTATGACAAATCTTGGTATAATATATCAGGCAGTATTGAAGTATGATTAACCCGCAACAAGAGTTTAGTAAGCTTTAAGTACTAATCTCATCGAAACAGATTTACTACGGATTAACCATCTTTTATCCTTGGGTTATGATGACCATAAAGCTCTCTCTGCTTTTGTTTTATTACCGCATGACAAACTGGAACTATATCCGCTGGTCCGTCTACGCCACTACCGTTATCGTTGTCGGAACTTCCATATCCGCATTTATCGTATGGCTCGTCAATTGCCCTCACGTCCGATACTGGGACTACCCATGGGAACAATGCCGAATCAACATTAAGAAAGCACAAGTTGCATTTGCCGGCCTATACATTCTCACAGATGTTATTATTTGGATTTTGCCAATGCCTTTGGTTTTCCAACTGAAACTCTATCCAAGAGAGAGAATTCTGGCACTTATCACATTCTCATTGGGCGCGATGTATGTGTATCCTCCATAAAGATGACCAAATTCCCGCATTGCTAACTATTCCCATAGTGCCTGTGTTGCTAGCTGCTATCGCCTTGTGATGCTCGAACAATACACGAATTACAGCTCCCAAAGTTCCACTACCTTGATCATTGATGCATGGACGATGTAAGTGCTTAATATCGACTGCAAACAAAAGTAGAAAATTGTACTAATTCGTGTTTTTAGTACTGAACTAAATCTCACCCTGATATGCTCATCAGCGCCAGCTGTCCGAGCGCTGGCTATTCATTATGCTCCGAAGATCCTCAACAGCCTGGGAACTGTCGCATTCGCGACGCAGAATGGATCACAGCATGGAAAGAAGGGAAGCATCGGAAGCTCTACTGGATCTTCAAAGAATGGTGCTCATGCAAGGGTCACTGCGGACCCTGAAAAGTAGTGCCTCCGTACGCGGGTTTAACCTGCTTGTTGCTGTCGAAGATGCTTGATCCAACTTCAGAATCAACGCGTTAACGGCTTGGTTTGTTATTTTTTTTCTCAGCTACTATCGTAATTGGTTAACGATTTGCTATTTTTTTTTATCTTCGATTATATTCCCTTTCTGTCATTCTATGTATATTTTCATGACCCGGCCAGTACACTTGCACATCAAAATACCTGGGTAGTTTCATTCTAAACTGGCGTTTAATAACATGTATTAGTAATGAAGGCGTTCTTTCTTTCCATACCCGAAAATGCATCAATTTACTCTTCAAAAACTATCCCCTCCTAGACCAGGCCTTAGTTAGAAGCAAAATAAAGGCCACAATCACAGAAAAAGCTGCATTATGAAAAATAGCCGACATATTGGCTAGACATACTATATACAAGCTACTGCTGGCGAGAGGGTCAATCTATGACGGTTGCACAAGAGAAGGCAACTCTAGCCTCGACATCTAGAAAACCACTCATACAAGAAGTAAAACGGATGCACATCGTGTCAATACCTTATCAACTTAAAACCGATCACTTGGCGTATGTATGCATGCATGCATTGTCTCGGTACAAAGCGGAGGTGAAAGTAGAGCACAAGCCACCTAAATCCAAATCCAAAGACTTCCAGACCTGTAACTTTTCACCTGCCGTGGATTTGACATCCCAACACCCAATTGCATATAAACGAGGACAACAGGTGAATTCATGACTGGATACAATATCCCTTCGAGGAATATGTTTCTACTGGAGCGTATCCTCTGTCAACCAATTCCTACGTCATGGCTGAGTATTGAAAGGCTCTAAGCTTACTGCCATGTGTTTATAAGATGATAACTTAGTTATATCAGCTATCAGTGGCCTAGGAGCTCTCTAGAACCTAAAACGCGGTTCGGAACCTCTATCCCTTCCTTGTCTCCAAATTTTATTTTTGGACTGACCATTCTATAGATCTACTGCGATGCCCGAAGCATATTACATGTAAATCTTAGCTTAATTATGAGTGAATGTATAAACGTTGTTAAAAGTACGTAATTCTAGTTAGACTTTAGACTCATGGAACACAGCTGAGCCCCTGGTCTAGTTCCAAGACGTTACTGAGCTGAGCCCCCTAAGTTAACCCGCTTCCAGACGAGTAATACAATGCTGTTTATAGAACTAACTATCTCCATTATCTCCATCAAATTCTTGTAATAACCTGTAAATTGGGATTCGGATTTGTTGATTAATCTTAGGGGACAAATACTTAAATCAACATTAAGAATGTGTTGTTTTTGTCGAATCGACCTTGAAACGCATATTTCCTCACAGTTTGGTTACGAGGCTGATATTTTCTTTTTAATGTCGAGATCGGGGCTGATATTTTCTAATAGTGATATTCCTTGTGATTCGATTGCCAGCCATTAGTTACGGCAATAATATTGTCGACGAATAGGCGTCCTGCGTCTAGGAGTCTAGTGGTCGTCAATAATGTAAGGTGCATGCGCGCATATATGCAATGTGTACGCTGGCTACGTAACCAGCTTAGACATTTTTGAAGGCAGGGCCTTCTATAGAGTCGCCGGCTAGTCCCATGGCATGTAGCCGGATATAAGGTTAAGAACTTTCTATTATTCATCTAACGTTGTTACCTTGTCAGGCATTTTTGAGCTCTCGAGCTGTCGTAATGCAACTGATATCAGATATAGCCAGTCTCAACTAGATTTTCTTAAAGTTGCATCTATACACATCCAAAATTGAAAATATTTAATGAAAGTTAGATATGGGTTGCATATTACATTTGAAGAGCACCTGCTTACTAACGAAGTACTTCTATCGCCAGGGTCTAGTAAAGAGTTTGGAAATAGTATATAGTGTATGCTTGAATGACCCCCGCGTGCAATTTAATCTATGATTACATCGATCTATCAATGATAATCTAAGTTCATTAAATCGAAATAGTATAGCCAGAGACACATCCTTATAGAAGGTGCCGATTTGAGTACCATATCTATGATATCACAGATATGCATATGCATGTAGCATGGCTGCGGCTCATTCCAGTCCTGACGCCGGTTGACACTGGCCTCGCTTAAAAGTCTAGTTTCACAAAATGCAACAGCTTTTTTGTGTTGAGAACCCGATTTCTGCCACGGCAATTACCTCTTTCGGATGACGCGACAGTTCTGAGATCCTTGCAACATTACAACTCAAAAAGCAGCCGAGGCATGCCCGGAAGAGCGGGCAGAAATAACTAGCATACCAGTTAGGCCAGGCAGGTTTCTGGCGTGCAGATGGCCTACAGCTAGCCTACATGCTACAGCTGGCCCACCAGGGGAAGATATATCTTTTGCTGATGGCAAAGTGTCGCTTTCCTCCATCCCCAAAGATAATTCCTCAGCATACTTATTAGGATAGACGCGAAGTTCAATATCTGTATGACCATGGCTTCCTCAACCCCATTCCAGACGCCCCCTCCGGACACCAAATACACATTGATTAGTTTCCCAACTCCTCATATTATCTTAGTCACAATAAATCGTCCCAAACAGCGCAATTCCCTTCCATTTGCAGCTCAATGGGAGTTACACCGTATCTGGACCTGGTACGATACAGAACCGTCCTTAAGATGTGCCCTTATCACTGGAGCCGGGGATAAAGCCTTCTGCGCCGGCCAGGATCTAATAGAATTAGGTTCTTTGTCAGAAGAAGACTTTCAATTACGGGCATGGGAGTTCAAACATCCGCCAGGTCGCTTCGGTGGGGTCAGCGGTAGAATTGGAAAGAAGCCAATTATCGCAGCTGTTAATGGATTCGCCTTTGGTGGTGGGTTTGAGATTGTTCTAAACTGGTATGTTTGTGATCTCTTATTTACCAAGACTTAGATAAATATGGTATGCTAACTAAATTGATTAGTGACATGATCGTCGCATCCCCATCAGCCAGCTTTTCTCTACCGGAAGCTCTTCGTGGAATCTATGCAGCTGCTGGTGGCCTCCCCCGTCTCGTTAGCCTAGTTGGACCCCCCCTTGCTACCGAAATCGCACTCACAGGCCGAGTTTTGACGGCAAAAGAAGCTCTGGAATACAGAATTATCAATAAAATCTCTTCTTCGCCCGATACTCTCATCGAAGAGGCTATCGCATTAGCGAAAAAAATTGAAGATTTGTCACCAGACGCTGTGATCGTCACAAGAGCAGGATTAAGAGAGGCCTGGAAGACTGGAGATATGGAAGCGGCCACGAAGATAATTGACGATTTATACAACCAGAAGTTGATGGATGGCGAAAATAGGGTTGAGGGACTTGCGGCGTTCGCTCAGAAAAGAAAACCAGTTTGGCGCCCTTCAAAGCTATAGTATTCTGGTGTTTAGCGGATTAGTGTTTAGCTAGGAGGACTTCTTCGCTATTTTACGAAATACTCGGTAATAGTCGCTACTAGGGCATTGTAGCATATACTGAGCTATACTATAGCGAGTGTTCTTGATTGCTTTGAAGCTATACGAATTTGCACACTTTTATTTCTCCGGATCTCGTTGATATAAAATGTACTACACCATCTGGGTGACGGGAATTTCATGAATAATAAGAATTGCGGTCGAAGCCAATAGACGTCATATTGTGATTTTGAAAGTAAGTGGACTCTGATGGGGTATTAATTTACCTAGGTTAGCATTCAGTTTCCCATGATTTGAAAGATGTATGTCGTCACTTTCTCCACAAAGCTCGACTTAAGGATCTGGTGCGGTCGAGCTTTAATGATTCATGCGCGAGCCCAAACACCCTTCCTAATAGTATATTATGTGGTTACAATACGAGAAAAATAATAGAATAAGCCATTATACATAGTACTAGGCCTGTACAAGTGGTAACATTAGAACTCAATAGATGCTAATAATGCATAGAGAACGGAGAATTTTGTAACAGCAATTTTCAACTGTCCCTCTTTCTTTGGAGTACTAGCTGTATTCTAGCCTTTAAAGCTATGACGCGACCGGGCTGATCTGCTGACCGTACCTTGATATGAAGACCCTAGCGGACTGTGTGGCGGATAAGTACCATATATACTATATCGCCTTTTTGCTTGTTCAGTTCTTCTTGTAGGTTATACATATATTTAATTAATTAACTAGAAGCGCTAGCTAGCTCTGCAGTATTTAATCAACATTGCGCTAGCGACGAAAGCAGATTTTCTCAGTAACAAAGAAAACCATATTACCAAATTCACATAACTGGAAGGGACGTATGTCTGGGATAGATGTAGTAGACTCGCCGGCACCATTGCTTATTCTGACTAACTGTATATTATTCTGGCAGCTCGAGGTCATTTGGGTCCCAAGCAGGTACCGTGTCCCCAAAGTTTAGCTCAGTTACAAATGATTCCAAATTCGCATTCTCAAAATCACCAAAGTCTAGCTCATCGTCTAACGGGTTCCAAATTTTAGGGTCTATCTCTTGAACTATTTGGTTCTGATTGGGGTTTGTTAAAGGTTGAAAGTCGAACTCGGCCTCTATCTCGTTTGCAGGCGAAGGGAGGTATTCCGTTACGGATGCTTCTTCGAGTATATCGCCTTGTTCTTCGTCTTCTATGTTCATATCGGGTACCTTCAAGTCTTTGAAAAAGTCTTCATTCTCCTCGAGCATGCTATCACTGAGGCCTTGTTTCCTCCACCATTTAACTTGCTCATGTGTCGGCTCCACCCAACGAGTCGTCAGCGGGGGAAGTTTTTCCACCCTCACCAACAAAGTCGACAAGCCCTCCGCGTAAAATTCAAGAAATTCTTGTATCTGCCCCGCAAGGTCCCGGGCGATCACAACATCCGGATGGTTGGGGGGAATCCCGCCCGTGAACCTCTGTTCTACAGCCCGAGCCCAATATCCGGGGAGCTGGCTCACAGCATGATTTAATAGTGACAATCCCGTTCGGAATTCGACTAGACCAGAAGGTTGAAACTCGTGTCTCATGGGTAGTAGTGGTTCATATCCCCAATATTCTTCATCTTCGGAATCCGAGGCGGATCTATCTGTATGCTCAACATCATCCGGAATTGAGTAGAGATAGCGAGTAAACCCATCAACGTCAGAGCGACCGATACTGAAGGGACTACCTCTTCCCCACTTAGAATCCAAGAAATTGGCTAGTTCTTTGAGAATAGATAACTGTTGATTATCAATCGACCGACCTTGGAAGCGGAAGAATTTCGGGGCTAGATCTGCCTTTATAAACGCGAAGTCAATAGCAAAACTCATAAACCTTACAATATTATCAAAGGCCACGACTTTATCTTCGTTTGTGGACACCGGTAAAGGTGTTGACGATTGAGATTCCCTGCCCGCCGCGTGATCTGACGGTGGCTGGGAGGGCGGATCTCGGTATGAGTCCATCATTCCAGTATCCCTACCTGGGTCTGAGGGCCGTGGGGTTGGCACTTTTGACAATAACTTCGCCATCTCAACCCATAAACGATCAATTAACTCCTGATAAGATGGTCCTTTTCGGGCAAACTCTGTTAGCTCCCAATGATTCCCGGACTCTTGAGCTTTTTGTAGGCGTCCAGCTTCATTCTCACGCCAGCCAAAGCGATATTTTAATAAGTAGCCATCTTCCAAATCATTCAGCGCGGATAAAGCATCTTTCAGGGCAGCTTTGTTATTTTTTTCGTACTTTCCGATTGCGCTTTCTAGAACGGTGTCATATCCATCGGCATCTGGAACTGCTTCAGCCGGTATTATAGTTCTAATCCGAGTAACAACCGTAAAAAGTTAGCTATCACGCATAAGCTAGCGGTGGAAATTCATCACATAGAAATCCAAAAATGTAGCTTCGCCCACACGTGGAAGCCACGAGGCCGAGTACGCAAGCCCGCACGTAACGGTAGACCGAAGCGTAATTCTTACCTGTAGCCTGATAGCACGATGCCAAGTGCTATAAATATCCCACGCCGTTGGAGCAGCATTTTATGAATCTATCGTAGGGATCAACCAAACAATGGCCAAAATCTTAGCTTAAAAGAGTATATAAAGCTTGAAGGAAGCTTTTAGATCTAGGCAAATCAAGAATTGACAACGCTTGCCGCCGTTCATGCTCTACATATAGAGGAAAACTTGGCTATACAGTTGTGTGCATACATTGGTGGAAAGCGAAAAAAAGTTGGGTTAATAACGCTCTCGAAGCGTGACAATTAATTTGCTCTAATTCATAGGTTTCTTCTGATCCTCCTGGCTAGGCTTCTCACGCCATGGTATGCTGAGAGTCAGATACATTGGAACACAACAAACGGCCTCAACCTTAGGATACTGGGGACGCTGCCGGCCGATATATATCCGGATCGGTGCACATACTTTATATATAAAACCCTGTACTTCGTGTTGTCTGGTACTAGTAACCAACGAGACCATAAAACCCCTTATGATAATTTGCAAAGGATTTAGCTGATGAAAGCCCTATCATTTCACTATCTGAACATTTTCTTGGAAGTCTACGGTGTCATTAAGATCTAGGCCCATTCTGGGATCCCGTGGTTATTCTTGTTAGCTTACCGAAGGCTTTGAATTGTGGTTTAGTACCTCGATTTTGTATTTTTAGACGGCCAGAGGTAGCTTTTCTACAAGGTTATATTAAAAAGTCTGTAGATATGGTCTCAACCTAACTAGCTTCGTATTATGACAGAACATGATTATGAATTATATAGCGTCATAGGAGAAGCAATTCATTCGGTTCTATCGCGATATCGATTCACTAGTTTTGACTCTGCTAAGTGAGCCTCCGGAAATTGAATTGGCAAGAGTAAGCACATAAGTGTGCTGCATATGCAGTTACATAGTGTGTTAAAGGGGTTAGTGTTGCCTGCGAAATGCCGGGATGCAGAGGAAATTAGGTCTACGACGAGACTAAGAGAATGGCGAAAAACAAGAAATTCAAACAAAGACGCAGTTTATATTCAATGCGCGTACTTGAGGTTCGAAGCTGCATAATATAAATATGCCTTGAAACCCAAGGGTGCTGGCCCAGTTTAGCCTTGATAAAAAAGTGCGCATGTAATTAAATGCAAGTTAACGCTGAGGCTAGCATACAAAAGTTGCTAGACTCAAGGCTATGAGGCCTATAGAAAATATGCTTTACGGACGTTGTAGAAGCAACCTTTACGTAGGACAGCAGAGTGTTCTTTAACAGCAACTTTTATTATCATTAATCGTTAGAAGGGAGAGGAGAGTATGCATTGATACTCTGTATATAGTAACGCCCGAAGTCGAAGTACATCAGGTCCAAGAATCAAAACTGAAGAGGTGGTTGATTCTCCATTAGAATTGGTAAATAAAAGTAAGCGTGAAAAAAAATGAAGCCATGGCTACAACCTTACACAAGTCTTCTTGCGAGGGAACCGCTATGTAAAACAAAACAAAAAGATTTTATCCTAAAGCCCATAAAATTGAAACCCAGATATCATTAAAACAAACAACCCGTGTAAAATTAGAAGTGAACAAAGTTATAAAATCAAAAACGGGAAGGATTTAGTGATCGACTTTTCCAACAGGAATCTTCTCTAAGTGGTCTTCTTGTTCTTCTTCGGCACCGGAAGACTCTTCGTCTTGATTGAGCTCGACGTCGTCGAGCAACTTGGGGTTGAGGGCGAAGGAGCCTCTTGGAATGAAAGTGGACAAAAGCATGATACCAGACAAAATGCTGAAGTGGACACCGGCAATATAGAAGATACCGGACTGAATCTGCTCATCGTTCTGTTCGCTAACTCTGTCGATGTATCTTCCAACAAGTGGAGAGACAATGGCGTAGATGATGATGTAGCTTGAGTAGAGGAAACCCATGACGGCACCTAATGGCGAAATGGAGTTTTCTTGGGATTCCAAACGAGCTAAGGAAGCTTGGATGTAAGCGGCAAGCGAGACATCACCAGCCGCCCAACCGAAGGAGATTGGAATGAATGTCGCAGCTCCAATCCACGCTTGGTTAACTTGGCCGCTTGGTGGCTTCCAGTATGGCAGGTACCAAACAATAAGGAGGAGGATGGCATCAGATCGGAGCCATGGGATTGGTGTATGGACAAGGTTGGTGAACAGGAACACAAAGAGCGCACCCAACAGTTCACCAAAGTTGGAACCGGCGATAATGATCTGTGCCCAAGCAGATTGTCCGAGGTAACGCTTTGCAACGTAAGAGCCAATGTTGTTTTCAAGGAAACGATGACCGAACAAAGCGAAAGTATAACCGGGGAGAAGCCAGATGAACCGACGGGAGGACATGACGATCGTTGCGCCCTTTACAGCGGACATCACGAACAGAACACATCCATCGGCAACCTGTAAGAGATAGTTTTTCTCATTGCCAACCTCCACTTGATAAGAGTGTGGTAATCTGATCATGAACCACATAGAAGCGGCGCAAAAGTAGAGGAGTGGGGTGATAATGAATGATTGGTTGTTTCCGCAGGCGGGGATCAAGGCGAGGGCGGTACACAAAGCGCCAGTAGTACCAGTAACTATAATTAAATTTTAAGGTTAGAAAATGAGATCACTTTTACCTATCAGTGAGAGGTAGGAAACTTACTTTCGTAGAAAATGTGAACGAGGGAGTCCATTCTCTTCAACTTTTGCATATTTCCTCCGACAATATCTCGAGGAATAACACGTCTGATCAATTCGACCATACCGTACGAGATACCAGACAGACAGTAAATTGGAATCATAGCATCGGTGTTATAGTCACCATAGTAAGCAAAGTTGTTCTTGTCGTATGTCTGATCCCAGCCTTTTGGTTTGAGATAACCACCAGTAGCGCGGTCGATGATAAGCAAAAGAGATGCGAAGAGCGCAAAGACTATGACAGCGATCGCGAGAACGGTTCTTGTCTTGAATCTCTTAATCAGGGGAGCAATAAGGATGGAACCCAAGCACTGGAAGGCCTGGTTGAGGCCTTGTAATAACCCAACTCTCTCGAATGTCCTTCTTTGGTAGCCACCGATATAGGCATCATAGTCGTATCTGTTAGTCGCCAAAGCGATGACTGAACCGTTATAAGCCTCCAAACCGAACTTGTACAACATGATTCCTGCGATGTAGAATGCGATATTGCGCTTCTCTTCCCTTGTGAAGAAACGCCAACTTTCGAGGACGCTCCATTTCTGCTTTTCCTCCGACATGATGATGGATATTATGAATCGACCCTAGTGACTCTGTTCGTGATAATTGATATCCCTAGATAGGGAATGGTGAGAGGATAAGAGAGAGCAGATCGGAGCCTGAGTATATACGAATCTGTCAGGCGATCCTAGAGGGGGAGTTGATATTTTGTCCTACTCAATAACGGTACGATTGAGGAGAAAACTCATGCAGGTTGAGGCCGACGAGGGAGTGTATTATATATGCAATGAGATTTCCAGGCACCGGCCTCTTGGCCCATGTTCGGGAACCCCCAAATGCTCGAAAGACCCTTGTCTCGTCCTATCGCGACATCCCCTCCCTCACACGTGTGGGACCATCGGCAGGCCAAGAACCCACACACACTAGGCATTTGGGATCAGAATTGCTCACAGACAAAAACTCATGGGCAAAATTGATCTGTAAAATGGTACGCTGGTGGCGTTCAAGGGGATCCCAATGTATATCGAGTTGTCCGCCGTGACGGGGGACGGATATTCAGGGTTAAGATCAAGGTGTCAAAAGAGAAACATGCACTGTTGTGCAGGCTGCCAGAAACAGGCAGTCGCCTGCAAGTGCGATCAAGGCAGAAAAAAACGGAAAGGGTCATCCAGCCAGCCGGGCTGTTAAGCCGCAGTTGCGTGCGTGCGAGCATTGTGCAGGTTAAGCAGCGAGCAATCTTAACGAGAGTCAGTTGTGTGCAGCAAGTTTGGTTACAGAATCATGGATATGGTTTGCGAGAGTTTGGGGGCAGCGAATGCTTCTCTATTTAATCTTGGCTGGGCGTTCTTGGCTGTCGTTGGGAGAACCAATTAGAGCGCGATCCAAGACAACGTGCCACGGGAGGGCTTCGCGGCTGGCCCAAAAACTGTCGCACAAAACTCCAAACCCACAATTCGAGCGAGTATCCATTATCTTATGATATGATACTTGCTGTTACTCCGACGAAGTTCCCCCGCACACTGATCATTTTATTCTTAGCTGTTGGTTTTGCCAATGAGAAGCAAGGCTTTTCCTGAAGAAACTGAGTAGGCGAGATGCTGCATGATACCATTACACGATATCGCATAAAGTCTTGGACATGTCTTACTCCTGACTTTACAGGACAATGGCCGATATCGATACCACCACGCTCTTCGATGGTCAATAATTCTCTGAGCTTAAATATGCATCCTAGTGTGCACATGCGAATTTTTTTTTAATTTTTTTTTGGGGGGAATATCATTGCCACAGTCCCCAGAGTTCATGACGTTCATGGGGATGTTGCTTCATCTCGTCTATTAACTTTATTACTTGGGCAATATTCCTGTAACGCTGCATGTCGGTACCATTATCAATTCTAAAGCCCTACCAGATCTCGGGTACCGGGTGACTTTGAACAATCCAGCTAGTGCCACCGCCTCGTTCTTTGTTCCGGCTAATCCACGGGAGCTACAATCGAAAATAGATCCTTTGTCTATTGTCCATCCAGTACTAAACTCCAAGTCGCAGTTCGCTTATGCGGCTCTAAAGAACGCATCGATCTGCAATTAGCCCGAGGCTGTGCGATGGCAAGCATTGTTGTCGTTGACTATAGTCAACGCTATACATACCATGTGGACATGGTCCCAAAACGAATCAGTGCGATATATTGCAAAGGGATGCCTATCGATATATCCAGACCAACTTGCAGAAACCTGCAATTGACCATTTGTGCCAAAGTGGAGAATGGAACAAAACATCCGGTTTCCAAAGAAAGAAACAATCTAGTCAACCGCTCTTAATATTCGGGCCCGAAATATCTGCACGTTGTGAGCGCATATATTCCATAAAAGTGCCTCGATGGCCATGAGTCGACGGTTAAACAAGCTTTTTGCCAAAGTTCTATTTTGTTCGAGGAAGCCACTGTAGTACTGCCTAATTATTGAAAAGCGTCTGCAAGGCAAATTTATCAAGATAATTTCGAATTCATGTATGGAGCATTGGGCTATATTTCTTTACAACCTTAATTTTTTTATTTTTTTGCGATGTTTGCTACTTTGGACAACTGATTGATTATGGCGACCAGGATTCAGTTCAGCTGCAGATCCGGCATCAATTCTCCAGTAAGCTTGCACTTGAAGAACCAACAGGTTGTCCCAGCAGCTTGGCGAAAAACTCCGATGCATGCAAGTCAGTCGAAACAGACGGGTAGGTATTTTCAAGGATTTCTGGAATAACGAATTGAAATTACTCAGCGGCCGGGACTTGAGCCTGACTCGAGTTGTTTTATAGAATCAACTTGAGTTGCCCATACGCTGACAAATCGATCGATATTTTATGAATTCACGCTAAATATATAGATTCTTTGGTAACAATAGAATAAATAGATAGTATCTAATATTAATATCTCTTAATTAGGAAACTAATGTCTATACTAGACTTATCAGTCTTATGAACCACGGCCTCGGTGCAAAATACTGAAGTCGTTTTGTCTGAACCAGTTACCAGCGGCGGGTAGTAAAATCCCAGACTTCTGGGCCTGATCAGGTTGACATCAACTGCTTGACGAAATGTGGAGGTTCACTCTAGGCAGTTGCAACTGTCGTGTGTATCTTATCGGGCTAAAAACGTTAAACACGCGCACGAATCAGAGAAGCGAGCTGAGGCACGATCCAACCGGGGCCCAAATTAAATCCCTGGATTTTACTCTTTGGGGGTGTATGTGGGCCTCAATGCCGAAAGAGGGGCTAAATTGATCTAAACCTTGATCCTATATACTAGCATGTATAAAAATATCAACATGAGGCCACACTCTCGCAACAATCTGAGGCCCACTCTTTGGTGGATTTAAATGCCTGGTCTCATCGTAATTCTCGCCTTGTAATGGGACGATAATTGGTCAAGATTCATTATATACGTATATACGGCTGCAGAGGTAGCGCAGTGGCGAACCGGGTCAATATGGGTCAGCTTTATCTTCCAGCTACTAAGCTACTGAGCTGCAAGCTGTGTATACTATGTTAATCAACTTTTTGAACCGGCAGCTGCCTCTCCATAATGAGGTTCATAAATTTATACGAGAAGCCTATGCTCCTAGCACTAGTAACTTGGCCTATTTAAGCTGGGCCTTTTCGAACGCAGACCCAGTAAATGATGGAATCTAACGTTCTATACTGGACTTTGTTAGTTGACGGAGGCCCTGAAGTTGCAAGAAACGCGAAGACACTAATATTATAATTTGTTGATAATACGAGACATCCACCATGAAATCTACATCACCTATAGTTATCACGTGAATAGAATGATATTTTTTGGAGCCGATAGCTAGTATTAATCCATAACCAAAGTCTTCCCGGGAAAACCCGCGAATTGGGTTTACTCAAAACGCGACTACCTTCCCAAAATCAACATACGCTTCGTTTCGAAACCGCACTTATTTGGCCCAAAAACCCCCATAGAAACAAACTCACGGATATAAAAGCTGCCAACAGAAAAAACTGTCAAAAATTCGAGCTGGTAGAAACTCGCCTATTAACACCTAAATTCTGATCAATGTGCATCAAGGATCCACAATCTAGGCCTCCTGTTTGACGGAATATCAAAATTGAAACTCTACACGCGGGAATGTTTAAATGTTGCATATGCAAGGTTTATGCAGCATGCGCTCTAATCAAGCACTCTTATTCGTCAATACGCTGTACTGGGTCTGAACACAGGCCTGTGCGTGGGCAAATCAAAATTTATATTCATATTCAATTTTATTCTACTCCTTCAATGTATGCAGGTCCAGATTTGTATCATCGTAAGCGAGATGCCCTATCCCTGGTTTGAATATGCTCGTGCGACCATAGATTCGTTCACCCAGCCTGTGCAGTGACATATTACCTATGCAAATGGCTGATGAGAGTTCCGTGGGATAACAATACCTCTCCATACGCCGTGTGCACATGACGAAGGCAAGCTCCACTTAGTCTTTAATCTTTAATCTTTTTTAGAAATCGCGAATTGACCAGAGTTTCAGCTCCCAACGATTACCACACGGTTCTCATCATAATGGATTCTGTCTCACGATCCCTTACCTTGTGTTTGATTAGTTGATCGTCTTATAGTCACGGGTTTTATTTGTTAGCATCCGATTGGGGACACTTCACGATTTCCTGACCGAAGGTCTTGCGGTAACCCCCACTCTGTATTCAAAAATTGAATCCCTGGGATTGGTCAATTGTAACTCACATTCCTTCCGGCCACCATGCAAAATAATCCTTTTCGAACCACCGAGGGGTACCTGCAGTTCTAGAAAGCTGCACCCCAGCGTCTTTGCATTTATTGCATGGCACTATTGGGTCACCGGCCACCCCGCTCCTTGTATTTTGCTTTTATAAAACCCGAGGATCTCGAGAGATGCATGATGCTCAGACCCCTTTTTAGTAGTGATTTGCAGCGAAAATGCCTAACCTTACGAATGAATTGCAATTGTGTCTTAGGCATGCCTCAGTTAAACTACCTGTCAAAAAGTCCATGGTGCTTCTACGCGTGCTAGAAGACCCTAAGTAAATTTGTTCTGGGGTACTAGTTAACTCACAGGCTTCAAGTATAAAATAATATATGGTCGCACAAGCAGTATTGTGAGTGGGAAGATGTTCTTCTTCATCTATGTGGCCGAACAAATTCGAGGAGAAAAAAAGAAGAAAATAGTGAGCTGAGTGTATCGGATTGCAGCAAGTCTTTCTATATTGACGGGATCATCGATATCATAATATTGAACCGAAGAATCTTTACCATCTAATACATATCAGTATCCTAGCTGTAAAGCAATATCGATATCTGTTTGATGATTGTATTGCGAGATCATAATATTATATAATATTAGGATAATCGGTGACCGTGCTAACTCTGTATCATGCATGATAGACCAACGCGCTTTCAGTCCAAAATGCAACGGAGTCGTAACGTTGATCGTATTATGAATTTGAAGCTCTTATGGGACACCACGACATAATTCGTTTAAACAAAGCTTTTAGGTAAACAGGATTTTTATTTGTGAGATGAGATATCTATCTGAAGGCCAGAGCTGTCTATAATACCGCTACAAAAAAAAGGGGGTAGGTTGAACAAGTGAAAATTTATGGACATTTCTGCGCTCAAGCTCGCCCGACTTTAAACGATAAAATCTAAAGGTTGAAGATAAGTATTAAACTTCACTTTTCTGAAAGGCTAGAAAGGATCTGTGAAACTTACATCATTTTTTCCAGATTCTATTAAGTCCTCTTCAGATACTTTGATCCCGCCCGCAGTCTCCGCGTATGCTATCGGTGCGTCGCCCATGATCTTCTTCGCCACATCTGCGACCGTAGAGCCTCTAAATCCCACGCAAAATTATTGGTATCTTGATATTTTCAGTAGGATTATTGCCATACATACCTGTTCATTAAAACACAGTCCTTGAACACCTCATTGCCATCGGAATTCCCGAATGTATGTATATTCCTCACTGGCCATACTGGTATTAACCCCAAAACACCCGCTGCCCTTTTCAAAACATCTACTACCCCAGTGCTTCCGTGTCTATACAGTACCAAGTCTTTGAGATTCTCAACACGATTAGCGAGTTTCTCATCCATCTCTTTTAGGCCTCCTCCTTCGGGGTCGCCATCATCAATAAGATCCTGCCGTGTATCTATGTACTCTGCTCCAGGTGTATATCTAATGTAGTTTTGCTTCGCCAGTCGACGAAGGAATATTTCCGATATGGCTGAAGTGAGGACCATAGGGTTGTTAGGGTATTTCTTCGCTATCTTAGCAATGTTCTGTGCAAATGGAAATTAGCGATGTGGTAAGATAATCTAGATGGCGGGTTGTACCTTGTCGGCATCCGAGTGGTCAATCTTGTTGAGTGCAAATACTGTCGGGAACTTTTCGTCAATAAAGGCGTTCACAACTGCCTCTACTGTTAAGTTATCCCAGGTTTCAAGAGGGGTTTTTAGTGATAAACGGTCCAAAGTTCTTTGTACAGTGGCTGCGTTACTGCTGTAACCTGAGAATTGGTTCTGAAGGGTTGAAACTGCTGTTGATTCTACGCAAGAACCGTAATCAGCATGGAACGAATATAGCCAGGCGCGAAAAGCAACTTACTAGTTGCTATATGACGTCGTTTTATGCTCTCCCTTGTGGGTGTTACCAATTAGAACCACGAGAATCGGGGATTATATTTGGCCCTACCATTTCTCCATGAGATTTCCCAATATCCATCTCATGATTTCATCCCGGAGCCAAACGATATCATAACTCGGGTCATAGCCCCTCGTGTTCTTTCCCTCAGCATCCGTGGTTCCACTAACATCAACAACGTGCACCAAGCAGTCTGCATGTCGTAGATCGTCTAAGAACTTATTTCTATGTTTTATTAACCTAACCTAACCCCAACCCTGATATTTACCCTAGGGTGTTGAGAAAGCTTACCCTAGTCCTCGGCCCTGATGCGCACCCGGTACTAACCCGGCAACATCAAGCAATTCGATTGGAACAGATCTTTTGCCATTTGTACACCAGCCGTAGTTTGGTTTACACCGGTCTGAAACTTCGTATCGAGCGCAAGCGCAGTCTATCTGTAGGTATCCGATAGCGCCTAGATAATCGATCGAAAAGATGCTTAAATTAGCACCATAATCATCGTTGCTCTGTATCGGTTGTCCGCAGCTCGGCGACTAGTCTTACGTTGTGGATCGATGGTCGTGAAGCTGCATATACACTATCAGCGGGCCGATACTTTATCTAAGGGGTAATATAACATCAAAGGCATACGGATAGTTCCCTAGGACACCCTAATCAGTCCATAATCCTTTCTACATTGTGCGACGGAGTCTCGCGGATTAGAGCCTAGTCGTACCGACTTTACTGGACGCGTCGGTGAGTGAATTTAAGGTCGAAGACTTGCCGGAAGACGGTTTTCCGACGAGTGCAATTAATGGATCTCGGGGCATCGTTGCGGGATATTAAAAAGAACTTTTACGGTATTGGTTTCGAAACTGTCTGGAGATGGTTCCGTATGCTGCTGCAGAATCAAGATCAAGAGAATCGAATGGACTCATTGGGTCCGGAAAAGTGCGACTGACAGACAGGGATGACAAATCAGGTAATCTAGCCGAGGTTGGTGCTACCCCTCCAAATCCCGCAACGCAACCCCCTCCAACAAGTCCCGCGAAACTACAACAGGACTTCGTTACGAGGCTTTGACTGATGGTATATAAGTTCACCGCCGCCAGCCCTTCGAGAAAGTCAAGAGAGTGCCTGATACAAATATCGCTTATTTGATCTTTTACCCTACTTTTATCGTTATAGGAGCAAAAGAATCAATTGGTTATTACTAAAATGGAGTCTCATCCTATGATCATTGACAGCCATATTCACTTTTGGAGGACCAAGGACATCCCCACACTCGCTTGGGAAACCCCGGAAAACCCTCTGTTCGGCACATACGATCTTGATAGATACTTAGAATCCATTCTCTCTGCCCCTTCGAGCTACTCCGGCTTCGTATTCGTCGAAACTGATAGAAAATATACCGATCCAAAGGATCCATCCGAGGACCTGCAGTGCTGGGAACATGTTCTCGAGGAATATCGGTTTGTGCTTAGCCTTTCGAAAGAAGAAGAATGGAACGATCTAGTAAGAGGTATTGTCCCGTGGGCTCCTGTGCATCTTGGCCGTGAGGTTATGGAGCGATATCAGAAGCTCTTGGATGCTGTTGATGCAGAAATATATGGAGAAGAAAAGCACGGATTACTAGTTGGATTTCGGTATTTAATCCAAGATAAACCGCAAGGAACGGCGTCGCACCCAAAGTTCTTGGAGGGACTGGAATATATAAGGGACACAGGAAGGACATTTGACGTCGGGGTTGATTGTAATCGCCATACCTTGTGGCAGCTTGAAGAAGCAGTTCCAGTGTTAAAGCGAGTGAAGGGGCTAAAGATAGTCCTCAATCATCTTTCAAAGCCACCGCTTGGGAGAGAACCAGAAGGAGGAATGGCAAGATGGAGAGAGTTAATGACCGAATTGGCGGAGACACAGGCTGCTGTGAAGCTTTCAGGCGGGTTTTCAGAGATACCGCCAACCTTATCGAAAGAAGGAGATGGATTCCCCGAGCAAAAGATGATTAACATGGTCTTGGATTATGCACGGCCCCTCTTTCAAATCTTTGGAGCCAGCCGGGTAATATTCGGTAGCGATTGGCCTGTGTGTGGAGTCGGATACGAAAAAATCACGGGTGAACAAGCAGGGGCATGGCCTGAATGGTTTAAAATCTCTACCGCCGTTATTAAACAACTTAAAGAGGAAGGAGGGGTAGCGGGCGAGCCAGAGGACTGGAATGGTATCTGGGGAGAGAACGCTTTGGGTGTATATAATTTAAAACCTCAGTAGTTTCGAAAGCCGTATAGCCCACATCTTGGCCTCTAAAAAACGCACCAGCTTCTGAGGATTTTCCAAAGCGGGGATTGTGCGTCTATTTCTTGTATATGACAATCAACGCCTTGATACCAATAAAGTGAAAAAAATGATTTGAAAATCTTTTTTGGGATTAGGAAAGATATAAATTCAAACTCAAATATGAGAGAGCCAAGTATTAGTGTTTTATATTTTAGAGAAAGAAATTAGCTAGCTAGGTGGGTATCATAATAACAATTCCTATATAATAGAAGCAAAACCGAGCAAAAAAAACTTGGAGAACTCGGTATATATGCAGAATCGATAACAAATAGTCCCAAAATGACCGCTGCAGCCGCAAAACAAAAGAAATCGTTAAAACATCAGATTCCATGCTCTTAGAAAGCGCGTCCATAAAAGCTTGGAGAATTGAGATTCTTCAAATCCAAAGCAATAGGTATAGCTCCGCTCATAGCACTAGTGTTACTAAAGCGCCCAGTAAGACTGGCGAGAGAACCCTTCCTCACACCATAACCGTACCTCGCGGCATCCTCAGCACTCTCGGGGGCTAGGCCCGAACCTGGTACGAGAGTTGGGCGTCTCGTCCTGTTAGCACCCGGCATAGGGAAATTTGGGATGCTCATGCCAACATGAATGGTGCTAGTCGACTGCCTATCCATCTTTTCCTGTCGAGCGAATTCCTCAACGTGTTCCGCCAATGCCTTTTCGAAATTGTTGACGTTGGCTTCAACCTCGCTCATTCTATCGAAAGACTTATCGGAGTCAGAATAGGTAAGACCACTATTACGGCTCCAGCGCTTCTGTTGTTGAAGGTCCTGCTCATGTTGACTGGCCCACTGGATAAGGATCAACATGAAGTAAACCTGAAAGGCGTTCATGAAGCCCCAGGCAACCTGTAGTCTCTCGAAGCTCTCAGCGGTGCTGAGGCAAAGGTCCACCCAAGGTTTTGGTGCCGGGACAGTTTCCCCGTCCCAGAAAACCAGGGTCGTAACACACATTTCGCGGGTCGTAGTTGCCGATTGGAAGCCGTAAAAGAACCAGAGTCCAGAAGCCACTCCGTACAATATCATTAAGAGAATCGCCATTAGCCTCACAACGCGGATGGCGGTAGGGGAGCAAGAAAAGCGTCCCCATAGAACCGAAAACCCGCAGTAGCTAACTACGCCGAAGAAAAAGCTCCAACAAAGTAGAACAATTGTCATAATGAGCCAAATTTTGCCGTAGTCAAGTTTTCCAGCTAGAGAGTCGAAAATATTAGCTTATACCCAATATCAAATCAAATATCTAACGACAAACTTACAAATAACGATTTGAATCCCTCCCCAGAACGCCATAAGAGCTTCACAGAAAGAAAGAATGATAATAAACCGTGCCCAAAAATCCAAAGAAATTCCTAGTCTAAAGACTCTGCGCCATAGTGATTCCTGCACTGGCATGATTGACGATGTTTCGCTTCCTGGCGGCGTCGGCAATTTTTTGTTGATAAAATCAATGTTGGAAAGTGTCAAAGGTCGCAGACTACTTTGGCTTTGGGTGCTGGAGCTTCTTGGCTCTGGGGTAGGCATTCTGACGAAATGTAAATTTGAAGGCGTTCCTACAACTGCGCTTCTTGCTGTACCAGGTCGAGCATACTGCGATAGGGCTGATTCACTACGGTCGATTTCTACTGCTGAAGGACGTCGGATTGAGGAAAGAATAGTATCAAAAACTCCACTCATTCTCTTCTATTTCCCAAATTCCCGTGTCGGCGCAATAACTATCCTCGTCCAGGAGGATGTGTTGGTATTAAAATATTAAAAAAAAAATGAAAAAAAGTGAAAAGATAAGGAAATTCCCGGAATTGTCAAACGAATCCTGCCGTTGAAGAATATTAAAAGAAAGAATGTCGTAAAGAAGGTAAAGCTTCTATCAAAGAAGCAGAGGGCAGTGAAATGAAAACAAAGGAAAAGAAAGTGGTGGTAAAAGAACGAAGACCGCCAGATTACCTGGAGGCTATCGACAGGCACGACAGAATAAAAGAGAAAGAAGAAGAGGGCAGAAAAAGAGACTTCATAACGAATTTTACTAGTTAGCGTAACTTGCTACTTAGCCCGCTGTCAAAATCTATAGCACCCGCAGCGCCCCCTCTTTGGCTCTGGGCTTTCCTCAGAATAGTAACAGATAGCACTTTGGATGTGCTTCTACGACAGCAAACAGCTTTCTCGATCCTGGCCGAGTCGGAGAAGGCTCAAACATCGTACGTACGAGGAAGGTTCGGTGACGTTCTGCACGGAGCCCTCAACGGGAAGAGTGTGGAACTATTCGCAAATTTTTCTTGAAATTCAAGAGGGTAAAGCGTAAGAGTCGGTCATGCCAGGTACAGCAAGCTAACCATTGGGGGAGAAACATCGTTTCGATACCTTTCTCCTGAGCGATTCGCCGTGCTTAGCGGTAAAAAACGATGTTGGCCTAGCCATAAGAGCTCGTGGGCGTGTCAAGTTAAGAGGCGGAGCAGCACAAGAGGTTTTGAAACATGGCAATGCGACTTGTGGTGTTTTGATTTCGCAACGCAGCTTGTCGGAAACTTTCCAAAACGGCAAATTAGGCGAGTCCAGCATCCCTGTTCGGGCCACAACGCAAGGTCTCGTCTCCAATGTCGAAATCGTGGACGAGGACGAGGAAGATATCGAGTTCGAGTGGAATGAATTAGTGAGTGAATTAGCCTAAAGATCTGATTATTCAACCGGCATATCGTGCATTGGTTGGTTAGTTAGTGCGAGTTCGGAAGCAAAGTATCGGCTATTCTTGTTCTAAACTCTGCAGTGTTCCTGCGTCAACTGTACATTACATTTGGACCCTCGCTATCTTGAAGCTCGAGGTCGTCTCGGGCTGGTCCAAGAGTGAGTATTAGGAGGCTTCATCTGGCGTAACGACCGTGCTAACAAATCCATAGCTAGCTACTAAAAATATTAATAGAATCCCGTCCACTTTAATCTCGCAGAGTCATTATAATATTATCATGCCGAAAGGCCTATTTCCCATGTTCTCCGCCAAACATCGGTGTTCTTGTTCTGGAACTAGACTCTAAGCTACCTATCACTTCCATCAAAATGTCTTGCATCCATGTGCTACCTGCCTCAGGCGGATTTCATGACAGAAAAACATGTAAACCAATTGATCGCGTGGTCCGGGAAGCCGGCCGTTTCTTTCGTTACGACTTGCTGAATCAATTTCTTATCTGGTAAAACCTTTTTTTTGTTCTGGGATATTTTTGGAAAGCAGGTTTAGCCTACCTATGTTAACAACCCCAGCCATTGATGATTCAATCTGCGGTTTATAGTGTCGGACCCGATATCTTGGGATACTGAGAGACATAATGCAGTGCAAATCATTGAAATCACTTTTAGGCTCTAACGCATTATTTTAGAAATCTTTGTGGGTCCATTTCTTTCACTTATATATAAATGCAAAAGTAAATCCTTGAAATGCTGACGCGTCAATCTCCCATGAGAATCGCATGATACATACATTAGATAGGGAGTTCTTCCTCCTTGATAGATTTTCATCTAAACAGCTAATATTACAAATTTAGCATACATAACCCGAGCTCGGGCGACGGTCAAGGAGTGTGGACCATACAATCTAGTAATCATGATACAAAACTGTTTAGTTATAGATGGACACCCGTCAGGCATATGTAGAAGTTTTGAAAACTCTATTTTAGACCTGATTATAGCTCAAGTTTATATTTTGGCTCGTGCTATCTCTAGTTATCCAATTTAAAGTGATCCCATGGTTGCACAGAATTCCCACGTGTATCCAATCACCGGGATGTCTATTCAAGCACAGCAGCTGTGGGATATCATGTTAACTAGTGCAATACTTGTGTCCAGCCATAAGTAACTACCTAGGTATGCGCCTACCACAAGTCATTTGACTTTGGTACATTGGGTATGATTGATTGTTGTCAATATATCCTAGCAAAAATGGAACCCAAAATGCAGTACTGGAAATAATTATCTGATATCTTCCAACCAGAAAAGCTGCAAAGTTGCAAAAACAAAGCTAGCTTCTGGTCTAATCCGATATCTCTACCCGATACCACTTAATATTTCAAATACTCAATCGATTCACGTAATCCCAATGCAGAAAGAAAACCACAACCCATACTTATCTCGCTCTCGGATCTTCCATCCTCCCCTTGCAGGGAAATCGAAAAAAAAAAAGAAAGAACGTGGGCTATACGCTGGAATGTAAATGCACAGAGCTCGGAACCAGCGTCCAACAAGAACTATATATCGTAGTTTGATGCAGCGTAACCTCAGCTGGGATCTTCTGCCTTAAAACGGGTTGATTAGTAAATTATTATTATTTTTTCGAAAGAAAAGAGCGGAAGGGCATAGCCTATTTTACATGGGAAGGGAAGCCCGAATCCAAAACCATGTCAATCGCATGGGAGCTAAGGGGTCCCTAACCACAAAACATGAGCCTTCCGTCCGTTCTCTCGGTATAATCCATAGAATATATATTGAAAAGTTCGTGGCCAGCCGTGGTCCGAGAGGTGTGTTCATCTATGTTAATTGATGGAAGTTCGTAACTCAAGGCGGTATCGGCGTTGTTACATATGAGGCCAGTTAATGATATGGTTTTCAGGGATCTAGTTATAACGATATATTTATTAAACTATAGTTACGTAGTATAACCGCCATACCGGAGGAGGACACCACGACCTATAGATACATTCGCCAGAAGTACCGAGCTCGGTACGTATATGCAACATGCATGTGCGCGATGTTGCATGGGTTGTGGACTTAAGCCGCAAATTAAAAATTAAAAAAAGGCCAACGAGGGCTAATATTGAGCCTTGTGTAGAAGATCAGCTATTGTACTGGCCCGCCCGGTAATTTTTTTATAAAGACATTGTAGGGACGGCAGGATTGACTGAATCGAGGGGTAAGCTTCTTGCATGGATATGTGTGTCTTGGGTAGCATTTTTGCACTTTAGTAGAGTTGGAGGTTCACATGTTGAGTTTGAGGAATCTAGGTTATTAGAAATTAGGATCGGACATCTCGATCTAGATGACGCTCATCTAGTCTGACTGTACATATCCAAGAAAGACTTATGTTTCTCCAGCGCAGCCCTATTTGCTAAGTAAGTACGTAGCATCGCCCCAGTTACACAAAACACGATTCCATGGGGAATACAACGGTGTGTTTCAATATGCGAAGGAAGCCTGCGGCGGCTGAAATATCATGCTTGGACCTGCACTCCAGCTTCACTTTCGAGCGAACAATTATTTGATTAATTATTAATTATCCACGTTGATTTTAAGCACCAACCAAACCGACGCCTGCCCCAACATGTCAATGGTACCCAACATGAATAATCCTTGAATAAAATTTGACGTTCTCGAAATCTTGATCTAGTTGGCCGGGGTTTGTAAGGTTGACCGATTGTGGGTCGTCTTCAGCTGCACTGTTCTCGCTTCTTAGCTTTGACAAGAGCCGGCCGCAAGCTTCGATTTGCGGTCGAATGTTCCTCAGAAAAATTTCCGAGCAGTTCCGCCCCACGTGAATAAGCTGACATCAAAGGCGAACACCACACCTACGGACGGTGACCGAAGTCCAACTGATTGGTTTCATGGCACGTACATGTTTTAAGAGCAGAAAACCTCCGAAACATTAAAGGAACTTTTCTGAGGTTGCGTCTTGGCCGGTTCATGCTTAGGCTTGATTATTCACCGCCATGTGTAACTGCGTTATTATTAAGCTTAGTGTATCGACCAGGAAGAGTTTGCCTATCCCTCAAAGGCGGTTACCAAAGGCCTCCTGCTTGAAAATAATTTTCGATGGTCTGAGTATCATTTAATTCTGCAGGTTCAGGGAACGATCTAGGAATAGCCAACCAACCAGACAGCAGCGCGTTTTCGGGAGGGTGGGTCAACGATGTCGGCCAAGATCTGGGGTAAGATGTGTGCACGTAACCGTACGTACTTACTTATCTCATGTTCTAGTTGGAGAATTGATCCCCAAAGCCGTACGTAGTGATTAATATTAGGAGCTTGATTACAGCACCTCTAGGGTGTAAGATATCTAGATGTTTAGGTAAACTGCTCGGTCCTTCCATCGCGACTCACCCTATCGAAATACCCGTCGTACGCCGCGAGAATTGTGGGGGGGGGGTGTATAAAGGTATTTGCACCTTGGCAGATGGCAGAGATAGGCAATCTGACAGACTTCCAGCTTCGACTGGCCAGCTAACGTTATAGAACCGGCGGCCTTGTCGGTCCGTCGGTTGTACAGGGTACTTAATGTAGCTTTAGAAGTAACTTTATGATTTGGCTACTGCATCGCTGGAATAATTCGCCTGATTAAGAGAACGGAAGAGGCGTAGACTAAAAGAAGCTTATCCCTTGTTCTTGGCTGGGGTAAGAACCAGTTATCAAGTCCCGTTCGACGTTCACATTGGGCCCTGACCCTCGCTTCATGAAATTTTTTTCCCTTGAAGTTTACCTGGATAGCCGAGTGACTGAATCGCATGAAGAATGGTCTGGTTGACGGGATTCCAATGCCATGCTCGCATATGTATGCCCCATTGCGTTGGAAGTAACCTGTACGACCAACCACAACTGTCTGCCCAGAAGCTCCCTTTGAAGCTTTCCAACGAATTAGCTTCTGATATAGCCCGGTTCGACGACATCATCAGGCTAATTAGACGAAATTACAACGAAGGGGACCTTGACCTAAAATGTCAAAAATAGCAGAATGCAACTTCGAACGGAAGGAAGTTTGATCTGACAGCCAAAATTAATTCGCTTTTGACGCCGCAATTGGAAAAAAAAAGATTGGGTACCCGTGTTCTGCGTGGTTTAGGTTGGCTTCGGATCTGCGAAACTAAGGGGGACGTCGGGCCCCATTGATCGAATATCATGTTGTGCCTCTGCGCAGCTGTGCACCCTGCGCACATGAGGTAGTATTGTAATGACTTGGCAGACGGTATATAATTGACGATCCTTCCTCGCTCGACTGAACGTTCAACCGGTTCCCGATTACTAGCGGATAGGCAAATACCGAAGTCATTCAGCTAGCCAGTATAAATTTATTTATATACATACCAATCCCAACAGAATAGCTGCACATTCTCAGCATCGAGTATTTGAACCTGTGGAACGATTAAGAGCCGCGGCTTATATACCATACTCATACATAACTTTATAAAAGTTAAAAATATTTATATATATACATATATTCTTTTATAATTTATCTTCGACAGATTCAACCATCCCAGACATATCATTGACAAAATGAAGAGCGTATTTCTCACCGTTTCATTCGCAGCCCTAGTTGCCGCTCTTCCCCAGGACGGCTATGGATATGGGTACGTCACGAGGGTGACCACCAGAGTTGTAAGTTATAAAATGAAATTCCACACGAGTCCCTTGCGTAATAGCGCCACAATTAACCACAAGCACCATCTAGACCCCAACCCCTAGACCAACTACTACTAGCAGTTGCACCATCACAATCTGTGCAGACTACATCAACTCCTGTAGTATGGGCTATGGTGGATGCTACCCTGCTTGCCCTGGTCTCCCAACCCCAACATTCACTCCACCACCATGTCCAACAACCACAAAGAAGCCCACCAAGACTACAAGCAAGAAACCATGTCAAACAATTTGCGTCGATGCCGTAAATGAGTGTGGTATCAAATACGGCGGCTGTTATTGCAGCGAAGAACCCTTCCCATACACCAAGCCACCATGTCCATCTAAAACCACAGCAAAGCCAACTCCAACTCCTGCTGGCCCAAGAAAATGTGGTGGTCTCCAGGGGCTCCAATGCAAAAAGGGCGAGACCTGCATCGATGATCCAAAGAGCCCCTGTGGTATTGCTGTTGATTGTCTTGGTATTTGTATCGTTGAACAGTTCTGTGGTGGATTCGCTGGATTTGCATGCAAGAACAAGGGCGATGTCTGCATTGACGACCCAAGAGATGACTGTGATCCTAAGAAGGGTGGTGCTGACTGCGGTGGCCTTTGCGTTCCCAAATCTTGGGCTTAAGTTTCATTATATATGATCGATGCCTCGGGGTGACATTGCAAGCAATTTGCTACGAAAGTTGAAAGCGAACATCGTTTTCTTCTTCCTGTACATGCTTCTGTATTTTGATGGTTTTTTTTTGGTTTTGGACAAATGCATGGCGGAGTCGGGTGATGTTATGTTGCTAGCATATGAATATCATTTTTTTCGACGAATTAATTTCAAGATTTCGTTTTGTCCTATGGCCTTCCTGAGGCGATATTATTCTAAGAACTACGTTGATATGCAACGCTATAACGTTATAGCTGTAAACTGCGGTGGCCATCGCCGCATAGGATTTAATTAAGCTTAAGATGTAATATAATACAATCTTCTAACCGTATTTTGACAGCTTGTGAGCCTTTCAAATCGGCATTTCCATTCGTATTCCCTAAAAGATCTAGAATATTTTAAAGATATTAATGTTAATATTCACATGTTATCCATCCAAAAAAAACCAGTGCATCCAATCAAATACTCTAAAACAACCCACTATGCATCTTGCAGGCATCTACGCCATCTACAAGCGCCACAGATGTGGACAGATGCGACATCCCACATGACAACTCAAACTGGCTTAGCTGTGGCGCTGCATAAGTCAGCTTCCTTCCACCTCTTTGAGAATGGAAATTAGATCGCGCGCTCAAAAAAAAATCCCAACAGTTCAAAGGTCCCTTCGATGCCGTCGTCACCGTTGTCGCCTCCGTATTCAGGGATTAGGGATATCCCGAGCTAGGACTCGCAGCAGCTAGGCATATTCGCACCCTTTTTGTAAAACCCGAAGCTGGAAAAATGGCGACGTCCGGACCCCCTCATTACAGTAGTAGAAGCCCACGGGAGCGCGAGCGACAAACGATCCCAGCGGTACCTCCGTACACCGAGGAAGAGGAACGGTGGTTAAAAAATAAGTTCGGTGATGAGTATCACTTTTTAAAATTTGTTGGACTTGATATACGCCGCACGGACGATCGTTATGCCGGTAGGAGGTTCTTAAGGAAGATTAGAAACGGAGAGCTATCACTTGATATCTTTGAGAGCGAGGCTAGTTATAGTGGGTAGGTGCTTGGCTGGCCCTCATGCCGAGAATACCTCTAAGTCCAGGGAAGACTCTGATAAAAACTAATCATATTCTAAATTGGCGAGAGGCTAGTTCCAGTACCGAGGACGATAGTTCAGAGACAAGTACAGGCTCTGATACCGAAACTACGGCTGAAACAGAATCTACTGTCACAGATAATGATAGACATGAAGCAGATAATTATGTTCTGTAAGTCAGCGGATAATGTCCTAGAATCGCCATGCGATATTCCTAAGACAGGTGCTAACTAGACAATTCCATTACTTTTTTCTAGAACTACCCGAAATCCCATCATTTGCCACAAACTCCCTGGTGGTGCAGCCTATAATACAGACTGGATCTGGTCGACCATGTCCAACGTTCATGTGGCAAACCATCAGTCATGGTTCAAAACATACACACCATTCGACGGTCGAACAGAAGAAGGTGTAGAGATCATCGGCGCGGGTACTGTTGAGCTGCCTGTCGAAACGAACAAGGGAGTCGGTATATTAACCCTAAGAAACGTTGTTCACATCCCTTCGGCAAAAGCCAATACCCTTATGACTATGGGGCCTGGTGCGCAATATGGAATGGAGGCAGATTTTGCGAAATCGCGGGGCCGGGTATTTCTAGATAGGGAGAAGAAAACATGGGCCTTTTTAGACTCTCCAAGTGGAAGATTCTTGCGGCTAAGGCTCGTGGGGCAGGCGGATATTGGAAGTAGCTTGAGTAGGGAGGATTACGTTCTACGAGCTACATTATCAAATAGCCAGGTATTCCGTCTAGCGAAGAAGGTATTAGACGAGGAGATTCAGCAGCTATATGATCTTACATTATCTCCCAGGGTATCTTCAGATTAGCTATATTTGAGCGGGTCGAGGAGAAATACTCTTCAGAACGAGCCGTAGAGTTAGCAAGAAAAAGCTCTAGTTGCACAATCCGGCAGACTCCTGATATAGGAGTAGAAAATTACTCCCCGAACGAATATATCGCCTGATTGAATAGGTTGAATGGGTTCGGTCGGTTAGCTCGGATGCGAGGTTCGCGAGTGTACTTAACTTGTACCTAGCCCTCATGTATACCTCGCTCCTACTCCGTTTATGCACTTCTATAAGGGGCGTCTGGTCAAAAGTTTGGATATTAGCGACAAGCATTTGGAGCGGCGACTTTTATAGCATGCATCGTTTGAAATATACACATTTCCCCTTATTTCTCTTAGCTTAGAAGAGTATATCAGGATATTAAGACTCTCGTGACTCCAACAAGGAAACAAGCCTCTTATGCATTAAGAATCTTCTTCTTTTCATTTAAGCACTAACTAAAAGCTTACCATACGACTAGGTCGATTCTACCATGGTTAAATAAGTTTTTCACCACTGACGAAGTTGATTTGGGGGAGGTGCTCACGTAATCCATGGGAATCAACCTTTATGGCATGCACAAGCTTGCCGCAAGGGTAAGAGGGCTTAATCGTACGAATCCGAAAAAAAAAAAAAATAGGGTGGAGCCAGGTTAACTTACGAACTATTGATAGGTTTTGGTTGTTTAGGTGCGCAAGGAAGGTCGGGTATTATATTACATTGTTGAGGCAGGTGCAGCACGTATCATACCTCACACAATCGATAGGTTGCTAGTTAAAAGAGTTATCGTTTACCAGGAAAGGAATTAGATCTATCCTTCGTATAGCCTGCGCAATGTTTTGAATTCATCTCGAAGTTACCTAAGTCGAATAGCTTAAAGGGTTTGGTTACGTTACGTTACAGGACTGCCAAATCCGTCCAGGAGGCTGAAGCTGACTGGCTGCAGATACAACACAACCTACGGAATGCCCGAATACAACAGACTCGACACATTCGAGCATGTTCATTAATTCACGGCTCATGCAGAAATTCAAACCCGGTTGGTTCAATGATACTTACATCTCACTTGATATTGCAATCCCGGCGTCTGGTATCAAATTTGAAGGTTTAAACCGTCTTTTAAACCGCCATCTCCACTCAATTCTCGGATTCCACGAGAATCTGCAAGCGAGGAGCTCGGATTTGAAGATCGAAACCCCGCAATCTATTGATCTGTACAGGATGATAGACAGAATTACTTACTAGCAGATATATATTCAAGCACTGTCCTCGAGTTCCCTCGCTACCTTCCGAGAGACATCACGCGAGCTGTCACTCGTATTCCCTGTCGAGCAGGTGGGTCTACCAAGTATCCTCGTGGCCCCATGAATATAATCCCTGGCCCTTTTTGGCAGGTGGTTACCTTGGGTCGCTCTGGATATCGATAACGGGAAACATGGGTAGCTTGTTTAATCTTTGTGCGGGGGAAGACAGCGTATTCCAAGCACGTTAACAGGGCAGTCGAGGGTGGTTTAAGAAGACAGGGGAGCTGTCGAAAAACAACATTTCTGTTGAATCTAGGACAGCTGCCTTGCCGAAAGGCCTCGTTAACCTTGAGGGGGAATGTCGCAGGAGAAATAATTTTGACATGATCAAGACAATCAACTAACAATGAATCCCAAATGCTTTAGGGCAACTGGTTGGAAAATAGGTATCTCGAGTCATCGCGCTAAGCCGACAAGAAATTCTTTTTTTTTGTATCGTTTTCGTTTGAAGCATTCCAAAGTTAAAGTTTGTAGGCCGCATATGCACGTCATGACATAACCTTCAGCGCCCCGCTACAACGGCATATAAAAAAAACGATTTGACAAATCAAGTGAATAAAAGAGAAGAAGGCAAAAGAAAAAGACCATTCCTGCAATAGAGAAGATTAGCTAAGGCACATGGTTCAAAGTGTCTAAACCTCGGAACTTTGGGTAACCGGCCCGCAATCCTGATGTCATGATGGTGTCGAGTGTTTGTTAATTCTGTTGTTCTGTTGGTTCGATTCCTGTTCGTAATTGAAATTAAGAGCCCAGTTTGTCTCGCGGTGTTAGCGCCACACCATGCAACTTGTTATACCACCGCCGTCGACAAAATCCAATCAACTGCACGACGCAGCTGGTCAAAATAGGCTGGGAGTAGCAGTTAACTTGATCACGAGAAGCTATCGACTCGCTTGAAGACTTGTTGACCGGCCTGGCCCATGCAGTGTTACGAAAAAGGTGGGTCCCTAATCTGGGCGGAGATTTGACCCAAGGCTCGGTCGAAGTTGATAACAAGTTTCGTCGACGGACAAGCTTACAAGCCTAGTCCACTTAGCTAAATCCATCGCCGTTCCACTACTCCTCTGCGCTGATTGGACAATACAAACAAAGATAACTTCAACCCTGGCTTCCCCGTCCCGACGTGGAGAGCGCAGATCGCAAGGGAACATACGCTATGTGAGAAACCCCTTGAATATTCACAAATACGAATTTTGGGCTTGGGATTTACATTCAAATCGAAGCTATGGGCGTTTATATAAGGCAGACGTTCGCCAGGAATGCTAATAACTTTCTTGCTCTTTTTCTGGAGATACGCCACCCAGTCTAGCTGCCTCGAAGCTTGAACTTTTCTCTATAGTCCAGTAGCTTTGTGCGGGCTCAAGATTATCCAATATGAAGCCCACAACTTCATTAAATCTGCGGACTGTGGTCGCTGGGTGTTTGGTCCTGTTGGGAACAGTCCTTTTATGGCATCTGTCTCACCTCGACCAACACATATTCGAAGCGGATGTCTTGAGATTCAAGACTTCGGATTCGAATTCACCTGTTAGCTCCATTCTTCAAGACATCTTTCATAATGTGCCAGCTGCTCAAATAACTAAACGGCAGGTTTACGGACAAAAGTATCTCATCGGTGTTGGCAAGGCGGATATCACTGGGTACGTTACTCTTTCTACTCAACACTGAACCATTTTATACAATCTCAGTTTGAGAACATTAACTAATAACCTATTTCATATTTAATTAACACAGTCCAGTTGTCGAGATCAATTTTATGGGGTATGCAAACGGAAGTCAAGTCGGTTCAGGTCTTCGACAAAGGCTCTACTCCCGTGCTTTCATCATTGGAAACGTGGACAACCCGGCAGATAGATTTGTATATCTGGTTATCGACACTGCTTGTGGTGATACTGCACTTCGATATGGTATATTAAAAGGCCTCGCCGCTCTTGGAGGCGGTTTCTCTGTGTACAAACAAGACAATGTTGCTCTGACCGGTACACACTCTCATGCCGGACCTGGAGCTTTCATGAATTACCTTCTCCCACAGGTTACCAGCAAAGGCTTCGATAAGCAGAGCTACCAGGCAATAGTAGATGGCACCATTCTATCTATCAAGAGGGCTCATGAATCGCTTGCAGAAGGCTACCTGACAGCAGGGGCCACAGAGCTCCATAATGCAGCTATCAATCGAAGCCCTTCTGCCTATCTTGCCAACTCTGCCCAGGAACGAGAAAAATACAACGCTGATGTGGACAAGACCCTTACCATGCTACGTTTTACTAGAGCATCGGACAAGAAACATATCGGAGTCCTGACATGGTACTCTGTCCATGGAACGTCGATGCTCGGAAACAACACGATCGTTTCTGGCGACAACAAGGGTGTCGCCGCCTACCTTTTCGAGACAAGCATCAAGGGTCTCAATGCTGCCAACTCTGGATTTGTCGCAGGGTTCTCTCAGGCTAGCGTCGGCGATACCACGCCAAATACGGAGGGTGCATATTGCGAGAACCCCGAGAATGAGGGTCAGCTGTGCACGTTCGATAAGAGTACTTGTGGGGGTAAGAGCCAGCCTTGTCACGGTCGAGGCCCGTTGTTTAGGGTAAAAGACAATGGCGCATCAAGTTGTTACGAGATTGGACGAAGACAGGCTCAAGGCGCTCTTGACTTGTATAATTCGCTCGACAAAACAGGAACTCCGATTAAGGGAAGCTCAGTCAAATCATTCCACACCTTTGTCGACTTTTCCAAATATTCGTTTCAGCATCCAAATGGCACCACTGTTAGGACATGTCCTGCAGCTCTAGGCTACTCATTCGCAGCAGGAACCTCAGATGGGCCGGGGGCATTTGATTTTACGCAAAGCGATTCTGGAGATCCCGATGCCAACCCTGTGTGGAAAGTCGTATCCGGTCTACTCAAAGCCCCTGGGCCAGAACAGAAGTCTTGCCAGTGGCCCAAGCCGATCCTTCTCGATGTCGGCGAGATGCACTTCCCTTATGATTGGACTGCCAATATCGCGGATATCCAGATGCTTCGTGTTGGGCAGTTCATTGCCATTATATCTCCAGGGGAAGCTACCACTATGAGTGGTCGGAGATGGAAGGAAGCTGTGGCCAAGGCATCCACCAGTGTTATTCCGAGTGGCAGCCGCCCAATCGTCGTTCTCGGTGGGCCGGCAAACACGTATACACACTACATTACAACTGAGGAGGAATATAACGTCCAGCGATACGAAGGCGCATCAACTCTATACGGCCCCCACACTCTGAACGCATATATCTCTCTTACATTGAAATACCTCCCATTCCTTTCTCCAGCTAACACCCAAACAATCGATCCCGGCCCATCACCGCCAGACAATTCCGATAGCAGCCTTAATTTCATTACTGGAGTAGTATACGACAACCCTCCCATCTTCAAATCGTTCGGCCAGATCACCACCGATGCTGCTGCCTCTTACCGAGTCGGTGATACTGTCACCGTAGTTTTCATTGGCGCCAATCCTAGGAATAACCTTCGGTTAGAAGGTACATTCGCCGCAGTTGAATTCCAAAAATCAGATGGAAGTTGGATACAAGTTCGAAATGACGAGGATTGGGACTTAATTTATAATTGGAGAAGAGATGACGGCTTCTGGGGCAGTAGTAGCGCGATCATACAGTGGGTTGTTGGAAACGGACCTAAGAGTGTACAACCGGGGAAATACAGAATTAAATACTACGGAGATTCGAAGGCACCCGTTACCGGAAAAATCAGTGGGTTTACAGGCACTAGTCGGGAATTTGATGTCTTCTCATCAAGAAGGTTGCCAAAAGTAAGGATGTACTAGAGTCAATAACTGAAATGAATGTCGAGCCAAAGGTTCAATGTCATTACGAAGGGACGCATTGTTATCCTATTTGTTTTATGCTTGTGGTTTTTACTTTTTTTTTTTTCAGTACATGCATGATATCCTGGCGCGAAAGGGGAGACGTAAATATGATACCAAATTCGAATCTTTCTTTGTGATCTTAAGCTTTTTAAGAGTTGTCTTATTCCCCCAAGGTCTACAAACGAGGCCTCTACTGTCGTAGTTATAAGTTCATGAATGCTTATTTCATATATACTGTAGCTCGCATCTAAAGTAACTTCAAAGTAGTCCCATCATTAATTAAGTACTCTTGTATAGACTATCATGACTATCATAAAGGGAATCCCTAAGGTCCCGGACATCCACTCCAAGGATAATTACAAGTACTCAATTTCTCGCCACCCGTAATGTTAACATCCTCGTAGGTAATACCCTGGCAACTGCCGTCACCACAGAGTATATAGTAATCCCTCGCCTTTGGCACTGCCCACCCAGATATATTCTTAAACTGAATATTCTTCACCAACACACCATTTGTTGGAATACCACTTGGCCCTCCATTGAGGTAATCCTGGTTAATAACAATACCGTATTCCTTAATATTAGAGACCTGTATGTTCTGGAATGTAACGTTGACTACGCTGCCGGTTGCGTTAAAGTCTGTTTTAATACGGAGCCCGTTTGTGGAGTTTGTGACATATGAGTCTGTAAATCTAGAATATCAGGTTATGTTAGCATGGGTAGAATAAGGCTCCAAAAAAAAGAGGAAACTTACAAAACATTAGCAATATTATGACCATTCCCTGACCCTCCTCCCGCAATAGATAACCCATGACTTCCCGAACAAAACACGTTACTAACAGTAATATTCGTCGAGTCCGATACAACCACACAGTCGTCTTGATTCCAAACCGTACAATTCTGTATCAACAGATTGACTGAATTCCCAACATTGAATCCATCAGAATTATGTGCTGCTGAAAGGCCTTTACTTCGTTCGTTTGGTGCGTCGCCTAGGGAGTTGTTGATAAAGATGTTTTGGATGGTTGAGTCTAAGACGCCGGCGACGTTAATGCCGTGGGTTGGAATGTTTTGGATGTAAAGGTCGGTAAAAAGAGAATGGTTTGTTATTTGCACTTTCATGAATTGTCCAGGCCTTAATTCGACGAGGGAAGGGATGTTAATGAAATGCTTTCTGGCATATTGATATCGAGGATAGGGGAAACATACTTCGGAACACCGCCATTATTCCCAAGTCCATCCCAATACATTTGACCACCTCCATCAATAACAGACCCCGGTGCACCCTTAATAGTAACATTATTCCCAGCGATCTGGATAGGACGAAACTGCGAACTATTTGTGAATTCAAAACTTGTGAGACCGGCAAAAGTGACCGTGGATCCCTGTTGGAGTTTTGTAAGAAGTATTGCGCTACTTCTTGGTGCGTGGATATTTTCTAATGTAATATCCTTGCAAGAAGATACTGCTGGTGCGATTTGGGAGTATTCTGTACAATGACAGGGGGCGGACGTTGTCGTCATTGTACTGGTTGTACTGATGCCGGCTGTGGTTGTGGCTATCATTTTTTGTTAGCTATTGTTCCTTTTGATTTTTACTTTTTGGAAGGATATTAACTAACTTGACGAAGGGGTAGTAGTAGTACTCGTTGTAGTTGTAGTCGTAGTGGTGGTGCTCGTCGTCGTAGTAGTAGGCGGTGCGGTATACAGACACGCGCAAGCACTTGCGATCCTAGTCGCATCTGCATGACAATTCGTCGCAAAATTCGGAATATCTCCTAATTTCATTGTCGCACAGAAGGGGTCATATGCACTAGCGCCTGCCCCAAGAAATGCTCTTAGACAATTATCGTGAGCGCATGCTCGTCCATAAAGTCTGCTGCCATGCGCTGTTGGCGCAACCACAGCCAGAGAGGCAGTTAGAAGCGCAAAAGACGAGGAGATATGCATGGCGGATCAATTAATGGAACGCAGAAGTCTGTTTTATGCAATATTATGGTATGATATGATTTGAATTGCATATAATTCCATGGGATAAGAAAGTGGGATCTTGTTGGTACCATGCATATGGGTCTTTATATATTTTCAATTCCGCCTGTAAGTCCACGAGCGCTCAATGCGCCAGCCAGATATGTCATTAGACTTCGAGCTTTTCTAATAATACTATTTTTCAGAAATCCTCATTAATTCTCGGAAAACCAGTCCCAAAGGCACTGCAATGAAATGAAAATGAGTAAAACGGAATAAATTTCTCCGCGATATCCCCACATTTCCTTCTGGTAATAAAAGAAACACCGTTCTCCATGTTTATTCTCAGGGGTGGAGAAGTCCGAGCTTGAATACAACTACCATACGGTTTCTAGCATGGGTCTTTTTCAAGCTTTACTCGGTGTTTTTGTGGGGAGCTTTGGGGAGAAAGTATTCAACGACCCACATTACCGGTAACTCGGCATTGGCCTCGGCGTTAATGTCAAGAGCGAACAAGCAATTGACAAGAGCTAGAAAACATGGTCCGCTTAAATGCCACGCCGTCTTGGCTAGCCTCGTGGCTGGGTCACCTTTTGTCGGTTTGGTAGGGAAAAATGCCACAGGTCGGAGTGTTGCGGCTCCGAAGTCTGAATTTTGACGGCCCTGACGTTAAGCTGTGCACTGGCATTACAAATGGACTAGGGTGAAGCTAAAAGAGGGGTATACTGCGTGAAGTTCAGCTTACCCTGGAGGATTGATTATCCGATGCTAGATGTGAACCCGGATGACGGGTCATGTAGATACGCCCATACGAGACGAAAGGAATATGAGCCTATAGCTAGATCGGACGGATTTGAGAAAGCCTTCTGGGTTGTAGCTTGCTTAGGGGTAAATTTGGCCAGATACGCCTATACTCGACGGTTTTTTGAAAAAAATGTAAGAAATGAAAAAATGTAATAATAATAATAATAATAAAAACTTGAAGACGAAACCATCCCAAAAAATATCTTGATACAAATTTATCCTGATATCTGGTAGTCCACTATTCTGCAAACCATTAAGCCCAAGAACCGAGAACAGAATGTGAAGTATATATTGGCCGCACCTTGAAGATTAATGACCGAGTCCAGAAAGAGACACCTAAAGGGTACAGTACTAACACTAAATAATGGTAGAGTTATCAAATTTCATCCCTGTAGCTGACTGTTCCGTTATCAAGAAACTTTAAATACCAATTTCAGGTGCTGCATCACGACCAATCAGTATAGTATAGTAAGGGTCTCAGAGCGAAAGGCTCACTAGTTTTGAACTCTAAGATACCATATGACCTGGCTGTAGTGAATTTGCGTCCACTATACAGATTTCGGTACTTAGTGATATCGTACTCAAATATAAAAATCGCAGGTATCAAGACTCGGTATGGTCTCACAATTAAGCTGCTGCTCGCTATACCCTGAATGTAGACTCTTATTAATCTAAACTAAATATACTGACGAGATGGTCAAATTATACTTTTCTTATATATTTCTATATCACATTATTCATTCAAATAACTAGAACTTAAAGTAACCCAAATCACACTGTCGAATACTTCATAATTAAAATAATGGTTTTTACAAAATGCACAATACAGCATTAAAAAGAGAATAGAAAAGAAAAAAAGAAAAAAAACGAGGGTATCTTAACAGATAAATAAGGATTTTTATCGCCTCTAAGCTTTATTTTCCCCGAGTTCTCGTCTAACAATTCTTCCTGAACGGATTATCGTCCGGCCATAGCTCTCTAATTTCTTGCTTCCCAAACAATCCATAATCCACAGCTGTCCCCTTCGGCCCCAATCCTTGCAGCCTTCTGGGCCCCAGATCTACCGCAATAGGCATTTTATATCCTACCTCTCCTTTCAAGTTTTCTACCTTTCCCACCAATCTTCCTAGTAACCTAGCAATCCAAGCATCGTCTACTGCCCCAGTAAATGTCCTCTTCATCACCTTGTTAATTTTAGTCCCCATCTTTGAAAGGCTTCTTGACCTTGTAGGAGTCGCTGATGTGCCTCCCTCATCCTCTTCGCCTCCATCCATCCCATTAAAATTATCTTTCCCAAGAAACGGGACGCCCTTCTCAATCTCAATTAGCTTACTAGCCTTCAACAACGCTGTCACAAAATGTAAAGTGGTGCTGTTAAATTGCGCTGGCAGACTCGCCAAAACAGTCGCAATGACATAAACCTCGTCTTTTTTTTCGGAATCCGCCACACCCGCCGCTGTCTTCCTACCATCAAAGTCATCTACTAGTACATCTCCTTCCAACCGATCGTCTTCTTCTCCAAAAACTGTAACATCCTCTTCGACTTTCGCCAAAACCCTTCCATAACTCCCTTTTGATGCTGGCGGGGGAGGGAATAGATACTCGTGATGAGGGAGCAACAAGCTTGGGACTTCGACGGTCGCTGATAATCCAGTAATCCTTGCCACTTCACTAATCCCCTTATCCTCTTCCTGTTTGAGCCCCGCTTTATCCTTAATTGTGAAGGATACCCCAGACTTCCCCGAACTATTCGACACATTACTCGCCGCTGACTCCACACTAATAGCGTCATCTCCGTCTAGTAATGGATCCGAAATCTCTGGCGCAACAAGCACTTTGAAAATTTGGACTGTACTTGTCTTGATCGATGCTAAGATATCATAGCTAACGGTACTGGGTACCTGAGCAACCCCGTTGATCTTGCTAACCTGGACCACAAAGTTGCCTGTCTCAAGCCATGTTTGGACTCGAGATGCCAGTTTTGATATTTCCTTGTTTTCGTTCTTGTAGTGTTTAAAGACTGCCTGTTCCAGCATCCCGGAGGCGAAGAGGCCGGTCAGGTTCCCAATCACACCATTACATTTAACTGGGTGTAAATGAGCAATCACGTTGAGCATTGTACGTTGGAAAACTGGGAATCTGTTGTTGAATTCATGTATCCAGGCTGGGGTGCGAGCTTTTAGCTGAGAAACAGCGATGGACCATGTTGGTGGATGTGTAATCGAGGCAGCCGTTTGAAGTTCCGATGCAATCATAGCCTTTTTCTCTTTAACTGTCAAACGAGAATATTTGTCGTCTGTAGATGTAAGGAGCCGTTTCCGTGCCGCATGGATGGCAGTATTCTCGTGAATGTGGTTTAGACGCCTGGAGTACTCTTGAATAGCGTACGACTCGTCTTCGTCAAGATAGTGGGTATCGGTGACGTCTTTGACTTTTTCGATAGTATCGCCCAGAGATTTAGGCTGCAGCTGTTCAGGACGTTTTGATTCTTTTAATGTATCGAATGTATTGGAGCGTCTTATAGCAAATACGCTGCCAGGGCCGGTATCCATCTCGGTTTTAAGAGTGACGTACACATCACCAATTTCCACGCAGCGACCCAGTCTTGTTATAGCCTTTTCAGCACGAAGGCAGACTTCCAGACCGTCATCGACTTTCAAGACGACTTCGATGCTATGAGCTTCAAGTGTAAAAGTGCTGACAGTGAATGTAAGGCCTTCGATAACCATCATACCATTTGCCCGAACGTCGATATCAAGTGCAGGGAGGTCAAAACAAGCTATTTTATTTTGAAAGTAATGCATGTCCCTCCCTAAACGTCGCATCGACCGGCGAACAACAGTTTGGAGAAAAGTAAAGTTTGCGGTTGCCAGGATCGCGACAACAGGCCATGTTATTATTGTGAGAGCATAGTGAGCTAGCCACGAAGTTGAGAAAATGAGGTAGACGATTAATATTCCGACGACGTATGGTAGCCTTTGGGTAGGGTGAGTATTTGGGAGTTTAGATATGGAAGCTCCATAAAGGATCAAGAAGCAGAGAAGTGGAACTCCAGATATCCACCATCTTTTTGACCACTCTGGGAAGGCGAAGAGGGTGTATATTGAAAATGCAAGTGAGAAAACTGGCGTGGATAAACCGAAGAAGCCTTCGATAGGATCGGAATGGCGGCTTGAATCAAACACAGGAAGCGATGGTAAAGAAGTCGACTCAGATAGGTTGGACAATAGAGGTCCCGGTTCTGAAAGCACTTGTGATTCTTCTAGGGACTTTCTCCTAGGTCTCTCTAGAAGACGGGATGCATTTGAATCGATGCTGCTTCTCGGGCTCGGGCTCGGATCGCGAGCAGCGGCTTTCCCCATATTGGCTGGATAGTAAGACAAGAAGCTAGAGGAATGCTAAGAGCTGTTGCCTGTTAGTGTAAAAGTTGAGGATGATATATGAGCATGGCAAAGTGCCAATATCAAGACAACTTTTATCATATCGTTGACAGCGCCAACAGCTTTAGAAATGCGTGAACAAGGGGTTTCTGTTGGCTTATCAACTAAGCAGCTAATAAAAAATTTCCTAACAAAAGAATAAAAAAAAGATTATGATCGATTACGAAGGTGCGATCCTATCAGGTCGGTATAATACAGTAAGAAACAAGTATTTGACTGGGCTGTGAGATGGAGACGTATGCACAAATGGCCGGAAAGAAGAATTCTATTGGATCTGGCTACTGGATCATATGAATTCGCTGCTGCTAAATTTCGAATATGTGACAGAGCAATGACATCATAATAATGCGCCAGCCAGACTACTGCTGCGCAACACACAAGATTCAACACCCCGCATTAAGCCGGCCTAGGAACGATTTGCCGCAGAATACAGGATTGCCAGCATGTCTCTGCATATCGGTCAGCAAATCTATCGGAAAGGTACTGGATTCATAGGTGGATTACCACATAATTCCATATATATGCTTTTAGATCTCGATGTCAGCCTCCCAGTAGTGTTTAGAGTTTTTGGGATAGACTAGTTAACATGCATCGAGGGGATATGGATCGAGATCTTGAGAACTACTGGATTCTGTACCCATATGAATGCCTACTTATTTAATCCCAAATAAAAGAATAGAGGACTAGTCATGAGGCTAAACCGAAGACTGGAAATAAGATCCAAGGTAAAAATACAGTGGCCAAAGTGCGCTATAAACTAGAGCTTGGGCGAATCAATCGTTCTCTTAGCCAGAGCACCCTTTTTGGTCATGTCCACCCTCCAGCCACTCTCTTCCCATATTGCCACAGTCTCTTTCCACTCCCTCAAGCACCCAACTTCACTCAGCCACTTATCCACCTCAGCTCTTTGTTCCCTTCTATATGCTGAATCTAAAATTCTCTGGAGCATCCATACACAATGCGTAGATACCATTCTCCTCTCGCTAAAAGGTGCCTCATCCTTGCCATGGATGGTAAACTCAACCGAATATTCTGGCTTCAGGGCTCTCGGAATTAAAACTTCGTCTTTACCATCTTTTACTAAAAACTCGAGTGTTGCTTTGACGGTCGGCACCAGAATGGTGAGGTAATCTCTCAGCAACAATGCCGAAAATTTCGTTGTCGTTTCGGGAACCTCGTCATGCTTCTCCACATCTCTCCCCCCATGATTCTTCCCTATCGTCTTTTCACACGATATCAATTTATCCCCCTCCACCCGCACAGTAACCAAGTCCTTACTACCCCATCTAATGGATGTCCCTCCAACGCGTTGTGCATACGCCTGAACAACGGGGTAATTACTCGCCAGCCATTCATACGGCGCGGGGTCCCTGAGTAAGCCTGCTACAAGGTGGCCGTATAAAGAATAGTCGGCGGCAGTAAGCTCATTGCCAAGTAAGAACTGGTAAGTTTCCAAATGGACAGTCAGGAGGTCAAAGAATGCTGTTAGTTGGTCACGGAAGGCTGTGGTAGTCTTCTCTGTTAATCCCAATCTCGTGATTGGACCTTTAATCACAGCTAGTATTTTCTTTCCAAGCTTCTTCGATGCCTCGTATTGTAGGCTTCCGTCGCCGAATGTATACTCAAGGTATTTGTCCTGTGAGGGGTGGCCCCATCTAAATCAGTCATTGGGTCAGCTTTAGAACTTTAGAATATATAAATCGAAGTTTTAGTGGTATTAATTCTTACCTCCAATTAACCACATGTACGAAGAGGAAATCATCCAAGACCATCTCGAGGAGCATATCCGCAAAAACCCGTTTCATTCCCTTGACCATCCCCAACCCATGGGTCTGCTGGACATACTGCATGATGATTTTGCTATCTTGAATGATGCGCAACTTTTTGGTGTCCTTGTCAACAACCATGAGATTCGGGATTAGAGGGTAGGGTGCATTGGGCATAACTAAGGTTTTAAGCAGCTTGATATCCGACGCGACATCCTGGAATGGAATCGAGTTGTTGCGCATATATGCTCGAACCCTAAGACGATATTAATATATTAACAATCAATTTCAAGGATAAATATGGTATTGGTTTAGGCTATTACTTTTGAGTGAACATGGATTGGTCTACCCCAATCACAAAGTACTGAGAGTTATTTGCGTCTGCCATCATATTTATAACTCTATCGATTTTCCAATTATTTGTTAATATCCCAAATTTGTGGTGTGTTGCTGCTGTGGCAGTTTGATGAAGCTGGGGAAACCAGGGTTCCTGCTGCAAGTATGGTGCGATCGATTGACGGCGCGGCAACCTGTATAAATAGTAGATCTAGTTGTTCTAGAACTGTTAAACGAGCTACCTCAGATGTTTATATCGCTTTATCCTCAAAGTTGCTTGTGAAAGATGTCGGTGACATAAGCAACTCCATCTCTTGTATTCAATGTCCTGATTAACAGCTTTCAAGGTCCGGTTGCCAAGATTGCGGGGAGCCGAGGTAAATGTTGAAGATTCGGCCGGAATATTGCACCGCGAATTGCACATAATGTAGGGGATTGACACGCGAAATATCGAAATTTTTGTTATAACGTTATTTTTTCTGATTCCCGCCTGCAGAAAGAGCATGCTTGCTGTGCAAGCGAGACTCGTGTCCAAGAAGTAGGAATATTTCGGGCCCAATAATATAGAAGAACCGGCCCTTGAACGGGTGGCAGCATTTAAGCCTGAGCATTCCTTGACGCGTGCACCCTAGTCGGCTTGAACTCCAGTGTTAGCTTAGTACCAAAAGGACAATTGATAGATGACCGAACTCAAGCATTTGTCAAAGGGTTGTATATGTTCAAGTCGCTTGCTTGTCTAAGCTATAGTATTCAGATGTTAACGGGTCAGTGTTTGTAACGTTCCCAAATTCCAGGTGTCAGCCAGCGATTGAGACCCGCTGGTACCCGGTAGTTTCATCATCGAAACTCCTCAGTTTATTTTCAATTTTCAATAGCTACTCTCTGCGAATTTGTTGTATTGGAACTTAAGTTATATCTTGAGCCTGACTCGAGTACTCTGAAGCCCGCGCCGTCAAAGAACGGAAAAACCATGACTGGTCCAGCTAGCAACCACATCAGTCGTTTGACTAGGGATATTGTGATGTTACACAACATTCCATAAGGTAGGTACCACAGAATGCCAGTATCCAACTGCCAAAGATCGATTCCAACCAGCCTTTCTTCCGAATACAGTAATTAGACTGAATCGGGAAATGACATCGTCGTTGAAATCGACGCTTAACAACACAAACTATCGACGATCTCCAAGAGGTTTCTTTACGTCATACGAAGGCAATACGTAAGTAAACCTCGCACTAATTAAGAGGAAAAGAGAAATATATAAATTCAAATCCACAAGTACAAGCCATTATACATCCTCCATTCATTCAGTCGAATATCAAACGATATCACCAATGAAAGATAATTAAAGTTATCAGACACTAGGAGCACTCCAACAGAAGATAACGTTATAACTATATGTATAATATAATGTCTTCTTCGTCCCACAACCGACCAGTCTCTTCTGTACAAGGTGGCGCATCCCACATTAGCGGACCAGCCAACTCTGATAAACCCTTAAGTGGAGATTGGATGCGCACGAAGCAAAATAATCCTGGAGATTTGAAGGATGCATATCATCCCAGTACCGGAAGGGATAAGAGTCTCGTATATCCGCCCCATAAGCTCTACTTTGACTCCTCCGTAGTTGCTAGTTGGTACTTGAGCTAATCTCTTTGACTAAAGGTTGATCACGCAAGAAAAATCTACGATGAACTGAAGTTCCAAGGTTCGAACGCTATGCAAGCCGCATCGGATATGATGAAGACCGGGGAACAAGAAGTTGGGGGCAATCACTTGTTCGACAAAGCCGACGGCACGGAGAAAGAAGGAGCTAGAATGGGAGGAATGTTGAACAAGTATACCGATGAGGCCGCGCCTGGCGAAAGCTCGTAATAGTTGCCTTTTGAGAGGCAAATTTTTTGCATCTTTGTTCTTTGTTTCTGGCGTCAAAAGTTGGGACCGAATGGCTTGCCACGTTTTTGTCTTCTGTTAATTTAAAAATCAGAATGCATGGGATTGAAAGCTCGAAGCTAGGGGTCAATGGGCCCTTTCAGAATATCCTGTGACTGATTCTGCACATACCCATTCTCAATTGATGAAAAATGTAAGAAATACGAGGGATATAAGCTTTGTGCCGCTTTGATATATTGGTTCCTGGCTCATATCAATAGAAACGTGCCCACCGCGTGGCTTGACGAGTACGAGCATACCTTCGAAGCGCCCAACATAGAAATCTCGCTTCGTGGTCTCCGTATGCACTCCATCACAGTACACAGTACACAGGTATCTTCAAAAGTCACGGGATGTGGTGAAATGAACCGAAACAGCGTGGGGTTTTCTCTCAACTTGCTCCGCAATGGGATCACCTCCAAAACATCGCCCAGACTGCCCACTGCCATCGAGGTTTGTGTCTGTGGGGAGACTTTAATTTCGAGGGCGTTGCTGATAAGCAAGTTGTGGAGTCTTAGCTTTTGCGGCTGGCTGATTTTCAATTGGATCCGGCAAAGGGCGCCGTGGGCCGCGACGCCTCTCAGCAGTGGAACCCGTTCCTGAAAACCCCAAATGGGAAACTAAGTAGCCATTTTATACGCCTTATAAACATTATTGTTGTCAAAAGTCTGAAAGGTTGAAACAACCCGAAGTAGGGTAATCCCACTAAATACTTAGGTATTCACATAATATACATCTTTGACCGGTGGGTGAGTGTCTGGCTCCGGGGCTAGGCATGGAGAATTAAGATACTGTGAAAAAGGTTAAATGGTGTATGAATTTCAACCGTCGATTTTGGCCGTGTGCTTTTTCATGAAGAAACCTCCCGGAATTCCATTGTTCGATGCATGTAGAGACCGGCAGATTAGCAATTTAAGAGGGCTCTAAAATGAAAGAACCGCATTCTGTGAATGGACAGGAACACAGAAGACACCAATATGATGCGGCATATTAAGACAAAAAATGATAGGTGGCTGCATATTATGGGGTTCTGACAGTCAAATCAGCCTAGAAAGAACCAGAGAATGCATACGCATGGGTGACGCTCTCTCTGGTACCGGAGCCAGCGTACCCGCCAGCTACCAAAGTTCTCTCTCTTCCCTCTCAAGTCGGGTCTGGTTCAACAATAATCCGGTACCGGAATATGCATCCTTTTTCTTCGCTTCTTGGGTGTGATCAAAATTGCTGTTTTTTTTTTTTTTTCCCCTCCCTTTGACAGCATTAGTGCGATGCAGGTACGAATCCCTCTCAGCTTGTGTAGGTCGCCGTCGATTTTGAGGTTTCATTCGGTAAATGAATGCGCCCGCTGCATTGTTATCTTTGCCTCGCTATCGGCTATGCGAGACGGCATGGTAAATTATGTAGATATCTACGCAATATGTTTTTTTTTTGAAGGGGTTCGCTCTGAGCTTAGGCAGCACAAGGTTCTTCGCTTAAATCAGTCTGGAAAACACGATAATCCTGCGTGCATGCATGAACTAAAATTTCACATCTACTCGAAGATTTCTTTGAGATAATTGAAAAAAGGGGTCAAGTTCCCTCGGTATATAAAATCACGCGCGATTCATCCTTTTCGAAGACGAAGATCAACACTTCTCAGGGACAATGCTTATGAGTAGCAATTGCTGCGGATGAAAGTCGAATTCTGCGGATATTTGCTTCCTAGATCCTAGTCGAAACCGTCGATGAATCAATGAACCTTGTAATTTCTGCAGGAAGAAATTTGGAAATTAAGAATTGTAAACACCGAGGCATAAGACAGTTGGAAGCGTGGACCACCTTATGGCTAATTCTGTGAACGCCTCCACACCGAGGTCGAAGACAACGGTTCCTTTTACTCTCAATTCGATCTCGAGGGACGCGTAGGAAGCCCACAATATGTCTGACAATTCGGCTCAACCAAAGCCGGGTTTGGAATTTAACACTGCAGGAAGCAAGCAGGCAATGAAGCAAGTCTCTTATCTTCCGGAAGATACAATGCAATGTCGCACGTATTGACCCTTGAATTCGCATTTCTACTTTGCTGGATCAATTGATGCCACGAATACCCGGCATTAAATAATAGAAAAATACCTCAATGATGGCTCCTAGATCCTAGATTTCGAGATTCCATCGACTGCGGCTATGCGTGTGTGTGGACGGGTCAAGAAAGGCCTCGGACACTTGAGAGTGACCAATCCTCAAGCTACGGCCGGAGTATAATACTATCGTCGATTATACCGACTAAATGGCCGATCATTGAAACTCAGGGCCTTAAAAGGGCCAGATCTGAGGGTCAACACTAGTTACAACTTGCGATATCCGGTTAGGCGACAGGTTTTCTGAAGACCGTTGACAACGTTTGTTAGTTTGAAAACGGTTGAGACAGGGAAGCTCTCGACCTGCACAACACAACAATCGTGGATCCCTACCCTTCTGAAGTTCTCAAGCATGGTCTAGCTAGCTTAGTTGGCCCACTTACTTCGTTAGTATTTATTGATTTAACTGTATTGCTACGACCCTAGCTAGAGCAGCGATGTTCATATAGCTTTGGCATCAATAGGTCAGCATTCGAAAACTTAGGGTGTTTGTTGTAAGTACATGTGATGTATGCTGGCCCCGAGACTATGATGTATGTTAGTCGTGGAGCACAGTAGCTTTGGGTGTCACAGCTGAAAAATAAATTACTAATAAGCTGCTCGTTCGAGTTCTATCCGCTATCCGATTTACCTTTCAGCTTTCTGTTCGATCGAGTTGCTGCTGTGCCGCCGAGCTGATTGATATTGCAACTCGATATCGATACTTGGACCGTTTCATCGTGATAACGGGTAGCTCTATCCATGGAAATGCGACTCGTCTGTCCTGCATAGATGCTGCATGATAGAGGCGAGACGAGTCAGTCGTGTGCCGTTTTTCGAACCCAAAATCTGGGAAGGGTCCTGCTTCGGCTATTCGAGCGGGTCGGCAGAAGAATGCAATCGATTTCAAATGGTGTGTGTGCGAGTCTCCAGCCTGAGTGGGCGAAATTTAGTTCTTGAGAACTTTGTTCTTGTATAAACAGTACATGTGAGTACATACAGCTGGTTAGGGGGGTACGGGACCAGTCATGTCCAGCAGAGACATAGGCTTAAGCGCGAAAGGCAACAAATATCCAACCTCAGAACATCGCTCTAGACCTCAGTCATCATCAGCTAATCCAAAAATGCCTAAAATTTCAAACAGCTATTGGGTGTGAGGTGTTTCGTGAAAACAATCTTCCTCCACATTGTATATATATTGTACCACGAGGGAGAAGCCTCAGGGGAAGTGTGCCGTGCTGAACGGAATTGGCTTTCTGGGCGATGTCGCCCCACCGGGCCCCACCTACAGAAATGTATCATTGGATTCGTATGCGCTAACTGTGCCCGACAGGTTGGAACCTCTCTCGTTAAAGCCCTTTCAGTCCTTGGCGTTGTGGGTTTCTCAGAACTCAAACTTTTTTCATGGTCGCCCCACGTTCTTCAACCCTTGTCATGACTACCCCTATCGGCCAACTTGGCTGCCCGCTATTGCCTCGAAAATATAGTAAGACACAAAACTGTAGGCTGCTCACTATTAAGTTTAGTTACTGAGAGATCGCCATAATAAACGTTCACTAGGCAAACCTTCTAGCTTCTTTCTCAGTAATATTTTCCCGGCCCTGAGAACTGAGAGTGAATATATGTCAATAGAGCCTTGATTTTCAGGAGGACAAAAACGGTGATATTTCTGTGTCGAAGATCTTAAGTTTTGAAATTTCGGTTTTATATACCCTCTAAAGTTTCTCCAAGACCTCGCGTATTATGTACCCTGATTCCGACGCTACAACAATTCGCCGCTTTGTACCCTAGGCCTCTGCCGCCTATTTGATAATATTATAATGATAATCGTTGTACAACCTCTCAATCGATATGATCGATATTCGTTAATCTTCTAGCCGTGACAGTCCTGAGCGGCCTCTGGAGTGCCTACTCGGAGACGGCTAAAGGAGAAACACTTTGGATTCACACTCAAAACCCTCAAGAAACGCTGAAGGCGCACGCCTCTTTCCAAAATTCAACTGAATTTTTGAGAGATTCGAAAACAAAAACGGCACATGGAGTTCCATGATTGGTCGCGTTTCTGAGATAGTCTATCGGGTCGAAAGACGGTGTAGTAATCCATTTAGGATCCTATCAATTGCATGCAGCCTAGCACGGGAAAGGATTAAAATGCCATGGCATATCAAGCCTTTGAGGAGGGATCGATTATGTCGCGATGCCAATCACATCATTTATTTCTCCATGGGGGTTGGCTAAGATCTCCTCACGGCCACTGAGCAGGCCTCACATTGACTCTCAGATCAAATCCTTGAAGTTAATAACCTTTTGTCTTATAGGTCCTCCTTGGCAGAATCTCTCACACGAAGCCAACTGCTAATCTCTAACCCATCCTTTGGTCGATGTCGTCGGCGGCAGGCTACGGCAAAGTGCCTTGAGATTCGAACACTCGAGTATCAACTTAAGTTGCGGTTTAATTATATATACGGAGTACTCTCAATTGGTAGTTTTAGCGGGATATTGAGCTATTAAGGTCTCCTGCGACTAATTATGGGTTATGCTAAATCTTCTCGAACCTTATCCGTAGAATGGCCATTCTACAACCGACCGAAGGCCTTTTCTTTTCAAAACACACACAGCGGTCATCCGGTTAGAAACTTCGGTGAACAAAAAAGTGAGCGAAATATCCAGGACCCCTGTCTATAGCACGTTGAAGCTAAACTTCTCCTGATCCGGCTCTGGGTAAGGTGCCGGGGCCTTGTTTGGAAGTCAGGATGTGGCATCCACACCCTGGCAGGTATCCGGTCTTCTAGCACAACCAGCCAACGGCCGCAGAAAAAAAAGCAACGCTCAGAAAATGAACAGTCCTCAATTGATCAAGGGTAAACCGTTATTTCATTCGTGACCAGCGAAAAGTCCCAGAACTGCCCGGCAGCTAGGCCACGGCCTGTTTGGGATATGGAAATAATTGAAGAAAATGCCCTGGAGTGCTGTTTTTGGGCCATAAGCCCCCATAACTTTAAGGAACAAACGAAACTTAGAATATATAGACTCCCGCCCATCCGTTCTCGCTTCCATATTAATGTTTCCCTTGGAGCCCACATCGACATTTACCTAATCGACTGGAGTCTTATATCAAGAAGTTCAAACAGTCGCCTCTCACTATTCGAATTCACGAGGGTCAAGCCATTTACCACATCCAGCAGGCAAAAAACTTATTTAACAAATCTTGGCCGTTTGGTCTCACGATCCTGACAGGATGGATACGTCGATGATGACCCCGGAGGAGATTGCCGCAATGCAAGCAGCGCAGAAGGCGGCTGTAGAAGCTTTTTACAAAGAAGCGTGGACCTTATTAGCAATTGCACTTCTTTTCATCTTTGGCAGATTATACGCCCGATTCACCCTATCAGGCGGATTTCATGCGTTCAAAGCCGACGACTATTTGATGGTATTCGCAGGTGTAAGTTCTGACACTCTGCAGCTCTGCACACGCAAGCTTGGATGTGCAACATCATCGATCTGAACTTGTACTAACGTACCTGATACGACGATATTTAGGTGGTGTATTCAATGGAAACAACAGCGGCGTATTGCGTAGGGTTTCTCGCGAGAGGTCTTGCTAATAATGGCATGACACCCGAGCAACGTCAAGCTTTAGAACCTGGAAGTGAAGAGTGGAATTTACGAATTACTGGAGTTAAGATCCAACTAATAGGATGGAGTTTGTATACTCTCCTACTATGGCTGCTTAAAGGATGTCTTCTGATATTCTACAGCCGTTTAACGTATGTTTTCTCTTACCTAATATGATCAAATCGAATATATAGTAACACTGCTTCTACAGTGACGGTCTCGGTCAACAAACAATCAAAATCCGAGTTGGTGCTGTTATGCTCATTACAACTTATATAGCCGTCATTCTTTCAATCCACCTCGGCTGCCATCCGTATCATCAGAACTTCCAGATCAATCCAGAGCCGCCAAATGCTTGCCAACCCGCCATCTCTAAAATCGACTGCTACGTCACCGTTGTTCTCAACGTCCTCACGGACATGTATCTTATGTATATTCCATTGCCACTTCTCTGGAAGGCCCAGATTCCACTTAAGCGCAAATTCTTGTTGATTGCAATGTTCTCTGGTGGATGCTTTATCATTACGGCAGGTATCCTTCGTGTGGGTTTCATTCTCGCCGATCCAATCGGAGGTGCCCTCGCAGCTGGCTCTTGGGCATGTAGAGAAACGTTCGTCTCCGTCATCATTGGCAATATCCCGATGATATACCCTTTATTCATGCGCGGTGTTTCTTCCGTACGAAGCATGTACGCGACTGGTACCGCAAGAACGTACGGAAGCAACAAATCGAATGGAACGGCCATGGAGCTACCACGATACAACAACTCGAGCAAGAACAAGAAAGGGCAGTACAGCGTTGGAAGAACCATCCTCAACGCCACCGAGAGCGAAGAACGCATCATGGCCTCCAAGGGTAACGAGGGCATCAAGGCTGACGTTACTTATGAAGTTAAGAGTGCACCTGCGAGCATCAGCGAAGATAATGGATCAGGGAGGAGTGAGAACTACGGACGTAGTGCCGGGTACACAGTTAGCATTGCTGCGGCTCCCACCGGCCATACCGCACATCATCAGCACTCTAACTCTAGGCATTGAGTCTAATGCTGCCTTCTTTTATGCGAAAATTTCTTAGTTCTATTTGGCTCTACTTCGAGTTTACTTGATTATCTTTGGCAAGGCGTTTATGGTTTTGGATCCTTTTTTTTTTTTTTTGAAACCTTCGCTTCAGGCCAGTTGGAGCTTTCATGTCACATCCTGGAGATCACTGACATTGGAGACTATATATGCTACAAAAAATACCCCAAAAGTTTAGAAGGGAGGGTTTCTCAAAGTATGAAACATGGTGCTAAGGAGGGACTTTTTGATTCTTTTTGATTCTTTCTTTTTCTTTTTTCTTTTGAGATATATATATCGACGCCAAAGCCTTGGGAAACATTGTCGATATATTCGTTAACACCCCTTGAGCGTTGAGTTTGTTATACCTTCCACCATGTTGCATCAATGTGTCCTAGCATAGCGATGCTAGCGCCTGAATGTGCGGAACCATCAAGGCTAACACACGAAATATTTTCTTTGTATATGTATACTACACACTTAGATTAAGGATGACTATGGAGACGTCTAGACTAACCATGCCGGAGCGCTTCCACCCATCCTCTAAAAATTAAAAAAATATACTACATTTTTTAAATTATACTATAGTCTGTGTGAGCGTTGACACCCTCGCGCAATAGAGCAAGCCCGTGACAGTTAACCTGTCAGCTCCCTAAGAACCCAACTTGCAAATGGCCATTGCAATTTCAAGGGATCGATCTCGAATTCATTACCACATATGTAGGTATAGTTACTTGCATATATCTGAATGTATGTACACGCATGTAGATACACAAGTACTCATTGAAATATTAGCTAAATAGTGCCCCTCAAGACGGAATGCAATGATTTCCACGCTTACACCCCATGAGCCCACCGCGTCTTTCAACGGATACTCCGAACTAGACCAAGGCCGGACTTGTAATGGTGTGCTGAACAACATCCAACGTCCGGCGAACCTTCAAACGTTTCTATATGTCTCTAATCGTGGCTGATATTTTAGACCCTAATCAACTTTTAACTGTCAAGTCGAACTCATCTCCATGAGTCTATAATACAGTACCGCGGCCGGTGAGATATATGCTCGCACCGGCGCACCTGCACAACCCCTTATCGATAATTATCCTCGAAATGCTTTACCTGTAGGCATCCAACGATAGAAGATTACAAATATTAATTTGGCAGGAAGCAATAACCTAAAAGTTATTGAAAAAAATCTGATGTGGGGGATGCAAGCTGTGGGGGTATATGTATGTCATTTGTGGTATACTGGTTTGCAACGTTTGGTGTACTGGCTACAGAAACAACACTTAGCCCGCTCACCCTATTGTCTTGAGGTTTGACCCTATCTGACTCCATTCGACCCTTCGTCTCCTGCACAGGCATGAGACTTCAATCTCGAAGGATGGCCCATGAAGAATGCATTTGAATGCATAATTAAGGATCGATGCACACTGTGAATTCAAGCCCTGGGTCCGGAGCCCGGCCTACTGAAAACTCAGTTCTTGCATGGACTGGGTTGGTCTTCGAGAAATGTTGGCTGGATTGAACCGCGGTGGTGCGCAAGCCACCGTCTCACAGTTATTCATCTTCAATTTCGGGTTTTGACTGGTTGTAGACGGGCCGCGCAATGTTCAACTTAACACCATAGGTTGCGCTAGTACCGAGGTCTAGAATTAGATTCAAGACGTCCTAGACGGGAAGAAAATCACACTTAACTTTGGTCTGGTTGCCACGCGAGCATTTTCACTAGTGAGCTCAGATTCCATGAATTTTATGTGCGGCGCTAACTTAAGATGTCTGACTTCCGTTTGGAATATGGGCCAGAGCGTTGATCAAAGCCCCAATTGGCGAAGGCTCAGTGTTGACCTCGAGGTGCAAGACTAGCATCGATCCATGGTACCCATGTATACCATGGGATTGATCGGGTAGATATTATATTTGATTTCCCCCGAGCAAGAACAAGATCTTGGTACAAATTTATCACATGTAACAAATATTCTTCAATGTAACCGTGAAAATACATTATTCACTCCGCTTTGTTATGTTACAACCAATACTTCTAGAGTCTTAATAAATATTCTGAGACAGATAGGCGCAACTTCGGTTCTTTCAAGCTAACATGGGTTGCTAGTAATCAATGCAAAGGCCTTTGCAAGGTTTTAATGGTTCAATACAAAAGTCTATGCAAACGCTCGAGCTGAGATATTTTCAGGGTCCTGGCCTCTGATTTTCATGGGGCCTTGAAGAAAATTTGATTGAGTAGGTATGCGGCCACTAAAATGCAGGGCAGGGTTTGAAAATTGACGAAAATCTGGGGTAAGGACATATCCGTGATTCAAATATATTCAGAATACCTAGTCAACTATAGAATTACAAGCGGAACAGCAAAGGTTAAGTGTTGCATATGAATATATCCTGCAGTCTCGACAGGGTTGAGAGAATCGAGATTGCGTCGACGCGACGGTTCTCCGCAGTGCCGGCCAATGCTTATAAGCTGGGCATCAACATGAAGAGCATGTACATGCCCGTGCAATTACTTAGGTACTAAGGTAGTTCGATTCGTGACGACGTACTGTGTGACCATAGCTGATTGGTCTGTACCACGTGACACAGCTCACGTGATCACAATCGCTTCGTGAAAGTGGTCTGCCACACGCGTGCCACGATCCAGGGTGTTCAATTCACGACAACCACAGCTCACCCCGCTTCTTCAGTGCCTCGAAAATGTCTGGTTACGGACCAATTGTCGCAGCTACAGCTGCAGTTCTTATTGCCGTCGTCTTTTATGGAGTACCGCTCTTCCTCAAGGAGTACTTCCCCTATTGGAGCCTTCAAGCCCAGCGCGATGCTAAACCCACTGTGAAAACGGAATCATACAAGGGAAGAACGGCCTTAGTCACTGGTGCCAACGGTGCATTCGGCTCTCGAGCCGCCAAAATCTTTGCTAGTCGCGATGTCGAGACTTTGGTTCTGGTCGATGTTAGGGATTGTTCAGCTCTCAAGGAAGAAATCGAAGAGGAAGCCCGCGCATTGAACAAGGCTCCACCCAATATTCTGGTTTGGCAAGTTGATTTGATGTCTTACGCCGCGTGCCAGGAATTAGGAAGAAAGGCGAAGGAATTGAAGAACCTGGATCACGTTTTGAGTACGGCTGGTATCTTGTCATTCAATCGTCGCGAGTCTCCAGAAGGCTGGGAAACTAGTAAGCCTCACTCTATTCCCCTATGTTTAAGATCAGTATACCAACTATTCTCCCCTGATAGCTATACATGTCAACTATATAGCCAATGCGCTTCTCGGACTACTTCTTCTCCCGGTTCTCAAATCGTCTCCTGGAAATCCGAACCCTCCAGTCCTGACATTCGTCACGACCTTTGGCATTTACCCATCTTCATTCACTATGGGAATTCCTAAGACTGGATCATATCTTAAGAAACTAAGCAACAACAAGGACGGACTCGAGCAAGGACACCAGTATGGTCGCTCTAAAGCCCTTCTTCTCTACTTTGCCCGCGAGCTAGCTACCCGTGCTTCTGCTTCGGCCAAAGGCAAAGGGATGCGAAAGGTCACTATCAATAGCGCCGACCCAGGCTCTGCATGGACTGGTCTTACAAATCCTAACAAGGAAAAGCTTATTCCAAGATTGATCATGAACTTGGGAGCAAGAGATCCCCAGATTTGCGCTACTGCTTTGGTCAATGGTGCCTCGTCTCCAGAGGATGCCCACGGAAAAATCATGATGGATTTCACTACTGCATCGTAAGTTACCAGCATCATATATAGGAGATCGGGTACTAACGATTAAACCCATTTTAGGTACCCTCCTTTCATGGAAAGGAACAGCGGCCAAGTCGCACAAAAACGTGTTTGGGATGAGACCCGGGCTGTCCTTGAAGAAAAGGTCCCAGAAGTTAAGGCAATCTACGATCTGCTAGATGCGCAGTAGGGGACCTGACTATTGAATATCAGAAAGCTTAACAAAGTAATGGAGGCCATCTCAGGTGGGGAGACGGTTTATATAATATACTAATCCGGAGATCTCTATAAATTGCACGAACGGGCTAACCGAATACCGTTCATGTACATACCATATATCGAGCGCGGATGCTACTTCCGCTTTATAATTGAACAGACTTTCCGTATCTTGGTATGTGAAATTGGATATCGCCAAGGGAGACTTACGATTGTGTTCACTCTTTTGGAGTCGCTAGTCGTCAGGTTATGTAGAATATTTCCATGAAAGAAAGTCTCTAGAAGACTAATACACAAAGCCCGAGTTTCTTCGGAATTAATAAGAGACCCACCGACCCCTGCATTAAGCCCATGCACGCCTCAACGAATTCGAAGAATTAAGGATCAACCTCAAAAATTAATTACTTTTGGGCTGACAAGTTACGTAGTTGAAAATTTCCGCTGTGCATGCTGAACAGTGTTCAACATACATTCTTGAAAGGACTAGGCTGTAAACTCATCAGTTCCCTTGGGACTAGACCAATCAGCACCCAAGGATCCAAGTGTTCTAATGCTCCGATATTTTCGAATGTGAATCCAGACCGTAACCACTCTTTGCCCGCCTAAATTACAACACAACGCAGTCTGTTAGCTGTCCCAAGTTTGGAAAATGTCACCGAAGCTTAGAAGCGACGGTCTACATACCCATCTATCAGATTCTGATTGTGTCCTATTCAAATATATATACTTTCACCAGTCGTCAACATATAATTTTGTTTAGTGGGCACTAGTTTTCTTGGATATATACTCCAAGCGGAGCATTAGTCTAGGACTTGAAAACACGACGGTATACTGGTGGATATCTGACTACCTCAAGTCGTCCCGCAGTACGATATGGTTACACGATTTCTCAAGGCTACTTTATATCCGACTAATCTGCATACCCTCTATTCCGTTCCATATGCATGTAAGGGGCGTCAGGAAACCGGTTTTATAATTTTTCGGGCCGGAATTGAATACCACTTGGTGAAAGTAATAATGGGGAATGCTGTACCGCCTAAAGGGGTAGGCCCTGTTCTTTGAGGTCAAAATATGGCGGTCCTATAGATGTACATACAAAGCCTTTAAGCATAAATGGATCTTACAAGTAGTATGGGTAGATATCGCGGTTTAGCGCTAGTAGTTTTTCAGAATGCAGCCAATGGGAAAAAAATATTATTCAAAGGCTTTCACTAATCGCCGGGGAACCTAAAACTGCTAATTGCTGAGGAAGAGCTGGCCAGGGATAACAGCATAAGAGGGTTGCAATGCAACCAGTGTCCACCACTATGTTTGAAGCTTCAAGACCCCAACAAACAGTAAGTGTGTACTATTGCTTATGCGAACAACTTGACTGGATTCAACCGAGTTTCTCCCGTGTATATTGTGATATCATTGTGCGATTAATTGAGAAGGCTTCTAATTAAATTTGATGATATTGATATCGTATGATCATTCATATGTGGGGGGATGCGTTATGAACCCCCCACTTGTCAAATGGTGCAGGTCAGGTGTAGCCTTATATTGACCCCAAGCTCAGAGCCGGGTTAACTCTTATCTACGGAGGTTTTAAGAGGTGCCTATCACGTACCGACATAGTTATTATTCAAGTTTTGCATTTAATATTGTATCGAAGCGAACAAACTTATGCATAGGATCATAATCAGTTCATGACACGAAGGTTGTCGGTTAACTTACCGGATGGCTGAAGCTAAAGTTAAGGCGGCGTTGTAGCGGCTCGGTCAAACCGTTGACAAGATGCAATGTCAGGTCATTGCATTGCACTGACGTAGCTTAGGCTAACGAACATTAATCAGACCAATGATTGCCTAAGTAAGATAAGCTGAGTCAGTCTATGAACAGAGTTCCACAAGCAGGACTGCATTTGGGGAGATTCAGCGATCTTGAGATATCGATAGCAGCATTTGTCAGGACTAAATTCTTGATCATGATCTAACCATGATTGCGGAAATAAGCTGTCAGGAGAAAGCTTTACCACCGCAAACAATCCGATTAAACCAAAGTAGGTCTCGCGACAGACGGCAAATTCCATGTGTAACCGCTCAAAGCCAGAGCCAGGGTGCTAAGCTCAAGGACCTGCATGCTTCTGTTCCGAACTCTAACTATTGAAACAGGCAACACAAAATTGAGCTCATAACTTCCTGAACCTTCGAGGCCCTGAAACGAGCGAAGGAACATCAGTCTGTTATCTGAGGGTTGGGTCGAATCATCCTAGTCGTTCAATAATAGCTTACTCAGGACTCCACTTTTCACGCACTGACCTGATAGCAGGTTTACACGATAACAAGATATGTGTGATCCCTACTGTCTAAAGTCCCTTCCCTTGGACCGGCACCATTCACACCTGTTCCTTGTATAAACTAATATTTCTTGATCATATCCGAAATTGAATTTTGTTTGAATCGTTTCCAAATTTTGAGGTCTGAGCTGTGTGGCGGAATCGTACTGATTAGTACTGATGATGTCGAAAACTCCTACTCTATCCTTTTTTGTGCACAGTTCGGCTCTGTCTAGCTACTTTGGAGTGAGACAAACACGGCGCACACGTGGCCGATATTCGCTGTTGTTTTAATGCCCGGACACTGCATGCATACTTGAAAGTACCTTATGATATACAGATGTGGGAGTTGTATACGGTTTGTTCTCAAATTTGTTATTTTTGATTGATCGGGTTGGCTAGTGATGGCTTTTGGGGCTTTATCATGGCGCTGTAGGGGCTTCAGGCCTCCACTGCAAACGGTCAAGCGAGTGGAGATATTCGGTTTCATGGTGGGAAACGTTCCAGACGTCCATATTAAAATCACGACATCCCGTATTGAAGATCGCTTCTAGTTAATTGCAAGGTAGAGATATTCAACTAGCCTATCACCGGCCATGGGGATCGATCGGGTTGATTCTTCACTGCATCACCTCATGGGCTGATCGGATCAGCACTGAGGCTTCTAGCCCCTCATTTCTGCTTGCCAAACATTCCAAGATATTGATACGCAAGGACCTTGAAGACAAGTCTATTATACCGTCCTGTCCAGGCAGTCACAAGGGGGTCGAGTCTTTTCGAATGACTTGCGACCTATCGAATCAGATATGCCAGTGGAATTTCGCCCTGCAGGCTCCAAATCCCGTCCCTGCCTCAAACACCTAATTTATTCCGGAGCAATAGATCGTAGTTGCCTATTCGGAAAATGCACCAGGCTGGTTAACCGAGCCGCGAATGAATCCAGCAGGAAGTGTCGTCAGATACTACCACGGAGAACATCCAAGTTTTGATATTTCTCACCGTGCTGAAAGTTTAACTTGTGATCACGAATCCGAAAGCTGAAAAAGAAGAATCCTCGTCATATAGGAGTTATTGCCCAGAAGAGACTGATTCTCAAACAAGGACGAGCTTTTGGCGCACGCAGAGCTGCGCCGCCCCAAGTTCTTTGGGTGTCGCAATCATATGCCCATCCGGCGCCCCGAGTTCTTGCACAAGTAGACATACATCCGCCAGTAGATGCCCTCTTGAAATCGGCGTTTGAAAACTTTGACTAAGAAGTACAGCATACCTCGTTTATTCATGCAATGCATGACAGTGTTTTTTTTTTTTTGCTAGATGTCGCAGCACACCCACCACCACCCGCAGTCTGTGTGGATGCATGCTATGTGACCAAGCAGCTACCTAGTAGTATCTCCATACCCTGTTTGGATGCCTTTTGAAATAATTTACCTTGGCCAGGGCCAGCCTGCTTGGGTGCCGTCTGCTTCCAGAAGGCTGTTTTTCGCTGCCGCGCCCGCACCTTGCCATGACACAGTTCGCCTTCAAACCTTACATATACTCCGAATTGCCTCCACAGTAATTCGGTTCGTCTTCCTTTTGAGACAATAGAATAAGTAAAGTCAAACCTTCTGGCTCGATGCGATGGATGGCTTGTTCTAACTTTAGCTTTCATATATAAAGCGTCGACACCCCTGGAATACTCTTTGCAGAATTAAATCCTCTTGATCTCGTGCCCGATTACTTCGAATTACTTCGAATTACGTTCGGCTTGGGTTACACCAATCCGACGCACAACGCAGCGAATCCAACACAAGAACGTCACATCAACGACGGGAATTAAGTTCTTAATTTAAGGCGACTATGGAGCCGGCGGGTTCGCGATAATGTCAAAAACATATGTTCATACCGAAGCCACTGTTTTCTACAGAAAAATAATAAGCTGTTAATCGACTATATCGTACGATAGTCGACAATGACCGAAATTATGTCATACTATCCTTCATCCTACCCATCCGGTGGTGAAACCTCGCGGTCTCAGTATTTGAGCCCGAGCATATTTTCAAAACCATACGGCTACGACTCCGAAGCTTCAAGATCGGGGAACAAGAAAGTCGCTGTGAACCCAACTTTTTTCGATGATATCGGATATTCAGACGACCCGATTCATGATCCGGATTTGGCGTCACTTTGTTCGGCTGTCTCAACAGTAGATTCGCATTTCTCCGCCCTACCGGACATCAAACCTAGCATCGATCCGTCGAGGTTATACCTTGATATTCACAGACAGAAAGATGAATACGCAAATATGTCAACAACGCAGCGGAGGAGGAAACAATTGAAACAGAGGGCCATGGCGGTTGGAAACCAGTTTCTGACAATGAACGCTATATTATTTGGTTTTGGCACCCAGGAGAAGTTGGACTTTGAGGCGGAAAAGGTCTGGTGGGATGATATGCGGATTAAATATACTGTCACGGAAAATTTTGTTATTGCGAATATGCCATACGTACCTGGCTTAAAACCACCATTGAAAGAGCGGTTAAAACAACCGGTGGCCTTTGGTGCCGGCCTAACCGACGAAACTTATTTGGACTGGATTGTTCACAAAGCCAGGCGGTTATTCTTGGTTCTATTACACCTTGGGGTTCCGGAGCAAATATTTTGGATTATCGACGACGCCTGGGACGATGCCGACCTACCGATAGCTCGAAAGACAATACCGAGACTAGCCCTTTCCTCCAAACCCGACGAAGAAATGGATGAACGATTCTGGCGAGCCCAGTATATCTTCCTTTTGAAGAATATGAATTCTGGAGAGCATATCGAATACGAAGAGCAAGAAGTAGTTCCACTCGAAGTAGTCGAAAAACTACCTTCCAATGGAGACTACGTGGCGGAGAAGGTTGTGCGACCGTACGGGAAGCGAAACCACGACTACATCACCCGTATAACCGTCCCATCGAAAGACAACCTCATGCTTCATGTGGAGACTATTCGGTCGCGGAATATACGCCACGCCAATATTGTGGAACTCTTCGCGTCATATACGTACGAAGACATGGGTTATCTCCTTTACCGTCCTGCGCCTACTATCTCTTTGGACTCATTCTTCCGCTCGCCCTCCTATTGCTATTCTGCAATGTCCGCGACCGAGAAACGGGTACTGGCCTTTAATTGGATCACTGGCCTGGTCAGTGCCGTGGCGTTCCTGCATACGAAAAGTATTCGGCACGGCGATATCAATCCTTTTAGCATATGTGTGATGGAGGATGGGGCGAGGTTAATGCTTTGCGATGCTGGCCCAGTTTTTGGGACTCTGGATGTCTTCAACAGGCAAGGGCGAGCAGATGTTCGCGACGAGTACGGTGCCCCAGAAGACTACTCCGATGCCGCCGGCTTGGTTGCACTCTTAGGGGACCAGCCTTATCTTGCAACTGACCCAGTGATGCTGTGCAAGTCGGATGTCTTTGGCCTGGCTTGCGTGATGGTGGATATCTTGACCTTCGTGTCAAAGTTGAAGATGTCTGTATACAAGAACCATCGTCGGAAAACGGGAAGCATAGCACGAAACAGCCTCACCTCAAGCTCATCGCTCGGATCCTCAGCTAGTGGGAAGAGCACTCGGATAATCTTTCCTAGCAGCGTCTTCAATCGATCCACGGCTACAGTGGTTGAGCGACCCCATAGCTATGGCTCTGGTCGTCCAGTGACTCGCCGAGAGTCGGATGCCAAGTCTACCAATAAACCTAACTTTAAAAAAACGGATATATCATTCCGGGGAAACCTCGCATCAGTGAAAAGCTGGTGTGATACACTCGTTGAAGCGGCGGAAGATAAAGATACGGATGGTACAGGGGATGCTGTAGTTAGAGAGCTGATTGCTCTATGCTGCCGAGGGATGTTCATTGAGAAGCCAAGAGAGCGAATGGGGAGCGGAGCAGTTGTAGCCAGGCTCGGCTTACTGGCAGACAGGTTACGAAAGCTGCTCGCAAATAATGACGCTAAGAAGGAATCATCTTGAAAACGTTGCCTTTCTTCTGATAGATTCGTTTTCATGTTCCCTCCTCTAGGGGTCAGCAGTGCAATGCAGGAGGTTGCATTTTTTCTTTTATTTTCTTTTCGTATTGTTAAATTTAAATGGTCGGAGTCCCGGAATCCTAAAAGGACGGCCATATGATCATGCACGATTACTAGAGGCGAAATCTCATTGGAGGAGTTAAGTGTTTTACTTTTGTTTTGAACAGCATCTCGGGTGGGCGTCTTTTTGGGCAGCTATAACGTGTACATGGCGCGGGTTGGGATTTCATTTACGGCTCATGTATCAACTTACGGACATATATGGATAATATAAATTTCCTGACCTCTTTTGAAATTCTTTATCTTGACTTTTATTGTGAATGTTGTTTTGGTGTAAATCTTGGAATATGTTTTTAGACGTATAAATAGGGATGTAGATAGGGACTACGTTTGGACCTTAGTCCGGCAAATCCAACTGACAAGTTAACCTGTTAGGGGTTTAACTTTTGAAGAAGAGAATTCTACTTGAGAGCGCTTCAAGAGGTTACAAGTCCCACGACCAAAAAAAAAACACGCTTTCTTTTATTAAAGGTGGGAATAGGTAAACATATGAGAATAGTCGATATAGTCTGGTCTCGTAAACCACTATAGTCAATATTTTCAGGCCTCTGATACAATGCGGCAACACACTTTGGTGTTGTATATTTTGCGGGGCTGAAAGCGGGATGTGCGGTTTTGTACATTGGACGGGCACGTTAGTTAGCGCACTGTGACTGCGCATATGCAGGATCCTTTCTATAAATTTAGATAAGGGGCGCAAAACGGGGCTAATTTCTAGAAGTCTGGATGCTGCAATATTGACTTATCTTCTCCGACTATACCATTATGAGCACCGGATCAAGCTCCGAGATCAGGGCTGATAGTCAGAATACCAACGCCCGAAGTATCAGCCTTCTGCATCTGCCACCAGAGATTCTTTGGGACGTAACTTCGTATGTATGTACTAAAAACCCCACATTTCGTCAAGCCAATCAACAAACCAGTAGGATCTGACATATATTGCTCCCTAGATAAAACCTGATGGGCTTGCAAGCTTGGTACGAGTTTGTAAAAGGACTCGTGAAATATGTATTCCCCGACTCTACGAAGTGATTGTGCTCAGCCCCGCCGATCTTACAAATCCAAATACCTTGTTGAGGGATGGAAATATCAATATTCGGCACGTACGATCAGTCCAAGTCATTGGCGATATGGAAGAGGCCGGGTTCTGGCCTGTAGATCTGTCAGACAGCGCTATCGAACGAGTATTATACGATTTAAGACGGCCGCTCGACAAGTTCCTTAGTTACCTTGGCAAGGATACCCTTCGGGAATTTGTGTAAGACTACAGTTGCAGAGCAATTCATTGGGAAGCTATAGGGCTAACTGGCATTATTGGCACAAAGTTGGCGAACAGATTTGGCCCTAGGGAAAAGAACAGCCGATTATCTTCTGCAACATCAAAAGAAAATACAAAAGCTTACTCTATGCCGCCTGAGCCTTCCGTCAACTTTATTCTTCAATGGCTCGCCTGAGGATGGAAATTCGGACTCTGGGTTCCTTGACTTTAGTACCAGTCTTTTGAACAAAGACGGACTAGTTTGGCTAGATGTCAGGGATGTGAGCAGTTTTGAAGGACTCCAGTATCTTCTGAAGGCCATCGTTAGGAACCAAAATACCTTAAAGCGTCTTCGGTTTGGGTTCCCCAGCTATGAAGCCCATAAAATGGCCCACAATCCCCCTGGAATTAATAACTGGAGTACAAAATCTATAGAAGATGCGATTGCGGCATGTGGCGTAAATTTGGAATCCACCACTCAAACAATGTTCCCAGCGCTGAGGAGTATAGAGGTTTCTGATTTTGGAGTTTCAGCCGATGAGTCCCAAGAGGCGATGATTTTGATAAATGGGGCTATAAAACTTCGCCAAGTGCAGTCTTTGAAGTTCCGGAACTGTGGATATCTTGACAGTACGATATGGCCGTTAATAGCATCCCCTTTACAAATATCGGTACTTCACTTGACGATCTATCGAGACTTCGAGGTGTTTTACGATTTTCTAGAGAAACAAAACTCCATCACCACACTTTCTGAGCTCCGCCTTGTTATTCGAGTTAGAACAGCACAATGTAGGTTTCCAGATGTTCGACGCCATGCTCAGACTCTTCGGGTTCTTTACCTGGCGATGGTTCATAATTATGATGACTTACCACGGGCTGCCGCCACGGGTATGATCTACATGTACCCCACACCCATGGCCACAATACATCAAATTATGTCCCTCCCACGGCTTCAAGAGCTTGCAATTCCGTTTCAAAATCCGAATATCTCGGTAAGTCACTCTGTTTTTAGGACTTCGTGGGACCATTTCTTATTTCTGTAATAGCGAATCAAACTTGATGAAAGTTCATTTCCGTCACTTCGTGTGCTATGGATTTTGAGCGCGAATGGCCTTATCGAGCCCCGGCAACATCGCGGAGGGTTTTTCGATCTCATATCAATGGCGCCGACTCCTTCGCTCATTGAAACAGCTAAGACACGGAAAGACCATCTTGACAAGATATTTGGTAAAGCAAGTTATTATCCGAATAAACTTGAGATCATTGGAATGGGTCTTAAAGAGAATTATGAGCACCCAGAGGATATATTATTGATCCCGAAGGTACTGCCTCATGGCTATAAATTGAGACCCGAAACTGAACTTCAAGGCTTTGACCGCGCCCGCAAGGCAGTAACAGCTCTAGTGCCAGTGTCTCTTAGTCGGGAAGAGTATTCTTGGATAAAGATTTTTGAACTGGGGAAAGGAAACTGGGGCCATAGGGCTTGGGCGTAATTTTATCGGGACACTCCTATATTCTTCTGGCCCGCTCCTATTTGATATATTGTATGATGTGTTATTATTTGGCTAATTCGGATTGAAGGTCGTTACTTTGACACTATACGTATATATCTCCCAATGAAGAACAGGATACACATATATCTTAGGCTAATATCTAAAAAGGCGCATCTAGGTAGTTACTTAAAATCAAATGTACAACGCTCGCTAAATTAGATACAAAATTATTCATGGAAGAACTGTTGTTGGTTGACCTCATAGTCAGACAGCATCTAATGCTTCACTGGAATACCCACCTATTTATCTCCATTGAGTCCCACGTGAGCTTATCGGCGATGGTGAATCATTATCAACAGCTTGAAGGCGCTGCTCACCAAGATCTGCTGTGGCAAGATGATTAGCTTTTTCTAGCTGTTTATTTCGGGTAGGTCGAAGCTATCTTACCGCCTCCTAGCTCGTGTCTTTCCATTGCTGTTGGGGTACTCGGATTTCCCAGCTCGAAATACCCTGTGGGAACCTTTGTATCCAGGATCAGCCGTGTTCGGTCATTGTCGGTATCTGGATAGTCGGCATCGGCTTCCGAGACTTCGTAACTGTGGTAGCTAGCTCTCCACAGTTTCCCTGGGTGAGCATATCCAGAGGTCTCGTCAAAAGTTGACGTTATACTTGACGGCGACGTCGAATGAAGCTCCATGGCGCCAAAGTCCCTATTGGGATCATGCTCGTACCTAGACTCCCGGTCGGCCCTTGAGGGTTCATAGGCAAGCTGGGACTTTAGCGCTTGGTGCTCCCTTTTGTCCTCGCGCTTTTTTTTATAATGAAAGAAACCAGCGACCAGAATAAACGATAGAATTATTCCACCTGCAACTCCACCTGCAACCGCTGCAATCCTGACCATTGTATTACCACTGCTATTAACCTTAAAAAGGGCCTCTAAATCATGGTCATCCCATCCATTGACAGGGTCCGTTTGAACCTTTCCATTATTCGAAATACTACCCGTAACAATATCTGGTACTGAGAACTTTTCGGCAGAGTACTGATAATCCGTTACCCACCTTAGGCTCGACATATCCAAGATGTTGACTTCATCCCATGTGCAATCCGTGGTATTATTCTGCGTAGCGCCGCCTAGAATAACCAAATTTTTACCATATACGTGGCAAGTATGTTGAACCCTTCCAACAGGCACATTATCGGAAGCGTCAAATGTTCGTCGAATCCATCTGAAACTCGGGATTGATAAAATGTAAAGTTCATCGAAGTATCTCTCGCCGGTGCGGTTAAGAAGAGAAGTGGCCGTGCTTCCACCGAACATATAAATATTGTGGGATGAAAAGTCGGGCGCTGATGCAACAGCAATACAGTGTTCCATTCGAGAGTCTGGGATATATGTTCCGAATGTCGCTTGAGAATACCATTTTCTAGTATCAAGATCCATGATCCAAACTCTTTGCATCGGGGTAAAGCTGATATCATCTGGATCGAAGCTTTCTCGCGCGATATTATCGACGTTCCCAGTTTCCTAAATAATGGAATGTTAGAAAAATAAAAATAACTCCGGATTGACGGTTTGATGATGCATACCCGGACTTCATCGTTTTCCAATGTTCCTCCAATACTAATTATTGCTCCTCCAGTTCCAATGGGGAGGTATGCCAATGCTGCCCCCATTCGTTTCTGAGAATCCGGTAGGCCCGTGGTCGTTCTATTCAGGTTCCGTAGGTTGAACGTTGTAAGCTGCTCTTCACTTGGATAGTACCAATTCCCACTCTTCGGTGTATCGGAGTCGTTAACAAATACCCTAGCTCCGCCGACGTATACGCCAATACCGAAATCGCCGACTGACACTGAACCCCCTCTTGAAACCCGGTTTGGTAAGTTGGAGTCAGGGTGCGTCCAAGTCAACTCTTGTCCCCATACACTAGTATTCGCCGTGTATTTCCATAACGATGAAGATGCATCCGGTCCTAATCCAGGTAACCGCCCTTCATAGATAAATAAGTCTTCCTTGTCTCTCCACATAGCTCCGTTGACCACCTTTGGAAGACCGGCGGCTCCATTGACTGTATAATTTATATTTTGCCATTGCGGCCCCCGTTGTGAATTATCCCGGCCTAATTGAAAGGAAGTTCCATTGGGTCCGAGATCGAGCGACTGAAAATCGTTTGCTATATGGAATTTTGATCAGGACCTTGTTCCAAAGCGGGGCAAAATGGCGGGGGGATTGCGTTGTTGCATACTTGGTTGTTCTGTAACCTCTCCAGTGCGAGGATCTCGAACCACTCGAAAACCGCCAGCAAGAACGAGCTTACTCTTAACCAATGCGCCTATTTGAAGATAAAAAAAAAAGCGGATTAGAGTAAAGTCCTTCAAACCTTAAAGTAGGTACGTACTTTGATGTCCGAATCTTTGACATAGCCCGTCGCTTGCACTCAACTGAGCTCCAACCCCGAGAAATAGCGTAGCTAGTCCTGCAAAGAGCTCCCAGGACCTGCTGCAACCGGGAGCCATTCTCTTGGTAGGACTTGTGTGAGGGGTATATCGAAATCGTATCGATATATAGACAGAACCGTAGCTTCGTGGCCTCGCAAAAGCTAAGTCCTTTTCAATGTGCTGTACAATCGTGACACCAGTATGCTGTACAATTCCGCTTACGCCACCCGAGTAATGGCTGTCGCGGTGTCGGTATCGTTATCGTCGACTGTCGAACATTAAAACAGCACAGTGAGAAAAAATTGTAATGAATCACAAACTTCGCTAAAAAAAAAAAACGAAGGCGAAAAGAGGAGTAGCAAGCTCGCAAATGCTAGAAAGATGGGAGATACAGAAACAAAGGAAGGCATGCAATCGAAGGATACTTGCAAAAACATGAAGGCAAGACTGGAGGGCATTTTTAGAAATGCCACCAACCTGCACGAAAGCAAGTAAGCTCCGGGGTTAATTAGTGGGTAGGGCTGAATATCGTTCTCCCAATCTCACCCCTGTTCGATATATAGCTACCATTCGCTGCATAAGCTCAGCCTCGTAACTCAAGGCCGACTTAGTCTCATGCAGAGGTTGTCGTTGGAAAGCCTAATATAGAACGGACGTTTGACAGGGCATGCTTGGCCCGACAAGGTTAAGCGGGGCGGGCGTGCCGGGGCGGTGGTGAATAAACAATTTTAACCACACGTCCTCACGTACTCTTCCCTCATACATGCCAAAACTGCAAGCACGGATGGGCAGGAGACCCAGACTTTTGATTTCACTCAATAGCCTAATATTTTTAACTACTCTAATAATCTTGTGCTCGATTACGAGATTTATAAATTAGTGTGTTCGCAATATAATTATTAATTGTAATTGATTAACATTTGGGGTTTCAAGACACCACGTTGGAATGTTGCATCAGCTCCGAAAAGAAAGGTGAAATACGTCAAGGCTGTCAAAGCAAGAGAATGGAAGGGACCCACCAACTAATGTTCTCTGTGAAAACTCTTGTCCATGGCAAAGGCCATGGCATTCTGTGGTTACGAACTACCATAATAAGAGCAGGATTAATAGTATCGAAATCTTTGAGCAACTGCCCAAAGGATAAGTCCTGTAGCATTGGTGGTAAAATCGCTTTTGCGAGATATTTATCACAGATTCCTTTGAGACTGGACCCCGGGGCTTCGCCAGCGGGCGCAGTTATCACCATACGGAGGAAAACTGCGCGTGCATTGCGAATTCATTGTTGCTATCGAGCAACCAAAGATTTTTCAAGGCTCGGACCTTGTTTTCAACAAACGACTATGTTCTCGCGCAATCTTGTCAGTCCGACATTTTTCTTTGCGGGACAAATCCCTCGTAGAACCTGACGAGGGCATATACTTACTGATATCTCTGGCCCCTGATATCATGATAAGCAATTACAAGCTTCTCGAGCGCCACTCGGGAAAAATTCTATATCAGACGTATTCAGTGAAAGTATCTACTCTCATGAGTCCAGGACATGAAAAATCACTTCAGCGTCTTCCAAATCTTTTTGAAATTGACTCGAAACGATGTACTCGCATCGAAAGAGCCCTTGACGCGAATAAAGATCTCGACTAGGCCTACAGAGCTTTCTGAATAGCTGCAGAGTCCTAGAACAGAGGCTGTATCTCGAATTGTGATCTTTAAGGTTATGGACTGTATTGCATGGGTTTGAAGTACCTCAAGTAACGGGGGTAGGGGGTAGGGGGATAAACTAACATAGGAGGATATACACCTCGTGGATAATTTCCGGGGCATGGATACAAAACACGCTTTCCTAGTAGTGGTTGTCATCTTTACAATTAATTCGAGCGTTGCGAATTATCTAAAATTGAAGGGTATAGGTACAATCGAGCTGGGATGGGTGCATCAAGACGGTTCATGAAGATCGATATGATGGGCTGTTTTAGAATCTTTCATGATAAATCTCAGAAAGAAAGAAATTTTGACATCGCAAAGGGCTCGTATTTTTAGTACGCTTACTTTATACCCCAGGTATCAATTCCCGAGCCGTATCATCAACTGAGGAATGCGCTATATGTGTATACGGCTTGATGCTGTCTTTTGCGTATAGCCGATATTCAGGAATCTAGAGCTTAGATAAGGATTTATGATAGATGCATTGGAGCAGCTCTTTAAGGTCTTTGAGTACTATAGTATTAGGCGATGCTAAAAATACCTGGTACGTATACTATGGTTGTAGTTCAAATTTGCAAAAGCATAGATATAGATAAGTATGTATGCTACCTCCTATCCTAGTCTTGTATTAAACGCTTCGGCGCGAAAATCTCACCCTGAGAAAGTATGGCACAACGTGTCTTCTTTTGGCTTGGTATAATTCGAGGTCGAACTTGCGAAATAGCCAGTTTCACAGTTTGCTATCGATTATCATGCTGAGTTCGAGTACAGTCGGGTTTAAATCCTGTGTGCACGCACAGCCTTCCAGTCCTTGGTATCGGGGAAACCGACAACTGGATATTCCTGCGTTGTACTGTTGGAGATTTGCGCCTTTTGATTGGCCATCGATTCGCTGGCAAGAATACAACAACCAACACATTTAGGAACTGGAAATTACCTGATCTCCAAAAAAGGGCTACCCGTTTGAAATTTTAGATCATGAATATTAGGAGCTACCTTGTCGTTGTACGCGTGGAGAGGTTGACTGGAAATATCTACAGTTTCTGGGGGTTTAAGTGTTTACCTCGAGCTCATCTTTAGAGCGGCACTCGCAGCAGCCTACTATGTCCGCAGAACCGGATTTAATATTTGATCTTCGCAAGATAAATCTTTAAAAATTTGTAGATCAATCAATCATATTTTAAATTTTCCCAGTACGACTAGTTTTCTGTCCCGTCGGCGGGTACTTTTCATAACATCGAGGCTGTGAAACTCTCAAATGATGGTGCGGCAACTGGCTAGAAGCGGAATCTGAAGCATGCTTCTGGAACCTGCAAAAGAAGCATCAACCTCGCTAATTTGACAGCTCCGAACGAAGATCTGTCTCTAAGCCATTTTGGAATTGAACATTTCCTAACTTCTGATGGCATGTGCACATTCATTGTGTAATTACCTAACCCAGGTTTCTGGGGTGTGGGAATTGGCCTCACCGCAAAGTGTTGCCTAACTGGGGTCGCGTAGCTTTTGGTTCACTATTAGGGCAGTTGGCTTCTGGATGTCTTGCTTCCCCAGAAACATCAGTATCGCAATCTTCGAATTCCAAGAAATAGTATAAAAGGTCTGATATTTGATGATGCATAATCTACAAGTTTCCGAGTTTTCATTTCCCATCGGATTTTGGCTACGTGCGGGTATCTCAAAAACCATTCTCCTATTGCGGTTCCGAAAAATAATAATTCTAAATGAGAGCAGTTTCGATCGGGGCCGCTGCCTGTTTAGCGGCGGTTGCTCAGGCCGAGCTATCAAAAATTGTTAAAGTCGATGTCGCTAGCCAGCAGTTCATCGATGCGGAGGGACGGTCTCGCCATTTCCATGGTACTAACATGGTCAAGAAAAGGTTCCCATTTCACGAAGATATCGAAAACTTCGTACCTGGCTACTCTGTCGTTGACAGGGATATTCAATTCCTCAAGGACTTGAATGTTAATTGTGTTAGGCTGGGTATGTATGATTCAAGAAACCAGGCTCTAACATCTACTGATCGATTCTCGACTTATCAGGTGTCCATTGGGCTGGTGTGGAGCCGGTCCGTGGAGAATATAACCAAACATACTTGGATGTTACTACCCACATCATCAAAAAGTTCGAGGAAAATGGTATTTATACCATGATAGACCAACATCAAGATGTTTGGGCTGCGCAGACATGTGGCCACGGGGCCCCGCTTGTAAGTAATACCCATATCTCTGAACGAGTACATAAGCTGATAATCTGTGAAGTGGTTCGTCAAGAAGGACTGGGTGAAACCCGCCCACCGAATGCCGTACCCTCAAAAAGCACCATTCGCTGTTGATGCCAACGGCGTTCCCTCCGACGAGGATTGTAACTCGATTGATTGGGCTGTGTCTTACTTAGACTTCGCCCCTGCGAACGCCTTCGGCCGTCTTTACAACAACTACGACGGGTTGGGCGATGCATGGGCTGCTTATTGGAAGGTTCTAGCTAAAGAATACGGCCAATATACGGGAGTGATGGGCTATGATCTTATGAATGGTATGATGGGAGTCGAACTCTTTCCGAAAAGGATTTTTCAGTACCTAACAGATTTATAGAGCCCTGGGTCGGTGACCACCACGCGAATCCGCTTCTCTTGATCCCCGGTGTCGCTGATCGCGAGAACATGGAACCCCTTTGGAACAAAGGCAACGATGCAATCCGTCAGGTCGACGATACCACAATCGTTATGTTCGAAGGGTCGACATATGATATTCTTGCTGGATTCAACAATGTCCCTGGTGGTGATGGATCCAAAACCGCTCATTCCTACCACTACTACAAGCCGCCACAAATCAGCGGCATCGAGACTACCATTAAGAACCGTATCAAGGATGCTACTCGTCTCAAGACTGGTGGTATATTGACAGAGTTTGAAATGTGGGGCTCAAATACAGCCGGTCCCCTCGAAGCGGTTCGAGTTGCGGACAAGTATCTTCAATCGTGGACCGCGTGGTCGTATGAAGAGCTTTTTGATCGAACAAACATGACTTCTGTGCCATACCCACATTTGGCCCGAGTGCACGCTCGTACATTCGTGGAAGCCACAGCTGGTATAACGAAGGCCACCTATTTCGAAGATTCAACAGGAAGATATTGGGTTTCCTGGACCGCCAATACTGCCATCAAGGCGCCTGGGTTGATCCGTATAGTTCCCAAATCGTACTACCCAGATGGAATTAGAATAATCACCGAGCCTCCGAACGTGATCAAGTGGAAATCTGAGAACGAAAATGTGATTCAATTGCATTACACCGACAAAGCAGTCAATGGACAACTTATTACGGCAAGCGTTCAGCCTCTCTTCCCGACTGGGCCTATCATGAACTCTGCATCTGGCGGCAAGTGCATGGATGTGTTTAATGCCACTGTTCTTCCTGTGAGTTTGATATAGATAGAAAACAACGTTCCGCTTGCGTGTTTGATTCAGATAGCTAACAAGACTCCGTTTTGATTAGAACAACCAGGTCATTCTTTTCAAGTGCACAGGGCCAGACTGGAACCAGGTCTGGAAGTTCAAGCAAGGCACTATTCAGCTTGCATTTGACAAAGATAGCGCCTCTGGAAAGTACTGCCTTGACACCAAACCAGGAATTCCCGGCGATTTGTTTCTCGATGTCGTTTTAAATCCTTGCAAAGCTGGCAAAGCTTCCCAGCAGTGGAAAACAACCCCAACCGGGAATATCGTGAATGTGGCTTCGAGGTATTGCATCGACATCAATGCATCAAATTATAAGGATGGCACAAAGTTATTGGCTTATACCTGCGGCAATAAGCAAAAGAACCAGGTTTGGAGCCTCCCAAATGGCGTTGACGGCGTCTGGAGCATCCGAGTGTAGTTGAAAGTGGAGCCCTCCATATGTAAATAATTATATGATACCCTAATATTATAATACAATTCTATTGTTGTTCCACGTTCTTATTTTTTCGAGGATTGACTTCCTGCTCCTCCAGATGACTTTTCTGATGCTTGATGTGCTCGGTCTCTGGCTGCACTGTCTTGAACCAGCTTTCCAATTTGCGTCAATGTCAGACCTCCAGGGCCTTTGATTTTGTCCGGGTTTAGTTTTGCCTCTTTCCCGTTCTTTGGGGGGTTTGAGGATGGAAGACGCGAGCTTGAAAACAGTTGGGATTGGATGCGTATTGTAGTCTGTGGCGATCTTTCTTTAAGGAACTGTAATAAAGATTTGGTCGCAAGCGTGGTAGAAGCATACCCGCTAGTATTGTAACCCAGCCTAAGCAGGCGCATGCCTTGGAAAAGTTGCTGCATTGGGTTTGTCGGATCGAAGGTGCAGTGCAATGATACAACATCGACACTGCAGTTTCGGATTTCAAACCGATACATATATGGTGGCACTACTCCCCTGTTTCAGGCACTAACCGGCTTTGGCAAGGGCGCACAAAAAACAACAAAGGCAACACACGAGGTGTTTTCGGATGAACCGAGGTTCTGAGGGCAAAGTGCACGATAATTATTCATAAACTATTCGACGCCTAATCACTATTTGATTCCATTTGCATAGCCAACGGTGTATGTCAATAAGGTTGCTGCTTGTAATATATTTTTGACCTTTGGATATTAATATCTCAAAACCCAAGCTGCATAAATCTATGTCCATACTTACTATACAACAATTTCTCGACGCCTCAGTTTCAATTTCATGGAAATGAATTCGCGAACTGATTGATTAACCAAAATTCACATGTACAGTTTGCGTTTGCCCTACAGATAAAACTTCCCAAATTTCAACCAAATTACATTAAAAATTAAAACGATCCAGTAAACCGGTAAAAGGCGGCGCCGTTATTAATTGTGTCAAATCGCAGATTCTTCCAAACGTGGTTATACTTAAGTCTCGAGCCAGCTACCCAATTGGGACGGCACAAGCCCAGACTCGTAGTCATCCTCGTCATCGTGCGATATTCGAGTCCTCCCAAGGCATTCGCCATTAAGCCAGATCGAAAATATGGCGTCAGCAGAACCGATCTTCATTTTCACCACAAAATCCATCTTGTATCTTTGCTTCTCATTGCCGAAGTTGTCGAGTACCGTGGTAGATGGCAATTTTGCAACATCGACAGCCGGAAAATCAGCAAATACAATCCCTAAAGTATACACATCTAATAGTTTTATAAATAAAATCTTCCGTGACAAATTTTCGGATAGATATCTTACCATGCACTCGATAGAAAATAGGTTGCTTCGAACTTTTGCAGCCGAACAATGGGATCATATTTGACATAATTGGGTCTCTGCTCCCAGAAATAACCCGATACACTGGAAAATCTATTGTCTTCTCGTTGTCACATTCATCGCCCTAAATTTAATTTTTAAAAAGATAAAGTTAACGGGCCCTGTCTAACCAGACTTTAGTCTCAATCTAAGGGTTAATAGATCGCGACTTGCCATTTCTGCTGTCCATTTCACGCTATTCCGGAGGTACCAGCCTCCAAATGGGCACTCGTAGGCATCAGTGATATCATGTTTAGCGGGGTTGAATGGTAAATTGCATCTAAAGCCATAGTGCTGTCGTAGTCGCCTTGACCGCACTGCCGGCTTAAGTGTTTGGATGATCGCGCCCCTCATGATCGCAGACCAACTATTTTAAAGTTTCAGTAATGGATTATTAGCTTGCAAAGGCATACGCAGGTAGATATGAGGGTTGCTATAAAGTATTTTTAAGGACCACGATACTAATTTACTTACGATTCGGTCGGATTGACAACTATGAGGGACGGGGTTTGATTAGCCGCCCACTCAGCCAAACGCTTGTACAAGTACTGCGATTCTCCGAACCCTCCAACTAAGAATATCGTCTTTGTAGTTTGCCAAACTAATTAGTGATCTCTTCGAAGCTTACGGCCTGCTTATACTGAATATATCTGCCGTTGATTTAAAGATCTCAAGTGACGGCTTACTGGTGCTATCTCGGAGCTGTGCGTTGACTGGATGATTTTCACTTGATCTTTTATTAGTTGAATCACGTTGTCAACTACCGGGTCGAATAGCGCTTGGAGATCCTTTCTGCATAGTAGGGTTATTTCGGATCAACTAATTCTAAAAAAAAAATAACGGAAAGAGACGTACGCTGTTAATTCGAGCTCACTATCCACGATTCCAGCCTCCTCGTCATCCGGGACCTCAGTGCCCAACTCCAAAAACCAGATATCGTTGTTTGTTTCGCCGAAGCTCTTTTTAATGAAGTCAAATGTTTTCATCAAGGTGCTTCCACCTTCAACAAGCTTTTTGAACCAGCCTTCATCTTTGCAATGCAATCCAAGTTTTTCTAAGAGAAAACTCTTGAATGCAGCATCGATATAAGAGGAGCCGCATTTTGCGCCAGTCCCCACGACTGACTCCTTCAAACTAAACTTCGGGTACTCTTCTTCCACCTCATAACTTATCAAATCGACCGTCCCACCACCGCAATCACAAATCACAAAATTCTCGCCGCGTTTCAAAGTAGTTTTTTGCCCTGAAATTCGACTAAAGTTTTTCTCCCGCATGGCTTGGAGTACGAACATCGCTGCGGCCTCGGGCTCGGAAACTAATGACAAGCTATCTGATGGTCGACTAGAAAAGCCTGCAGTTTTGGCTGCATAACGTGTCGCTTCTTGTGCTTTATGGCTCCAAATAGCTGGGATAGTGAATACGAATTCAATTGGCGTGATATCTAAGGTGTCCGGATACCGTTTTCGCAATCGGTTATTCATCAGATCATTGTATAGCAACTTGAGATAATCACTAGAGACGTCTATGGCGGTTTTCCCCGATGGGAGTTTAATAGAAGCTGAATCTTCGAGCCTCAAATCTTCTAGGCGGCGGAGGAGGCTCCAAGGCTTTGACCGGCCGGCGTACACACCTCCATATATAGTCGGGTCAAGTAACAACTTGAAACGACTATAAACGGGTGCTGTATCTTTTGATTGACGACGTTCACATGGCAATGAGGCTTCGGCGCCCCATAGTGACTCTTTACCATCAGGGAAATAACGAATTTCTGTTGGAGTCTTGGGAGCTACGCCGTTATTTGCCCATGTGCTAACGACCTCGCAATCGCGAAGCCCATCTTGTGTGGAGTGACAAAAGGCGACCCCTGGTTGCATTGGCGTCAGAAAATACACGGAGTAGTAGTATTGGAAATGCCATAAACTGGGGTTCAAATCACACACCGGAGTAGGTGGTCCCAAAATCAATGGCTACAATTAGTCTCTCTCGCTCCATACTTCTTTCAGACACCTAAACTAAATTTGTGGAGGAGAATAGTTCGATATTGATGGCTTTTAAATTTTGCTGTCCTGGTTCCGAACCGGGATATCATTACATGGTCTAGAAACCGCAATCTTCAAGTCATCATTTACTCAATTCTGACATGAATATTTATAAACTTTTGGGAACTCGAACTTCGTCGAAAACTAGACCCACAGACCAACTTTCAGGCAACATTTACTAGCCTGAAAGTTAGTTTCTCGTCGACAGTGCTCTAGATCACGTATTGCTCTTAAAAGTCAATCTTCAACTGGTATAATTAAATCTCACATGCGATGACAAATAGTTGATTCAGATTATTCAGCTGAGTAGCGCTTCAAATTATATCATCGTATGAGATCACAAACCCAAAACAAGAGACCTGAGGCTTCCGAATCGAAAGCTTTGTTATCAATTGCTCTTGAAAGAATTCTCATGAAGTGGTGCTATCATAGAGTTCTAATAAATTAATTTTAATAGGTCGACCTGGCCATCCGAAGTATGTATATATAAATCCAACCTCTTGGCCAATCGATGATATCAAGTATGGGATATACATATACACACAGTATAGTTATAATCCGCGACTGCGTTATATATACCTTTGCCCTGTGGTCGGAGTCCATTCCTCTATATATATGCGTTACGATATAAAGCCTTATCTAACATGGGTGCATGGAAATATTTCATAAAAGGACTTTCGAAGTTTTCGAATAGTACTAGTTCTCAGGGCCGATATGAAACTAGCCCTGACAACAATCTTCCTGGTCGAGGACCACGAGATCAACCCAGCCTGCCGGTTGATCGTAGGGCAACTTCCAGCAATTTGGCGACCAATCAAGTTATTCTAGAAGAACAACAGCCCCCCGAGACTACTCGCACCGAATCAAACAACGTTCACAACAAAGGTAGGGATGTTAAATACCACCTCAAAAACTACTAATACTCAATAGGCCAGAGGCTAATCATATGTCACTAACGTATAACAAAAGATCAACCAACTCCATTAGGCGGAAACACAAATCGACATCTACCCCTGAGCAGCTCGATATCGAAGTCAGATAACATTACCGCCCCCCTACCCATACCCCCTGGAAATGGCTCGATAAGCAACACGGCGAGTCACCCGCAGGAAGATAAGCAGAACATTGCAGAAATACTCCTTCAGAATAAACGCAAATTTATATGCGGCTCTTGTGAGATAGGTAAGCAACTCCCCCATAAAGGAATAATATATCGATCATTCAAGTCGTCCTGATTGGCTCGATTATAGAATTATTGGACAGCGTTCGTTCAAACAAAATGTCTAAGTGCTTTTTCTGTAACAGCACCGCGGAAAAGCAAAAACTATGGAATGTAGTAAAAAAGCATGAGAGGGAAATCAATAACTTCAAAAAGGCGGTGAAGGATAAAAGTAGAGAAATTGAAAACCTACAAAAGGATTTACAAAGAAAAGAAGCCGAAGTTATCAATCTAAAGGAAAGGGTACAAGGACAGGCGCGAGAACTACGATCACTGGGAACGGACTATGAAAAGATCAAAGCAGACTATCAAAAAAACGAGAACGAGATCAGGAAACTTCAGCAAACGGAATCAGCAATGAGAAGACAAGGAGACGTCCTAATGGACGAACAAGCCAAAACTCTGATCCTTGACATTTTACGAACAAAGATAAAAGCTATTTGTCGTATTTACCTAAAAGATATACGGTGGAAAAATATCCTTGCGGCGGTCGGTGAGCAGCGACTGAAAGAAGCTCTCGGTTTAGCCTTTTCTCCATCTTGGCATCCTGACTCTTGGCCACTAATTCGAGACCATCCCAATATATCGACACAGACGTTAGTAATGGCATTATTATCCTGCACCATTTCGAAATCATATTTCCAGAATCCCTTTTTTCGCTGCGGTGAAGCAAGAGATGCATTAAGCAAGATTTACGATTGGGCCATGCTCAAGCTTCCAGAACCCGCAATCGTTTGGCGAGCGAAAACAACAACTTTATTGAAGGATGTTTCTTATGACAATGGCACTACCACCGCTACTTCAGATATCGTCATTAAGAGGATATTCAACACCATTAACAACTTAATACAGACCGAAAATCCCCTCGAAGATGATGGAATGAGTGATCTTTATACCAAGATAGCTGATTTAGTTCGATCGTCTATCAATCTTGCCACCGATTGGCACTCTCGCGAATTTCATTTCGAGGTCATAAGTTTTGAGTGGCTTTGTTACATGAAATACGATGTCTATTCGGAAGAAACTTCTAAGTTCGTCACACCCTTTCCTGCGAGTCGGAAGCTCGAAAGCGGGAAGCTTTACGGCATCTTATCTGTGATATCTCCTGGCTTTCTTCGCTATCTAAAGGGTGAGGGGGACAAGGAGTTTAAGGAGATTGTTTGGGAGAAAGCTTCAGTCCTTCTGACGGAAAATCCACTGTAAAATAAGATGGTTCTATTGCTCACACAAGCTAGTACCACGGTTTCCTTGACCCGAAAAATATAGTACGAGGAGACCTTAACGCGCCTGAAATTCTTCTACAGGGAAAGGTGGAGTAGGGGATATGTGCTACTCAGGTTGAAATACTAACTTCAAAAGCGACATATGACAAATTTACGGAGACTTAGGCTTGATATAAAGATTTCGGTCATGCATCTCTGATTGTATTTACTTTCGTGTTCTTCTAACTAAATGTAATTAAAATTTAACTGGTTTCAAGTCCTAATTCTCCTAATCCCATTATATCAGAGCAGGAAATTCGCGATGACCAAATCGACACTGCGCTGCTTCTTAAATTTAACTTGGTTGCCCTACAAATTTTGTAAACCACTTAATCAAAGTTACCAGAGTTTCCGCATATCATGCCAGTTAACCAACGTCGGTAGTCCAAGAGGATTTCTACCTCCATCGTTGCCAATTATCCCCGATTTGTTTCCTAGCATCATTTTCGTTATTGGTGAGCAGCTTGACCCATGGGAGTTTTGATCAGTGGTGTCGCGGCTCCGGCGCCTCAGCACGCAAGTAAAAAGTTATAACTTAATAGCTAAGAAAACACATTTCCCCCTCGGAAAGCTATCTTCGAGGAGGCAATGGTTAAATATTAATAAATGGGGAATTTTATGAGCCTTTGTCCACTGCCATGTCAAATTGGTCTCATAGGTCCAAAATTGTCAAGATGAGTGTTCTGGCTTTCAGATATATTTGTGGCAGGAGACGGGGATGTCTCAACCAATGACCACCCCATGTTCCCAATGTTGGAGAACTAAACTAAACCGGGTGTATGCGCATATATGTCCCATAATCGATAATCCATCTATATCTAGACTAAATTCCCAGTACTACCCAAGATCCTGACATACGAAATATGCTGTATGAGTAAGCTTGGGCTCTAAAGTGTGGTTCTCTCCGGGGATATATAAAGAATTAAGATATAATTATAATAGATATTAAAAAGTACATGACATTAAACCAAACACTCGTCCGGATGCCACGTTCCTAGTATAGATATCATAACATCGTCTGAGTCCATTTCGTAGTCTGAGCTTTATTATATTAGTTGATGTAAGTGCCAATCATACAACCGGCAGCTAACTCACTAGCTGCATTCCGCATGTTTCTTAAGCCGTTTGGCGAAGTAATTCATCCATATAAGTAGTAGGTATAAACTAGCCGATAAACATTAGCATATTAGAATAGTCATTTCGTCGATTTGATACTCGCTCAAAGCCTAGATATGGCCCCTCACAACTTGAATTTAAGAGCATACAGAGTATAGAATTGTTTGTTAAAACCCATGGATAGGGCTTCTGGATCCTTGTATCTCTTATGCGTATACTTCTGAGGGTTAGAACGTCATTATAAACCCTTATTGAGGTTATTGTAATGCACGTCATGTATGTATTTTGGGCGAGGCTGTAGCATCAAGGAAATTTATGTCTAGAGTGGAAATTAATTCATCTCATAGGACTACGAGTGCATCTCTTACACTTAGGAACACAAGAATACACCATTCCCACTGACTGGTAAAGACGAAAAATATATATCATAATGCTCTGTTGATCTGGAAGACCTGGTATTATCCGAGCTAATAAGTTTTTATTAATTTCCTGTCTGCCAGAGCTTTATCTGATACGCAAATCATCCATTGTCTGAACGAAGTTAGGCAGAAAATTTCAGTTCATTGCCAGCTCCGTCGATCACTTTGCCATGAACAGGATCGATGAAAAACTACCATAGTACAAGCCATGAGGATAGTTTTGTACTTGGAGGGTTAAGTAGACTGCTCATGAAACAATGGCGAGCTGTGTAACTTATCTAGGCATCTATGCTGGTAGTAGAGGACTTTATATCGTAGAACCTCTAGCACCGGCTTGCCGATATCACCTTTTAATGCGAAGTTTATCCGTCTACAATATTAGTATATATACTTTGTTAGGATTTAGAAATGTGTTACAACCATATGTTTCCGGTATTGCACTTATCCACGTCCCATCCGAATTATTCATGATGACGAGTTTTATCTATTCATTATTAACCGTTAACCTTTACGACGATTAATCATATCTGATTGAAAGCTGCCTTTCATACTATTATTGTTTTCAAGAACGTTGGCCTCCACAGTTCTCGCCGAGAAAGCTGTTTTTGAAACGTTCAAAACTAGAATATTTATTCCACATAAGTAATAGACAAGATATTGAATAACCGGGAACTGAATACCAGTATTTGATATTAGCAGGACTGTTTCCGAGTTTATAAGGATCAATGGAAAGATATACACCCGATATATATAACGATGCTATTTTTAAGCCTAGGAGGGTTATTATCGATCCTGAGTATTAATAATATATTACCTCGTATCCACCATGAGTACTATCCAACCCCTATAGTAATAATGATAAAAAGTAACATCAAATACTGGTGCTTGGTCAGTTGGGGACAATTGCAAATTAACACCAATTATCTGTTGATGAGTTCTCTGTGGTGTCTATATTTTCTTCTTACAAGAGGCCGTAATTTATTCAAAGTATGGAAGCTTGCCTATTATTTTGCCTTCATACTTTTTATGTGTGAATCAAAGCTCGAATTACATGTATATATGGCCCCCGAGTCTCTATATATATTGAAATATTCCACTAAAAAGGACCGGTAGTTTCTACCAAAAGCATTTTGGTTTTGCCTCTATGGTTTATAATAGAAAGCTAGTGAAACTTTCATATTTCGGGGTTTGGTTTGTTGGAAGGGAGATCATATCTATCCTCCCAGCACCGCAGCAAGATGGTCAACCCATGCATCGCCCACGTTGATTTCTCTCTACACTTTAGATCGCCTTCAAGCTATAGTATATATAAGACTTTCATCTGCATCAAAAGTACATATGTGTAACGTCCATCATACTGATATAGTATCTCGAACAGGTTTCCAAATTACCATCTATGCAACTGAGGCTATATAGCTATATAATCATATACTGGGAACGTCCCGCGAGATGGGATACTGAGGAACGAGTACGAAAATTGTAGCAATTGCCGAATAAAGCTCATATTGATACTATCCGGGCGATTATATATATATGACTGTCATGATTAAACGTCATGTATCCATATATACAGATAAGCATCAATTTATCGCGGTTTTGGTGTGTAAAGAGTGTATCTTGATAGCCATCATAATTAAAAGCGAATTCGGAAGATTTAAATTGGTATATATAAAGCCGAATTGTTAATATCTAGTCCAATAGTATGTATCAGTGGTGTATCATATTGTTCGATAGAAAGAAGTCTTATTGGATTTTTTTGTGGTTGTTGAACGCCATGTTTCGTTGACCATAAAGCTTAACATACTCGGGATCGATGGATTAAGTATATATAAATATTATAGTGGCGGTATATATACCTTTCGACGTTAAGATTCTAAACTTGTCTCAATCATTTGTTTGCACCAGATCCTTGTGCTTGTTCATCCTCGGCGTGTCTTTGATATGAAAAATAAATATATATACTTAAGTATGTATATCGTTAACGCGTTAACGCGTTATTTTATGGCCGATATATACACATCGCCTTGGGGAGTTTTCTGGAGATATAGCTCTGAGTCTTGATTATATATATTCCTGGGTCCATGGATATGAGGAGGTTGACATTGAATTCATGCGACCGAGATGTTGTATCTTTAGTGTTTGCATGTAGTTTCTAAAGCATACTATAGAGGGTTGCTGAGAGTATATATGTAATGTTGAAAGGAGCCAAGATGAGACATGTAAGGAGTCACTATCGAAGGCCGTTAGAAGGCAGTTCATTAAGTTTTTATGACGGTGTAGGATGATGAAAAGGGTAAAGAAGTGGAAAGGGGAGAGTTAGGAATTGTTGGAGAATATATACTACATGCAGAGGTTTTCTTGCGAAGTCTATCCTCTTCTAGAATAATTTTTTGAATTAGGTAGAAGGCTCTAGATCTATGAAGCATGAAGTCATCAGAAGGAAAACTCCAAATCCAGAAACCGCGACGTTCTATGAATACATTCTAGAAACAACCCGATTAGAAAGAAATGCTTCAATTGGTTCCAAACTTCATCAAAGAAGTTTGGTAATAGGCGATATTCTTGTAGTCGAAATCTTCGTGTATAACATTAGCCAGCGCCGCCATAATCAACATACATGGCTTTGTCATACATCGTATACGTCATATATATATATCTCCGATAAACTTATCGATCAGCATATTAATCTTAGACGTGATTTTTCTCATGGTTTGCCTGAGGAACTATAGAGCTCTCTTCGGTTTAAACCTCGTTGATTCGATATCATATATCTGCGGATCGCTCGTGGTCACTTGTTAAACGATTTGCTCCATGAGGGGTGGTTCCTTTAATCCTGATTCCTCCAGAACACTAGAAGGTGGTATTCTTGAATTGGACTTTTTCTTTCCTTCCTCGTCCTTTGTTCTGTCTCCGAACCCGAATTGGGGTTAACAATTGCGGTTCCGACTGAGTCCTCAGAAGAAACAGACTTTAATTGCTTGTTTCTTGATTGGACTTCGGCGTCCGAGATCAGGAATTATACCTTCCGGTAAGCTGAGTTAAGATTATAGATTTCTCTGATGTTTTTAGAATTCAAATTTTTGGAAAAGGTAGGAAATAATAAAATTTTGGTATAATAAGAGGTATGTGTCTCCACATATACTGTTTCGATGAAATTGTGATATAGGTAGTGGTACCGGTAACTCATCGATCATCGTCGCGTCTGTAGTATATCAAGTTCCATGGCCGTTAATATATATGTTTCTAAGCCGTATTAAGTATAACTTTCACAAGGTAAAACTTCTGAATTTCTCTATTCGTGAGCCGATAGTATCAAAAAAATATATATATCAAGCGTAAGAATTCGAATATATTTAAATTCGCAATCACTGCACCCGCCCATGAAATCTGGATTTCATTTGAAAAAAAAAAACCCCCCATTAGGACTGGTATATATATACGTCTACGTACGGACAATAAACCCCCAAATTATTATAAAGAACAGATCAAACCTCCAAAGTAATAATTATAACAAACCCCACCAAAAACAGAGCAAATAAAAACCCAGGAAAAAAAAAAGAATCCAGGAATGCGGATGATGAATATATAAGGTTATCAGAAGCTAGTGTGCCACACAGACATGGAATCAGGTCGATCCATCTAGATCCAGCAGTAGCAAATCCAATCCAGAATTAAATTCCAACAGATCAACTAATCCGGAACGAAGCCGATTGGCCCAACCCAAAGGGCATAAGTGCAAAAGGTACAGACTTAAAGTACCTGTGCGGTACGTCGACATCGACAATTGAAAATCTGCATCCGACCGAAACAAACCCGACCGGGATTCGGCGCTTTTCATTACGTCACTGCATATCCACGATTTTTAACTTTTTCCAAAAATTTTAAAGAATTGTTTTTGTTTATAATCGCCCTCTTCATTATGAATCGTCATTGGTAGTATGAGTATGTGTAGTTACTTGAGAACGGGAATGGTGGTATCATAGTAAAACAGAGAAGAAGCGCTCAGAAGTAGAAAGAAAGAAAGAAAGAAAGTCATCCCCAAGCAGCAATCATCACCACATGAATAGTTAGAAGTTAATAAAAAGAAAACCATTAAACCGAAAGATTCATCTTTCTGGACATTACGAAGTGTTTAAAAAAAAGGGGGGGAAGTGAGTAAAGCTTTAAAAGTAAAGTAAAAAGTCGGATGGAGGAACGGAAAAAAAAAGCAGACAGGTTTATTAATCCAAGAGATAGAAATCTTTACAGGATGAAACCGGCACCAGCGACTCCCAAAGCCGAGAGGAGGGCAACCATGCGAGGGAAGCCGAAGGATGGGGGGTCGAGAGAGCCAGCGGCGTTGGGGGAGGTGGTGGCGGGGGCATCAGTGCTACCGGTTGTGGTGGCGGGGGTGTTGGTACCGCCCGTAGATGAGCCGGTGGTTGATGGGGCAGGAGCAGTGGTTCGGATGGTGGTTGATGGGACAAAGTCGGCGGGGTCTAGGTTGCCGCAGGTATTTGTGTTTCTGCAGATGTTTTGGAGGGTGGGTTCCGTAGCGTTTCCTGCGACAGCATTAGTATCAGCATCACCATAACAACATCCAATCATGCCCAGTTCCCAATCAACAGGCAACCACGCAACCAATTCTTAGGATTTAAAAGATCTAAGAATAGATCGAGGGAGGAAAGAGGAGAGACGGTAGAAAGAAAGAGGGAAATAGAGGGGAAAAAAAGACTTACCAGCGACACACTGGGCGATGTATTCCTGGCAGATGAAGAACGGCAGGGTATTCCTGTAGTTGACCAACTCGGGTTTGGAACCATCGGCGCAGACACAAGAGACTTCAAGAGTGTTCTGGTCGCAATCGTTGGTGGTCCAGTTCTTGGAGCAGAGAGTGGTGCAAGTATCCTTTTCGGAGCGACACCAGCCGTTACGGGTGTTAACGTCGACCGAGGTTGGGATGATAGTCTGGTTTCCGATTCCGACGCCGTTCTGCTGAGCAGCGACGAGGGAAGAGGAAGCCAGAGAGGCGACGGCGATGAGGGCAAAACCAATCATTTTGTCTTTTAACAAATGTACGACTTAAATACTTTGATAGAATTTATAGGAAGGGATAGTTGAAAGTAGAAGTAAGTATTGTGTACTTAGGTAGTTAGGAAATGAAATTGGTTTGGAATTGACTGACGCGTGGGGAAGAGAGAGAAGAAGAAGAGAGAGAAGAGAGGGAAAAAAAGGAAGAGAAAAGAGAGGAAGGAAAAGAGGAAGGAAAAAAGATGGGATGGGCTGCAATTAAAAAAAACAATTCTGTGCCAACCCTGTCACTTGACAAGACAAGACAAGTCCGCTTCAAGCGACAATTACTTGTTACTTGTTAGTTAACTGATGCGTGAAATTGATTGATTGGATTAATTCATTCGGATGCCCAGGCCGTTTTATCCATCCATCGTTTTTCTGCTATCGATCGAGATATCGACTAGCGTGTGTGTGTAAAGAAGGGGCGGATGGGTGCAGATGCCGAGGACCCACAGTTAAGTTGTCTACCTCGTTCGCTCTGTCTGCTATATAAAGTATACACTCGACAGTGCAGAGGCTTAGATAGTACTACAGACATACATACATGTATGTCTACTTACTTAAGTATCTACATTCATTTATCAAATACCTCCATTCTCTGACTTAAACTACTATGTAAGACTTGGATAATGAACAATACGAGCAGGGATGTATACTTATATTATGATATGATCTGGGGCCAGTCGGAACAACACGCGTCTGCATTTGATCACAAGAATTGACCAATCACATTCTCTCGCTGGTTTCAGATCTGTTGTCTGTCCAAGCCACATCTGATCACCAAGAATGTGGCTGAGTCGTGTTTGTATGTGTGTTTGTTGTGGCTGGTGAATGTCTGGGGCAACAGAAACAAGCAACAGCTCAAGCTTCTCTGTTGCCAGGAACAAGCACTTCCATGCGACACAACCACCTACTACGTTACCATCCCATTCATCATCCATCCATCCATCCATTATCCTTCCATCTAAATCTCAGGACAGGTCTCCTGATCTCATTACAACCTCCACTACACTACTACACTCTATTATTATCACGACCGACATGCCTTTATGATACAACATATACAAACACACACACACACTCTCTCTCTCTTTGTATTAGATTATATTTCTTTTTTTTTTGATTGCATGGGTACAATACATCTACCTTCTACCTAGCTACTTACATACATGTGCATGAATAAAACCCGGTTATATCGATCAACCTTGATGGGATGCAATGTCGTCCTACACCAACATCCCCCTCTCAGCCTCCACCGCTGATGGCCGCGACTCCCTCGAACTAGCCTCCCTCGCCTCCTCATCGCCCTCCCGTCGTTCTTCCTCCTCCTCTCCATCCCTTTCTTCGTCTCGTCGCCTGTCTGCCGAACTAGCTACCCACGATGACCCCCTCACTTTAGATATAGATGACCATGCCTCTGGTCCTTCTCGTCCTCCCCGTCAACGTTCTTATTCTGTCGGATCCACTTTTGATTTCAATGCTCATCTCTTCCCGCTAAGCGCCTCCGCCTCGGACCCTCTTTACCTTTCCCTAGACCCCACAACAAACCGCGGTTCGTCCCAGAATCTCGAAAAACAAAAGTCAATAACGTACCTTAACGGTCTATCTCTGGTGGTGGGTCTGCAGATAGGCTCCGGTATTTTTAGTTCTCCTGCTCAGGTCAATTCCAACGCCGGATCACCAGGTGCTGCTCTGTTAATATGGCTGTTATCGGGGATATTGGCTTGGACCGGTGCTTCGTCCTATGCAGAACTGGGAGGTGCTATTCCGCTGAGCGGAGGCGCTCAGGCGTATCTACAACATATATTCGGTGATTTACCGGCATTTTTATTCGCTTGGGTCGCCGTGGTGGTTATGAGACCTGGGTCTGCTGCTATTATTTCCATTATTGCTGGAGAGTACTTGGGATCTGTGTTTTGGGGGTCTCTGACGGAAGATGCTGAACCTCCACCGCAGCTTGCGGTTAAAGCTCTAGCGTTGGCAGGGATGTGGATGATTACTATTTTGAATTGTTTGAGTACTAAAGCTGGAACCAGGATGGGAGATGTGTTTTTATTGATTAAACTTATAAGTTTGATGGCGATTACAATTATTGGTATTGTGGTTGCTATTACGGGATTCAGTGTTAAGCCTGGTGGGCCGTCGATGGAGTGGAAGATGGGGAACTGGTTTGAGGGGAGTAGTAGAGACCCTGGAGCGTACGCCGTGGCATTGTACGCCGGGCTCTGGGCCTTTGATGGGTGGGATAACGTATGTTCCCTTTTTTTTTTTAGAGAAAATTTTTTTAAAATGAAGATAATATACTAACTTTATTGTTGTAGGTGAATTATATTACGGGCGAGATGAAGAACCCGGCACGAGACCTACCGAGAGTGATCCACTCGGCCATGCCTCTGGTTATATCCTGTTACCTTCTGGCGAACATTTCATACTTTTTCGTATTACCTTCGTCGGTGATCGCCTCATCGACAACCGTTGCGGTACGGTTCGGTACGACGGTGTTCGGATCCGTCGGCGGTATATTATTCGCACTAGCGGTTTCGATCAGTTGTCTGGGGGCATTAAACGCCACGACATTTACATCGGGAAGACTGGTGTACGTTGCAGGAAAACAGGGATACCTGCCCAAGATATTTGGAAGATTGGGGATAAGATCGATGTCGAATTCGGTATCAGCGTCGACTACTACGATTAGGATACCAATATTCGGAACCTCGTACACACGAACACCGATATTTGCCATGTTGTTGAACGCATTTCTGACGAGTTTCTTTGTGGTGATTGGGTCGTTTGAGGCGTTGATAGCGTTCTATGGGGTTGCGGGGTATAGCTTTTATTTTTTGACAGTTTTGGGATTGATCGTATTGAGGTATAGGGAACCTGGGTTGGAGAGGCCGTATAGGTGCTGGATAGTGACGCCGATAGTGTTCTGCTGCGTGAGTCTGTTTTTGGTGAGCAGAGGGGTGTTCGGGGCACCGATACAGACGGCAGGGGTGATTATATTTGTGATGGTCGGGGTGGTGGTATTTTGGGTGCGAGTGGGGCCTCCGAAGATGGTGAAGAGGGCGTTCGGGAAGTTGAGGTTTTGGAAGAAGGGGAGGAAAGAGGAAGGGTGGAGTGCTGTCGGGGAGGCGCGGCCGGTGGTGGCCGAATAACCTTTTTTTTCCCTTTATCCTCGTTTACAATTTATATACCTAGTTACTTGCTTAAATACTTACTTGAATATGGCTATGAAGTAGGATAGATATCGATATAAGTAATTGTAATATAGTTGAGCATCATTGTCATCATCATTATCAATTCATACGAAGCACTGACTTAAGTGGTGTCGTGGGGGTATAACTCCGAGTCCGAGGCGGATATTAAGCATGCATGCTGCATACATATACTCCGGCATGCAGACTAACTATACTAATTAATTAGATTAGTTAAAATTCCCCGCCTTGGTTTCGATTAATTAAATACTATCTAATCAACGTCGGTGCCTTGTATTTTATAGTTTAGTTAAGTCTGTTACTTAGTACTATAGTTCCCCTGCATATTTTGTGAACTGGCGAGGCGAGACGCACATGCATGACCATGATATCATCTCGCACGTTGATAAGTGCGGGAATTCACTCGGAACATGCGAAAAGAAGGCACGTTCTGTGTAACCCCCACTAATTAACACCTACTATCTCCATTTTAACTTATTAGAATTTATCAAAATAGAATAGAATAGAATATCTGAATTATCGTGATGTCTACGAGTATAATAGTGAGTGTATATCTATAATTGGCGAGTTGTCCGTTTGAACGCGTAAACGCCCATTGGCCAGCGCGATCCCGGTCAACTGCAGCACAAAATACGCGATCCAAAGCATGCAAAGTGGCATTCGGAACTTCACCAGCTGCACTGCACCCACCGAGAAAAGCGGGCCATCCGTGCGCCGGGGTGGGATTCTGGGATTCTACACCCTGGCTATAATTAAACGGGACCAAACCGAACTGACCTCATTTTAAATTAATCTTTTGTGTACTGTATTGTACTTTATTTTCTGAGTCAAATCTAAAGCAGTCTCTCTCTTTTTTTTAAAAAAAAAAAACTTAACTTACTATTGCTCCTTATTGCTGTTATCATCGGCTGGCTCAACCACATCCGTCGAGTAGCTTCATCCACAGCTGCTTCTCTGCGACAATCCGAAGATGACAGCTAACCCCTCCTCATCTTCCTCATCCTTATCCTCCTCCTCCATCTACACCATCTTTACCTACATCTACATCTACATCTCATCCGGCTTCAACATTTCTACCGATATCCATACCCGAGTACACATCTAGTTCTAGTTCTAGTTCTGGATCTGGGATCTGGGATCTGGTTCTAGACCTAGACCTAGATCTGGGCACCCTGACGTCAACTGGTTCATCGCCAACTTCAACCTCCAGAAGCTACTTACTTACCTACCTCTCTTCTTCTCGAAAGCTTCATCTACCACCTCCGAGATGTAACCTCCTTGCACCCCCCTTTCCTTCCATTCTTTCCTGCATCTACATCTACATTCATTTCCCATCAATCAATCAATCAATCAATTCATCCAACTAACATTTCATACCTTCCTCCTTCTGTTTACTCTCCAAGATATCTCGAATTCGAACAAATACATACTAGTCAATCGCAACAATGTCATCACCACCACTACAAACCTCCTCTCGTCCCCCACCAATCCAAACAACTTTCTCCTCCCCACTCTCCCTCCCAACCCTCGACCGTCCTCGTCCACCATCTCATCACCTCTCAAATCCTTCTTCAACATTAACAACCCCGAAGACAAGTCCACACAGTGCCCGTTTCTTTCACAATCACCACCATGCCCATAAATCTACATCTTCAAATCCGTCCTCTGCGATCTCCCACCCGGATCCTTTATTATCCCGTCTGACACCTACCACGATCACAAAAATGTCCGACCAGGATTTCTTACCCGGTGAGAAGGAAGTCGGCGTTTGGGCTGCTTCTGCAGCAGAAAATATTGAAGGTTGGTTGGAGGAAGTTGAAGCTTGGGAGGCTGTTACTTTTTGGAGTAAAGTTGACGGGGGAGGGTTTAGGATACCCTCTAGAAAAGATGGTGGGAGGAAGAAGAGGAGAAAAGTCGATTTGGAACTTGGTATCAAGAATAATTCAGCATCTACAATTTCAACAAGATCAAAAGATGCCGATACTGCTACCAATAACGCAAATGGGAAATCCACAAAGTTACCGGTTGCTAGACGATTATTCACCGATGAACATTTATCAATTTCTCCGGCTCTCGATAAATCTACCAAACCCTCCTCCTCCTCTTCATCTTCTTCTTCTGCCAAAAACAATACAAATGGAATCAGAATCCCTTCTTTAAAACTCTCCCAAAAGACAAAGGATACAATATCAATGTCGCAAATCGACGAACTCCTTTCTCCCACTGCGACTCCTCTCCTCGCAAAACGTCTCGATCTCGATACAATTCACCACCATCATAACGGTTCAAGTTCTCCGATGACCCCAGGACGTCTATGGACTTCATATAATAATAATAATAATACCAACAATACCAACCGTCCATTATCACCATTCTCCCCATACGATAAACTCCAAAAGCGAAGGTCATTACAAGTATCACACAATATAATCGGTACGGGAGCCTTTGGTCTCGGAATCTCAACTGGTGCCGGAACACCCACGATCCTCAAACGTCAAACGTTCGATTTCACACCTAGAGACGAAAAAGATAGCATCCGATCTGTTAGTGGGGGAAGTTATAGACCCAGCTCTAGTCCTACAAAATCCGCCCCATTAGAAGGGAACCCCTTTCTAGGCGCTCTACCGCCGACAAGTAATCCTATGACAACATCTCCAAGACTAGACCCAGCAACAGATTCGGAAACAGATCTAATCCACTCCTCATCACCTTCCTCTCCAATCTTCTCCTCCACGGAATCAAGTTCTGAAGAAGAAGACGAAGAAGAAGAGGGAGATATAGAAGATACAGAAGACTCCCTCAAATTCCTCGGCTCGCTAACCCAAAAGACACTGACTTACATCTCCACCCGAATAACCACAATCTCCACCTCCCTCTCAGAACTCGACATCGAAGGTCTAAAATCCCGAGTCCTGCATTTCAAATCCCAACAGATAGATGAACTGGGTAATGGTCGTATGAGCGATAGTCTCGCCGTCATTACCGCCACAACTTTACAGTTATTACCACCTTTACATCGTCTTTGGGGATTACTAGATATTTGGGGTGTTAGAGTTGAGGTCTGTAGGGTTGTCCCCACTTTTCTTGGAAACTTGAAAAAGGCGGAAGGGATTATCCTTCCTTTTGCTTCATATGTTTCTAGTAAAAGTGGGAAAGCGAGGAAAGATGTTGATGATGAGGGGAAAAGATGGTTAGAAGAGATCGCTGAAGGTGTACCCGAGGATTCGGTTCAAGAATCTACACTCTGGACCTTAGAGAAAGGTGTTGATGTCGTGTGGGAGAAACGGAAAGCAGAGGTCGTGGAAGTTGTGGGGATGTGTGGGAAAATTATCGACGGTATGTTGGATCTATTGGAAGGTAGGGAGGAAACCGTACCTGAAGAATGGATTGATCGGCTGGAAGCTGTGGAAGGCGCTTTGGAGAATTGGGCTTTTGGAGAAGAAGGGAGAGCTGAGGAGTTGAAGAGGAAGTGGAAGGAAGTTGTGGTCAGACGAAGGGAAGATGAAGACAGAGTTTATGAGGAGGAGATTGAAAGGAGGCGGGCTGAGGCGATGGAAAGAGCTAAGAGGGCAGAGGAAGAGAGGGTTGAAATGGAGAGACTGAGAATGGAAGAAGAGGAACGACAAAAGGGTTTGGCCGAACAAGAGAGGCTACGGAGGGAAGAAGAGAAACGGATTCGACGGGTGGAAGAAGAGCGATTACGACAGGAAGCCGAAGAAAGGTTGAAAAGAGAGGAAGAGGAACGACGGCAACAAGAGGAAGTCGAACGATTACAAAAGGTTGAAGCAGAACGTTTACGCCTCGAAGAAGAAGAACGACAGTCTAAAGTTCGAGAAGAGCGTCGACAACAAGCAGAAGAAGAGGAACGGATACGAAAGGAGGCAGAGGCAAAACGACGCCGGGAGGAAGAGGATGAACGGTTAAGACTTGCCTACCTGGAGCAGGTTAAAAAGGATGAAGAAGAGAAGAAGAAGAAGGAGATCGAGGAGGAGTTTAGCCGCAAGTTGGCCGACGAGGAAGCTGAAAGGCGGAAGGCGGAAGAGCAACGAGTCAGGGAGATCGAAGAGCGAATGATGAGGAAATACGAAGAGATGGAGAGGGCAGCAGAGGAAGAGGAAAGGAGGAAAGCCGAAGAAGCTTCAAAACTCGCCGACGCGCCTATTGATTCACCAGCTCCCGTGGACACGGAACAGATCATCACCGTGACAACAATGGATCGGGAAGAACAGCCTCTGACATCAGAAATCAAGATAAACCTCAGCGAAGCGCCCCCACTTGTGCTAGAACCGCAAAAGGAAATTCTTTCCGAGTTCCCGGTGCGCGAAGTGGAAGTTGTTAGCGATAGTGGTGCAGTCGACGTATTGCCCCTGATATTCGAGGACATTGAAGCCGAAGCCCTCGGAGAGTCTGAGGTGGTTGTTAAGAATGTCCCTACCCTGCTCGAAACGGAGGAAGAGGTACCTGTTGATTCGAAGGAAGCTTTCAAGTTGGCTATGCCACCGCAGATGCAGGTGCCGCTTTTGACGCCGATTGTTGAGGAACGACTTACGCCTATGATTGGAATTGAGAAATCTGGAGAGGAGGTTGGAGGTGCTGCCTTCTTTGGGCCTGAAGTGGAGGTTGAGGTGCGAAAGGTTCCTGTCAAGCCTGAGCATAAGATCGAAGAGGCAGAACCGGTGACTGTCGAGGTGGTGGCTGATATCGTGCCTGTCTTGACTGAGGATCTTGTTTCTACAAGCTTTAAGGAGGAACCCGAGGAGCTGCCCACAAGGGCTGTTTCTCCTACCCCACTTGAGCCGACTCGAGAGCCTTCCCTTGATGGGGAATCGAAGGGAGAACGTAGCATCTCGCCCTTTGAGCCTACGGATGTCAGCCCACCTCCAGAGCCTCAAACTCTTCAGACAGCCTCGGAACCCGCAAAGATACAGGAACCTGTCGCAGAATCGGAGGTGCAACAGCTGCCACCGACCTCGGCATCAACCCCGAAGTCCACTGAAGATGAAGATGCAGGCGAAGACACTGTCATAATCAACTACGACTATGACGAAAGCGTTCCATCATCACCCATAATCACAGAGCAAGAAACCACAGCAGACACCATTGAAGAATCCGTTCTTTCAGTTTCACCGTTACAAACTCCTCCACGACCGAAGAGTAAATCCAACGGACAACTCGATATTGTGACCGATCTGTCAAGACCGATATCACCGGTTTTGAACGTTCCGGAATCCATCCCTGTTTTGAAGATTCAAGCTGCAACACCGATTGAGGGCCGACATGGTAGCGTGGTTTTGGATATGGTCGAGCTTCAAGATCAGCTTGGAGAGTTTTCGCCAGGTGATGATTACTATTATGAGGAAGAAGAGTTGATGGAGTCTGATGTTAGGGTTGTAGTTTCTGAGGAGGGTGGGGACGTTTTGGTGCCTGTTGTTGAGGGAGCCCAGGATACAACCGGTCCGGTTGTGGATGGTGTACCTGAAATGTCGATGGAAGCTGTTGAGCCCCGGCCCTTTAACGTCGAAACTCCTGAAGTTGAGGCTATCGAAGCCCAAATTCCACAGATTGCCCCATCACCACCACCAACGGAGACTATTGAACAGACTAGAGTGGCAGTGTTAACCAAAGCAGTTCAAGAGGACAAACCGAAATCGGGGACCACCGAACGTGCTGCGCAACCATCACCATACCTCGCTCCCACTGTTCTGGCGGCTGATGATTATGTATCTGATATTGACGACAGCGATGTTGCGACCGAGGCCGACGACGAGGAATTCCAGGAAGAGCTTAGAAAGGAACGGCTTGGTGAAGATTCCCCGCTTACGGAGGCCCCAGTCATGACTACAGAGACGAAATCTCCAGTTGCGCCGACTATTTCGAAGTTTGATACAGTTCCACAGTCACCTCGGACGGCTACTACGGAACAGGCCGATAGTGCTAACGCCCCTGTGACGGTCCAAATCAATGGAGAAGACGCAGCAAATCTCCCCGAAACATCTAAGAAGCCTGCAGAACCTGCAATCCAAATCCAGCATAACACTGTCAAAGATGTTGTGGGCACAGAGGGCGGAAAGTTTCAGCTTAGTGGTTTCTATAAGCCTAAGAAAAAAGTTATCACAGAAAGCTTTGGCAGTTTGCAATCTTTGGACGTTACGAAAGATGAGACTAGTCAAGCGAGCCTTAGTCCAACAGGGAGCGTTATACACCATCAACTCGATGATTCGTTCGGCCAGAGTTTCAATCAGAGTTTTAATAGTACTCGTTCTGAGGATACTGTTCCTGATGGGATTGGGCCGGAGATTACGATCGATGAACCTGTTGCCGAACCTGCTGCCGAGCTGATTCCTCAAACGCCGACGATTGAGGAAGAAGAAGTTTCGCCAATTAGGGAGGAGTTTGGCGATGTTCGGTTTGGAGAGGAACAACCTGAAATTAAACCTCCAGCACCTGAGTTTGCGGTTGATGAGAAAAAGAAGGGGAATACGCTGCCGAGGAGGGGGTCGAAGGCTCAGGAGCCTAGGCCGGTTTATAACTTTCCTACTCCAGTAAGTGTTTATATATTCTAATCATTAACAGCTTTTGTAGTACTAACTCTGAACTTTGTAGCCAAAGCCACGACAGTCAAGTGTTAGCAGTACTAGCAGCTCGAGTTCTAAGACATCTGAAGTTGCTGCTAAACCCGCTAGGCCCCAGGGTATTAGGCGTGTGTCTAGTATCCCTACCATCGCACCGCCTAGGACGCAGGCGCCGAAGGAGGTGAATACGCGAGACGGCAGGAGTACGCCGCAGCTACAACGACCTTCTCAAATTCCGTCTGGGAGGTCTTCTCGTCAGAATCTTAGGCCGGAATCGAGATTGTCTGGAATTCCGAAGAAGACCTCGTCGAGCCATCTTAACGAAGATAGCGCTTCTACGGGGATACTTAAGAAAGTATCTTCGAATAACCTTGCGGCGGATGGCGGGAGGAGTGTACTTAGGAAACCATCTTCGAGTCATCTGCCTACCGCTGCAGTACCAAAGCGAACTTCAAGTGCGAACAAGACCGAACCTACCTTGGCTAAGAAGAAGGGTAGTATCAGTGGTCTTTCATCGCGCGAAATTGCACCAAAGACGTCTTCCCAGGAGCTTCGGAACATCCCTAGCAGGGCATCTTCAAGGCTTGGTTCTAGAGCGTCCTTGCGTGGACAAGGTAGCGCTCAGTCTTTAAAGAGTCTTCCTTCGCCAACTTTGGCAAGGGATCCGGCGCATCAGGTGCCTGATACCGGGCTTAGGGGACAAGGCAGCAAAAGTTCACTCCGAGGATTTCAATTGCCTACTCAAACTCCACAGCCATCACCGTCTAATTTGTCCAAATACCAGGCCCCACAAAATCATACGAATTCACCGACCCACGAGTCGAGCCAGACGATTAAAGTTGTTAAGCGCAAAAATAATCTTGGTACGAAACCACCATTATCGCAGCATCGGGCCCCTGTCAACGAGAAGGAAAGAGGGAATGGTACAAAGTCACCAGATGGATCTACGCCCGATTTCCCAAGTTTACGACATGTTCTTAATCCTCCTAGTACGCCTATGAAGGGGAAGGAATTGGAAGATAGGCTCGAGAGGAAGATTTATAAGATTTTGATCGGGTTGCCTACGTTGACTATGACTCCTTCACCGATGAAGAAACCTGCTCCGCCGCCGATAAATACTTCCATTGAGCCACCTGCTCGACCCCGAGCTGGAGAATCGAAACTTCCGGTTGCTAGGACGCCTTCGACTCCTACTGTTGGACAGGCACCGAATTTGACTGTATCATCAAAGAGGACTATTTCTCAGCCAGGTGAGGTTAAGATGTACCACTTGCACAAATCTGATGAGGAGTCCCCTGTCAAGTTATTCGTTAGACTTGTTGGTGATAAAGGCGAGAGGGTTATGGTCAGAGTTGGAGGTGGATGGGCGGATCTTAAGGAGTACTTGATTGAATATGCGTCTCATCATGGTATTCAGGGACAAAGGAAGACGCCCAACGAGAGTGTTGTTGAGTTTGGAGATGATGCGAGGTCCTTGAGGGCTAGTGGATCGAATAGCTCGTTGAGGAGTAGTTATAGGGGTAGTCCGACGCCGACGTTCGGGAATAGTAGACCTAGTTCGCCGTTGGCGGTGAGGGGTACGCCTGGGAGAGCAGAGTCGCCGTATTCCAGCCGGAAGCAGCAACAAGAGAGTCCGAGGTACTCTTACAACGGCAGCGAACGAACGCAAACCAGAGGTTCACCTATTACACCGAAATACGACAGGCCGGTTACACCTGGATCCGCCCAACGTGATTCATACACCTCCCCCAACAGTTTGAACGCCGATCGATTACTTTCGGCGAATAATTTCCGAAGACCTACATCACGACTTAGCTTTGGAGATTTTCCGGACGCTAATGAGCTACCATCTGTGATGCCTTCGATACCATCTGTACCATTGGGACTTGCGGGGCCCAAGAGTAGGAATTTGGAGATATCGGCGGAGAAGCAAGCGTGGGTTGATGGAATGTTGGGACAAGTTCGTAAGGCGAGCGCGGAGAGGAATGTTAGACTTGGGTTTCCGAGGATGGGGTCGGCTAATAGCTTGCAGAGCGGCGGCGGCGGTGGTGGCGTGGTGGAGGATGATAATGTTAGTGTCAGTAGCGGGAGTGGGATTGGGAGTGTAGGCGGTGGAGTGGGACCTAGGTTGACGGATATGGGAAGAGTTGGTGGTACTAGGAGGATGTATGCTACTAATACTACTAAACCGGCTGGATATTTGGGGATGCAGAAGGGGGGGAAGGGGTCTAGTAGTAGTCTTAGACAGGCTGAATCTGGGAGGGAAGGGGAGACTGCTTCTGGGAAGCAGACGGCTGGGAGGAGTGGGTAGATGAAAATACCTAATGAGGTGAATGGGCTATTATGGATGCTATTGCTCTTGCTTTCTTTTGTTTTATTTTCTCCTTTTTTTTATAGTATTGTTAGCGGCTGCATTGGCATGGCCATGGTCTTAAGGAGCATTTTGTATTTGCTCTGTGATATGGCTGTTCTTTTATCGTTATTTTAATTATCTTTTTTTTTCTTTCTTTCTTGTCGTTTTGCTGATTCGGGGTTTTCTTGATATTGTTTTTTTTATTTTTTTTACTTTCTGTTTTTCAGCTTTTTGGAAAGCGGGTTCGAGATTGTTATTACTTCTTACCTTTCGGCGGTTCGGGTTCTGCTGATGGGGGGTTTTTGTTTCTGTTAGCGGTTTTTTTTTTTTTTGATTATCATTTTTTTTTGCTTTGTGATACCATACCTATTCTTTTTTGTTTCGCCTTTTGTCTTTAAGTAGTTCGGCGTATATTATGCTGTGGTGGTTTTCATATCTTAGTTTGAGATTATTATCATTTCGATTTAGCAGTAGTAAACAAAAGATAATTGTTTATTTTTTTAGTTTAACCTTTATAAGTGGTTGCTTTGTAGTTTGTATAAGTTATAGATGAGTCTTAGGTAGTAGGTATTATGGAGGTTAACTACTAGATTCAAGTTGTGTTTACAGTAGTCTGGTTTTATATGCACGTACAGTTACATAGTATTGTTCAACCCTCTCGTGAGCCTATGGAATACCAATCCTATGATCTGCTTGGATTGGTATACGGGGGTTCAAAGAGTTGTAGAGTTTGGAAGGTCTTAGAAGGGAGATGGTCTATAGGGTTGAAAGTCTAAGCTTGATACGGTTTTCCTTGGAGTCAAGGGTGTTATCTTCTTTCCTTTTAGGAAAAGGTTTTAGGTGCGTTTGAGATGAAAGATGGGGATGAATAGGAATGTTTGATATGGGGTAATTTGTATGGTATGGTATGGTAATATGAATACAATGAATTTTTGATATGGCGAAAAAGCGTAATTCGAAGTTTTATAGGAAGGTGGGGTGGTCAGGAAAGCCTTTAGCGCGTCGTATTGATGCAGCGGGAAAGGGAGATTTGGAGATTTGGTAAGAAGGTAGAGGAAGAAATAAGAAGGATAGGAAGAAGGGGTACAAGAAGTTGAATTGATATTGGAAGGATGACATGGTAACAAAACCCGTATGGTGAGCTCTTTACCTTCTAAGCAGATGATACTTTAAGATTGCTGGTCCCCAACATAGTAGTTAGTATATCCAAAGAATCATTCGAAGACCCAAAAGGAATGGAAATCATTTATTGCGACCGATTTGATGAATTCTCGCCTGTGTCGACAAAAACAATTAGAAAAGGCTCCTCGAATAGGTCCCCACAATGTATTGAAAACTTACTCTTCCTGCCACGGAAGCCAAGCCCTATCAATATTCAACAGAACTAGGTCTGGATTGTGGTTAAACAAATATCGATGAGGTACATAGCTCAAGCTGGTGCCGATGTAACCGGTAATAGAAAACGTCTCACATAGCTCGAATACGAAAGGCCATTGTTCCACCGATCGGTCTCCGACGGCCACGAAGGGCCACCGATTGTGGTAATAGTTATCGTATCGGAGTAGTGGGCGGATGAGGCGGATGAGATTGTCCAGTTTAACGTCATCTTCTTTCCAGGTTTTAGCATCACTGAGAAGCCAGAGGAACTGCAGTTTTGGTAGGTGGTCATCGCAGTCGATGCGCAATTCCTCTAACTACTTTCAGTGTTAGAATAGTATATTGACCCAGATACGAAGAAAACTTACGTCTGGAGGCGGGCAAGAAATCGCTAGCTCTAGAAGCTGTGGGAACCTTTTCCCAGCGCGCACGAGATCCCTAAAAATGTCTCCGAAGTTCTCATCGTCATTTTTGGTGCGCAACCTTACAAAGAGCCTGACCAAGGTAGATGTGTGGTTTTTCAAGCCTATATAGCCGTGTACCAATGACAATTTAGTAGGCTTCATGTCGATATACAGCTCTTTGAGCCCGGTAAACGAGGCTAGGAACGCTTCTATTGGCCTGATGGAGCTCTTGCCGCTCACATGGAACGTCTTTATTTTGACCGGTAGTGTTCGCAATGATTCTAGTGTGCTTGATATATCTTTGGTATTCAACAATTTCAATGTCTGCAACTTGTTAATATCAAAGAATTCCTCGATCTTGAGGGGATTGTTGAGTTTCGCGAGAAAATCATTATCTACCCCGTTCAACGATAGATATTCCAAATAAGGACATCTTGGGACAGCCTGCATGGAATCATCATCATCGTTTTGTAAGGATAGAGAGGAGGTATCAGAGTCCTTTATCCAAAGCTCCGTCTCCTCAATTACTTCGCTGTTCGCGACGCCGATGGTAAGACTTTGCAAATTTCTGGGACCGTGGAGAGTTTCAAGATCTGCTAGAAGCGTCAAAAGGCTGTCCGGCTCGTTTATTCCGTCGAAATGAAGATTCTTTAAGTGATACGAGGTACTAATGGCTTGGAATAGAACTTTGCTGATGAAGCCAAGTGCTTGGGCACCGCTGTTGGATACCCAAATGCCTTGAAGTTTTTGTCGACATTGGAGCTCATTCGCGAGAGGTTTCGTGATATCGAGTTCTGTATTCCAGCTGTATACGTAAGTTAGCTGCAGGATCTTTCCTTAAAATTGAGGTACTGCTGTAAATACATGAAGTTGCGAAGCTGACCAGTGCCTAAGCGACGCATAATACTGAGAACGATCCAATTGAAAGATCGAGAGACCATCTTTTTAGCTTTATCAGGTTTAACTTCAACGCCTAAGTTTCCCTTGACGCCGAAATTTTTGATCAAATGAAGGTTCTGGTGCCCTTTCCTTAAAAGTGATATGTATCGAAATCCGTCGTAGCTTTCTTCGAAGTCGAAGTCATTGAAGTAATCCAAATCTAAAACCACGGTCTCATAGAGGGCCAGCGAGGTCAATGAATGTAGCTTCTTTGAAACAAGAGATAGTGACATGAGGTCTTCTTTATTATGTTTCTATTCTTCTTGTTAGCATCTAAATAAAGCTACATCAATAGCAATGACCTTCATACTAGATACTTGAGGATCTCGGTTGTGATCTCTAAAGGGACACTCCCTAGGCCGGTCTCGGTTGACATCCTGAAATACTTATGATTCTATCCGAAGAACGACAGCGAAGGAATGGCAAGTTGATGTTTGGTGATATGATTGTGGCTGTTGATCGTGGTTTGAAGAATTGTTGAAGATGTTTTGATGAGAAGGAAGTAAATATTATAACCCACCATTGCTAGATTCAGTTTGAGCTGTCGATTTCATAACCGTTGAGTTGCGACAATGTGACATCGGCGACTATTCACCATTCTGCGTAAAATATTACTAGACTTATTCTTTTATCATCCTACAGCCGGCTCAGGAATATTAGACATAGCGACGTTTACATTTATGAGATTATGCTAGGGAATTTCATATGGGATACACAAAACTTCAAAAACGTTGAGCAGGCGGATGAAAATCTAAGAGTTTTGCAACCTTCGTAAGAGTGAGCTTTTGAGGTGGCAGGTCTACAGAGTTAAAATACACCAGTTCCGAGTACGGCTTATCTCGTGAACCAGAATTGATTGCTGCTGCTACTACGGTTGCTAGAAAAAAACACCTAGAATTCCTTCATTCTCATTTTATTAATAAAAGATAAATGCGGTCTGTGTTTCTCTTTTCTGTTCGGTAGGCTAGCTATAATATCACAATACCGATGAAAGCCATGGTGCAAACCAAGCGAACCTCTTGAAGTACTCATAGAAGCTTTTCCGTGCTACGACACTCGAAACACATGTATTTGGTCTAAGAGACTCAACAGGTGCCTGAGGTTTGTGCAGACGACAAGCTATCGGTGGATGTGGTAACAATGCAGTTAATCATATACGTGGACAAAGTTACGCCTATTTCACAATCAATAATTAGCGGAAACTAGTCGAAGATTGAGGGGTTTATAACTTACTCCTCTTCCCAGGGTAGCCAAATCCCGAAACAATTGAGTAATGTCAAATTTGGGCTATGTTCGAACACTTTTCCGTGGGCAACGCATCCCAAGCCCGTACAAATCTTTTCCTCGACCGTCAATGACTCGCAGAATTCGTAGATGATAAGCCGGTGTTTATTTTGTGGGCGTTGTCCAATTGCGAAGAATCGCCACTTCGGACGGGCTTTGTCATCTCTGAAGAGTGGACGGAGCATAGAAGTCATGCTATCCAACTTGAATAGTTCTCGTGCCCAGTGATTATTCGGTTGGAGGAGCCATAATAGCTCCAACCGCGGAAGGTGAGAATCTTGGTTTCGAAGAGCGGCGAACTATTGCAATTTGTGAGATCAGAGCTTAGTCTAAATATAACGAAATATATTATGAGAGGTGAAAAGCATACTTCTTCAACGGGCATTGAAAATGCAAATTCTGTCAACTGGGGAAAAGAGCAACCCCGCTGCAAGAGGCGAAGGAAACAAGACCCTGATGACTGATCACCATTGTTTTCGAACCTCAAATATAACTTGGTTAAGGACTTGCTGTGAATGTCGAGCCTCAAGATATCTGGGTTATCAACCCCATTCTCTAGAATGTTGAGGGCCAGCTCTTTCAATGGAGGGAGAGACACAAGAAATTCGGATAAAGTAGTTTCGCTTGTGTGCCCCCATAAGTAAAAGACTTTGAGTCGGAGACATTTTCCAGTCATCTGTTTTAGGGTAGAGGAAAATTCCCCCCCAAAGGTGAACTTCAGTTCCTCTAGTTGTCCAAGAGCAAAGATGTGGTCTATACGTCGAACACCCTCAAAGAAAACATCATCAACTCCTTGAAGTGACAACTGCGTTAGCCAGGGGAATTTGGGTTCGGAGGGTTGGCTCAGTATGCTATTATTTTGCTGCAGGAACTCTTCCCAGGCATGAGGAGACTCCAAGAGCCGTTTCAAAAAATTACTATCTTGTAGCTGGACGGTCAGCCTCCGGAGCTTATTCGGCATGCGGTCAAAATTACTGAAGACATTTAGCACAGTGTCCATATCGTCCCAAGATGCAAATCGCGAAGTTGAACCTTGGTATTCAGGAATTTGAAGAGACTGTCCGCAATTATTCCAGTGCTTTCTAAATCATCGGGGCCAAAGACCCAGGCGCCTTGCAGCATATTTTGCCGGGCATCGAGCTCGTTGACAATGGTAGGTGTAAGATGCATGTCCGTGAGCCAACTGTTGTAGTAGAAATATGCGTAGATAGTTAGTTCTGCTTTTTATTTATGGTCGACGGGGAATAACTAACATGAAGTTCCGTAGTTGGTTGCTTTTGAAGCGGCGCAAGACGCTCAACAGTAGACAGTTGAACATCGTCGTTGTTTGTGTGATTTCTGCAGCCATTTGCGACTCTAACGGATATTTCGGATACAGGGGAAAGTAAACTAAAGACCCCTGGATCCCAAAATTCTTGATGAATGGAAGGCCTTGATGTTCGTGGGTCAAAATTGAGGTGAATTGTTCTTCTAAATAATCGCCATGATAACCGAACATCAAGACGACTGTCTCATAAAGAATTGGTAGAGAGGTTGAATGGAATCTCTTCGAAACGAGACATGTGCTTGCAAGGTCATTCTTGCAGTGCTTCTGTATACTATGTTAGACTACGATCACGAGGCTGAGATGGAGCTTCAGGGTACTATACCAAGTACATGAGGATATCATGTAAAGTCTCCGGAGGAAGACTATCCACTGTGGTTCTGTTTCTTGGTAGCGACATTATGGACGATGGTTTGTGACTTGTCTCCTGGACGAAGAGAGGGGTTGAAGGGGTGGGTTGCTGTTGATGCTGTATTTTTCGTGTAGCTTTTGAAATTATATTGTTAAAAAGAATTTCCCTTGCTTTGTTAGTGTGCTAATGATTGAAGAAGGCCCAGGACCGAGGTCAGCTGAACACATTGAAAGATTAAAAGCTTTAGAGTGCTCGGTCAGCTTTGCATACCTAGCATTCTCCAGCTCTGGCCCCGAGATCAGTATTCTCCCAAATACTTAGTGGAAAGGCCTCCAATATATTTTAAGAATATCAACTTTCACGTGGCACTGATCAAGTATTTGATATGTCTCGGCCATTGCCGTGTGGTTTGTGGCGACCCCATTGCTCCTATCCAAAAGTCGAAATCGCAGTTGATATCTGAATAGTTAATACTATGCACAGAAGACTACACTTGGATGACATAGATACCATGGAGCTTTCTTACAGATTCCAATAACGGGTTTCCTTTCCATAAATGTTAAACCGATGTTGATAAGCTACCGAGCTATTGGGAAATCTAAATGTCGTTCTCGAGATGTTCTTCGTGCTTAGCCATTTGAAAAATGCAACGGATGAAATGTGTTGCCGTAAACGTCGAAAGTCATGATTTAGCCTGCCCAGGAAGCTGCCTAGACACAGCATTTCTTGGAACTTCCAACTTCCGTCACGTTCACCGAAACTCTCACAGCTGCACTTTCGTAGATCTAAATCTGGTTTCAAGTATTTAAATGCGGGTGGCACCCCATATATACCTTCCTAAATCTAATATCCATGCTTATGTATATATACCGAGTACGTATACAACAACGCTTACAATTTCGTTCCTCAGAGTGTTAAGAACATCTTTCAAGACGTCTATTAAAAACGCCGGTTTAATAGACTTCAACCAGCTTTTGAGTTCTCTTGGAAGTGACGTCACCACGATTAGAACCGGAGGGAAAGAGCCCCACGGATAAATTTACTAAAAATGGCCCAATACCTGCACGATAACTTGTATGTAAAAGACCCAAGTTGCGAAAGGTTGTCGCAAGTTGTATAGCCGACTCGCTAACCCCGTTTACAAAAACCACACACAGTGACAACCCACCCTGGACACTCCTCGCAGATATCACTGCTTTAATAACACCACAAGAAGCAAGATATTTCAATTCTAGGCCAACGATCTCAGAGATCTCAGAATTAATAAACAGAGCAAATGCAGCTGCTGGAACTTCAGTTGGGCGGTCTAAATATGCATACGGCACTCGGATAAAATCGTTTGCGTTAACAATGGCTCGCTTCGCGGTTATGGCGCCGCCAGAGCACGAAGAAGCCATATGGGGAACGACCAAACTTGTGACTACGGTATGATTAATATTATTTTTACAGGTTTCAAAGTTTTATGAATTTTTTATTTCATTGTAGAATTACCTACTAACCACAAAAATGTTAGAGGGCATTATCTTCAACTGAGTACTTAAAGAAGATAGTCGAGATCCTGGAAGAGCTTGGCTCAGGGCATGAAGAAACAGACACAGTACTCCACAGATTTCCAGCTTCTATAAAAATCCAGAGGATAGTTTGTTACTATCACCTCGTTTTGCTTGAAATCTGCCATGATCTTCTCAGAATCCTCAGCGAAAAGGATTCCAAGACATTAAAAACCCTTTGGAAGAAATTGAAGACAGATTTAGAGAAGAATAAAAAGGGACTCGACAGCTTCAAAATATATCTTGACGCTGAAGCACATCTAATATCCGGAGATTTCAATGACCGAGAAAGGCAAAGGATCGCACTATATCGACAAGAACCCGTTTTATACTATCTCGATAGCGTTTCAAAGAATTGGAAAACGGTCCTTGATAGCTCTAAGTCGGATCCAAATTTGCAAGGTATGTATCGCAAAAGTACAATCATCTTCCTGTATATCAATTGTAAGAGAAATTTGCTTACTAGGGAATTTAAATCACACGAGTACAGCTAAGGTTGTCAATTCTTTATGTACCCGAATATCGGGATATGATCATGAAGCCTCGCTGCAACGCTATGCGCAAGGGGGATCCTCCAGGGCAATGGACTTTATCACTGGACTACCCGCCTTTCTAGATCGAACCAAGCATGGGTCTAAGAAGCCACTGCTATGGCTGTATGGATCAGGTAAGCCAATATCTATTAACTCTCCCTAGTTATCACAGCAAAAACAAAGCGCTAGCTAAGATATATAGCCGGCTGCGGAAAGTCCTCCTTAAGTGTCTACCTTATAAAGATGCTCCAAAGCGTCAGCGGAGAAAATGTCTTCTATTTCTTCTGCACACCCGAGATCCCCGAGTCCATGCAACTCGAAACGCTCTTCAGATCACTTTTATCACAACTACTCCGCACAACAGATCACATCCGCCATATATACTACAACTTCGAATACCCCTTAAACATCGAAGAGATCGCAGCTATAATAAAAACGATTATCAACTTCCGTCAACAGTGGGTTCGCCATGGCGATAATCGTATGTATATCGTCATCGACGGGACGGATAATCTCTCGCCTGCAGCTGAAGACGAGTTAATCAAGAAGTTTGAGAAGTGGTGCTGGCAAATCCAGTTGAAGGTAATATTGACAAATAAGAAAGGACCGCCGGCGCATAGACCGGGTGTCTTATTAGATGGGATTGGACAATTGGAAACGGATGTAGTGGTACATATCGAAAACGAGCTTAATATGAATCTAGTCAGTGGGCTCTTCAATTTCGACAATAAATTCGATCTTATTCCGATTATCAAAGCAGCGATAACGGATAGGGCGAGGGGGAAGTAAGTGAATTCACTTATGGGATTATCAAATAAAATGTAACGCAGCACGCTAATCGGTCCCGAAGTTTTCTTCTAGCAACCCTTCACTTAAGTTTAGTCCGCTACGCCAAAAATGAAGACAATCTTCTCTCACTCCTCGAAACTCTTCCTATCGACATCATTCCGACCTACAACCTCATCCTCAACACCATAAAATCGCAAGGAGATAAAATACAAGCCAAAAGGATCTTCAATATTGTAGGAATCGCCGCTCGACCGCTCACCCTCGAAGAACTCTCAGACTACTTGGAATGGAACGTCGAAACTGGAGACGATTTACCCGCCTACAGCCCAACGTCTGTCTTAGACGTCTGCAGAGGCCTTGTCATCGCTCGGGAAGTTCAAGGAAAGACATGCATTTATTTCGTACATTCTAGTCTTAAGCAGTACCTCATGGAGAATCGAATATTAGATGAGACTCGAGCTCATCTAGAGGTTGGCCGTGGGTGTATTTATTACCTACACCAAACCAAATTTCAACTCATGGACCAGGAAGAGGATATGACCAAAGACGAGAAAATCGAGAAGGCTTATCACTCCATCAGGAAGAATAAGAAGAACCTCAAAAATTCAGATTATCAAGAAATAGACTTCTCCGAATCCGATGACCTCGACGACTTCAGTGACATCTCAACCATAGTCTCAACTCTCCGAATCTCCCCTCCACCCACAGATATCGAAACTCTAAGAGATTTAATTACTGATTCAAACCAACAAACAACAATCATCGAGCGATTATCCCCAAAAAATCGTTTCTTGGCCTATGCAAAGGAGCACTGGCTATACCACACTCGAGCAATGCATAAATCCGATCCGGCATGGGGGGACTTCTCGAGCCTGGTCATAGAGAAAAGAAAGCTTTTATTCGACATTATTCCATGGGTAAGAACAAGTGCAGGGGCTCCAATAACGGTAGCGTCAAGGAAGCAATACAGGATGCTTGCGAACGATTGGGCTAATCAGATGAAACATTACGCCTTGTCAAGACTAGTGGTTGATTGGGCTACTATTGCATCAGAAAGAAGGTCAAAGCGTGCGCGGGCGCCGTTATAGAGTTCCTGTATTTTCTGTGTTCATCGTTGGAGTTACTCGGTGTTATATATGTCATATCGCAACCATGGCGTGAATACTCGGATGCATTTATACATATACTAAAATTGAGGATTACACATGTACAGGCCCCTATGTCTTACTACATCAGAATAAAGTCCTATACCTTAAGCCATAAGATTCCTGGTTTACGAAGTCTACAATGCGAATTATACCAATTCGTAGTTCATATCCATGTCGAAACAATGTAAATTATCTGTCACCTGCCGCCCATGCGCATATGCATCAAACTCTAGACTATTCTACTCAGCCATAAACAACTTTTTCGAAACCCAACATGTAGGAAAATAAGAAAGAAGAAAGAAGGAACGAAAGAGGTACCCCAAACACCCGCAATGCAAAACAAAAATATTTACACAGCCTGCACCTTCTGGTAACTCTCCGGCCGCCACCAACCTCTTAGAGCCCTACCCACGGCAACAGGCCCAATGGCAACTGCAACAATAGCTGAAACTTCAATCCAATACCAAATACTCTTAACACTCTCCAAATCCAACAACTCTTTAATCAGAGGCCAGCTAGCAAAGAAAATAACCAACGTCCCGACCTCTGCCACAATCATCCAAACACACCAAGTGGTAATCTCCAAAGCCACCATAATCAACTCGTTCAAGACCAGCGCTGTGAAACTTATTGTAACCATTCTCAAAAATTTCGCTTGCAGTATTTCTTCCGTATCGGTGGAGTTGAAGCGAACAAGAAGCTGACTGATGCCTTGAATGACACTACCTTGGTAGACTGACACAAGGACCCAAATGAAGAAAGTTTTGTAACTGAGCGATTGGCCTGATGTAAGTTCTTTGTATAGTTCTGGGTAGAGATTGGCAAGCGATTCATCGATATCACGATCCAGGACAAGAGAAAAGACAGGAAACATCGTGTAAATAGTAGCATATCCGACAAGTAGATAACCCTATAGAGATGTCAGAGTGTGGTTTGAACTTGTTACAGAAGGTGGACACAAACCTGGTAGAGCGCAATCGGTTCAAAACGACTAGCGATACTGAACAACGTTTGGCAGACGCTTATGACTAAGCCCCTGTGCATGACGAACTGTGCTAACTTAGCGCTTCTCTTATAACTGCACCTTCCATGCCATAATAATAGTTTGACGAGATTCTTAAATTGCAGAATGCTGAAATCGGCCGCTAAGCTAGCTTGTCGGCCTTCTTTCCCCACGATACCAACGCCCACGTCTGCCGCTTGAATCATGCTAACATCATTTCCACCATCGCCAATGCAGCAGATTCTCTTTTTCGTGTATGTACGAATCAAGGTTGCGATGTCAGCCTTTTGGGTCGGTGAGCAGCGGCAAGCGATAACGGCTGGTAGGCGAGTGGCAATAGAAATAAACTGGTCCTTATAATGGTCGAGAAACAACGAGAGTGATTCGCCATCGATTATCAACGCGCTGTCAGGTTTGCTCTTTAGAAACTCCAGAGAGTCGTAAGCGGAGTCTTTTTGCTTAACTGTCATTTGATTAGTTAGATTGTATCTCAAATTGGGATTTGATGAACGTACGCTTTTCAATTGTGTAGATGAACTGGCCCCTTGCAACTAATTTGGCACTCACACCCACACATCGGGCAGTTTCGACCTTGTCGCCAGTCAACATCCATATCTTGATTCCCGCGTTTCGAAGTAGCTCCAGACTTGGCTTGACATCTAATTGGAGCCTATCCTCTACACCAGTCACACCCAAAAGCTCTAGCTCTTGTTCTAGAATCTCACTCACAACTTTGCCCATCTCAGCGTCTCGATTGGAGCTTAGGTTCAAACTTGCTGCTTTGTACTTGCTAGCAAAGTCTTCGTATTGCTGAATACTAAGCTTCTTGCGTCCCACAACCAAGGTTCTTAATCCTTCCCTAGCCATGTTTCCGCACTCTTCCTCTAGCCAGTCATTCGAAGCAACAATCCTGGCCATTATTGTATCTGCGCCTTTCTGGAAGAACCAAATGTCTCCGTTTGGGTTTTCAAATGTGTCCTCCGGATTCAGATATCGAACAACAACGCCCATTCTCTTGCCCTCTGATGTGAAAGGGAAAATATCCAAAATTTTGACTCGAACCACAACTTTCCCGGTCTCGCCAGCCAGTTGGATGCTCTTTCTATCTCGCTGGACAAGTTTAAGCCCAACGCTTTCACACCATTTTACAATAGCGATCTCATCGGGCGATGCAGCTTGGTAGCTTGTTTCACCTGTGGAATCGTCGGTTGTCGGGGTGACGTTATGGGCCAAGGCCAGAGCAACAACCACATCCCTTACCCTGGAGCCAATTTCTCGACGTGAGCGGCTTTGGGTGTTTTGGAGGGAGGCGGACTCAGTGGGATCTGCAAATGGGTCGACAGGGGTATTATGTTGTTGTTCTAGGAATGCATGGCGTATATAATCAGCAACTTCGTCCATGGCTTCGCCGGCATACGAAACTGTGCCGACGTGAACCTTTTTCAACTCCATATCTAGGACGGAAATTAGCGGACCATCTCTTAGGAACTTCCTATGGACCCTCTTTGAACTCACCGTTCTGTGTCAAAGTACCGGTCTTGTCAGTAAGAAGATATTCAACTCTCCCCAGCTCCTCAGGAATCGTACTCGTCCGAACGACGGTTCCTTCAATCCCCTTGTCTCTTTCAATAAACCATGCATAAACACTCTTTCCCATATCTAAATTCACACGCAAACTGATGGGTATAATCGTACTGAATAAAATCAAGAAGCGAAGAATGGCAATGTACCAGGGCATATTGTTAAGTGTTTTATGTTTTTCACTATTCGTAGAGTCTTTGGGGGAGGTGTAATGGAGAACGACGAGCAATATTGAGATCGTGAGCGTTAAAGCACAGAGGATCTTAGTTAGAGTGTTGATCTCAATTTCGAGGAGACCTGTTTTAGATCTCGATTTGGAGGTAGACAGAGCTTGCCGAGTCTGTGTGCCTGTGTATACAACAGCAGCAAGGGTAGGCGTGGAGGATGCAAGTACGGTATTGGCCCATGCGGTATGGTCGATTGAAAGAGGGAGGGATTTCAAGCTGCGAGGGTCGTTGGGGTCGGTATACTCTATTGTTCCAACAAAAGTATTTACGGCTTTAGAAGGTGGAGCTGCTGTGATTGTGATGTTCTGGAGTTGTGTCGCATATAGGCCTTGTGTCAAGGGGGATGCTAGTCGTAATTTCCAGTCTGTCTCGCCATCCAACTGGTCTGTACGAATGAAAGCTTCTCCTGATGGGCCGTCGTCGTCCACCAGTGCATCCAGACCAGAGTGAGACATATCAGGTACTGTTTTCAGGAGAACAACATCCGCTGGAACCCTTTGGTCTTTTCTGAGATGGAGGATATCACCGACTTTGAGATCACGTGATTTCTTGGTCACAATACTGCTCACGATACCGGAATCGTCTCCGTCAATAGCGATGGAGTGGCTATTTCCCGAGGATCCTCTTCGCGCTTTCTTCTTTCCCTTCTTATTAGCCGCCAGTATATCCGTGAACACCATACACTCTACCTCCTCACTATTTGCCTCTGCATCCCTTCTTCTCCTCGCAATATCATCGTAGGCCTCCTTGCCAAGGGTGACCATAAGGACAAACGCTAGAGGCACGATATATGTACTAATGTACCCGATTCTCAGTTTCGGTATTATCTGAGACAGTGCGACCAGTAGGAAGTACAAGTTGAAGAAGTATTTGAACTCATTGTAGAGAGTGAAGGGTAGAAAGGTGACCGGTGTGTATTTGGCGTTCGAGATAACGTTCGGTGGATAAGTAGAGGATGGAGAAGATAGATCAACTGTCCTATTCAAATCTGTGCTAGCTGAATTCTTGGTTTTCGTCGTCCTCTGACCGCTTGTGGGGGCACTAAAGGCCGTCAAACGAGATCTGGAGCTTGAAGATTCAGGCCGAAGGAGAGGTGTATCGGCATCTTCTGCCCGCAGGCTCTCGTCGCTTTGCTTCCCAGGCTCTAGTGACTTTCTGCGATCTGCTATCAGCGCTTCGAGATCCTCCTCCTCGTCTTTTGGGTCGAAACGGCTGCCTCCAAGTTTCCGGCGAAGGGTCATCAGACCGATTCGGGATGTAAACGATGGCGAGTGCTGGCGCTCAGCAGATCTTCGGGCTTCCCGGCTCTGCCGAGGAAGCCTATACGAGTGTTCATGAGATGCCGATGTCGAAGGATTGAATCGGTGAGATGTCGGATCGAGCTCTTCGAGCGGGAAGTCGTCGTCTGAGTCGTCGGTGTACGAAGCCGGAGAATCCGGAGGCAGTAAACGGGACGACATGACGGGCTAAAGCAGTGGAAATATGTGGTATATGCGAGTAATCATGGTAGGGAGAGAAGTCGTGAGGTCGTAAAAGTCGTGAGAAGTCGAAGCCTATGTAGAGATGAGGTTTGGCTGACACATGAGTTCTCAATAAAGTGGCCGCAGGGGATGTTCCGGTTTAGGTTTGCTGCTTGGCCGCTCTGCCTTACGTAGGCGCTTGCGCAACAACACATAAATCGGCCACATTACCACACTACCACACAGCCGGGTGCCGGGGTTAAAATGAAGCCGGGATCCCGAAGACCCGGCCTCGTAGCTCGTATGGCTGAAAGCCAGCCGCGGACACCGGCGGAAAGTGTGACGAAATCTTATTTAGTAGTATATATTTCTTCGTTGGTTGGGGAAACTTATGATCTATGGTTTGCTACGGAGCTGAGAGCGACAGGTGACAATTGCAATTTAATTAAATTATAGTGCTTCCATCTGTTGGGTACTAGTATACTGTATGAAGCTCCTAGATCATACACGTTCTGTAATACACCGAGCTTCAATTAATATTACTTTCGGCCTACATGACACAATCTCGCATAATCGATAATTAAGAAGGGCTATTTAGATTCGTTGTCTTCGTATTACTCCAAAGCTTCTGAAAGCAGACTTGATTGCACCTAGTCTTGAGAGGATTCCACCCCCACGAGAAAAGCCCAGAGTACGCTTTCCTTTTTCTCGTTTTATCACTTTGAGCTTGCTCCAGAATGGTGTTTTGGAAGACGGCTTCACTTGCGGCGCTGGGCCCTCGCTCACTGGTGCTATAGATCCTAGGTAACTATTTCGGGAAGTCTTGTGGACATCGATAGAGCCCATCCCTAGTTCTGCAGGGGTGCTGTCTGTGTGCACTTCTTTGGAAGCATTTTTCTTTAATGCATCATGAAGCTCATTGCGTTCTTCGGTGCTTAATATATGCCCGTAACGCCGCTCCTTCGGCATGAGGGTTCCGTGCCCCCTTCCAGTCGGCAGCAGCAGTAGGTTCGAGGTGCAGCTATTGGTAAATTCTACTGGCCTCAAGGTTATATCGAGAGAACGGTAGGCCTTCCGACGTTCAACTTCTTTTATAACATTCCGTTCAAAGCTTTCTAACAGTCGTTCAAACTCTCGGTCCGCTTCATACTCAATACAAACGACCGAGGGCCGGTGCTGATACTTTGCAGCGTCTGCGCCCACTAGTACCAATCGTTCCGCCTGTCCACAGAAGTAGGCTTCTATATTAGCCCAGTTAAGGCGATAGAATGCCTCAGGATCTCTATTTTCGAGACAACAGTCGCGACGTATTTCGAAAGGCATAAATATAAAGCGCACAGGAATTGGACTTTTTGAAATGATTAATCATCTTTTGGTACGGTAGCGCAAAGGGGGTAAAAGGGGGTTATTCTTCAGGTCTAGGAATATATGCCAATCGACCTCGAAAGTTCTGGCATTTATTCGGGAGCCTTGAAAGCGTGGTAAAGGTAAAGCCTTGCTAATAATTTGAGGGAAGGTAAGTTTAAACTGTGAATAGAGTGATGCTTTCGAAAATTGGGAAGGAGAGACTGCCGTGGTCACTCAAGACTCAAGGGCTAGTCTTATTGATACATTGCATGTTAAGCTTACCATTACTAAGCATATAAGGCGCAAATCGCTGACATGAGTCGCATGAAAATACCACACGCGACCACGGGTTTATCTGACACAAAAGGTTCCATGGAAGTTCAAATTCAAGCCCGATTTTATAGACTAATAGTGTGCTCAAGTTGACTGTTAGGTTCTAGTCGTCAAGCCTAATGGTTAGTATCTAGGGATTAATTACTCGAAGATTTCGCAGATAGGCATTTAGACAATTAGACGTAGCCTATGATATGACCTGGAGGATACCGTCTTAGGCTGGAGGGGCGCGGGGAAATGCTCATCTTACCTGCGAACGCCTTCTGGCAATAGCCATTCGAGATGACCTCAAAGGCAGTGAGTTTCGGGAACCTAGAATTCCAAGATCTTAGGAGTGAGCTATGTAAGTAGCTTCCATAGCTTTGTGCCAGGCAAAGGCAAAACGGCGTATAGGCTACGCACCTAAGCACCTTACCTTCCATTTTGAACGACTGTATTTGAGGCTACACTGTTATGACTACCTCGCCATGTTGGCAGCATCGTATCATGGCATATGGAATACACTGTCAAAAAGCCCGGAAGGCGTGGTGTGTTAGAAGTCGGTAGTCTGTATGATGAAGCCGTTGATACTATAGGATCCGATGGTAGTAAGCTAGTGGTACGTCTGATTTTGCGTATTTGCTGAACTTACCAGTGTTTGGTCTCGTAGTTTTGACAAAGTACTACCTATCTTTGTTCAGTCTACAGACTCCCCCACATAATCACCACCATTGCTCCAGCTTGATTCTTTTGTTACCAGATATCCATCACGACCTGATTCTTAAACTCCAATTCAGGCTTTACCCTTCCTTACCAAAGACCATAAAATGTCACTTACCATTCAAAAACTATTTGAGAACTTCATTGACCAGGCAGAACCTGAAGCTATTGAGCTTTGTGCTGAATTAGAGCTATTAGAGGACAATACCACGAAGATGAAAACCATGGTTTTTGCGTTTTTCCAAGATTACATCCAAGAGCTAAAAAATAGCATAGGAGCGCCCAATGACGCCGGATATCCCCTGAAGATGAAATTCTTGGTACCTGCAACTAAGAAAACTGTGTTCATGGAAGACCGAAAATGCATCCTGAACACTTGGTCGTTCGGATATTGGAACCAGTTTAGCACAATAAAAAAGGATATCAAAATTCTCTGCCAAAAGTACGACGATATCGCCGACGCTAAGCGAAAGTTTTCTAATCGACTTTCCAGGGAGGCAGCAGCTCGTGGTATAACATTTGATTCATACCTCAAGGATCTGGGGATTCTTGAGATGTTTGGCAAGTTTAAAAAAGGAATGCGAACAATTTATCGCAAACTCGCACCGGCTGCGCAGAGGTTTGGCGCACTTCAAATTGTCGCGCTGAAGGCAAAAGCTCTTATGTGGAGAATTTTTAAAGGCCCTAAAATTTGGAAAACCAAGAAGTCAACGGGCTCAATAGAGTGGGAGTTCACAATTAGGTATGTTGTGGCCTCATTGCAAGGGTAGTCATGCGTACATCTCAACTTACAACTTTGTTTCCTTGCAGGCTTAACGTCGACTGGGCCAACGAGCTGGGAAGGTTGAATACCAAGCTGACTGATGATAGAATTTCCAAGGCTAATGATCTTGCGGATTCCCGATTCCCGGTGATCAGCAAGTTCAAGCAACCAAAGGGCGATCTGAAGATTCTCAAAAAGATTTTTGGTTGCATAGAGGAAGGCACACAAACGGCTGGAATCACCAACCACGGCCGCGAACCGTACGCACTGGACATCATCGGCGAAACCCTAGCTGAACTAAGTCTCGCAAAATTCCTCGACGACATAGACAACGGACGCCTCAATTTATTTCCGGGTGAAGACTCTGAGTCCGAATCACCCCAAACCTGCCCGAAAACCCCGGAGAACGCCTTGGCCACTGACTTATCTGATGATTTCGAAAGCATGAATTTCGACTTTTCTGATAATTTTTATAGCATGGGACCTTTGTCTACCGAGTCTAGAACGTCTCTAGTCTCCAGCCCCAACTCTGAATTCAAAAGCCTTGATCAGCTTGACAGAATGGATCTCGATTAACACGTCGTTAATACTACCGTACGTCTGACATTCTTGCAATTAGGTCAACGCTACAGCCTCCTATTTATTAGGTTTCACTGTTGACAATAGGAAGTAGTTTGCTAATAGCTAGCTCCAGGCTATTATAATAGATTATAGCAACAGCGATAGCTATTCATCACTATTCAGGACCCGTTCTAATACACCGACTTTCGATATGTCTTCGGGGACGGCAATTTGTTGCTTATTGAGGCCATCCTTTTAACAGCAGCGTTGACTCATTGTATTCATAGGCATCTTTTGATGCAGGAAGAATACCACTCACCTCGAATCTACTTAAATATTTCCATGAATACCTACGTAACCTAAGCAGGTAATATAATTAACATCATATGTTGACTGCTCCTTAAAATACCACATCCTTCCACGCGTTGTTCGACTGCATCCAATGAGAAGAGTCTTGTGCGACTGTTGCGGGGGATGCCTGCTAAAAATGCCTGAAAACGGCCCCGCTTCCTGCCTACAGTGGCACCAATCTTGACCTCTACGCCGAAAGATACATAGCGCGTGCTGTCAGGCTCCGGAATTTCGGTTCGAAGAATGGATATTTCCTTTCAGTTCTTTTCGGTCCATCGTTCCTGAACCTGCTGTGATACCTTTTCTAACATATATTTGCTGCCTCTCCCATTCTTCGACCCATTTGTTGAAATGCTGCCGCTTTAACTTCTTCTTCGGTCCGTTCGTTTGCTCCAATCCGGTAACCCAGTTCGCGAAAAAAATTGCAGCCTGTTCGAAATCCCCGACAATTGCCGGGTACCGGTCACTACACGCGTGGACGGTATTCGAACAATAGGTTCAATGTCTCTTCTAGACCAGGACATTCCATCCGCTGGACATACTTGTTCACGATGTAATACGGTCTTTGGTCATGTTCGTCACAATCGTAATGTCCGTTCTGGCGTATTTTTAAGGCTAATGTTCAAGTTCATAGGGCATGGCACGTGCTCGCCATGTCCATGAAAGAGACAGGGGTCTATACAATGATGGCCCGAGGAAAGTATCGGTTTTCATAAATCCATCTAAAAGGCCATACGTAACGCCATTTCGTCGAGTCCAAACCCTGAATGTAGGTCTTTTCTATGCCATATAGAACGTGGTTGCTTTGTTTGCTCTGTGCCGCTTCAAAAACCTTAAGCATGCTAACTATTATGCTTGTATGTAGCGACTATTGGAGTATCTTGGAACCTTGCCACACCCACAAATTCGAGTCGTTACAGATGCCAACCGCACAACACCACCGCTTCAAATCTTCGAGCAGTTGTTATTTTCGGGGCAATGGCAGCTAGTCGACAGTTCGGGTTGCATAATCCGGCCAGATGACTATGAGGACCTTATACACGATGGCATGGAAATTACGATTGACACTGTACCAGAGGGGCAACAGGATGAGCCTACCTCCTTGCTACAACCTTTAGGTGTGAGTGGCGGGAAATCGACTCGTAGTGGCAGGCCGCAGTTTGGCCGCGATGAAGTTGCTGGTGACTTGTTAGACATGCAAATCAACGAACCGATAGCTCGTCAGCGTCTGAATTTCGAAACCAAACAGCATTCATATACTCAATCTCAAGCACCAGTTACGCAGTTCAATGCGGCTAGTTCTTTCAGTTCTATTTTTGGGGGGACTGCGGCCGTGGATGAACTCGAAGGGGAAGAGATTGTGAATCCACATATACTTGCACCTACTTCGCACAATTTGCCATCGAAGCCTGCATCATGGTATGGAGGTTCGAAAACTGGTGCCATGAGCGCATCGGCGGCAGAGTTCAAGCCCAGTGGTGACGTCAAACTTTCGACGGCCGCATCAGAGTTCAAACCGAGTGGTCAGCTTCAGGTACCGACATCATCAAGTGAAGATCCTCATATCACATTACCCCAGGGCCAAGCAAAGAGATCCATGGCTATACCAATCGTGAAGCCTCCGTCGCCGGCATTAGATATGATTGCTGCGCCGAAGCCCGATATGCCAATAACCTCATCCGATGATGAAGAAGATTATGATGACTGGGATGGTAAAGTTGCTGTGATCACGGAATCGGAAAAGTCACCGGATGAGGAGGAGGAGGAGGAGGTTGCCGTCCCCGATACTACAGAAGAATGGTCAAGCTATAAAGACGAATCAGATAACCGTAAGGATGAATTATCAATAGACATCGCTCAAACGAAAAGCCAGGAGCATCAACTTTCTCCGCCAATTGAGGATATTGAAATAGCCTCTGTCTCAGATACGATCGTAGGATCTGGACCGAGATACGAAGAATCGCAAATCTATAATAAAGGGAGTCCTCATGCTAGTGGAAGAAGTACCCCGACGCCAACCGATGATGGGAACCAACATGTGAACATGAGTTCTCCATCAGACTCGGTCTCTCTCGAAGACCAGTCTGACAACGAAAGCAATTTGTTGAAGAGCGAGATTCTAGAACCTAAGCATGAGGTGCCCGAGTCATCCGATACTACAGTTGCGCAAGAGGAGCAAAATGCAACAACTGGTGGACAGGCAGAAGAATCCGGAGAAGATGACAAAGAAAAAAGCATACAAGAAGCGGAAGAAATGAGTGATGAATCAGCTCCGGCTAAGGCACAGTCTTCAGCTGAGATGCTTGCGGTGCTGATGTCAGGCGTGGAGTTTACACCAGCCGGCGATACAGAGGCTCAGGGCGTCAGCAATGACAACATGTACAGGTGGGAAGAAGCGAAGGAGTTTCTACCAACTGAGGAGCCTGGCCAAAGTGAAATTCCCAATCCAACGACAGAATCTTGGGATACGACTACTTCGCCAGGGGGAGATTTCCACGGGACTGGATGGGGCGATTGGTCTACAAACCAAACCTCTGCTGTGGATTATAACCAGTGGGACAACCGAGGACACGTCCGCAGAGACAGCGAGGGAGATGCTGGTAAGTTGTCAGAAATCTGGGGCCGATGTGTAGACATTAGCTTTTAGGCTAACATTGTAACAGAATGGGGCCCACCAAAACCTAAGGAACCGGAGCACATCGACCCACCTAAACCAGCAAAATCGGGATGGGCTCAGGTAGCTGCAGCTGGCTTGCCGAGTCACCAAAGTCCCACAAACCCTAGCCCATCCCCTGCCTTCGCGACCTCGCCAAGACCTGCCGAGACGCCCGCTGTGAAGAAACCAACTACTACCCCCAACTCCGCGGGCTCGCCAATGACATTCCCTCCAAGACCTGGCTCCTCGAACAAAAATTCAGGTTCGCAGATGAATGGAAAGCAAAAGCGAGCCGCCGTTCCCTGCAAATACATGTACTTCGTCCCGCCGCATAATTGTTCGATACCCAATGCGACCAACAGCAACAAAATATCTCTCGTCCAAACAACTGCAATTAGAAAACTCGCAGTGTTATATGCTAAACATTTTAAGGAAACTCGTTTGGTGTCGCGTTACGAGGGTAACCAGAACCACATCCTCGAGTTGAGCATCTCAAGGTCAGAAAACGGACCCGTAACAAAGCATAAGGTTGACCTGGAATCTAAGCTTATTGAGAATGATTTCGGTAATGAGTTTTGGGTTTCCATTAATTATCTGGGCCAAGGAAGCTTAAAAAGGGTCTGAAAATTGATGAGCGGCGCGCAAGAAGTCGACTTAGTTGCCGACACCAACATGTACGAACGGTTTATGTTGGAGGTTGGGGAGGCGTGAATATTAACCATCTATGGTATCAGGAACGATGGTGGTTTGGAGGGTTATTTCCTTTGTTCATGAACTAACGAGTACTATGCTGTCTTTCATCTTTTGCTGCGAAGATATGCAATCATATCATCATGCAATTATCCTGTAAATGTTTTTTCTTCCTTTGTTCAGTGTTTCAAGTCATGTTCTGTCATTTCTGCACTGAAAGGGTTCAGAGAAGCACATTGATCTAGAGTTTGTTGATCTTTTGAATAATGTTAGTTTCCACCATGCAACCTGTAGCACTGCATACTATTCTTCTATATGCTGTTAGCCTTCGAATATGCGCATTTACATTCATGAATCGGACACGTCCCCTCGTTCGCAAATTCTTGTATTTCAAGTTTCATTTTTTTTGAATTTAATCACTCATTTATGCGTTTCATCTTAGCAGCTCAATTTCCTTAGGTATTAGTATACTCTCCACCAACGACCGTTAATATTAAGTACCAATATGGAAGAAATATCTGTTGCGCCGTTGGGATCGCCGAATTTGCCAGAGAGATCTCTAAAGTTGCAATTAGAACAATTGGGCGACTGATATGCAGAAGTTCATTTCAGCATACATAACATATCAGGCATAAATAAGCCAACGGCCGAATAATGGATTCGAACGTTCGCACGGGGTTCTCAATTCAATTTCTGATCATAGAAAACGTCACAAGAATTATCGAGGGCAATTACAACTTACCATTTTACTAGAGCCAGACTACTTCTTTTATTGTTCAGTGCACCACTATTGTTTGATTGCCAATCGGTACCATTTTACTCGAAGCACGCAATGGCTACCGCCACCGAACCATTCATCAGTATCTTTGACTCGGATCTAGAATGGTCCCTCCCACCGAGTGTCATGATTGAGGAGGCTCTTCAGAACAATCTTTTTATGGCTGCAGCGGCTGGGAAAACTTTTACTGAAGAGCTCCCGTCTACATGGAAAAGGATCCCAAGAATCGCCACAACTGCGTTCACGGTTCCAATTTCACCTGTTACGACTCACACTTTTAATGGCTCCTCTGAATTTGGGTACGATGGGTTGGGCACCTCCTGTGTCGACCCGGTTTCCAGTGCCACAAGCCTCGATATTCATGGCCCTGGTATCCCGCCGGCCCCTAGTTTCCACCTAAAGGCACAAAGCGAGCACCCGCCTCACATCAATTCTAGTATGTGGCAAGGTGGCGCCCGTCACAAAGAAGCCTGGGGTTCAATTTCACACCAAGATCTACCGGAGGGTTTCGAGAGCCAGTCGGTACCGTCAAATCCAGAGGCATACATATTACGACATGAAAATAGTAATTCAAGGATTTTAATCACTCCAGATGGGGTGATGAAGCCGTTTTATGATGCCCAAAAGCAGTCATACTTTAATTCTCAACACCCATTCCCACCAGATACCATCTATTACGATCCTACAAACGGGCACCCAGTACACGTTGTATCGTGCTCTCAACCTGATCCAAAACAAACATTGCCACCATTCAATCCGGTTGAAGGCATTAGCGGCCGTATGCCAGTGTTCAAGGATGAAATCATTCCAACATTCAATATGGGATATTATCCCGATCTGCTTCATCTACCCAGCAGACCATCCGATGTATTAGTCTACTTTAACTCAATATGTGCGGCTGCAGCATTATCTCCCCATCGGAAGGCTTGGATGGATGATAACTTACAGGAAACTGAAATCCGATTCTGTGGCCTTGACGATGCCGTTTTTCAAATGTGCGAGGCTTATAGCGGCAAGCCACTACGTGGGCCCAACAATGAGCTAGAGCGGGGTTTAGAGACGAAAGACTTCAAAGCCGTTCCGGATAACTCGCTGTTCTTTGATTGGGCGCTAGAGCTCCAAGAATGCCGGCTCCACCTTGAGAGATTGAATAAATTGGCATATACCCCAGTTATGAACAAATGCAAAGTCGAAGTGGTGTGGAAAGCCTTGGTTTACTTTAGAGATAATTGGGCCAACAATATTTTTAGCCAGTGCGACAATGAATTTTGGGAAGCATCCGAGGAGGAAATGGAGTGGATGAAAGAGTATCATGCTTTTAACCGCGAGATGCAAAGATTGATGAAAACTGTGGAGGATGATTTGGTGGAAGTTGGAAGGTTGGAAAACATGGTGACTGCCTTTAGAGGAGCTGTTTGGAAGGCTGAAACAAAGTTTAAGAAGTTAAAAGACACTTTTAGATCCTCTATGAGCGTGGTAGACTAAAACGACCAAAATGATTGATAGACAAGGGGTGGAGGCTAGGGTCGATTGAAGTCGGCCAGCCATTGCATTGATGGGTATCAGCGGAACCGTTTTTCTTGTGATCGAAGCGAAATTGTGGTAACACTTGCTTCACTTATGTAGACATAGATACGCCTTTAACTTTGATACAATGGGAGTTTTTTTGTATTAAGTTTTGATCAGTTAAAGTTTTTAATGTTTGAATCAAGTCCCAATTGAACAGTACTGAACCAGCCTAGTCTGTTAAAGTGTATATATATGTGTGTATGTGTTATTCCTGAAGTTACAGTGTCTGTGTAACATGCATGAACGAACTTTCCATGCTTTCCCTTGAATGTAAGTTCAATTAATAGTTATTGTTGCCTCGTATCTGAGCCCTTCGATTGAAATTATATATTTTGTTCGGGTAGGGTTGGTTGGTAACAAATTTGAAATTTGTACTAAAGAGCTCAATCTGCGACTTTAAAAGAAAGCCTACAGCAGTGGCACGAGTAACAAGGCTGTATCATTGGATTCTTGAATTCATTTGAATTGGAGCAATACCGCGCAGCAATCGAATTTCCCCATGTTTTCCCGTGCACTGTGCACGGCATGGCGGCCATGCTGCTGAAAACGTGGAGTATCTCGATACCGAGGCGACGATTGTGTTCAAAGGCGGACTTTCCTCCCGAAGTACAGCGACCTCCTGAATTATATATGAAGTCATTCTAATTTAAGCCTTGTGCACATATAAATTTCACTATTTTCTTTTAGAGCCGTTGGCCTAACGATAATATTAAGCAAAATGCCTATGGGTGGGATTCTAAATTTCTTGTTAATGGCTTCGGCCTTAGCCTACGAAATGACATTTCTAGAGGAACTGGACCCCGAAATAGGAGAATTTGGTCCGGAAGGCGCGATATGGAACCGATACAATAACGGAATTGGGTGCACTGAGATCCCCCCGAACCCCAGCGGCTATGTCGAAGAGATTATCCTTCGAGTGCCCGTAATGAACGTGAACCGCCAGCGTTGATGGTATTTTTCGAAAGCCCAAGTCAAGCAGGGAGTCCTCCGCGTTCGACATGTAATATTGACGATATAGTTTTCGTTGTTCGTTGGTACGAGATGCCAAGTTCACAGCGGGTGTACTCTCCCTTAAGTACTATCTCACACTTTTCGGAAGTTCGACGGGGAAGCAACTTGGATCGTTTTGTCCAGGATTTGGCGGATAGAACTGGTTTTCTTCATGAAGGGGACGTCGCACTTCAAGATAGAGAACCTGACGCGGACCAAGAGTGGGTAGTGATCAAAGATAATATCGACTTTTCGCCGGTTCCTTACATTGAGGCTGGAAATCAGGACCCTCTTTGTGACTCCAGGTCTCCATCAATGGAATCCGAGTATATCGAGGAGCCGGGGGCCCCTTTAAGACTTGGAAGCTCTATGAGCGATGAAATAGAGATCGAGATAGAACGAGCACCGGGCGGAAACTCGAGCGCGAGCTTTAGAAGCGGCGAAACTGATCCATTTGAGGAAATGTACTTCTTTGAAAGAAATCAGCCGAACTTTTGGATCTCTCTCGTTCAACAATTAGGAGAAGTCCGAGACGCCGCGATGGCTGCCGGTCTTTACATCCCTATTCCCCTGGGTCTGCGTAGCAGATACAGCGACGAGGACCTCAATGCATTGGGAGTAACCATAGACCCCGAGGCTGAAGAGGAGATATTGAGAGACCTAGTAGACCCAACAAGGCAGAGTCCAGATATTGCTAACGTTATGATCCGTCCGATATACCAAATATTTACTGGGAGTTATCCAGGAATATGGAACTATCTTTTGGAAAGTAGTGGGTGGGCGGCAGAAAATGAGAGTCAAAATGTGGAAATGTCAGAAATAGACCTCCTAGCACCAGGTAGAGGGCCGCAGAGATCCGTGTCTCAGAGTGTCGGTGAAAATAGTGATATAGTAAGCAACGGGCAACTGGTCCGGCCGAGCAATTCTTTATCCAACGATCTAACGGATAGAAGGGCAATAGCTAGTGAACATTCAATGGAGTTCGAGGAAGAAGCAACATCCCCATCCTTCCGATGGGAGGGCTCGAACCTGGATGCGAACGCCGAGTGCCTGATCCACGATATTTGTATTGAAGATACGCCTTAGTCCCAAAATTTATATATATTTTGATGTTGGCTCGTATATCTTAATATAGCCTGAACAATACCCTTAGATTCGGCAAACCGTTAAACGTTTTGAGGCGATAATTTTATTCAAGTGGGCATTATGCATTGGTTTAAAAATGTACCTGTGTAAGCTAGCTATGAGTAGGTAAACACCGCAATACTGGGCGACACTGGGGTTGACTCAAAAATCGAGTGTTCATATTAATCGGATGGCTCTTATAATAAACTTGTGACGCTTGTCTCGTAAACCGGGCAGGCCTGCAGGGAAACCCACAGAAGCTGAAAATAGAGAAGATAGCTCCTGGATATATTAATATGGTTCTGCTCAGCACAGTCTTTAAACTAGGAGGCTAATTCGCAGGCAGCTTTCCCGTTTTGTCTCAGAAAGAGCATGAAGTCCCCCCTCGCTCGAATATTGAGGACACAGAGTATTAAAATGCTACTTATATGGCCTATCTCTACTACGAGATCGTGAACTTTAGTGCTCGCACATTAACTAACATTAAGCAAAATTAAAGTATTTCCACGTTCACTCGTGTGACAGTATTCAAAATTTACACGATGCATGTTATAAAGATGCCGTTCAAGATAATGCATCTGCTGTTTTCGTTAAAAAATCTACTTCACAATGGCAAAGTAATGGAGATTTTCTTACCTCTCTCGGGAACATCGGTCTTAACATCTCTTCGGCCCAAATTTATTGGACCACTGCCTCCCCCTCGCCCTCCACGGAGCCTCCCCCTCGCCCTACCCCCGAAAAATCGGTCTCCAAGGGCTCCAGCGCCAGCCAGAAAGCCATTCCACATACGGGAGCGCCTTCTTCTCGTTTCTGCCTCAGGATCCTGGAAGACATAGCCAGGTGGGGCTGCCCCATCAGCTAGAACAGCTCCAGGATCCTGTGCGGCATATCCAGGAAGCATCTCATTATGGTATTCTGGAGGCTCTGGACCTTCTAGGACGATCGGTGCTTCTTCGGGCTGCTGGGGATCCACAATTTCGAAGGTTTGCGCGACATTAGGTCTCGGTGGAAGAGGAGGTGGAATGGGATTCGGAACTGGTCGCGGAGGGAGGGGGGGTGGGCGGTCTGGATCTACAGTTGGCAACCGATTCAATCTCTCCTCAAAAAAGCCGCTGAGACCGTGTAGGGTTGTCAGACTTAATCCTACATGATCTCTCGTCCCTCTCAGATAACGTCCTGGCCCAAGCCTATGGAGGAGATATCTATTTGCTGCGCTGTGTCTGTCGCCCGAATCCGCAACTTCCATACAATAGCACCCTAAAAAACCACAGGATGGCATTATATCCACTTATTAGTTCATCCAAGCCTAGATCCCTTTTTTGGAGCAAACAGGTAAAATTTGTTAAATACCTAGCACGTGTTCGCACCAATTTACAGCCGCTTCGGAAGCACATTCCTCCGGCCGGTCAGTGACGTGCGCGAAGGCAGCATTGCGCCTATTGGGGGCAATGCGCCAGGATCCTGCTATTCCAGAATCCTCTTCCGTTTTACATTCACATGCCCCGCAATCGTCGATTTTCTTTCGCAGGAATTCGGTAACTTCTTCTCGGCTACTCACCCGAACTTCTGATTGCCAATCCGGGAACCCCGATATCCCCAACTGACTATAAAAATCAGGTGTGGAGTAAGAAATAATCGAATCTATACTCGAGCATCTAACATATACTTCAGTTACGACAAGGCCGCCCCCTGAGGGTAAACCACCTACTCTAGGCTCGAGCGCAGAAGAATTGTTTGCAGCTTCAAGTGGAGAAGGGGGCGAATTTGTTTTATTTCTAGAGGTATTAGCGATCGCAATGGTTGGTCCTGCTACTGGAGGGGCTTTAAGGCTGGTAGTTGTAGTCGAAGAGTTTACAAAAGACGGGGTGCCAATATCCCTCTTCATCTTGTGTTTCTGCGAAGAGCTTGGTAGCTCTAGAGGAACTTTGGTAACTTGCGGTGAATATGGACTCTCATTTGATAAGCTATGGAGCTCTTTGAAGCCATTGCCTTGGGCCTGGGAAGTCTTTTCATCGATACTTATGGCGTACCACTGGCAGATGGCATCGATATCAGCCGAACCTGCTCCCAAAAAGTGTTCGTCTTGATGAAAAGCGTCGAATCTGCCATTAATGTGTACTTCCAACTGATTTTCTTCCATGGATATCTCCTGAGTCGAAGCCTGAACCTGGAGCTTAGGATTTTCGTAGCCCTGTCGCGATTTGGTAGACCCGAAACATAGACAACCTACGAAGATTTATCAGAATCAATCCCCAGATGCCCAAGTAAAGAAAGTAGTTCTGATTAGTTAATGTGGGAGAAATGTCCTTACCGTACTGATATTTTAGATTACATGAATGAAGCGAGCCATCTTGGTCCCCTCGAGCACAGTCTGCACCTGTTGATTTTGGTACCGTGGTTAGAATAGTGTATATGATACATAGCTTTGGGAATTACTACTTACGCTCAATGTAATATCTTAAATTTTCCAACCGTTTCAGAATCTGGGCTGGAACATTTTTACTATGATAGGTTTGAAGGTCTTTCTTTGAGAGCCCGAGTTTAGAATGAGGTTGATCATCTAATGGAATCTTTTCGCGGAACTCGAATGGTATGCTACAATGTATACCAGTTTGGGAGAGAAGGAATCCTTTTTGGCTCCCTGCAACCACATCTTCGCGGCCGTTAGAATCTCGAACAGGTGCACACTTGACTAGTTGGATACATTGAGATCCCAATAAGAGTAAGAAAGGAATAAAATGGCTTCGAGGAGAAACCATCGATACGGAAGAATAAGTATTAAATGCCGTCAAACACGTGGTTCCTTCGAGCGCCAAAGACAAGAAACCATGAATACTCAAGTATATTCCCGATATGCACGACTACACCAAGATATGGAGTTGTAGCCAAGTTATATTTAAGCTAAAGGCATAAGGTAGATGTGATTACTCAAAGAAATTTAAAGAAACCGAGGTGTGTTCTAGGAACTGATTCAAAGCCAGGACGTGGACGAGATATATAGTGATGCAAGAAAATAAACAGCTGGCCTATCCCCCTCCATCTCTAATTTAAAATATCTGCGTAAATAGCACGTTCTTCGTATTCTATATATGCATTGTATACGAAATGTCCGGGAATATGCGTTGGTATCATGGTGTAGTACCCATGAACCCAACTTTACAGTTGTTTTAACTCTACAATCAAATGAGCTTTGAGCAAGGGTTGGGTTAGAAGCATCGGAGTCGGAATAGGCGCCCAGAACCGCAAAGACCTTGCGAGACCACCCTTCAAAAGTTAAAAGTGGAATTATCTCGGTATATATTTATCGTTGATCATTCAAAGCCGAGCCGAGGCTCTTAGATTACCTTTTAATTCTTACTAAAGTTGGGAGCTCCGAATGACTGCGGCTTAGATCTAGACCCGCTATATAGTGCAACCTGGACCCGCGACATGCATGCATGTTGTTTATTTGTTTCAACTAGTGGTAACTTGAATGTTTGACCAAACATGTGTCACGTCGAGAACGTCTTAAATATCGTTGTGTACCGCTCACGATATAGATAATGGATGACTCCTTATACTACATATGGTCCTGCGCGATAAACTTCATTTTCAGACCATACAGATATGCATAATTATAGAGCTTGTACAAACCAGATTTTGGCTTGGGTGTTCGATGTTTTATCTTGATATATCACCGTTATCATAACTTCGAAAGGGCGCCAGCTGAAAAATAGAATACGCCATCACATCGATATCTAGAACAGAACGGAAAAATAAGGTTACGCGATGCATGAAAATTTGAGCGCAAAACATTATCGGACGCCAGCGTCGAAGGCTAGACAGAGCGGCTATGTAAATTTAATATCTGCGGTTGGCAATATTGCAACAACGGTTTATATGTGTACACGTGTGCATATATATTTATAAATGATAATCTAGAGAGAACCCCGAAAATACCTTGTGTTCGGTAACTGTTTCATCCAAGTGAAAATTCTCAATTCGTTGGCATTGATTTGGTTACAACTCCAACAGGGATCGATCATGATATCGAGTTTTATATGTAGCTCCAATAAAATATAATAGCGTTATGTAGCAGCGTTTCATTTGACGTTAGGAATTAGACTCAATGAAAAGTTTTAAAGCCAACATCGTCAACATGTTGGGTGCTCTGACACAAGGACGCCGCAATAATCACATTCAATAAATCAAAAGTTGTTATAACTGTAGTAAGGGTGGATTGCACCTATACATTGTTATATTTAGGGCTTAGCTACCAACAGCTACTTTGTGTAGGGCATCTGTATCGTTAATAATGGATTACCAACTTTTTGACTTCGAAACTAGGTTCAGCGACTTATATATAATGCTATTATTTCATGTTTTTATGGTTAATGAAACTTATCAAGGGGATTTTCTTGAGCTTGAAAAATCGGGGCGCAGCCCAGTATCAAGCTACCGTGTCAATTGAAGTACTAAGACATGTTGGCCGACTGATCAGTTGTTTCAAAAACTTACCAACCTGAAGATATACAGACTAAAAAGCCCGGTGACAAAATTAGGGAGAGCTTTGAAGCAGCAGGAGTTAAGAGAAATTAGTTAATTCTTAAAGTGGGCAGAATGCATTGAATGCATGAACCTAGACTTTTCTCCCTTTAGTTTCGAAACACTCGACAGCAGTTTTGAATATAAAGCTTTTACGTCTGGGCTGCTATGAAAAATATCAAATTTCCTCGATCTATGAGCTAATATCGACTGCGGCAAAAATGCAAAACATGTTCATGACATTTACATATGACTTGAAAACTAGCCTAAATATGATTCTGAGTAGCATATATGCATCGATATACTATCATTGGCACTTAAAAGTTGTATAGAATGGAATCAAAGACTACAATAATAGAGTGTATCTATTCAATTAGAATGCAAGGTCGATGCCCTTTCATTTCGAAAAAAAAGGAAAAGAGATGGGGAGCGCAATTCCCTGCCATCGGGAAAGGAGAGAGAAGCAGTGTTCTACGCTTATGGGTATCTGGAATATCTTCAAGGATATTTCTCTTATTGGGATCAGTCTCCGTTCATCTATCTAGAAAATGGGGTGAAGGGGTTGTAAAGCGACGCCATGGACAGGAAAATGTTTTTAGGTAATGAAGGAAAGGTAAATTAAGTCTCGACTTGGCTATTGTGTCGGTGACCGTCCCTCCAGGCCAGGCCCTGTCATCAAATTTACTACGGAAGGTCTGTTGCTTTGACTGAAGCCAGGGTCTGTAGTATGTTTGAATGGCTGGCGGGAATGTGTGAGCGGAACGTATTTGCCATGGTTCTCTTTATCCCCATATTGTATAATACCATACCGGACAGAACCTTTCGCTCGCCTTCTGAAGGCAGAAGCTCCCTTTCTGTCATTGACAGCTTTAGTTTCGAGATTTCATCAACAAGGTAACCAAGTCCCCGTGCGATGTGATAAGAAACATTAGACACCCTGGCAAGACTTGCTATTGATTTTGCGTCCCAAGGAAGGCGGTTTCTTGTCACAAGAAAATTCAATCTTCTGAAATAGTCGGACCTCTCTAGAAATTGGCGTCGAAGATCCGATAGGCTTTTGGCGTAGTAGGTTAGGCACCAAATCTTCGTCTGAAGCGCAGCGAATTCTCCCATGCTTGACTTTTGCTTATCAGGGCTCAGATAAAGCTGCCAGTATCCGGATATTGATTTTATCAGGGTTGGATATATTCCTAGAACAAGATTCAGTTGAAGGTCGTAATATTCGATGTTGCCTTGTATTTCTTTTGTAGCTCGGTCCACTTTTTGCTCGAGGAGCTGAAACCCGGTAGCGATACTGGACCAATATCCATCATTTTCGTGGGGGAAGAGTTTTTTGATGTTACTCGTAAGCACTGCGACTACCCTAAACTCATCTATCGTGATAACTTCAAGCGGAATGTTGGTAACGGATGAAATACCAATTTTCTCTTTTGGCGGGCTGGTATCGACGACACTCCCATCGGGATAGGTGAACTTTATTGAACCCCATGGGAAGGTTTCCGCCTTATTGAAGACTGCTGGAGTACCAGAAAGGCCGCCAATCAAGCTTTGAGGTTGTTTCCGATCTTGAGACTTCTGAGTAGCCGCGGGACGGCCAAGCATAGGCTTCTGGAAACCCCTTTTTGGCCGTTTTTGCACTCGCCTAGAAAGTAACCTATCGGATGCTGTAGCCCTATCTGAAGGCTTTCGAGAGGATATTTTGTGGTATCTTTCACCCCCCTGACCCCTCGGTTCTCGGTGCAGAGTGCTTGGAAGATGTTTGGTAGAGTTTGATTCAACTCCAGGTCGAGTTTTTCCACTCACGCTGTAGTATAGAATAGGCTGCGCCGATGATTCCCCTGAGGGACCCGCTGGAGGACCTGGATTTGTCATCTAAAATCAAGTGAAAGGAACCCAGCAGATATATGGGATGTCTAGAAGCAGGTATTAAGATGTGTATATTGGTAGGTACTTGAGGAGGTAGGTACCTAGGTAAGGAGGCAGTTTGATTGTAGTTGATTGTGGCGGCCGGGAAGAGAGCCGGGAGATGATAAGGTCAAAGAATATAGATACATTAGCCAGAGCAGCTTATTGTGTCTTTGAGGCCCTTATGTTATCCCGTTCTCGCTCTTCCCAATGGACGATGACCTCCGTTTCCCCTCCTCTTCGCCCCACAGAAGTATAGTATATACTCAAGTACCGTGCCAAAAAACCTTGGGATGATATTATTACCGTAGGACTGTGGTATCAATGACGATTAATCGTAATACTACTGGAATAAATCGGTATTTATATTTTAACCCTTAATACGCATTGGAATGATATTAAGCGTCATTCATTACATTTCCAGTGACTGTCATTGCACTAGTATCCGAAATTAACCTTAAATCCATTCGAAATACATCCTTTTCGGCAGAGTACTTAAGTACTGAGATACTTGTTGCCGTCAAAAGCCAAATTTTCTGTTCTCACTGGCCCTTTGTTCCCATTTTAGTTCGTGATTTGTAGTCGGTGAACCTCAGTATTTGAGAATAGAGTGGGTCACTGGAAAATGTGCCAAACATGTTTTTATTGACGGAGATCATCTGCGGATCCCTATTTAGATATTCTGGGATCCGTCGGGGCTATCTTCGCTTTTTGCCCGTCGCTCTTATATTCTTTACATGGTATACGTACGTAAATTGCGCGGAAGTTAAATAATAGATACCTATATACTAGAATATATGTATACTACTATATACTTATACGATATATAGCGTGTGTGAATAGCTAAAAGGTTTCCTGTCGACGAGGGAAAACTTTAAAATTTTCGCGTAAAACTTAAGCTTTAGCTAATCGGTGAATAGACTACTGCCTTGTATGAGCATGTGAGGACATAATAGAGATACTAGTCCATGACGCCCATAATTCACAGAATGTAGTATCCAACAGCAACTGTGTCTGTAAAATATGTTTGAAATGCAGCATGATCAACGGTTATAGCTTAGGACCCGACGTAGACAGAAATAACTTTATAATCCGAGAAGTGATTCGATTGCACGTACATGTCAGCTATTTTTCTAGTACAAGCTTCCATTTTTATATTTTTCTTCCGTGTCTTCGAATAACTTTCTCATAGGTTTAGACCTAAATCTTCTACGACACTAGAAACGAGGGAACTCCTCTCTAATATCTCATTCGGTAGATTTAAGAGCCTAAAACCAGGAATAAACAGTAGGGTTTGATACCTACAGTAGGGCAAGTCTATACATAGAACCAAAGATATATCTCGCGCAAGATCATTCAGCGAACACAATGTCGAACCAAACCTCCCAGCAAGAAGCCCCTGGGCGAATATCACGATCACGACGAGCCATCAAAAAAGTTTTTACAGCATTGCTCAAGCCTAACCGTTCTCGATCTCGGTCCGGTGACCCGAGTCTACACACAACAGGCTACCAGTCTCCTGTCAACAGATTTCCCGATGTGCCTCCAGTCTATACAATAATGGAGTTCCCGACCCCTAGACCCGACAATGACAAGCCCTCAAAATCGTCACTGGATGATACGAGGGCTTCAACCGGTGGAGATATGACGATAGAAATGCTAATACAACCGACCCGACATCTTGAACTGATCAATCCTGAAATTCAGAGCGCGGCCCCGACCAGTATTTTTCTACAGAAGGTGGTACAGCAGCCGGAACCCGTCCCGGTTCCGGAAATCAAAGCCCAGTCGACGGCTACTCCCGAGAGACCGAAATCACTTATGAAATTGGCCGGAGCTAAACGCGATTCTGACATCATTTACCCGCCGTTTAATCTCTGGAAGGAGCTTGTGCAAAACATTATTAAGCTTGGCGTCGAACCTCAAGCCGTTAGCCCCATGGCTCTTTTTGAATATGTTGATATACCAGAACGACAGGCTCCATGGTACGAACCAGCTGCAATCGACATACTGACAATCGAGAACGATGCATACAAAGTGGCTACCGAATATGTTATAGCTGCTTCCGGCCATGTTATCCGACCCCACTCTAGTGCGAAAAAAGTAACGGCTTGGACACAGCTGGGGGATTTCGATTTCCGCTTAAGTGCTGTAGACGCCTATGCCGATAACTTGATCCGAGGTGTTAATGCTTGCAGGGAAAAATGTGGAGACACGCTAGTGGATATAAAAATGGCCATTAATGCGTCGAATCTGGTGGAGGTTCTCTTGGAATTGAAACAATCAGCTGCGAATTTGAGGGAAGCCATTATGTATCGCATCATTCGGAGACACGATGATGGGAAAGCGAACGTCTGGATCTCTTAACCTAAGTTATGATCCCTACACTTGTTTTGAGGCTCTTTAACGACGGTACAAAAGATTTGATCATTACGGGGTTTAAAATTAGGATCGGAGCAATCCATAGAAAACCGTGGCAAACAACCGTGTTACCTTTAGCGCCCTGAATTAATTCATGTGTAGGGCGGAGATTTGGCATGGTCGCTAAGTTATGGTCCAAAAAAATGCTACTACTGCTTGTTGAACTCCAAGGCTTCCTTGTTTCGAGTTTTCTTGACACCCGTGCCGTATGAATACATATTCAAGCTTGAGGATCTAGATATAATGTAGATTTGCATTGTCTGAACAGCCTCGTTGTTGATGCGACCCTTGTTGCGTTGCATTCCGGATATTGCCAGAAGAGGCTAGCCTTTATTGCGGTTCAGGTAGCCTACAGGGATAACCCTGTATGGTCGTCTGCTTCGTTAGGCAATCGGCCATGGCCCAAGGCTCTGAACATTGGTTCGAAAGTTATCAGGCATGATTTGATCATTGGTTCTATTCGTCGGGTTGTAAATCGCGCTGGGTTTCAAACACCTTTTCACAATCGCACAAGGGGCCCATAGCCCAAGGGAAACCCGCCGTGCTGGTAGCATACCAAATATGATTGGGCCTTTAGGCTACAGGATTGCATCAGGAGGCTCCGATCGATTCACCTTGCAGAAGTTCCAGCCGTATTGAATGAAGGATTTGTCTTATGTGCATACGTATGCTTCGTCGGTTCTGAATGAGTGCACTTTCCCACATCAGACATGCAGGATTTTCAATTTTTCAGTGACTAATAGTAGATACATCAAGTCGATTGAAATCGATCAGGCTCTTTGACGTGTCGACGGTGCATGTGATATCATAATAACTTCCTTCGAAAAGCACTTGCATCAAGAGGCCTACAGGTGCCATGGAATTCCTTGTGTTTCTTTCTTCCTCTCTGGCAGTGAAGCAATTCCTGTGCCGCGATCTTGTACTTTATAAAACCGAGCGGTGGCGTATCCACGTAATAGTCAGTTCCCTTCCCTCACACGCGATACAATACAGCAACTAGGAAGATAAAATACAATACGAACTAGAGGTATTGAACACTATTAATCCAATGACAGTCACGTGCTCATATTGACGCATCTAGCTGTATCTTAGAAAAACACATTCATCTTCATCAGCCTACAGCTTAAACATTCCCTCTCTCCATAACGCGGAGTTTTCTTCTGTCTACAAAGTTTCAATTGATAATATTGGAACCCTCTCAAATCAAAGCTATAGCGCTTAGCTACCGAAGGAAGCAATTTTTGTTCGTTCACGAAGTAAGTTCGCGCTTGGACTTATTTATTCGTCTTAAGATAGGTTATTTGCTCTATCCCCTTCTCAAAAGTAAGATCACAATGCTCCACGATCAGTAAACAGAATTTTATCTGGCTCAATCGCTTCAAAAAATGCTAACGAAATTTAAATCTTTTTTCTGTGGCATAGTTCACCGGCATGAAGCCATACGGAAACATGGAGAAGGCGAACCTCGACTTCCTAATCCACAACATCATACTTCCCCCAAAGGTGCCCCAAGAGAGGCCTGACGACCTCCGTAAAAAAGATTTTGGACTTCTACGATTTGTTGCAGAAGTGGCCCAAAGCTACGCGAAAAGCCTTGGTAATCAAGGCTGCGGTATTGAAGTCGAGAAAGCGGCTAATGCCTTGGACCGCATGGTGAAGATTCATAATCCTCACCTAAACTTTCAAAGCCAACTCCGGGCTGAAGTTAGAAGTTTGAAACCCGGTGGTATGTTAACTCGTCGATTGATCGTTTGCAGAACGAATGGGATCCTATAAAAATATGTATCCGGACTAATACCATTGTATAGACGCGTTTGGGGTTCATATAGTCGAACAGAACGCAGGAATAACTTTCAGGCGTATTGGAAACTCCCTTCAACTAGAAACCTTCGAAGTATCTACTCCACAAAATGTCCCGGTAGCGTGCAAAGGTCGATTACAGTGCAACTATCCGGGGCCGACAACCATCATCCCATGGGAGATCACGGAGGACTCAAGCTTTTTGGACCAAATGAGCGAATTTCTTCACCATATGACCAGCGAACAATTCACATCCGAGACGCTTTCAAAAAGTCGAAAAGGAGGTAATACGCTCAATGAGACCCGTAGTAGTCCGAGTCCCGAATATATTATCAGCCTTTTCACTGGGATGATGAGGGCGGTCGGGAAAGAGATAAGGCCTGATGCTCAGGTCATAACCAAAAGCATTCGGGATGAATGCAATTGGAATAATGCCAACCTCCCATGGAGACGAAGCGGGATGTGGTTGGTAATTCGTGTCGCTTTACAAACAACTATTAGCGACGAACAATACAAATTACTGATTTTGGAGGTGATTCGGACTCTTCTTGACCAAGCGATCATCCGGAACCATGATAGCTATGCGATTAGCTGTATCAGCAAAAAATTGGCAAGACGTTGTCAGAAGATGAAAGATAAGGTGCCACCTGCTCCGCTGGCGCGCATCATGGAGACTACGGAAAGAGGGTCGGCGTTATTGAAGAAGCGGTGGGAAAAGATAGCTGCAGAATCAAGTCGAACGATATCATGGAGCAGCGAACTTAGCACTACGTCAAATATAGCCGAAAATACTGGCATATTGTTAAAAAACTCCCTTTCGTGGATAACGAAGAGACTCCATGAATACGAAAATCCACAGTCAATAGCCACTCGAATAGCGGATCCAACTGAAGTCGAGCGCTTCTTGTCACCTGACTCCTTTCCTTCAATATTCGGAAATTCGGAAGTAGACAAAGCTATAAGTGTCATTGACTTCGAGACGTGGATCCAAAAAAATCTTGAGGCGTGGTGTTCCCAGACAAATCTCAATGTTGTGGGGACGCTGAACTCCAAGATGAAAGAATATCATAAAGAAGCTGCCAAAATTTATAAGGATCACAACATTCTTGACATCTCAAGAATGATATTGACAATTATTGAGATGTGGGTGTTTTTGGACTCATCAGTCTGTACTGATGAGCCTCTTCTTAAGGAATACTCGCCGGAGATACCTCATAACTTACTAGAACCGCTTCTTTTCATCCAAAAGTCGGACATGCAGCGTGTGGCTGAGGTTGAAAAGTACCTCTGCAAACGTCACTCCGAGTCCACTCTACATTCCCCAATATTCGCTAGATACGCAGCCCCAAATTCCTTTGCAGCTCGATATTATGCCACAAGTAGGCCTCTTCAAGACTTGCGAGAGAAAATTACAACAAAAGCTACCCAACACCGAGAAGCTAAAATAAAGGAACTTAAAATGGAAAATGCCAGGTACAACGACCTTAAGGAAAAGGCGAGGAATAAAACATGCGATTGGTACTACAACGAAAGCGCTGGGCGTTATAAACATAATCGTGGCTGCGAAAAGTGCCGATGGAACAAAGAAGCGAACAATATGTCGATTATCGTCCATGAGTGGCCACTTCCGTGTGATGAAATTGAAGCTCGGTGCGTTATATTCGAGCTACAGCCTCCTCCAGATTTTGCACAATGGCGAGACGCAACGTATTATTTGATGATGGAGGTTTGTTCGATCGATTCCGCAGCGAAAGCTGGGGAGGGTGAATCATACAGGTTTAATAATTGGGAGAGTCTGCACCAAAACGAAACCTGCCAGGATTATCGAATTACTTGGGCATCTAGAACGAAACCGATTAGTGGTAGATCTCATTACAAACGCCGCGACATCCCTGCGGTAGAGAGCGACGTGGTCGTGAACCACGCGGGTCAGTTTCGATTATATGATTCCAAAGATTCAGGATGGGTGGAGTCTCAGCACCGAACATGCACTACCAAACCGCTTTGCAATTCCCAGATTCACGATGGAACATACAGGGATCTATCGTATGCTGTCAACGATGTCCTGCATACACATAACGAAAATATTGCGCGCCAATTCGAATGTCCATCGTCGCTGACACTTCGCGAATATGACGCATTCACGGGTCTTCGGTCAGGGTACTCTCTACAATGGCATAATATATTAATGGAACTACATAAGAGAGATCTGGCCTTTAACAAAGATGCTGTCTACCTTCTTATTTTGCACGCTGCCTGCCATCTTGGGCTAACAAGCGGCCTCGATGGCTGGTGTAGAGAGTCGCATACTACGCTATCCGAAGAAGGCTTTTCTCGGCAGCTAATCGATTGTTTGGAAAAATCCTTGTCAATTGTGAAGAGCAACTGGGAACAGGCTGTAACTCTCAAGACTTTAATACTATTAGCCCGAAGACTGATCAGCTGTGGCCACAGTTCTGTAAAATCTGACACTCTCGCCTTCTTAAGAGAAGCACGGCAGGTGTGCAACCCATGGATCGAATCGATTAAAAAGAAGATTCAAGAAGCCCAGGAAGAATCTAAGATCAAAGATCTACGAAAATGGTTGCTTAGATTAGCCGGTATCCAACTCAGCACATTTGACGTTGACCAAACTTTCCTTTCGGAAATATTCGAGGAACCTACGGATGTTACCGATTACTTAGTTTGCTTGAATATTATTTATGACAATTCTTTGGGCGTTTTTCGAGGTTTACCTCGTGACCTCGAACTGTTGTTAGAGCAAAACAGGCGTTTTTCTGTCGTAGCCGAGAGCTTCATCGAGGAGAAGCTTCGGAGTGACGAAGGAGGCGACATCCTGACGTCGACCACCAAAAGAATTTTGACGGAGAGGGCAATCAGCGGGACTTGGGAGCAAGTGACTACCCCAGCCAGTAGATGGTGGGCTCTACGGCCTTTTGCACCCGCGAAAGAATCTGGAACGGTGGTCCACCTAAATGTTCTTGAAGGAAAGATTCTAGTCAATGGGAAGCCAAATGGTAGACTTCCATCCGAATACTTTACGCATGAGATATACAAAAGACTACTTGGCAATGTAAGCACTCTGAAACTTTATTGTATGCGCTTCGTAAGAAGAACTTTACTAACCTATGATTTTGATCGTTTGTAGACGGTACTGGATGTTATTGCGTCGGAGAAACCTGGAGTGTCCTATGAGACTAAAGGTCTTTTTTGTGGGCTCAAATTACATTTCCACCTAGAAGCAGGAGACTTGACAATTCGAAAACACCTCCCAGCCCTGAATAAGCAGGAGCTAGCCGAGCATGAGTTTATTCCGTTGAAAAATTTCATAGGTGATATCCCTATGACGATACTACAAGGTGGCACACAGTGGCTAGATTTCAGGAGCAAGAAAATAATATTCTACCAGCAGCCGAAATGGTGGAATGAAGCCGATCCTTCAGAGGATTGGATTCTGGAATTGGTACATCCGGATTTCAATGGTCGACGCATGCGCCGTAACGGTCACTATCTTTTGGATCTCAACCGTAATATACACCAGTCTATCACGGAAATTCTGAGTCCGATTGAAGACAGGAACTACATAGTAGCAACAAAAACCGATGGGTCGCTAGTCAACTTCTTTTTACCAAGATATAAGCTTGACTTTTTCCTCAATGAATCCGACTCAATAGAGTGCCGGAGTATTCGAGGACTGATCGTCGATCAAAACCAGAATATTGGGACCTTAATAGGCCTAAAAAGTTTCTTAAAACTACGACCAAATGGTAAAGCGTCAGCTCAGGAATGTATATTGCTGCCATATGGGAATATTATGACATACGAAGCGAAAAGTGGACACGCATCGGTATGTATCGAAGCACCAGAAAGCGATCGCAGCTATGCTGTCTATCATATCGATCGTGTTATGAATAAGCTACTCGATGACGGAACCCTGAAGGCACGATACACACGTTTATACTTACACGCCGTATGTGGAGGGATTCTTCCGGACCCTTTGACAGGACGTACTGGGGTAGCCGAAGCGTTAGATGGATTGAGAAGTGCAGCATCTTTCTCTTTCCAAACACTCCAGAATACCGAGGCGGCACTTCTGAAGCTGATCGCCAAGCTAACTCCTAACCGTAGTTTTTATCCTCCGGGGCGAGAACTCATGCAGCAAGTTGGATGGGCGGAAAACCTGCCTGTCTGGGTTCAAAATGATAATTTCTACCCCTTAGCGGCGGAAATATTCGAGGACTGGTCAAGCAGACAGTTCCTTATCGAGAACTCTATTCAATTCAAGACTCCGGAGTGCGGTTCCATCGATCTTCTAAGCCGAGCGCGGTATCACAATAGTGTATTCGATGAGGGCGATATCGAAAAGAAAAACCGTATATCACACTCCTATTCTCATCAACTAAGACACACCCCGAATAGCAAAGAAGCAGAAGTTTACGATATTTCAAAAGATATTGTTGAGTGGAGCCAATTCAATGACTTAGAGTCCAATCTTGCGGAAACCTTGATGAACTTGGAGAAACTCAGGGGAGCCGACGCCAGTTTTGCTCCCAGCTACACTCCTGAAGTGTATGCGTGCGATCCAATTGAAAACTGGTGTGACCTCTACACCTGGTGCCAGAATTGTACACAAAAGGACCGGTTTTACTTACTTTTCACTTTTGGATCCTGGATATACAGAAGCGCCGTGAGCAAGAAGATCTTGAAAGCCTTCATCACAATCGCCGCGATTGAAAGCCCTTACGATATCGAAGTCCCTTCATACGAATTATTTCAACCTCAGATTGGCCTGTATCCAGATCGATCGTTTATTGATACGGCTTTCTACGACTCTATTATTACCTTTTGGGATTCTAAATACTCATCTACCTCCTGTAGTGAGGTTCCTAAATACGCCTGGGAGAGTCATCATGATCATTCTCGCCGGAAGAAACAATACTATGAAGATGAGCTGACCCGGCAACGATCGGCAGCCGTTGATGAGATCATGAACCAGTCCAAATCAGACAAGCCGGGAAATCCCCGGGGGAGGTACGATCTCCTAAGAGTTACTTCTGCTATGCAAACTATCCGTTCGCGTTTCGAGATCTGCCGCCAGAACAGAGAACTACACGGGTACCTCACAACACTAGGAAACAGATTAAAGAGTTTCACGGCTGCAAAAGAGTCCCTTCCCACCTTTGATACTTCGACGATATTACAAGATCCCCTAGGTGAAAAGCTGCCAGAAAACCGGCTATCATGCTCCATATCTCTCGAAGAATTATTAAACAATAGAGAAGCACCAAATTTATTCACCTTCCAACAGCTTCGAAACGACAAGATCACGGAAGGCTTTTTTGAGAATTTGATGCAACACATGGTTATAAGGTCAAATGAAAACGAGGATCCTATCACGCCAATTATTCTCAAGCTCAAAGCCTCCACCAAACCTTTCGCCCAGAAGTATGGCGATGATCTATTAGAGAGCGTTCAAGCTCTTAAACAGTCGGTCCCTGTGGGTTCGTTTGACATGAAACTAACTCTAATAGATTATTTGTCGAGATGGACCCTTTGGTACCAAAATCACACTGCCATGTGTCTAGAAACACTTCTAGGAACCCTAAAGAGAGCCTTATCACCGCACACAATTTATGAGCAGCTGCTTGAAGCGGCTGGTCTTTGGCCAACATCAACAATCTTGGATATCATTCAGCAATTGCGATTGAATAGGAGAAAGGCTCTTTATCCAGAATGGCTAAAAGTTTTTATTTGTTTTGGGGAGGCGATTACTTGGCTCCAACGATCCAACAGGCTGTGTCGATTTGCAATAAATGGGGCCTTGCAGGAGATAGAAAAAGATGTTCACGGTTTCCGAAGGCAACATTGGAAGGCAGAGGATTATGTAGACTGGCTCCTGTTTGAAATTGATTCCGAAATGATGATTCGGCCGATCCAGGCGAAAATTGGCCAAGAGATGATGAGAGAAGGTAGCACCGGGAACGTAGTGATGCAATTGAACATGGGAGAAGGAAAGTCAGCTGTAAGTTCCCCCAAGCTTATCTACGAAATATACACCTCACGCTCTTGAAAGTTTATGTAAAACTGATTACGTATTTTGATTGTGAGATAGGTCATTATGCCTGTGGTTACTGCAGCTCTAGCAGATACTACGAGACTCGTTAGGCCAATAGTTCTGAAGCCTTTGTCGACACAGATGTTTCAAATCCTCGCCCAACGGCTAAGTGGCTTGTGTGACCGAAGGATATACTTCCTTCCCTTCAATCGAGGACTTAAAATAGGGGCTGATGACGTCGGGAAGATATTCGAGTTATACAAGCGATGTAAATCGAATGGGGATATCCTCCTAACACTTCCAGAGCATCTACTATCCTTTAAACTTATGGGAATGGAAAAACTACTCCAAAGAAACAGAGAATTTGCAGACGTTTTGATAAGCGCACAGGATTGGCTAGACGAAAACACTAGAGATGTATTGGACGAAAGCGACGAGATCCTTCACATCCGGTATCAGCTTATATACACAATGGGCAAACAGCAGGCTCTTGAAGGCGACCAAGATCGGTGGACACTAATACAAGATTTTCTTGAATACTTGCAAGAGTGCGCAACAGAATGGTCAGAAAATTACCCGACTGCTATTGAAGTTCTGCCACCTAAAGCAGCAAAAGGACCAACCGCTCTTGAAGCTCTACCAACTAACGAAGCAGAAGGACCGACCGCTCTTGAAGTTCTACCAACTAAAGAAGCAAAATATCCCACAATAAGGATTATTAGCCAAGAGGTCGGAAAAGAAATGCTGGAGAGCATGGCAAAGGAGCTATGCATCGACGGTACAACCAGAATGCCGACGCTTTCGTCCAAGTTACGGCTGCTTCACACCGGATTACGACAAAAAGTCTTCGAATTCATCACAGTGCGCAATATATCTAAAGACTTACAGGATACCGTTTTACAGGAATGCAAACATTTAAAAATCCAACTTCTCGTACTCAGGGGTCTCATTGCGGATGGGGTTCTTTTTTTTATCCTTCGTGATAAACGATACCGGGTGGACTACGGCCTAGATACCAAGCGTTCTAAACTAGCAGTCCCATATAGGGCAAAGGATCGACCAGCAGTTAAAGCGGAATTTGGCCACCCAGAAGTCGTCCTAACTCTGACATGTTTGACTTATTACTATGGGGGGTTAGAAGATTCTGATCTGGAAAGCTGCTTTGAACTTTTGCTCAAAACAGACGATCCTGACCTAACATACGAACGATGGACATCGTGGGCTGAAAAATACGATGCTGTCAAGCCTAATCTCTCTAGATTGCAAGGTTTGAATCTTTTGGACGAGGAGCAAAAGAAATCCGAAATTTTCCCCTTCTTTAAGTATAACAAGTATGTCATCGACTTCTTTCTTTCAGAGCTTATATTCCCGCGCGAGGCGAAAGGATTCCCTCACAAACTCTCAACAAGCGGCTGGGATATAGCCCGAGAGAAGAGGAATAATACCACTGGATTCAGCGGAACTAACGATAATCGATATCTCCTCCCGACCAGTATAAAACAACTCGACCTTAAAGAGCAAATGCACACAAATTCCCTAGTATTGATGAATCTTCTAAGGAAAGAAAATAATACTGTCATAAAAGTGCATGACAACGGGAAGAGACTGACAGCCAGCGAGATGTTACGCGAGATTGTCGGGTTGGACCCCAAAGTTCGAGTCCTGCTTGACGTTGGCGCGCAAATCTTAGAGTTAGACAATTATGGGGTTGCGCGGGAGTGGTTGAAGCTCGAGGAATCGTCTCATATTCACGGTGCGGTATTCTTCGGGGAAGACGATGAGCTATTAGTGCTGAAGAGAGATGGAAAAATTGAGCCTTTCGTTTCATCGAATCTCTCGAAGCAGCTTGACCAGGCCCTGGTATATCTCGACGAGGCCCATACTCGGTAAGAAATTAATTTCCAATATATGTAATCCCGTATTGTATTGATTCTAACTTTTTAACCACACGATATAGCGGCACGGACTTAAAACTACCTGTAGACACCCGCGCAGCTGTTACATTGGGACCTAACCTCGCGAAAGACAAGTTTGTTCAAGGTAAACCGGCCTCTCCAGAACTGATTTGATGACTTTCATTCCTAACTACTAGATATATAGGTTGTATGAGAATGAGGAAACTCGGGAACGGCCATTCTCTAGTCTTTCTTGCGCCACCCGATATATACTCTCATATTCAACACGAAACAGAAAGGTTAGAAACTGAAAATGCGGGTGTTTCAGACGTTCTTCTGTGGACCATGCAAGAAGGTTGTCGCCAAATACAACATGGCTTCGCAATATGGGCGGACCAAGGATTTCAGTACTTGAAGCGGAGCCAAGGCTGGAATGATTTCCGAGCTGATGGTGATATTGGAGCCCTCGAAAGTGCTATACAGGAGCCTGAAAGCCGCCCACTCCTGGAAATGTATGGGGCCGACGATGGATCCTTAAAAGTCGACCACTGCGTTCTAAATTCCCCGAACGGAAAAGAAATCACTAGACAACTCGACGAATTCAACGTTATTGTGACCAATAGTGTTAGAGTACAAGAAGAACAGGAACGGGAAGTCGATCACGAAGTTGAAGAGGAAAGAAATATTGAACGACCCAAACCTGCCAAAGCGATGCAACATCAACTTGCCGACCAACTCAGAACCCTAGTAAGGTCAGGGAGGTTCCATCTCAACTCGTCGGTTTTTAGGCCTCCATTCAGCATTTTCGCGAGTACGTCGTGCCGGGAAGACCTAGAAGATTTTGGAGCGGGCCCTTGGGTAGTTCAATCGTCTCAGTTCGTCACCAACGATTTTTCTCAAACAATTGAACGAACAGGAGTAACCAACATGGATGATTACTTGCGACCGGTTCGATGGATCCTTGAATTCCCCCACAACGGGCAACCTTATCTAGTATTCATCAGCCCCTACGAAGCCAACGAACTTATGGTCGATATTAAAGGATCCCGATTTGTCCGACTCCATTGCTACGCCCCAAGGGTATCCCGCGGCATGTCTAACTTCGAGTACTTCAGCATCTGTCCTGTGCAACAACTATTGAACACCAACCCAAAACTTCCGCTGGACGTATATTCACGAATTAGGTTGAATCTGTTCGCAGGCCAATTGTTCTTCGAAAATGAGCAGTACTACCAAGATCTTTGCAGATATCTTAGCCTAGACTATGATGCACAACGCATCTCAGGGCACGAAGGAAACGATGGTTGGGTATCAAACACGGATGCGGATGGAGTATCTGTGCTCCCATTTAAGCAGAGTCCGATACCTTTCCTGAAAGCTATTACAAAGATGAGAAGAAAGGGCCAAGGGTTTGCTTCAACCCATCTTGGAGGGCTGTTAGATTCTCTAGTCTTGAGGAAAGACGATTTTACTTCACGTTCTAAAGCGTAAATGAAATACTTTAGCCACAGCATGTAATGGAGTAGCTTATTTTCAGAATGTACTATTAATTTTTTTAAATAGAATCTTGATCGATGATCAAGCAATCATTGCTTAATTCTTTACAGGTGAAAAGAGTCTGAGATAGATAGGAACACGACGAGGCTATCAATACTTATCTAACCCCGGAGCTTTAATCCTTAACTTGGGGTTTCATGGCGGCTTTGTTCAAAGATTCCTCGGTGACTGTAGACAAAGGTCTTTGAAAAGAGAGGTCCCCAGAGATATCGTAGTTGCCCCTAGTCTGCGAGCTGCTACGGCCTCGCTGTGACGGTGGTCCTTCAATCTTAACTAGCATCCTACAAATATCAATCAGTCAGAAGCCATGAGTTGGTGATAAAGCGTGAGGAACATACATGTTAATTACTCCGACAAGGCTGTTGTTGCATTTGGTGAATAATTCTGAGATCTGTTCATCGATTAGGAGTACTCCTACAACGCTCTTCTTAGCTTCGGATAGGAGGGTCTCGAATCGTGAGATCTGCTTTTCTAGCTCGAGCATTCGTTTAAGTGGCGCACTCGACTTCCAGAAGAACCTGGGCATATTCTTGATGACGGCCTTCATCATGTACTTTTGTCCGCTTTTGATACCATCCATCATTGCCTTGATAGATTTCCATTCGCCGTATTTCATCCTGTCGTCTTTTCGGTTGTCTCGGTATCCTGATCCAACAGTTTGAATCTGGAACTCCCATACTTTGACGCGATTTTCGAGGTTAAAGGGACTTGGGTCTCCTAACATCTTCATGATGTCTGTGTGGACACTTCCAAGGAGATCCCTTGATCGAGTCCTGGGGCCGCGAATCTGTTCGGTCCAAGTGGTTAAATGACTGATCCGTTTCCCGAGACTATTGATAAGCTGAATATGGGAGATATAGTAGTCATCGTGATAAATTGGGTGGTCGTCTCGGAGGGGAACAGCCGGGGAGGGCTTCCGAGTCGAGTAGTTCTTTTCCCAAGGTGGAATCTGTCTTTGATCATTCGATGGTCCCTTCGACTGGAGGTATCTTCTCTGTGACATCGGGCTATGCTCGTGACGGCGTTTGGAAGATCCATTCAGGACGTGCGAGACTTGCATCGCCGACTTCCCAGGCATAGCTCGAGACGGACCCGTAGGATATTGAGAACGTTGCATTTTCGAGGGATATTGAAGGTTGGTAGATATGGTAAATTGAGTAGGGATGGGGAAGAGGGGGGAAGGACGCGTGTAGACTGAAGCTCAGGTACGTTGCTGGGTAGGTAGGTGTGTAGATGGAGGCCCAGGGTCAGCCACAACGTTGCCATGTGGTTAAATGATATTCCAGAAGCTCGGCACGCTTCGTAACATTTGGAACGTGTGTATATTCCTACTGGGAAACACACGATACTAAGGTACACCCACCCGATAAAGTGACCAAAATCTGTTCGACTACATCAAGATATTCAATTCCTAGCAGACCCATAGTTGCCTTGCTCAGAATAGTTTGCTCTATTGTGCCTTCGAAATTCTGTCCCTCAATATTAAAAGACCTGGTATTACTGTCTCAAGCCGCACCAAGCAACTTATTGGCTTGATCTGCTATCAGTCCTCCAGCTCTCAACAAGCCCTAAACTTAAACTTCCGAGACAGCTACTGAACTCCCATAATATTGATGTATGTTAGGATTATCCGCTCAGCTAAAAGCGCTATCTTCGAGGTTTCTTGAATAGTTTATTACAGACATTCTGTATAATCAATCCACGGCCCTCATTCTAGTATGTCGACATTATCACAGCTGATAAATTACAACCCACATATGTATGTAGATTCCCATGCTATCAATATTAATGCTGACGTTGATTTCGGGGTTCGAGAGAGAGTAAAAGGTTTTTATGGTACGATGTGTATCCATCGACCATTACTCGAACGGCGTTTTTCAGATACATTTTCCTGACTCTCCAACATCCACTACCGGACGGGTTTGGCATAAGGCATATGGGCCTGTCGCAATTGCACAACCTCTAGGTGGTTTGAGACAATATTGAAATAAGTATTTATACGGATAGAATATGGTTGTCCATCAGTAGAAATTCCTGGGCTCTTTCACGTGGTACATGGTGCTATTTATCTCCCTCTATCATACTCATTAAACGGCATGATCCATGACCTCACAGCTTACCGATACAAAGATCTATAGCTAGTGCGCTGGAAAAAAGGCATTGCATTGATGAACCAAGTCCTTCAGCACCGTGAGGTTTGAAGACTTAAATTACGCTGTTTCCTTGCATTGCCATACCAAGGTTGCTACTCGAATCTAACTAGGGGCTACAGAAACAAGGATTTGAAGGAAAGGCTGAAGCATTCAAATTTGCAAAATAAGACCCTCTATTCTAAAGAAAAGTGCTTACAGCATGGAGTACTTGACATACCGCCACTTGACGCTTTACATAGTGGCTGAACTCTCTATATTTGCAACTTTAGGATCTGCCTACGTGCCCGCTATCTCGGTTTATTTTCCGGATTTCCCTAATAGGCGGCCATGGCGACGTAAGGAATCTTTTCTTTCCAACACTACCATTTGAATGCGTCAATGTTCTAATAGCCTCTTGATGTAGTTTGTCAGCCCACAACGAATAATATACAAGATTTTAATGATATAGGGACGGATCTATTTATTATTAACCCTGAGGAAGAAAGCTGTAACAGCGGCAGGCGTAGGCGTTATGACTCAGGATTTTGGTTTTATCCCCTATATTTAGATCTCCAAGATGCCACAAACATACCGGCAATTTATTTAGATGGTTATGATGTTGGTGCTCAAGTTCGATATCCTACTGTCGACCGCGAGCTTCCTTTCATAATTTCAAGAGACAGGGAGGGCTATCGACCAGCCTAGTAAGTTCATGGCTTTATATTTGCTAAACTAGCAATCCGTCCTTATACACGAGCTAGTCACTGATAACTATTTTTCGGTTTAGCTGGATTGTTAAAAGAGGTGGCAGGATGATAGATCCAGCAATAAACCTTTTCCAGGAAGGCGACACTTTGGGGTTTGTCGGGTCATCAATGGAGGAAGACCATACACTTAGACGTAAGACAAAGGATACCCTGTCCGTTTATTATTTCTAGAGAAATATCAAGATGCTTCTCTCTATATCTAACTACCGCGCAAAACAGTGTATGATTACGGCCCCGGGATCGGTTATCGGATTAATAGGGGTTTCCCGGCACTTGATAATCCGCGAATAGAACTACGCTACGCTAATAATTGTTTTTTGAGATGCTGTACTAAGTTTTTCCATTGTCTCCGAGATATGTTTGGAACCGGATGGAGAGAAGAAAACGCAATGGGGGCCCGACAGAGACGGAGGACTATTGCCCCCGAGGGGGAAGATCAGGAAAATGCAGGCCTCCGACGAGCGGCGGACCTTTTGGCACTCGCTGATCAACTAGAGCAACTGGCTGCGCAAATTGAAGCCGCCGAAGTTCCTCCTGTAGATAATATTACAAGGGTATCTATTCGGGAGAGGGATGAATCCGAACACGACCTACAGTTCTGGGATAACTTACTAGGAGACAGTCCTGAAAGACCAGTACATCAGGAAGCTGCTATGGAGGAGAGTAACAGCGTGATTAATCTGATACCCTTCCCGGATATCGAAGAGGATCGTTCCAATGCAGGCAACCGTGAAAGTCAGAATAGCCGTGGAATTGAACTCATACCTATCCAAGGCCAACTTCAACGCGAAGAAGACGAGGAAGACATAGAAGCTCAACCAGGGTCCTCAAATGATGAACGACTAAATAACGCCTTCAGGGGTCCTTTAGACCGTAGCTATTAATGACTCACATCGGATATCTTACCGGGCGTATATAAAAGTATTAAATTTAGTATCTAAAACATGATGCATATTATTTTTGGAAATAAACGCCACGCCGCGTCCTAGAGATTTTTTAACAGTATTAATCTTCCGGTAACTTCAATCATACGCCTCTAAAATCCTTTATACGAGAGGCCCATAATTATATAAGGCAACGCTCAGAAAAATAATATTTTATTTAGTCGAGGGCGTTTTGGAAAGTAAGCTTATAAGGTTTGAAGGAATCATGCTCACAAAACTGGATGTTATGGCCAACGAGTATAATTATGACTCCCTTATAATCACCTAGGTAATTGCTCAAATTCGAGTCTCATAGAGCATTATTTATTTACCATGGCAAATACCGCATGCATTCTACCACGCGGTTCACGCATGTCAGTCCATATTTCGGCCAAAGACCTAGGCTACATATCTCCAGACCCGAATAATTACCACAATCGGAGAAAAGAAGGGAAGAACTCGATCTAGCACTCTTCCAAACTGTGCGGACCAAAATGCGGAGCTATATGGTTGTACGGCCCAATCAAATACTTTTAGTATTTACGCTGGGGTTCTTTAGCTTCAGCTATGTTTCAGGGTTTCAAATAGAAGTTCATGATACCAACCCTGAGAACAAGCGCCCCTATCCTTGGCAGTGTAAGTGTCGTCTCCTATTTGCACCTGACTTTGTGTAATTAAGGAAGCTAGTTGGCCCTTATAACCAATCACTATATGTGGTGCTTAATTAACTAAACCGGGGTCAGTATGTCGGGGGCGAGGATTCAGAAACAGTGGCATCGGGGACCAAGTTTTCGCGATCGACCGTCAGGTAACAACCTGCGAAAAAGAAGATGGCTTCGTCGAATGGTTTGACAGACCTATTCCGGCAGAGTTGAATCCTACCCCCTATGTTTCTGTGAATATTGGAGCACCGCTTCCCAGGCAAGGTTCTTCAACCAAAACTCCTGTTATGTACACCGAAAACCCTCCTGGTGGCAGAATTACCATGGAGACAGGTGCATGGGAAAACTCCCCCGCCCAGTAAGTAATTGATGGCCCCATAGTATTGATGGAAAATAGTCAATTTCAAATATGTTATTCATTAGAGGGTGTATATACTAATGCAAAATTTACCATAGATTTCACTTGCAGCGAAATAATAAGTTTGTCAACGAAATGCACTGGACAGACTATTCTGTCAAACCAAAAGATCGACTTTGGTTCTACTGGCCCCCACTGTCCGAAAACCTGCCTCATGGTGGGAATCCAGACTTCAGAAGTTAGTATCCAGTACCGGAAAATATGATCTCAATCAAGGAACTAAAATAAACAAAATTCTAGTGTTATTGGCCTACCATGGAACTGAGGGGCTAGACTTGAGACTAGGTTATAGCTTGACAAGAACATCAACTGCACGGATCACGCTACAGCACCCCCAAATTCGACTTTTTGCATCGGATGGTACAATTTGGGATGGGGTAGAACCATTGCCAGATGAAAAGCGGCCAGAACATATAGAAAAAACACTGGCGGCTCAAGCGGCAGCTTACAACGAACCACAAGAAGCGCAGATTGCTAACGAAAGAGAACTTACCCCTGATGAAATAGGCGCACAAAAGGGAAAACTGGGTAGGTTTGGTCGATTTCTCGGGAAGATAGGGAAAGTTGGAAATATATTTAAAGGAAAAGGCTCCAAATCGAATGCGGACCAACCAGTCCCAGGCCTAGAAGCCAACATTAACAGGGATCGGGAAGAGAATAAAGAGGAAGAAAAAGTTGATATAAGTGATGAAGATGCCGAGAAAAGAGCACCACGCTGGTATAGAGAGATGGTAGAGGAGTGGGAAGAGGGAGGGTCTAAAGAAGAAGAATTTCAAAGCCCTCGATATAGCGAATTTGGAATGGGCGGCCAATCTGTGGCTGAAGTTGAAGAAGTCCAGATCTCCAATCAAGCCGGGAATCCGCGCCCTAATGTCTACTCACCATTCTATAGCAGACCTGGATGGAGAGTAGGGGATCCCCAAGACCCTAACAATCCAAACGGTCGCATTGGAGACTCAGACGAAAACGATCCATCATAGGGTCATTTATACATATACCACCGTATACCATTATTATATCTATTGATCTACGTTATATTCATTCGTTTTTATATCTACACAACGATCAAAAACGACCCTTCAAGCATAGGAACTAGCAAAAGGGCCTAGGGACGATTGCTGTGGATTTCCTGTATTTTCAAATTTTAATCTACTTTGTTTCATGAATTCAGAGCTCGCATTCTTGATACTAGTGTTTTTAGCAGTAGTATTTTCCCACGTAGTGAGTTAACTTTGAATAAGCTGCGGAGCTTACAATAAATAGTATGCACCCCACTGATACTATTCAGGAAATACATATTAAAAGCCAAAGCTAATTGCATTAATCATAGTTCGAACCCAGGCCAGTTACGTATATAAAAACAAATGACACCGAAATTTTGAAATATCTGATAATATAATACTTTTAACAAAGAATCTAGGCGATATCGATATGCCGTATGGATCTTTAGGTTCAGCAGCTAACAAACTAGAGTCGATTTGCGCATAATTTCTTTGAGCAAGATTCTATTAGTTTACGAGATACAGATAATACGTCCAGGACCAAAGTGATAAGTCCCTTCCTCAAGGCTACAGTAGTAATTTGACCACGCAGACGCCTTGGCGCCCGAATCGTACATATCCGATAACACATCCATGGATCGCGAACCCAATCACGAGAAATTTGTCTTTGTTCTTCTATAGGGCAAATTTAAACTAGGCAATAGCGGAAGGTTGGTTGGCAAGACTGCGCTAACTACGGCGCCAGATATAAAATTTCAACCAGACGGAATAAAATCAGCCTAGTAATCTATTAATTGGTTGCTCACTTGATCAAGGTATGTCGACTTATCATTAATTTAGTACTATATTCTTCGGCGTTGATAAGGGCTAATTCCGAGCCATCATTATGTACCGTTGTTATTCCTTCAAGGTGGTCTTATAATGCATTACCAATTATCGATAACATATTTCCTTCGATTAGTGATCTTGCTACTACCACTCGTTGAGGGGCTCATGATCGATGTCATAGTCAAAGCTGATAGATATGGGGAAAGGCAAGCCGGCGCCCTAAGATGTCAGTACAATATTCAAAGTCACACATATTCCTCAAGAACAAATTTAAAGTCGCAAATATATTATTTCGTAAAATTGAGATAATCTGACTATTTCCGCTAGTATGCAAGCCCATCACAGAAAGTGCGGACAGAGCGGTAACTGTCATGAGTGGAAACACCAGCCCAATATGCCCAGGGAGCACTCCGATCTGGTACTGGGATTTCGGGAGCGTTGAACTGAATGAAGTCAATGGTGGGACTCAATATCATTCTTTGATTCAAATCGCTGGGGGGCCGGAAACAGATACGGACCCTGGGATCACGAACTCTCTTGAGCCAGAAGAAGACCTGCTCTATGCTACATTAAAGAAGGATGTAATATTCCGATCATTGTAAGTTCACAGACTCTATCCACAAATGATTTGCGTGAGACTGCAGGTACCGTGATAAGCTAGTCGGGTATACCATATCATCGTCTTAACACGTACACGCACACGCACTAACACTTTCACCTGGAATGGGTGGCCGTGGATAATAGCTTTAAAGTTAAAAGAGACGGTCAATATCTCCACCTAAAAGACGAAGATGGCCTTAACCCTGGAGATGTTCTTGAATTTTGGGGTCCTTCAAGATTGGGCCAAAACAGATTATTTCGTGAGCACACATTGCTAGCCCCTGTACCCTGATACGTCAACAGTCCCTTTTTTTATGCCTATCAATCTACGACCGTATATGACTAACAAGTATGCCATAAACGTCATAGTCAACGTGTTTGGGCCAGAAACATTTGGTTTAAGAAGGATACCGTACTCAGAAGATCCATCCGTATCGTTAGAAGTTGAACTCCGGGTACGTGTCGCCACCGCAAGCAACACCAAGATCGGGTCTCGCTCAGAAGGAGAACGTCTGGCAGGACGGTCGCCAATTAATCGCTCTACATCTCTGTCATTCGGTAAGAAGAATGATTCTGGGTGTTTGAGTAGGGTTTGTAAGGCTACAGCTAGCGGGATCGGTGGCATATTCCGAGGAGCCAAAAAGATATTCTCGGGCACGAGCAAAGGCCACCGCCAGTCAGGGTTTCCACCTCAAGACCCGAGACGCTTTCTAGACGATCTTATGCTCGACGACCGATCGGGCACAGGTAGAGTACGGCTGCGAGGCTCTGTCAGCCGCCAGCTAACGCAGAACTCTGAACCAAGTGCACGCTCACCTAGCGCCCGTCGGCAGAGCAATAATGGAGAATTAGAGCTCCCAGAGGCCCTCGCAGTAGCCAATGATCAAGATACGGCGACAGATTTACCAAGATTCTTAAACTTAGGACCTCGTGGTGCTCGAAGGCTTTTGAATTACATCGTCAGTAACGACTTGGATAGAATTACTGAAGGCACAGAAGGCACTGGAATTGATACACCCATCGAGATCCGCACACCTGGCATTATTGATACTCGGCCTATCCTAAACACAATGACTAATAGTCGGCCAGATACACATGGGCATTTTGGATCCGAGACACTCATGTCGCCAAAAAATCCTGAAATCGCGGAAAATCCAGAAGAAGAGGAGGACGAAGCTGATGAAGAAGAAAGAAAAACTAATGATGATTATGAGTATCGGGGGGAGGCTAAGGAGGAAGAGGAAGCGGATACAAGCTCACTGAGCATTGCAATATCTGAAGATATTGATGATAATGAAGATGTCCAAGTAAATAATCCTCCAATGTTGCTCACCGGAGAAGGGGGGCCAGGTGCGAGTAAAGGAGTACTTGATTTATCAAGAATAACTTCAATGTATACCTCACAGCCTGTTCCTGCCGAAAAGCAACTGAGACGCTCAAATAATTTGATGGGGTCGTATTCAGAAGAACTAGAATAGTTTAGTAACTGGATTTCTCTCCACATATCTTTTAGCGTACCTTGACCGCCTTAATTACTATACCTAGCTACTTGTTATATAAAATATTCCGAATGGCCCATATATCCTTGAGATCTTTTAATTTTACGTACATCTTTACATGCATCCTTCCATACCTTTACCATTTAAATTTATCCACTTCATTCCTGAATCCCAGAGATAAACTCGATAAAGCTCTGATACTAGCACTGTGGTATGATCCACGGCCTGATTTCCTGGAGCTTCTGCTGCGCTTCTATAATAGTTGATTTTATAGCGCGAATCTTCGCCTTAGTATCTTTCTTAAATCCCACAAGTCTTTCCTCCTGCATCTTGTATATTTCCCGCCTTGAATACCCACCATTTCTACATTTACGTATGATTCTCAACAGCGCATAGACACATTGCGCATACGCCGCCTTGTACTCGGCGCATCTTATAGTGATTTCTTCTAGCTGCTCATAGCAATCAAGGAACCAGCGTCGGGTCGCTTCGTCTTGGTCTTGAGGATCTATGTGACTTAACTTGGAACATTTGCTATAAAGTTTTTGAATGTCCCCAGCGTACCAAACTTTGGATATGACTTCTTCGTTTCGTGTTACTCTGTCGCATACATCTTTGAAGGTGGTTCGTAGCCCGTCAACTTCTCGTTCTAGTTCTCGCTCTAGTTCCATACGTGGACGTGGCATCTGTGAAGAAACTTTCTTAATTTTGCTGCAAGGATAATTTTCTACACAATACTTCGCTAAGTCTTCAAGCTCGGAGCCTCTCGTATTGTAACCTTCGAGTCTATCAATTAGGTAGACTTCCCTCGAAAAGCGTAGATCTAGTTGTCAGTTGTTTACCCTATGTATAGATCTAGATATTTTGGGTGATTCAGAATCAATATTCCCAGAAGTCGCACACGTATTGTAAAAGTCTTATCAGTATACCACCGAACATTAGCAAGTTTAAGAAGCGTCTTTCATCTACGGCGATTCTTAAGCCTAACCATTCATCACTTTTTTTTAAAGAAAACCCCGCAGATGCGCAGACTCGGGGGTAGGGGCGTGACAAGTTTACAACTGTGAAATTCTAAAATTGGTGAACTAGCTAGCCCCTGAGCAACTGCAGCCCTGAAAACAAAACCTTGCCGTTTCCATATAACTTTGTATGTGTCTGTGTCAGCCCTTCCAGGTATCTAACGAACAACTCATCAAAATATAATGCATTGAACTGTGACACAAACTTTAAACCTTTCTTGGGAAATTTCCTTTTCTGGAAGACGCTAAGTTTTGCTCATGCTCATATGATCATAAATTCTGTGCACGCATTCAATTGAGGCCTATATCTTAGAATAATATCCAGATAATAGAGTATTCTGTGGGCTAAGTATTCAAAAAATAGGGCGAAATTTTCAACGTAGTTCAATATATGCCCACGATAGATAGTTACATCATCGAACTCCCTAGGAAGCTCGAGAATCCTAACATAGTCTAGTACGATATTTTTATACCTTTCAATACAATATTGATTGACATCTAGCTGCGGTTAGCAGAATAGTTTGACTAGTTGTGAATACGGTTTACCAATTTGTGTTCAATATACTAATCCGTAAATGACAGGAAACCTCAGGGTAGCATCATCCTATTTGAAATGTCTACTGGCTACCATTAGCTGAGATTCGAGCAACATCCGACAATTTCATCAGCACCATAATGCAAAATACTCAAGATACCATAAAAATAGTGAGAACACACATACACTCTCTTTTAATGATACTTTTTCCGTACCACTCTACTTCGTTTATATGCCCAGCCAATCTTTCAACCCTTGGACTTCACCTTTGGCTATATCAAAATCTGCGAACAATTTGTCCATTTTCCGCCCAACCTTCCCCTTCTCTTCAGAGTATGCTTGTTGGCAAGCCTGAAACTGACTCTTTAGTTCGTTCCTCGCTTGTTCGCTTAGCCTTCCCAGTTTTTCGCTCTCGAATGTTGGAATTGGTCCATGAGCCTTACCAACCCGCTCGAAGGCCTTTTCTATCGTCTCTATGAGTGTTTTATACGATTCTGAGGTCTCTTTCGCCCGGTTCTCTAGCAAACCCAGGAGATTGAGGTGATCATCGAAGGCCTTTGCCCAGTTTTTGGCTTCTGCTGGAGGCGCCGAACCAGATTTTCGCATCATTGCATCCGCTACTTTGGCTTTTTCTGGCCCAATTGCCTCCTTAATGCCCTTTGCTTCTGTGAAGTGCGAAGTGAGTTTTGCGTCAATTGCATCGAACTTCTCAATCATGGCGTCGAGTTCATCGTGGTAGGCCTGAGACCTCTCATATATTTCATCTACGTAGGCATCCATTTTGAAATAAAGTATCTTAGGATTTTACGGTGGCTTAGGATTTTTGGAATTTTTAGAATGTATTTGATTTCAAAAAATATTGATAGATCTAGGAACTTTCTTTGAGAAACTGAGCGTTAAGATAGAATTACCGGATCAGAGGTTTCAACAGTAGGGTTATTAACAAGTCAATAGGATGGCTTATATAGTTATTAGACCGGTTTACAGCGTGAATAAGAAGCCATGAGTTTGAAGTGCTGCAGTCACTTATACTGTATTGGCAGTACTAGTTCGTTCTCAAAATTTGCTTACAATATTTGAACACGGAATCTGTGGCGCTTTATCCACCCGAACTTGTTCAAATTTAAATGGTTTTACATGGTTACTGAAATCAATACAAAGTTACCAATACATCGATATCTCACGTTTGAAATCATGAAACTTGTATCAATATATATATATCCAAACTGTCTAATACAAATAAACTGGAACGCGACGAAGTTATCCCTTCACGTGAATAAAGACCTAGCGCAGGACGCTAGGCTATTCGAAGCGTGCAACCGATTACTAGCAAACATTTCCGCACTTTACAATTAATGAGTACTAGTCTTTATAGGACTATCATTATATAAGCTAGTCAAAGTGTATAGTATTTTATAAGGGTTTTGTTACCACCCAAACAAATTTTACACGGTACTACCACCTTTTTGCCAGGAGAAGCTACGTACTAAGCTACTACTTCTACGTATGTATTCACCCAACAGTCGCAGGATTTACGTATGTTAAGCCACAGAGCGCTATACCAGCGTGGAACCCAAATCGGAATTGATAGTTATGTGCCATGCAAACGCGGTGCTACCTCCGTCCCATTTATGGAATGATATGCGCTTACGTTCAAAGATTCAGATTTTCGACTTTCCCTAACGTAGAGTATATAAATACTATAAGAATGGAACGCCCCGTGATTATCTTCCAAATACAAAACCTCCCGAGGTTTTCGAAGCCCACCTAGCTGTGCAGCTAATTTGAAGCGCCACCGGAACTTACAAGATAATCCAATAATCAAAATGGCTCCTATTGCAACGACCAGTCAAATTTTCCAGCCATACGTTAAGGAGCTAAAGAAGAGGCTTCAGCCAATCGAAAGGGCAATGGGCCAGCTTTCGCCAAAGCTCATTATCAGTCGTGATGTGATCAATTCGGTTCTCGCAGACCTCCTAGTCAGCCTCCAATATTCAGTGCACACTCCAGAATACGATCCCGGGCAAGTTTCCTACTTGGTTAACCCAATTCTGGAGGAAATCAGAAGAAACCTCCGGCCTAATCACGAACGTCGACTACGTTGGTTAGCCGCTTTTAGAAGATCCCTACAACCGATGCATAGAGTAAACGAATGGACTCGAGGAGACCCACCCACTGGATACCTTGCGATCATACGGGAAGACGATCCTGTATTCTATGAGTTTCTTGACTGTTTACGACATAAACATATGTGCTTAGAGTATCTCGAGTTTGAGTTTCCGAAACTTTTGACGGCTGCGGATAGCCTTGTCAAACTAATGACCGGCGAAACTTCGATTTATAGAATACCTGCGTTCCCGCGTCTAAAGTTGATGGGCCATTCAGGGAGAATCTTGATAGCAGACTTTGGCACACCACAATCCAGCACGCTCGGCAGTTCAAGTCAATCCGGTCAACCCACAAGCCAGTCAAGCCAGTCAGATAATCAGTATATCCCATCGGATAGCCAATCAAGTCAATCGAGCTTTGAATCAATAGTCTCTACATATCCACCGCTTGAAATCGATAGGAATTCTACAAACTCTGGCTCACCGTCCCGAAACCTTAACTCAACTCCATCCTTCCCCATGACACCAATATCCCCGGGTTACCGGTACAAATGAGCTCTAAGCAGTTTCGTATCTTTATACGTATTTCTCTCGTCAATTGCTTTGTCCCTCCTGTACGACAATATGCATACTTGACATACTACTATACCAGAGTAATGCCTCTGAGGAGATTCAAGTTGAGTCAGTGTAGACGATAGTCAGCTCTAAATTAAATTTCTAGTCCGCTCTCTTCGAAACTCCAGTCAAGAGTTCATTTATACCCTTCTAGCACATAATTCTCCCTCCCCCTATTTTTGTACATAGATATGGAATACGGTGTCCGCAACAGCTTAAATGGCCTAGCGTCAGCTAGTTGGTAATTATTTGAATGCAATGCATTAATGATTTTTTGTTTACTTTTTCAGCTCAGTGATCACTAAATGGTATCTAAATTGACATGGATCTCCTGGGATCTTAGTGCAAGTCGACTCCTTTACAGTCTGTAGTTCCCATGACCCCACGTGGAACATAACCGATGTCCATATCATCTAAGATCTTGATAATAGATTGACCTTGGATTTGACTGTCTTTTAAATTCAGTGTTACGTTTTTACACGTGGGAGATCAACAGCTCGACTTCCATAGGGGCGTTACTACAACCGTTAACCTCGCAAGTGGGTATACGTAACTAGCATATGCGCATCGCGATCGCCTTGCATACGTACGTAAATATAGATATTCCCAGCTCTATAGCCTTAGTATGGTTACATCTTCCTTTTCATTTCCCTCATTCCAGCTAGCACCGATACTACACTACTGTCCTCACATATATCAAAGTTGCGGATTCTATCCGACGGACTGCATGCTGCATACAAACGTTTTAATAAACGCTATCCACAAACTTCCGACTCTGGAAGCTACCAGGAACATCCTCGCATAACATTAACATAAATTTCAATTGAAGCTAGAGCGATGATGTAGGTGCAATAGGCCCACTTTTGCGACGGCTCGGTTAACTCCCGCCTCGTCTTTTAAATTTTGTGGCCCTCATATATATCCTAATCCAACGTCTCAGAGGACCCCAAGGCCGCTCGCAGCTACTTCCCGCCTAGTGCCACTTCCAGGTAAACTTAGTCTTAAGATTTTGCAATCCTGGACGAGGATGATGGTTTTAAATCGCACTCGCTCCCTGCCATCAGTGTCTTTAGGCACAAAGTGCACCATCGAATTACAAAGCTCGGTTACATTCGATGCTGTAGTCGATGCCATAATCGATGTCACAGTTGATCCTCCAGCCGACGTTACGGTCAATGGTACAGTGAATGATACAAGCAGCGCCACAACCAGCCCCGACCCAACAACTAACGGCCTCCCAGATATCTTCCTTATCACACTAGGGATACCCCCTTACCTGAACATCACAGGTCTAGGGGCCCCGGGTATTGAATCGCTAGATATCGACCCGAGAGTGTATATGATGTGCAAGGGCAAAGCCATCATTAACATACTTGCGGGCCTTGATCAACGTTACAAGAGATACGACAAGATTATGGGCCTATCACAAAACGGGGAAATGTATCAAAAGCTGGCAGTCGGTCTTATATTTATGACTTGCAAAGCGAATGCCTACTCTGAAGACTTTCTGAGTCATATCGCCGCTAGCAGCCAAAGATCTCTTCAACTGCCCTTCCTTGATATGGTATCATACGAGTTGTTTCGACAGATAGTCTCAAACCTAAATCGATTTCAACGACGCTATGGGAAGGTTTTTCAAGGAAGTTCACAAGGATCTTATGCGCAAAACTGATCGATTTCTCACCATGATGGAGTGGGTGGATGTAGTCCGCCAGACTTGGAGACTCTTCCGAACTGAGAAGTTGTTATTAGAGCAATTTCTGGAGATATTGCTCAGAGACGTTGACAAAGAGAAGGCAAGGTTAAGGAGACACAGGGCTGATCCAATCCCACTCGTCAACTTTGATATATATGAAAGTGGCAGCACCTGCGTCTAGTGAACCTCGATTTGACTGGACCATGACTGGTTAATGGGTGCACATGGGGTGCGCATGAATTCATGCGAAACGGGCCAAAACCTCGACAAAACCCCAGCATACGTTGTATATACGGCAATATCACTTCCCCAATTGATATCAGTATCAAGAGCTCCATACCTCCCTCGTCATTCCTAACGTTCTTCATAGGTTTGTTTCATTTACCCTAGGTTTCTCTTTCGATTTTACTCCCTTCAGATGTACAATTAATTCTATACCCCATCAGCACATTGTTAGGATGTTCTCCTGTTGCATTATCGTTAGTTCTTACAGATCTCCCATTTCTCGTATCACTTTTTTTCTTATACAGATACTTCTCAAGCTGAGCTATTCCAGATAGCCTTGCAATGATCGTTTCGTAAACTAGACCCCTGTAATGAGTACTCATAGAAGTTAAAGACAATTGGAAGCAGAGGGTTGTGTCGACATGTCTATGACGTCAAGGAGGGATTGTTCTTGTTCACTGGTGTTGCTGCATGCAGCTGTAGTCGTGCATAAATTTCCGCACTGTCCTCAGCAATGAGTATCTCGTAATCCTCATCATCAATCCCTCTTCTTCCATTCGCGCATCACCAGTGTCCCAAAATAGCGTATCATCGTCAATTCAGCTCGATATCACGACACCGTCACGATGTTGAGAAGAAGCCGTCCTATTAGACACCAGGAACTCGAGATCACTCCTGAGGAAACTTAGCAGCCTCCCTCAGCAGTTGATCCGAACCCTCCTGCTTTACCACCATCTCCTGCCAGCGCAACATCTCTTGTTGCTGTATCACCTGCTGTTGCTGTATCATCATCATCATCATCACCTGCTTCATCACTTACATTGGAAGAACTCCTCGAGAAGAGGTTGAAAGAATATCTTGCAGAGACCAAGATGGCCTCAAAACAGCCTGATGAGTCGTCGTTTGCTCCTGCTAGTCTTGGGTTTGGTCAAAGGACCGACTTTGAAGAAACTGACGCCTCTACCTCCCACGCTTCCACCAACAGCGTCGACCAGCATGTGCACGGCCTAGGCATCTTGGGCACCGAGGAGGATATCAAAAGGCACGAAGAAGCAGTTGCCCAGCTGACTAAGTTAGCTAACCCCATTTTAGCTAGGATTGGCCGTATCTTCGTCTCCATTGGAGACGAGCGACACAAAGTCGAAGGTTGCCGTGAGGCGATGCTTCGAAAGGACCAAAAGGCCTTGGTCCTTAAACTTGACGGCCTAAAGAGCGATGGCGATGCTTACCTTCGCCAATTGGATGATGTCATCCAATCTTTTGACAGCGCCCAGAAGTGGCATAACGTCTTGCTCGGCCAGATGGCCGAGCTCGTTAAGCTTCAGAGAGCTGAGGTGGCCGCCGTTTCCGCCGCCATCGCTGCTGCTGCTGATGATGCTAATACTACGCTAGATGGGAAGGTCCAACAGGGCTCTCCTTTGATGGTCGAGGGGCCAGCTGAGGGTGTGGTTTCTCCGCCCCTCACGAGTCCAATCAAGGCGCCAACTACCGAGCGCCAGGACGTCGCTCACCAGGAAACCGGCCCTGCCAAAACCGCCCTACTAATTCTCTCCCACCTCAGTGATCAGATGAGGTGGGTTGAGATCGATCTGGTCAAGCTCTGGGATCGACAGATCCGTGAGTCGGCCATGGCCCGACGTAATCTATCCTCAGAGTATGAAAGGCTCATGGCCGCAATGCGCCAGCATGCCGACGAGCATTTCGGCAGCGAGGCTGCCAAACCCCGCGGTGGTCCTAGAACCAACCTCCAATGGGCCGTCAAGAACTTTGACGTCTCATATTACGCCGAATATCCCCTTCGGGATGTCAAACTTGAGCTCCGCACCAACCTACGGGAGTAGGTGGACGGCCATCATGACTTTTGTGTACGTCTTTTTGGGGGGGTAGATAGACTAGTAATTAATTTGCATACAGGGAAGCGTGCCCTCCCTATAGTTAATAGCCATTTTTTAATTTTATTGTAATACGTAAGCTGTAGAGACGATGCTGTAGCTTTTTGTACGTGTGATATTCATTTGCACGCATAACATAACAGAAAACTATACAAACACCATGCGAAATCTATCATACAAGCATCGATATACAGTAGGATCCATTTTCCTCTCTCAGGTAACTCTATAAGCTTATACACCACTAGGGTTCACCCAGACTTTGAACCTTCCTTTTTTTTCCCATCCGAGACTTAAACATTTAAAAATACCCAGCTTGTATTTGTACATTCATGTCCAAGTACACATCGATTGCACGAGGTTCCAGGAACTGCTTTTCTACTGCGTCCCAAAAATATTCTGGAAGTTGACGACCCGTCCATTTGGGGTTGAGAATTCCAAACCAGTCCTTGTTTGGGTCCTGTGGCCGTAAAATTTCGGCAACCACCTGTTGAGCCGCCTGTGCAGCAGCATGTGCTTGTGGATGTTTGAGACCATTCTCTCGTTCTTCCATCTGCTCCAATTTAACGGTTGCGGCTTTGGTTTGGACACTATCGATTTTGTCCGAGAACGTCTTCAAGAGAAGATTGATATTCTCAAAAATGGCTAGGATCGCGAGGGCCTTTTTCAACTGAGAACAATGCTCGTCGACTTTCATAAGATCTAGCTTTAGCGCTGTCTCAAAAATATCCAGTCGGTTCTCTTCTTCAATTTTATCCTGAGTCCATCTCAGGATGTTCCAAAGAAGCTGGATTCGCTCCTTCTGTGCTGTGACCTTCCTTTCAGATATTTTGAGGAACTCAAGCGGATGCCTCGAAGTTTGATCTATCTGAGTTTCAATCAGGTTATCCTCTGGATTAAGGATGGCCTCGGAACAGTTTCCTGAGATCTTCTTGAATAAAAAAGCGATTCCCTGCCAGGTGCATTCGGAGATAGTCCAAGTGCGATTTGCCGATACGACGTCAAGGAAGAGGTCGACAGTGGTCAGCTTTTCGTCATAGTGGTTTATCTCTTTCTGAATTTCAAGAAGCAGAGAAGACCCTCTCCCGATCTCTATATTGAGGCAGCTTCTCTGTAGCTGACGAAGATCGTCCCGAAGAAGTTCCACTTCGCGAACAATGTCCCCGCATCCCTTTTCGACATCTAGCTCCTCCCAACCTGCGCAATAATTTTCAGACTTGACGATTCCGAATTGCTTGCCAACGTCTACCAAATCCGATCTTGATTTTTTAAGGAGCTTTTCGACGGATTCTCGCAATATTTCAGCGGCACTTGATGCATTTCCCGAAGCCAATGCCAGTTGGGAGACCTGACCGTCGAAAACTTCTTCGAATCTTGAAATAATACGGGGTCGATATTCCGTTCTCTCCTGGACATCTTGGACAACAGCTCCAAGATCATATCGGCCTAGCTCCTCTAATTGAATTGGTTGGGCGTCTTGAACCAGGTTCCTGATGTTCCCTGGCCCGGATCTGCGAGACATCCAGGGCTTGGTACTAACAACAGCCTTCATTGTAACCGATGTTGAAAATGCAACAGCTGTTTTGTGTTGTCTTGTCTCTAGATCATTGATCGACATTCAAGCCGAATATCAGTCAGCCAGGTTCCTTTAAAGCTTTTCTGAGTCCAAATTCAAACAAAACAGTGACTCAAAGAGATAAGAAGCATGTGGCTAGCTCAAAGATATTGAAGTATCCTTTAAAAAAATATGAAGTTCGGGCAAGCTGGGGGTCAAGCTAAAAGGGATACAGACTAAATCAAATCAATTGTGGAAGGGGCAAGACAGCTAGTGGATGATAACAGAAAATTGCTTGATAAAACTGCAAAGGAGCTACTAGAATAGATTTACAAGTTTCTCGAGTAATTGTCATGAATTGATATACTCACTTGCCGAAAAAGAAATATATGGATGGTAAACTTACGGAAATGAAGCCGAGAAAATAGGCTTCGAAGATGAATTGAGGTTGGGGTTTTGCTGAAAAGCGTAGGATTTTAGAAGCGGTTGCTTCTGTTGTAGATTGAATTCACAAAGGAACGATTGGAGAGACTGTAAACCTTAAGGACAGACTCGGATGTATTTCCGCGAACTTGTGAAAGTTGAAGAGATGGACTTGGAATGAAGTTAAGTAAGCCGAAAAAGATATTGGTCACTATCGAAACGTATTTGTTTGATAGCTAGGTAATCGAGTTCGACTTGTAGTAAGCTTCGTATGATTTTGCTTTACGTTCAGTAGCTAAATCTTGTTAAGGATAGAGAGGGGAGAGGAGGAAAGAAACCAAAGGAGCAGGGGGGTGGAAGGCCTTTTATACCCCCCCAGGCGACTGTAGCAAATATTTTTCGTCGTCGAAGTTGAAATAATCGACACGATCCACAGGTTGAAAATATTAAAATCAGCACGGAAACTACCTAACTCGGTCTCCACGAGCATAGATGTTGCCTAGGCTCTCCGGTAAGGCATCCTCATTTAGGTTTCTAGAAGACACCCAGATAGTCGGTCAATGAATTATACATATCCAGATCATCTTTTTCTTCTTAAGATGTTATGAGCAAAGCTACTTCCCGGGTTAACTAGTATTGTCTCCCCGTCTGTTTGTAGGTTGGTCAGTCGATCATTCAAATTTTCAAAATTTAAATTCTTTGATCATCCAAAGCCTGCACACCCCGAATCGAACTCCATACACCGAAAAGGAACCGACTAGATGAAATTATACCCGTAGAAACGTTTAAACGGGTCAGCCTCCCAGATCAATAGTAAGAGCCAACGATCAACTTGATAATGTTCTTGGGGTTAATCATAATGCTACTATACATATTACCTCACAATACGATCCCAAATGTCCCGCTTGGGAATATTAACTTTCAATTTTACTAACCTTCCAAAGATTGGGCAAAATTCTTCCTCTATTCAAGTATTCATATACTCTCCTTGTGTAAACATTATCGATCTATCGTCTCTTCAGTAATTCCATTACATCGGAGTATAGCAGCAAATAGGCTAAACCGAATTGCATTAAATAGTAATATTGCACCTTCGAATCGGTCACAATTATTAAAAATCACTTTTTCTTGGCTTTACTCTCCATAGATCTAGATCGCTTACATATGCATGCATTTTCATATACACCCGGGGCCCTAAGGTCTATGCATATGGCGACGGCATCCACTATAGCTAGCGGCCTATCGGCCACTATCTACCTATGTAGTGAACATGCGAACGGTTTAATTTAATACGCCAAATATATACTATACATAGAAATATAAACCACGTGCGTGGTATTTATGCTGTTTCTATGCTCGAGATCTACATTCATTTTACCGAATATCTATAATAGACACCTAAGGATAAAAAGTACTTATATATGGCACACTCGAGTACCTCGAAATTAATCGTTACGCTAACACACGTGCACACCCGCACGCTAATATAGTTATATTTGAAGAACTAAGGCTTGCAGGATTGAAAGCAATCTCAATAGGTGCGTTAATTACTTCCAATATTCGCTAAACTTCCATTGGTCATATTTCGCACTAATATTGTATGTGGGAGCAACCTCTCCGGAACATCCCGATCGCAGTTCGGAACCTACAGGTTGAAGAAGCCGTGTGGAGATAATACAACAATGTCAACACAACTAGACGCGCAGGTGCCTTCTTCGACGCCATTGAGTTTCGTATCCTATTATCATTGAGGAATTCCGGGTCCTGAGGTTGCCGAAGGAAGGGCCGTTCTCCAAATCACGCGACGGACATGCACGTAGTTATGTAGTTTCTCAAAACGAGCCCCCTATGGAGGCTTAAATCCGATAGTATAATCGAGGCCCGGGGTTAAATTCAGCGCCACAGCAAATCTTCTGGGCTCTCGATTCCCGAGGACTAATCACAGCAGGACTGCGTCACAACTATGTTTCCTTGTTTTGATTAAGGCATTTCCCAATCGAACGCTCGGTACTCGGAGTTAAATCCGATGGGAGCAGGTCAGCCAGCTGTTGTAAATTTTGCGTTGCCCGCGGGCACCCGCTCCCTCCGTGGGTCCACATTTAATTTAGTTTCTAGATCACGAGGCAATATCTCTAGGGCACATGAAGACGGAGAAGGGGGATTGCGTATCAGTCCAAAACCTAGTTGCGCTATTGCCGCGACTTCGGGCGTCCACATCATTGTCAAGCTTAGAGCTCAGGACAAGACTAAGTAATTTAATTGGGTCCCATTCAATCGATCAATCCATCTTGAACATGTCCATGCCGACGAAATGACAACCAAACGCTCATCAAGTTCGTTAGTGGACTTATGCGTACTTTGTACAGAAGTAGTTAGTTAGGAAATACTCTTGTGGAGCTCGGAAAAACTTGACGGCGAGCCAACGATGCCTCGCTGCGAGACGGAGATTACATAGCGCGGAGGCTTAAGCCTTGATCGGCAGCGGGGTGTTAGCACCCATACAGAGCGAGGTGATTAGTATTGGACGAACTCGCAAATTGGACAGTGAGAATCACTACTTCGAGATAGAATAAATATACACCGAAGTCGGCCTCGAGTTACATATCTTTCATCCGATCCAAAAGCGCAGGGTTTTGCGAGTAAGATATGCATTGCACGCAGTCCTAAATTCAAGAACGTGTTTTTATGATTTCGGAAGGGGCCCGTTAGATTTGTGTAGCCTCAACCCTGTGTCGAAGCCATGCTATGCACAAAGCATGGATCGATGCGGTTGATCCTAGCGATCGGACGACCCTAGGACAGAGCTGTAGTAACTAGTTAAGGTACCTATTATGCGGGCAACGGTGTCTATACATGCTTCTGATGTGCCGCGATAGACCCCAGCTGAAAAGGAAACTCACATAAATCTAGACCTAAGCCCTCTAGGCGGCCTGAATGTGGAGTTTGGAGGAGCAGCTCGTGTCAAGCATCGCCACATAAACCCCATGAGTTACAGTGTGGGTCCCTTGAACAAAAACTCGCTTGATTTTATGCAGTGGACAAGACGGCAAGCACTGCATGAGACGACCTAGATATCATACGATCATGCCTATTTCCCTCATCCTCAAGTTTGTGCAGAGGAAGCGATCGTGAAGAAGCTATCGATAGCAGCAGCTCAGTCTGATACCAACCCCTGGGTCTTATATATATCTAAAGGAACTTGCCGGGATAATATTTGCAATAACGGTCTATGTCCGAGACTTATCTTACGCCTTGGCGATATCTTTCTTCCACAAGTACTGGTATCGGCGATAAATTAGCTAATAAGATAGAACTTTTGACATCTTTGGACCTAATTTGAGTACGATACCTCGTAGGGCAACAATAATCGAGCTTAATATCCCAACAAAAATTGCAAGATTGCATATTTATGTTTTGGCCATCTAAAGGGACAATATAGATCTCCGTCATAGCCGAACTATCCACCAGTTCCCAATCAAAAAAATGGATAAGGCCTGTGGAGAAGCTTTGATTTCAAATCTAAGTTTTTGTAGCATTCGGGAAATAGATTATTCGTGTGGCGCTGGCATATTCGCACGACGACATCTCTGTACGGGACTGAGACCAGGGGTAGCTTTAAGTAACTCGTAGCTCCAAGCTTCTTGAGCTAATACTAGCCCGGAATTACAAATGTCTACCTTCTGAGCGGCAAACTGCAATTGAAAGTATTCCCCAGCATCCCCAAATCTATTAAAACAAAAGGCTTTAGATCTAGCGGTTCCCCAGACAATGGCGGGGTTTGGAACATAATTTGAGTTGCTACCCAAACTCTAACAAGAGGTCTCAAAGCTCGGTAGCCTTCGGAAAGCCAGCTCGTCTCGGGGGGGCTTCTTGGAAAGGAAACCCAATATCAATGAGGGGCAATCTAAGGTGGGGAATTTCGCCATCTCCGTGCCTAAGGGACTTAGCATGGGATTGAAGCCATTAGAAAATTTCGAGAATACTGATTTTAGTCTAACCCCAGAAGATAATACTACCTTACTAGTATCATTTGGGAAATCGAGCTCTTGGTAAGTGTCGGTCTCTCCGTAGCTTGCCAAGAATCATAACTTGAACAGGGGTGGGCAGATCAGGGGAGGGTACTAAAAAGTTGATCGAGGATGCATCTAGCCGCCAGTTGGGACTGTAGTAGAATTAATTATAGAGAGAAAAGAAGCTTAAGCAAAATCAATTGTGGAGAAGGTGCGGAGTGCGCTGCTCCTCAACTTTGCTTTAATAATCTTAATGAAACTAGTGATCGAAGATCAGAGCTGATTGTGTACTCCGTAGTCGCAACTGGAAAAAACGGTTAAGGAGGACTTCGAAGATGTCAAGGGAGTAACACTCCTGCAGGTCTGGGCTGGCTAGGCTGATTGCAGACGGGAAAGAATTACGGGAAAGAATTTTTTTTTTAAACGAAAACGCAAGAGTCCACAAAATATAGAACTAGATCGCTTCGACATTCGTTCTGTGCATGAAGGAAAATTTTTCTTGTTGGAGGTACCGGAAATCCCTCAGGTCTTCATCAGGCCCGCGGTCTGTGGCCGATTTGAGGCCCAAAATGTATGAGGTTTATTCGAATTATCGGTCATTGTTCGGCATACCGAAAATGGCCGGATGTGTTGATAGGAACTGTCGGCCCCGCCTCGGATATTTGTGTATCTTGTTGATTACACCATCGAAAGCTACGTAAAGTCTTCAACTAGCTTGGTATGTATAATACTTGGGACATATGGCGGATATGTTATGTTTGTGACAGGATGGGTGTTTTGCTGACATCATGAGATCATGGGTGCTGAGGGAATGGAATGGAATGGAATACAGACAACGTCAATTAATGTTCAGGAAATTTCAAAATCGTTTGCATTGTTGGATCGCCTTCCAGATTCGAAGAAAGATGTCAACGTGACTATAATTCGAAGGTTCTTTTCTCGAATTCGGACAATGTCTCCCAATTCAAGTCCCATCCCCGAGCTCTTGCTTGAAACCCCAGATGGATCAAGTTTTATGGGCGGCAGGTCTCACAAGATGGCTGGTATCCATGCCCACGTGAGGCAACGTCGAGAAGCCCAGGGCTTGTTGTCTTGAATGCTATAAAAAAGTACAAGATCTTGCAAGATACTTCCCGATACTTTCCAGCCAGCAACCGCTAACCAAAAAAATCAAAGTGGAATCTCCTGGGCCAAGGGGATGGTCTTGGGGTGGCCTCCAGCCTCGGCCTGCTGGAGTGGGGCAAGTTCCGGTATCCCGACTTGGATTACCGATGCCCACCCTGCCATTTTCCCTTGCCAATTGCAACTATACAGAGTACAAGGCCTTGGGCACAGAATCCTCCTTCAATTTCACATGCATACCGTCATGGTGCAGATATAATTAATGGGTGACTACGTTAGTATCAGCGTCTGCGCAGCTGCGTGACAGGATTCTGAATTCATATGAAAGTTCGAATCGCTCTCATCTTCTCGACAGATAAGCGTACATGCAGGCGTATCAGCTTATACAGAGCAATCCTGGAATTAGAGCCCACGCGACGAGGTGAAGGGGTTCACAGATATTTCCTGATAAGCTAAATATTAGCGAGGACCTAGGTTAGCCGCCAGAACAATTCGAATTCCCCCCAGGCTACCGAATTGACGTTGAAATAGCTCAGATGCCGGTTGAAATATTAACGACCCTTGAGTCCTTTTTGAATACTCCAACCAAGTATGTGTTACTATGAATTTGGATTGCTCAAGTTGTTCGTATCGTCGTATTATATCAATATCTATATCTCGATATCGATATCTCTGGAGCGACCTTTAATCCGGATTACTCGGCCGAAGTTTTACTTCTCGCCTGCGAGGCCTTGGCGCAGGCCAAAAAAAAAAAAAAGACTAAAACTCTGAAGGGGGCGCTGAGGCAAGTCACAAACTGTCAACGGTACATTTTACATATTAGCATGCTGGCAAGTCCATGAGTCGGCATGAAACTCGAACTTTCCAAAAAGCTACCGCATTCGCATTAAGGGAGGCTGTGATCTGACCCCAGAGCCCTGTGGAGAACACATGTAGCCAGATATCAGATTACGGCCTGGTCTAGGCATGGAATGTGAGCACGACCTAGTACCTTTGACGGCCCATGGAGAGACAGGATCCTGTCCTTATGATATCAATGATTGCGAATGGAAAGCTATCTCGTGGCCACCCACAGTAAGAGCTATTCTTTATTACGCATAAGCCATGTCGACGTTTTTCTTGGGTTATCCATGAAAAAGAAGCAAACAAGCCTCGACTGTTACTGCAGTCCATTGGTGCGCTATTTCCCCATAATCTGGCTCCATGTTTCCTTCCCGAGACCCCTGCTGGGGTTTCGCACTGGAGTGTGTCCCATGCAATGCAGCAAATTAAAATGGAGCAGTTTTTCACATTCTGTTTAGTTAGCGGCAGGTTTCGACATCTGGGAAATTCTGCATGGTTAGCTAGTTTGCTTGTGCCTGCCCTCGGATACTTTCCCTGAACGGAGAAGGCGTGCGTATTGTTGGAGGGTCCAGCTTAGGTCATCTAGGTTGACATTCCAAGAAAGAAGTCTGCCAAAAGTGGATCTCTTCTGAGTCGCCTTTAAAGTTTGGGAGGCTGCTTTATTATCAACCTGCTCCCCGGATTTTTCTCCAGCTCGACACTTCCTTCTCTATTTACTCTACAGAATCCGGGGAATGTGTACTATCTGGGATATTTCGCTCTGGTGTTACTCGATATACTGATACTCTACTCTTTATTGTTATTTATTTCAAGTTTACGTTCATGATAACTCAATCTGTTCGCCTCCATCATCCTTAAAACCGCATCGCCGTTTATATCCATTTCCCTTCGTCCGACACCACTACAACACAAACATATAACTTGGTTCTTCCCTGGATTGTTAGATTTGTTTAGTAAAAATGGCTGGAGAAACGGCCACTATTGAGAAGTCTGAGAGGACTTCGAAGGAATCTAGCGCTCCAGTAGTCGCTGGTGTTAAGAGATCTGCCCCCACCGCTGGAATGAACGCCAACGGGCGTCCTATCAAGCGTCGCGCTTCCAAAGCCTGCCAGTGCTGCCGTGCCAGAAAGGTTCGGTGCAATGTTGTAGAACACGGTGCTCCTTGCACTAACTGCAGACTCGACAATGTCGACTGCATTATCACGGAAAGCAAGAGAAGATCGTAAGTCTTTCGAATCAGTCTATTAGCCAGCCTTCCCCGGCTTCTCCAGGGTTTTCTCCAGATTTATCCTTTGTTTAAGATTTTGCTCTCATCAGATCAAGCTAACCCCTTTAAAAGTAATGCTGCAGCGGACAAGCCTGGAAAGGCGAAGAAGAAGGCACAGGTTGTCGTTCAGCCTGTCTCTCCGAGCTCTAGTTCTCACGATCACGAGGATCTTTGTGAGGACAGGGAAGAACATGTTCCGACCTTCACATGTATGTGTGGCGTGTCCCTCGTATGATTTGACCAGATCCTGTGGTTAACCTCACCATGCATCGAATCTAGACCCGACCCAGACTCTGGAGATCATTGATGAGAATGGTAGGGAAAGGCGCAAGTCTTCGGTAGCCCAATTCGCTAGTCAGGCTACCTATAATCGAATGGTTTCGCAACAGCCTTCTCCTTCAACTACAACTTCATCGACTTCTCGCCCAATTAGGATTCCTAGTTATGAAATTCTCACAAAAGACCTACCGTCGTACATTAGGCCCACCCCCACTAGAATTAGCCCTGATGATGTCGACTACCTCGTTCGAAAAGGTGCTACTTCAATTCCACTTGAACCTTTCCGCCAGGAGTTGGTGGACTGCTACTTTAACTATGTCCATCCATTCATGCCATTGATTGAAGAATCAGATTGGAGGAGGACAACTACTAGGAGCTGGGAAGGATTTGACCCAACAAGGCATAAGGATGACCGAATCAGTCTTTTGCTATTCCAAGCCGTGCTTTTCGCGGGCTCCGCATTCGTCAAGATGGAGAGCCTTCGTGCCGCTGGCTACACCTCCAGAAAAAGTGCAAGAAAAGCATTCTTCCAACGTACAAGAATGCTTTACGATTTTGACTGGGAACAAGACAGGATCTCATTGATCCAGGCTCTTTTGCTCATGACTTATTGGTACGAAACCCCTGATGACCAAAAGGACACATGGCATTGGATGGGAGTTGCAATTTCTCTATCACATACTGTCGGTCTTCATCGAAATCCAGTCAACTCAAGCCTCAGCCCCCGACGACAAAAACTATGGAAAAGAATTTGGTGGAGCTGTTTCATGCGGGATCGACTCGTCGCTCTCGGGATGCGACGCCCTACCAGAATTAAGGACGAAGACTGTGATGTCCCTATGCTAACGCTTGAGGATTTCGGATTTTCCACCGATCGCGATGAACTTTCTGAGGTTTTGTTCGGTGCCGACGGCGATGATCTGAAGAAACGGAGGAGACAGAGAGCACTTGCCCTTCTATGTATCGAGAAGGCGAAGCTTTGTGCACTTATCGGGAACGTTCTCACAGCACAATACTCGGTATTAAATAAGCCGGCATCGAAAGACGGCGTTATCGATACAACGAAAAACCTTATGCTTTTGCACCCAAAGAAAACAGACGTTGAAGTTTGCGAGGTTAAACTTTGCGACGAACAGCTCAATGATTGGCAACGAAAGCTTACTAGCGAGGCTTATTGGAGGCCTGCTAGCAGCTTGCTCGATGATATGGACCCGTGTATTCTTCTCCACCGTAATTTACTACATATGGTTTACTTGTAAGTTTCCGAGCCCTTGATCCTGTATTGGCCATAGCTAATATCTTCACAGTACTACCGTGAGCGCTCTCCACCGACCACAAGTTCTTCCATCCGCCCCAGCACCGTGGCCAGCAAGAAACCGTGCGCCCGAACTTCAAGAAATTTCTCGAAAGAAAGTCCGACATGCAGCTCACGAAATTACACGCCTCGCGGAAGAGCTTATCGAATACGATCTCGTCAGATATCTTCCAACGGTCGGTGTTACTGTCATGCTTCCAGCCGTTATAATCCACCTTCTCGACGTTAAATCATCATCAGCCGTAACACGTGAACTCTCTCTCCAAGGGTTCGGCCTGTGCATGCAAGTCATGCAAGGTCTCCGCGAAAACTATGCCGCTGCAGATTTTGCCACACATTTTCTGGAAGCCGCGGTCAAGAAGGCCAATATCCAGATCGTAGTTCCGACCCGGCAGAGATTTCCCACTGCAGATGATGCAATGAGAGCCCTGAACCGACAGCGGGCACTCTTGGTCAAGCGGGGCGTCCAAATCATGCAGGACAATCTATATGTGCCAAGAAGCGAAGGCATTCTTGGTCATGTCGACATGGGTGTGGCAGTTAGTGTGGGACCTGAAACACCGAGGGAGGATGTGGATATGGCAGAACCGGAAGGGCGCCTGGACCACAATCATTTACGAGAGAGAATTGCGGCATTCTTGAACGAGGAGGCCGATATTGCCCGAGAAGAAAATCCGATCGTCAGCGGTCAGGTACCAGACAAGGAGATCGCAGATGCCCACCCAATGAACATCGATCTCAACCAACTACTATTGAAAGATCCGGATACCGAGCTGGGACTTGAGGATCTTTCCCCAAGATCCTCCACTGAGTCTCACAGACAATTCTCTGGAAGCGAGCTGAGTGAGAACATCTTGGACAATATCGATAGCCTCTTCGTTGATGAAAACAATGACCCATTCCTCGGGTCATATGACGGTCATCACGGAATGGGAGAAGGCACCGATTTCACTTTGGAGTTAAGTCTTATGAACGGTGTTGTGAATCACGGAGGTATGGACCTTCTGTCTACCGATATCGATGCGGCAGCCGAAACCTCTGCGGATGGCACTTCCAAGTTGCTTGACAGCGTCGAATTCGATTTTGACAAGGTCATGGAGGGTTTGTAAACCAGGAATATCTTTGCCTCGGAGTATGTATCATGCATGGTGCACGAGGTATTCTCCCTAGTAATTTTTGCATGGAGGTGATTTGCATTTTCTACCAAAATTTTTGTTCCATTTCCATTACGATTTCATTAAGCTTAGCGCGTCCGTTACAGGAGCATTCTGATATTTTTACCCGTTTCACGTATTTATGATACCCATGCTTGGGCACAGAAAAGCATTTGTCATTTAATAGGTTTTGCAAGCTCGGATTAAGCTTTTAGCTGAAGCTCATGTTTACAGGGGCATAAGCACACCTTCTGACCTCTAGATTACAAGGGCACCATGAACAAAAAAAAGAATATATTTCAATTATCTTGATACACCCTCCATCTAAGTATTTGCAGTTTCTCAACCGAATATTAAGCCGCTTTAGCTTCAAAATGTGATCTGTGCTCCACGTACACCCGGTAAATTTTCGAGGGCAGTTAGGTCTAACCATCTCCACCTCATGGCGAGATCCAGCCGCCCCCAGACCTGCGTTAACGGCAGGATCTTTCGCCACGTTGACTTATCAGACGACAGCTACTAACCCATTTCTCGGTTCCATTTCTGCAGGATAGACTGGTTTGTTTAGTGGGGCCCCGAACCGTCAGAATGGAAATCTAGAAATTGCAAGGATTGATTTTGTATACCGTATTCCGGTATCTTATGGAGCCGAACTGGCCGGTATATACCGGTGTTGGAACCTATTATGCGCCGTTTAGCGATATCGATATATCCACTAAGATGAATACCGTTGGTATTTCGGCTCCGGAGTTCCAAAACTTCGTATCAACTTATCTCTCAAACCTCAGGCATACGATGGGCATGCAGCGTATGAAAATCCATGCATATACCTAGGTATATGCCGACTGTTTTTGATTGAAGTCCTTTGTATTTCTCTATACTACCGGCGGGGGAAACAATGGTCATAGCTCGATAGCTCATCTAACATCAGTTTCGGTTCTAGCCTCACAGAACGAGCTTTACCTCAACCTCACACGGACTAATCTTGTGTCCAAGCGCAAGTACTCTCATAATGCCTGCAGAAATGAGTGATGCATGATGCAACGTGCATGATGCGCACCAGTATGATGACTTCGAGTGTTTCTCGTACCCCAGAGATTTAATTTAGTCCCAATTTTAAATAAGCCTTGGCTCTCACATCCTCTAGTTAAGAGTTACCGAGGTAATAGCTGTCTTGCAGAAAGCGGGACCGATTTTGAGGGGTTGGAGTTCTGGGGTGGGGATGGTGGCTGCATATAAACCGAGGCATTTGCCTCTTTTGGATAGAAAATAATTTGAGCTAGCCAATCAGCGATGAGAACGGGCTGTTACATTTGGCGGGGTCAACGCAAATCTGATACCATTTTGTCCCGTTTCGATCCTTGATTGCGAGTAATATGGAATCACGGAAATATAGCCTAAAATAATTCCATTCAAGGGCTTGGCTTTTCTAGGGTTTATTCGAAGCCTGAGGCTCGGTTCTCGGATGTACAAACATAGCTGTAATATATGTAAATGTATCTTCCACCTCGAAATTGTGGGTCCGGGCACGGAGTATCTTCAATTTACACCGTTATGCAACTGTAGCCTAGGCTGACTTCGACACCACATTAGCCTCTGTGCTATCAGGATACACAGCCTGAAACTCGGTGTAAACGATGGTGAAAGAGAGTAAATACAAATGGGGCCAAAATCTGGTTTGAGGCCCAAATCATTCATTGCGTCCAATCAGAGGCTTTGTTGCATTTTAATCACGGCAACACCGTAGGATAGTTAGTGGATCACGCCACGCCACAAACTTCGATATGCTTTTGCGACGGAGGCGCCGGTGACCTAGCCTGACAATGAGGCTCAAGTCGAGCCATAGAAGCGGTACGCACGGCCACATCTAGTACCGTCCATATATAGTCTAGGTTAGTCGACTAGCGTGACCGGTCCGTGGGTTTATGCTTGTTTCGGATCTAACAATATGTTATGCATGTCGGCACATGGTCATATGGAGAAATGGAGAAAAGGTGGAGTAAATTCCAGGTAACTTGCTTCATGTAAGGGGGATGGCAATGCGTATCAAGTGGGAGTTCCGCAAGGGGAAGGAGCTTCTATAGACGGCCCGTAGGCATGGTCTCGAATACCTCGGTAACTGGTCATTTACCTGGCCTGATCTATCAGGCCTGAATATCATAATGTAATAAACGTTCCGAAGTGTGAAACACATATAGGTATACCCCGCAAAACGCCATGGGTCCTTCTTAGTTTCCGTTTCTTGCTTATTCTAACCAACGGTATTCACCCATGCACTAACGGCTATGGGAATCGTATCGGGTAAGGAACCTCCCCGGCGCGCATGAAATACCCATATCGATCGAATATGATCATATGAGACGGTTTATGGGGCATGGCATAGCGCCGGGAGTAGTTGTGGTTTCGCCGGTGCATAAATCGTTCGGGGTAGGTGAGGGCACTGCATGCCCGAGGCCGTAGGCCCGGTGCACCTTATCTATTTCAAAGCCCCGGATTTCACGTTTTAAAATTAGCCGTGACCTTGATCAAGTTGTGGCCATAGCTCTATATACAAGTAGTTTTATAGGTACAGACCTCGGCCCTGATCCAAGTTCATAATATTTCCACCTTCAGATTTGAATATAAGTTTGCAAGCACAATCTTAGTTACACATCAGTGCCTAAGCAGACTACTAAAATTCCAGGAATGTACTTGAGGCTAAAATACCTAGAGTAATGACAATATATGTAGCTACGGTATCGCAATGTTGTCTACTTTTATGAAAGCTTCATACGTGCAATAAGTCTCCCCCTCAAGTATGAATTCCCTCTTGCCATGTACTGCGAAGATTTTAAGGAAGGATACGAATATACCCAGCCGAAAGTAAGGTACCGGCGCCAGATTGCCCTATAACCAGACTACATGCCCCTGATTAGGAATTAGAAGCTCTATATAACCAGGCTATGGGGTCCAGGGGTACTTGCTAGAGATAGTAGCTCGGCTATATATAATTTTATACCAGAACAATGGTCAAGGGTCTGGAGTCTGACTAGGCATAAGCCGCAATATCTCTGTTCATTCGCATTTGGAGGGCTCTCCATATATCTGGCTGTCCTGTATACATGTCGTTACAATAGTGCCAAAACTCCGACCTTTGCGCAGCAGTATCTTTCACAACTGCGAGTCGGCCTACCAGCCAGTGGTGGCGAAGCCGTGTTTCTAGCTCCGAGAATGATGTGCAATCGTATTAAACTTGTCCTGAATGAGCATTGATTTTCCAAAGATTTATTACTTTAGGAGCCTCAACCATATCCTTTCTGAAGGGAGTCCGCGACAATGGGTATAAGTATACTTTACTTTCGATCTTCGGGTAGACGATCCTTATGAAGCTCCGCCCCAGATAACTAGTGCCCCTATTATCTCAGCCTGTATACTCGGTAAAGGTACCCCGTAAGAACCCTTGATACAAATCAAAATTTCCCCACATTTATACCAGCCCTGCTCGCTCTAGCGCTGTATTCTATCGATGCATATGAATCAATGTTGAAAAGCAATAGCCGAGAGAAGCCAAAGTTCAACCGAAGTAACAAAGCTCCACCCCTTGTTGTGCGAACCATGTGGATAGCGGACTCCCTTCCCACAAACATAAATACTCTATGGCTGCGCTAGATAGGTCATCAATACAACCGTCACCGCCTCATTCATGATACCAGGAGTAACGTTATCACCACACAACACAAGTCCTGGAGTATATATCCGCAGATGCGTGGTCTCGGTACCAGACAATAAAACGAAATCCACGTATGCGTACGCGCAGATATTTTAGTTACCTAGGTCAATATCCAGATATTCTTAGCTTTGGCAAAACGGCGCCCTTGCTGCAGTAATATATTAAGAGATCATTCGAAGGAGGTACTTAACTGAATACAGTTCATAAAATAGAGCTACTGCTGCTCTAGAGGCCTCCAAATCTAGACAATTGCTGTTGTTTAATTGATCAATCGATCAATCGATCTCTTGTCGATTAAGCACTGGTTCTGCCGACCTCTATACCTAAAAATTTTTCTCCAGGCGAACCTATATATAGAGACATTCTTCCCAAGACTTCACTATGAAGCATCAAACACTTGCCCTATATTTTCTACCATTCGTATCTTGGGGCTATGCGAGTATCCTCGAAGTACAACTTGGGGGCGGTACAGCAAGGGGTGGCTTTTGCAACGGCTCCGATTCTAGCACCCAGTTCCTTGGGGTTCCATACGCAGCGCCTCCGGTTGGTCAACTCCGTTGGGAAGCTCCCCGACCATTTAATGCAACATTTGAATTAGAAAATGGGGTATTTAATGCGACCCGTCGACCCACAGTGTGTCACCAATTTGGCACAAGTGACATCGGAGCTGATACTGGTCCATATGATGAGGATTGGTAAGACGTTAAGATCATTATAAAAAGCGAATGTTTAAATACCATGCTAAATTTTCGAATCCCTTCTAGTTTATTTTTGAATATTTGGGTACCGAACGGAGCGGATGGCCAAGTTCCACCAAACTTACCAGTTAAAGTTTGGGTTCATGGAGGTGCGAATACAGGAGGCGGTATAATGAATCCACAATACAACGGCTGCAAGCTTTCCGATGAGGGTGCAATTGTTGTAAATATCGCTTACAGGTTGGGTCCACTTGGCTTCCTAGCACTAGAGAGCGCAGGAATTGGCGGAAACTTTGGGATTCAGGATATTCTCCTAGGACTTCAGTGGGTTCAAGATAACATTGGGAAATTTGGTGGTGACAAAGATAAAGTATTCTTGTTTGGACAGTCTGCAGGGGCTTGGAATACATGGATTATCAGCACTCTACCGGACGCACCCAAACTTATCTGTGCGGTGGCTTTGGAGAGTGGCGGCGGTGTGGACTTCCAGACTAACTTCTCCGCCCAGTTGGGCGGTGCCGCCTTTGCGAAAAACGCGAATTGCACAGTTACAGACGTAAGTTTATTGAGCTTTGTTGGCCTCGTGAACCAGTCGTATATAGCTATATATAGTACGTATATGAGGAGCAGGCAACAATGTGCTAATAAAAACGCTGACAGGCCGCATGTTTAAGACGACTTACACCCCAAAAACTGAGCGAGATTTTATACCTGCCAGGCAGCCCTGCACTCTCTGGCTTCACGATGATCCGCCCTAGTATTCAGCCATTTGTTGATGGGAAAGTCATTCCTGTGCAACCATCTCAAGTCGGGTCTCGGGTCCCTGCTGTTTTCAGTAGCACCTCGGAGGAAGGAGCGTTCTTCTTGTTTCTGACGAACTCAGATCCTACGAAAGTGAACGAAGAGGAGTTCAACGTATTTCTACACAGTGAGTTCGGTCCACTGTTAGACGAAATCAATTCGAGATACCCAATTTCAGATTTCGAAAATTTCCGAATGCCAGGATTTTCACGGGCAGCCCAAATTATCACCGACTATGGCTGGAAATGTCCCGCCTATCGTGGTCTCACCAAAACAGCGGAGATGGGAGTACCAGTATGGACATATATTTTTGATCATGTATCGACTTGTCCTTTTACACCTGGAGTACCATCTTTTGTCTTAGACATAATGGGGTCCGCCCATGGATTTGACATCCCGTATTCCTTCGCGCACACTGACGGATTGCCCCTTCCTGGTGGCAACTGTTCTTTCAACGAGGAAGAAAAGCGGGCTAGCGACATAATAGTTAATGCTTGGACGTCTCTTGCGACAAGTGGAAATGCTTCAACGAGCCAGTTTGAGTGGCCTACGTTCACCAATGAAAGTTATCAAGGACTCTATATCGGACGGAATACAACAGAAATCACTTCCTTCGCTTCTGATTATAGTATCTGTGGGTTCTGGAACCAGATTAGTGCTATCCTACTCGAAGCCGCGAATAAAAACGCGACTAATGTCACGGACGAGATTCCAAGTGATCCCATAATTACTGAAATACCAATCACTTCACCAGGCCCCACGGAAACCGGGAATGTAATTCCCACCGAGAGTCAGCCAAGTAAAGGAGCTAGGATTGATATAGGCCTTTTCTCAATTTCAGTGGCGGTTATTGTCGGATGCTTCGTAGTCGAAACCCTTTAAGAATTTGGAATGTATGTAATTGGCATTTGCATCTAGCACGCTAGGCACTTCGACAGCTAGCTCAGGGAAGTATTGGCTAGAATAACCCACCACTAGTAAATTGAAAATACTCGCACTTACACCTTCAAGTTCCATGTTATTAATATCATTTATCTATTGTAGATAAGCATATGTTTACATTTACATATCTGCGAGGAGCCGTGTAGAGAATATTTGGTTACTAACTATCGCTCCCAACCATTACGGAACCAGCTTTTAAATGAGCATCTATCGCCCTAGCGAGTCGATACACCGTATCACGAGGTATATCCCCATCGTCAATGTCCAACTTAACGAATATGTTATCCCGAACCCAGTATACTAGCCCGTAGTCTTGTTCTAGCGCGTACTGCCCAACGCCACATTCCTTAACATCAACCGGGAAGGGTGTCCATCCGGGGTACAAGACTCCTAGCCACTCTTTAAATATGAGCTCTGCTGTTTCTGTATCTTTACATATATAAATATGAACACCACTGTCGCCCCAATCTAGCCCGCGCATGTCGTTACCGTTATCACCATCATGGTTTGGCCTGGTGTCAAACTGGTAATAAAAATAATTACAATCGTTGTCTATTGCATTATTTTCGATGCGAAAGTCGGTGATCTGCGAAATCACCGTGGAGATTACGCCGCGGAGAGCATTTTCGGAAAGGTCCGAGGAGCATTTTCTGTAGTGGCCCGAGGGCCATGACGTTCGGCCAGTTGAAAAAAGTATATCTATAGCGCCAGACGAGGATTGGAACACTTGGTAGATTCGTTTCTTGTATGATTCGGGAACATCAGGAGGGCAACAGACCATTGTGTGATATAGTATCAAATATTGGCCATCATAAAGTTACTAACATCATGCAGAAAGGAAATAGTTAAATATGACTTGTTCCTAGGCTTTGGTGAGAACGAATTTTAGTTGTATACGCATAGACAGCTTCGGAAACCCTGAAAGGTAGCCGCGAGAAGGTTATTGGCTGATCACCAAACGTTCTGGGATAAAACGTTTAAACTATCTCAATCCGCGCCCTCAGACATGCTTGAGTTCATGTAGACAATAAGCTTTAGCTTTTCGGACGGTACCAACCGCAAAATTATCTACACTGCGTTAAACATAATAATAATAGCAAAACTTCCGGGATTTCCCATACGCCGTCTTTAGCGTCGTCCCACGAGATATATATGGAAAAGTCTCGCAGCGGGCATGCGGAATACTTAGCTTGAGTTACCCTGTTTCATCAACTTCAAGATCAGGCGTAGAATGAGCTCAAAAGGCTACAACGCAGCCACGCCATGGATTGCTCAAGCTAGGATGCGCATATGCAGGCGATTGAGTCTCCATATTGATATCACTTCTAAAGTTCGCCTGTGAGTCTAGACGTCTGGATTCGCGCGAGGCTATGATTTTGACACCATAAACCGACGTTGTGAACTATGCAATGCTAATTCCCTTTAAGATGTACTATTATCTAAATTGATGCATTCATCACTAAATATTTCCAAGAATTGAATTTCCTCTTAACTCATAGTTCCATCTCTAATAGATGCATCTTTATAGTGACAGTCACTAAGTTTTCGCAGTCTATTGGCTGACAGCAGCGCTGTGCTAGATAATATATTCCCGGCTCCGACAAACGCATCCCACTCCAATCAACCAACAAGAACCCAATAATGTGTAAAGATATATTTTCCCAAGCACGCCTCGTGGGGGCTGAGGTTGGGTCTTTACTTGGTCATATTCTTTGGTCATATATGTGGAGCTTGGAGCTAAGACAAAATTTATGATACAGCGCCTGTGGAGCACATCGATGATTCGAATTTCCGAGTCTTCTAGTTAATTGAAGCGAATATAGGCTAGCCATACTCCCTTGCTCCCGTATTCGGATTTGTGTAGCTAACCTCAGATTCGAGCGCCTGGGTTCGAGGTTAAGACAGATGTAACCTTAACTTAGGATTAGTTATCACTTGCATATGCGCATGCAAAACGTGTTGTTGCTCGTGATATTTTATTATAGCCTCGAGACCGGGCGTAGATTTTATCAACCGTCGAATTCGCGAAATCAATTATGTATTAGAACTATCTATGGGGCCAGGCGTAATGCGATCGAGATGGGCTGACCAGCGGCCCCTTGGTAGGGACATTAATTGCAAGCAAATTGTAAAGCTAAAGTTCATGTGTCGCGCGCGGTTGGTTGGCCCAAAACTTAACAGAGAAAAAAAAAGCTTATTGCAAGCCACATTTTGTGTACCGCCACACGGCCGTGGCTAAAATAAGTGACCCTGAATTCGCTTACATCCGGCCTAACAAAGTAACCAGCATTTTAAGATGCTCAAGAACTTATATACATAATAGAAGAAGAAGTTTCAAGCAGGCACCTCGCAAGTCAGACCTCCTCGGCGCTCAATCTAAGAATAGTCAAATTGGACAAAATTGCAATATGGTCTGTGCCCCTGTGTGCCAAGACATCGAGACGCACGTCGAAGAGTCACAAAGCAAGTTAGCGAGTGTTTTGGTGTCGTGGAAGTTTGCAGCCTGGGGTTCGCTGCGTGGAGTCATGAGCTGCCTATGAGTTCGCCCAACCATGCATATCGCCATTTTAACCAATTGATTTTACCCAACGTTGAATCCGATATACTATAAATTCGACGGTGAACGTTGCCTCTCAGATGGGTCTATTCTCTCAGACCTGTTAGCTGAGCTGTCCAAGCGTCTTTGCGTACCGTACCGTCGATACCTCACGCCCCTGACTGCTGAGCCTCAGTTTAAAAATCCAACAGAACAACACAAGCACTTAATATCCTCTTTGAATTTCACAATGGCAGAATCCGACGCAGGCTTTTATCCTATCGCCGCCCTTTATGAAACCCATCCGCATGTCCTCACCGACATAATGTATTATTGCACCCCTACGACGTTTGATGCATTCCGTTACACCTGCAAAGCGGTGTATTCCATGTCACTCGACCCAGACCTCTTGGAGCACCACTTGAAAATCATTGTCAATCGTCAACACGAATTGGTCTCTACGCCAAACAGAGCGCCACGGTTCTACTATGATGTTATCTATATGGACTCCAAGTTTGATACTATTCAAAATTCTCGCGGAAATCTCTGGAGATTGAGGGGTCAGGTGCTTCAGGAGTTCCTGCGGATGCGGAGTTCTTGGAGAATTGGAGACTACAAAAAGGTCGTGGTTGAACTGGACGTTCATCCCGAGGAAGACAATGAAGTGGGAAATACTTCTGGAAATGGACCATGGTTTGATGGCACGGTTCAAATCTTTTCTGGTGCTGTTCGTGGAGATACTTTTGCTGTATCGTGGAGCGATACCAAACAGACCCATTTACACGCCTATCTTTTCACCAATGCCCAGAAATACGCTATATGCAAACTAGAGGGGCCTATGAAAACGAGTATTTGTCATAACTTTTCCGAGAATAATACGTACCAATCTACAACCTTCAAAACAAAAAGTGTCGCGAAACGCCGCCCTCAGGGCCTTTCCCTCAACATCAATAAAAAATTCGATATATTTATTACCGAAGGTTCCTATCTGCGCGATCCACGTGTAAATACGCAGGACGACTATCTGGCTCGCCTATATGGCACTATAGAGACGAGGGAATCGATATCAACTTTTCTCCGGGTGGCGTTCGATGGGAAATATGTGGGCCAGAGCGATGATGATGAAGGGCCTGTTGACCTGGCTTACGAATTAGATTGGGACCAAAGGAGAAGTTGGAAGGTTCCTGCGACTGACCTCTCAAATGCACCTAACGTAATTTTGCCGGGTCATTGTGACGAAGCAATGAATTTATTTTTGGGGAAAAACGGAAAATGCGAGTCAAAAGGATACGCAATCGGACTCGATAGCGGACCGCACCAGAAATGGAAAGTACATGAACCGAGGAGGCTGAATGAGGATGTTTCTAGGTTGGGTGTATGGAGGGATGTTTCGGTCGAGTTCGAGCGAGGTCTGGACGGAAAAGAGACGATTTTGAGGGTTCTGGCAACAGTTTCGAAGAATCTGATCAAACCAAACCCCCAGAAAAGGTTTTTGCTTACAAACTCGAAAATCTTGAACCCTAACGATTGGACGGATGTTCAAATTCCACTAGTATTGCCCCCAGTTACGAGGGAGGATCGACATGGCCAGTTAGTGTTGGCCACTGTGGCCCCGGCCGCATACTTCAGAAGACTAGGCATGCGTGATCCTCATATCGCTTGGGCTGATAAAGGGTTTATGGACTATAACTGGGATACGAAGAAGAACGCCGAAGGCGAAATTGGACCCGAGCCGATATTTATTCGAACTGGTGCAATTATCAACAGCGAGCTCGTGGATGCCGAAATTGTGACAAGAGTCGTAGGCTGGACGGACGATGGGGCAGTTTGGGTGTGGGATGTCACTGAAAAGCATATTCTAGATGCAGGCGAGCTTTCAATGGAACAGGACTCTAGCCAAGTGTTAGAAGTTACAGCAAAAAAACTCGGCTATGTAAAAGATGTTAAGGGTATCTTTGTTACGGGAGATAGACTCGTCCAGAGAATTACTCTCGTTACATACGGTAAGGAGCAAAAGGTCCACAGGGTTGGCGAAGAACATGGTGGAGGGAATGACTCTGGGATATCTTTTTTAAGACAGGAGGATATTATGAGGAAGATCAATGAGGCCAAGGCGAAGAAGGCTGCTGGGGAACGGGGAGAATTTCAAAACGGCCATGGTGACAGTGACGGATATGGAGAAGCGTCTGTAGTGCCACAGTTGGATGCTACAGATGACCTCGCTGACGATACTAGGCGGTGGAGGATGATAAATTATTGCTATGGATACCCAAAAGGAGGTGGCTCTGCTACCTACCGCATTGACCACTCTGGACATGTTGAGAATATATAATGTCAATAAATACTACTTCAACATTGCGAATCGATGGACTTTGTATATATATTATACACATGGAGTACTTCAAAGCTGCCCTTTTGTCGCTCTAGAACGTTCGCGTAGCTGTGAACAAACGATGTACTTCGACTGTTAGTACTATTCGGTTAAGCTGAGAATCACGCGGTTTATTATACCACTAACTTATCGAGTTTGCTGCTTGCTAACCTCCTTTAAATTCAATTCAAATATATATTCTGAAGGCTTGCAACTTGGTTAGTACGTATGTATCGTTTTCTACCATAAGTCTACACAGGGTGCCACCGGCTCACGTCCGAAATCTATTTCACAATTGTAAATTTGGAGACCCAAGTATCGTAGGTCATCCTCAGCTTAGCTACGGTTGCATTGAGGTTATCGACATGCTTTCAATTTGCGAACCCGAATAACATAAGACATCTCGTTCTCTTTTCAAAGGAGCTCTAAGATTCCTTGTCCTAACGGGTGATGTAGTTTTAGTAGTATATCCGCTAATAATGCTGACTACTCGAATTTTGGTGCCTGATAACAGTCTTCAGGATCTAGAATGAAACGACGGTCGAATTATTAAACCATTCCAAGTATATAGCTTTAATATCCTATGAGAGAGAGAAAATACCTTCGCCATGCTCGTAAATATATTGCTTCATCTTCTCCGCCTCACTCATAAATTCACTAACGAGTTCCTGTTGGCGAACAGTGACCTTGTAATTATTCAATGACGTACTACGGACGGCGTGCGCGGCGACATGATATCGGGAGACGTTATTACGAAGCATCATCTATTGGGTATAGTTGGTTAGTTTTAGAAATCTATTTGCTGATAAATATAAAATCTCAACTTACATCGAATGGAGAGGTCGTTGTTCCTGGAATCCAAAAGCTTAGTATTATACCTTGTTTCGCTATTTTGGGTGGGCCCCTACCTTCCTCAGAGTATCCTTCAACAATTACCCTCTCCATATTCTTTCGCCCAAATAGCAATCCCTTGACATCATTTCCGTACCCGTGATAGTTCACCACGATGTCCCTATCTTTGGTGAATAAACTTTCAAACCCAGCTTCATCCAAAGAATGGGGGTGATCGCTGCCAAGAACCATCAGATCGGTGACGTTAACAACTCTCACTCGAAGTTCTGGGATTTTCTTCCTGAGTAGTGCGGCGGCGGAGATAACCTCAAACGTTGTCTCTGTACCAATCGCGCACAAGACAACGTCGGGGTCCATCCCTTCATCCGTAGATGCGAACTTCCAGATAGTGGCGCCAGCCTGGCAATGAGTTTGTGCATCCTCTGATGAGAGATATATTGGCGTTGGGTGCTTCGATGCTACAATCAGATTTACGTAGTTCTTCGATTTCAAGCAATGGTAAAGCGTGGAGAGAAGGCAGTTGGCGTCTGGAGGAAAGTAGACTCTGCTATATGTTGCTTTAAGGCCCAGAACGGCGCCTATGAAAGACGGGTTTCTGCAGAACAGATACGAAGTTAGTCCCAGATTTGGATTCAACAGCCTTTCATACTTCGACTCTAGGTTCACATACTGGTGACTGAATCCATTGTGTTCTTGCCTGGTCCACGTAGAAGTTTCGATGTAGTTAATGCTAGGTAAAGGGCCCCGCCAATTCGTTTCCTGGCCCATTTTGTTGAATTTGGAATACTGAACCATCATAGTGTGTACGATTCCTAAAAAGCTCTCATACGAAGGAAATATTGCTGTCCGACCTGTGAGAGTGTAGCCTTGCATAAATCCTTGACAAGTGTGTTCACTAAGTATTTCGATGACACGACCTCCCTTTGCGCGAGAAAATTTGTCGCTCTGGAAATTCCTCCCAGTAACTTTAAACACAAGGTTTAACTTGTTGGACTCAAGCTCATCTGGGGAGAATAGTCGGAAGGTTGACTTGTTGCTGATAAGCCACATTTTGTGTAAGCAAAAGAATATATTCATACCGAACCGGATTTATAGTTGGAATAGGAACATACTTTTCGATGACTTTGACAAGAAATTCACCGATGCTCTGCATTCCACTGATCTCAATGTCGCTCTTTTTAGAGGTAAAATTCATCCAATCGGGTAAATCGAGTGGTGTATAACCCTTGTACGCCTCAGCGACCTGCCCGATCCTTCTTTCTGTTTCTTTAGGAACGATAGATGTAATATCTGCATCTAGACCGCCTGTCTTTGCGTCAATGAGTTCCCCAATATTGTAAGATTTTAGCCACCCCTCTAGCAGTTTGAGTTGCTCTTCGTCTTTTTTTGCGGCTGGGAGGGGAACTTGGTGGGAATGAAAGCTTCCTTCGATAAATTTGTCCCCTAATCGTGCCGGGCAACCCCAACCCTTTGGTGTTCTCATGACTATTACGGGCCATCTGGGTTTTGATATCGGATTTCCGTCTCTTGCTGCTTTTTGTATCTTCTTGATCTCCAATAGCGCCCACTCCATAGCAGCTGCCATGTCGTTGTCAATATCTTCCAAATCTTCAACGAATCTTGGTTGGTACCCCAGTCCACTGAAGAAGCACGCCATCTCCTTGTTATCCATACACCCAAAAATCGTTCTTTCACTGATTTTGAAGCCATTGACATGAAGTATAGGTATAACTGCACCTGATTCAGCCGGGTCTAGATATTTATGACCATGCCAAGCGGCCGCGGTTGGGCCAGTTTCCGCTTCACCGTCGCCGATAACACAAACTGCAACCATATCGGGTTTATCAAAGACAGCACCAAATGCTACGGATAGCGCATAACCTAGCTCACCGCCTTCGTGTATGGAGCCAGGTACCTCAGCGCTAACATGACTTGGGAATCCCCCGGGAGTGCTGAAGCCCGTAATTAATCGATTTAGGCCGGATGCAGAAATTGTATAGTTGGGATAAAAATGACCGAGACTCCCTTCTAGCCATAGGCAGGCGAGAATTGCAGGAGCGCCATGCCCAGGCCCAACGACAAACATACTCCGCAGATCGGTATGGTTACTTAATAGACGATTGATATGTGCATAGGCCAAGTTTAGCCCAGGACAAGTACCCCAATGGCCTAGAAGACGAGGCTTGATATGCTCCGGTTTCAAGTGCTCTTGGACCAGAACATTATCCCCTAGAAATATCATAGCTAGTTCGATTGGGCTCGATAATCAGCGACGAATTTATTACTATAGACTATAGGATGCGAACACACCGGCTGCTAAGTAGTCGGCGGCTCGTCTGAACTTTTGTACAACATGACGGTCTTTGTCTGACAAGAATCCCTTATCGCTTGCGGGTACAACGAGCTGCAGAGCGCCATCAGGTAAATGGCTTTCCCCTGGGGGCGGGTTTGGCTGATCGATAAATTGGTCTGGCATGACGATTAAACTATAGAACGAAGTTAGGATGAGTGTGGAACGGTATATCAATGCAATGGCGATGACCAACTTATTGTGTCTTTCAATCCACGAGTGGTCAGGATCAAGAGAACACTATTATGATAATATGGCTAGCCTTGGCCCTGCCTTGAAGTGAACGAAATATGTTTATTCGAAAACGGGCGCAATGGTATTGCCGATAAGAAATGTTAACTACAATGCAATGCAATTCTAATCATTTGTGACGAGATCGGGTAGCGGCAGCGCTATGATATCATCCTGAGTGTCGCCTTAATTAAGGATGTGTTGTTTGACGTCAATTTGTTGGCTTCCAGCTCGCCACCGTAACCTGGGTTATACCCAATGTCGATTCAAGATATCTGATATCTAATATTTAGGGCGAATCTTGGTGCTTGTTGACTTCGATACTTGGACTTCCAGGTACACGATCAAAAAACCGAGCAACTTTTGAATAGAAGCCTTGTTAAGAGACTACTTGTTAAGGTATTAACCCCTTTTTATAATACTCCAATGTTGAGCTACATAACAGGACCGTGTACGAAGGGTGCTATACTGAATCTGAGATAGATATCAATATCGGCCTATCGACACACAAGATTAATCAAATTCAAAAATATTTGATATTCGAGATGACTGATAAAAGGAAGCCAGACTATATTCTCGCAGTCAATGCAGGATCTTCTTCCCTCAAGCTCCAGCTCTTTAAAATCACACCAAATCACGACGCTTTGATCCCGCGCTTGTTGATTAAGTCTTCTCTATCGAATCTCTCTTCACCTCCTGCGAAATTCAATTTTAAGAATTATGATAAGGAGGGAAATGACATAGAGTCACAGGATTTGCATGATATTACATCTGGACTTGAAGCCTTTGAGTTCTTCATAAGCCGCCTGAAAAAGGGTCGAAGTAGCATTGATAACGGTTTGGTGGATAAAATAACACACATCTGTCACCGTGTTGTTCATGGTGGCGAAATTGGGGAAAGAGGTCCACTCGTGGTCAATGATAGTGTCCTAAAACAACTGGAAGAAGTGATCTCGTTGGCACCATTGTGAGTATATATTAATTGAGTCTGGAAGAAGTTTGCGAGTTAAACAATATCTAGGCACAATGGCCCAGCGGATCAGATCCTGAAAGCTGCCCTAAGGTCTTTTCCTCAGGCAAGGAATATTGCATTCTTCGACTCGTCGTTTCACAATTCCTTGCCGGACTTCATTAAAGCCTATCCGATTGATCAAAAGATAGCAAAGGAGAGAAAGCTGAGGAAATACGGCTTCCATGGGCTAAGTTACCACTGGATTGTGAAAAATGTGGCGAGATTCCTCAAAAAGGTAAGAGAAAGTATCGGGGGTGATGTTTTAATGTCGGCAGTCTGGTAATTTGGAGGCTGAACCGGCGCATTAGAATCAAAATGCAATTTCGATAATCGCATTGCACCTAGGGAGTGGGGCGTCTATGTGCGCGATCAAAAACGGGGAATCATATGATACGAGGTAAATTTTCGCGCCGCGATAATGTGTTCTGTCTGCCGATGGAATAGTTAAGTTGACGGCGGAATCTTCTAGCATGGGATTAACGCCGCTTGAAGGGCTTCCTGGAGGATCAAGATCGGGGACCATGGATCCAAGGTATTGAACGAGACCATCGTTCCACACCGCGAAAAATCTAATTTAGGTGAAGCCTAGTATTTCATTATTCTTCGAGGCCAGCCGACAATGATAAAGTGTCTTCGGTGGAGCTTTCACACGCCGAAAGCATTTTGAATCTGTCATCAGTATGGAATACCCGTTCTAGATTTTCAATACTCAAGATACGGACATTAACGCGTCGCGGCAGGGTTTCAAAGCACTTACTGGAACATCCGACTTCTCGGAAATACTTGCAACAGATCCTGCAACTCCAGAGTCCGAACTTGCTATTAGCTTATTTCTTGACAGGATCTTGGGGTTCTTCGGTTCGTATTGGTTGAAGTTAGGCGGCGGGAGAGGGTGTGTCGACGCCGTCGTTTTCGCAGGTGGTATCGGAGAGAGTAGCCCAATATTCCGTGAGATGATTGTAAAAGGATTGGATGGTTTGAATGGTGGGTTCGATGGAGTAGACCCCAAAAAGAATAAAGAAGAGGATGGTCGCAAAGTTGTCTATTCTATTGGTGATGAAATCGGCAGGACGCGGCTCCTAGTTTGCAAGACAAATGAAGAGGTACTTATTTCTAGCATATTAACACCTCTACCCGACTCTCAGCTTACTGACAAGTACCTTTTAGCTCGAGATGGTGGATGAATGCCTGAAGGACAAAGGGCTCTGGTGACAGCCCCAGATAATCCTTCTGAAACCAAAAGCTGTTACGAAGACGAGTATGGCAGGCGATGTTTTGGGCTAGGATAGTCGAGCCCCGTATATCCGTTGTTTTTCGATCCCGTCCTTGGTTCCATCACAAAACAGTATGAACTTTGCACAGGCAACTTTGGCCTGCCGGTCCCAATGACGTCTTGATGCATTATACGCTGTGGAATTAAGGGGCGTAGAACTATTCGCACTCACTCTACCTACCTGATACTTTTACTAATACTTCCAATGAACTCGAACACCGATTTCTCCTCTTCCTTCGTTTCGTAGCCCGAAGGCCAAGGTTTTGCCGTCTTCAAAAGGTCAGAATATAACCCGTGTGCGTCTTCAATGGATGGATATTCCTGGAACTTCTAAGATCGAACACGGAATATTAATCGGTCTGGATTGCCCACCCAAAGTGGAACATACCAAGGAATTGGCCACTCTTTTCTTGTTTCAAAACCTTGTAGGTTTGCAGAAGCATTTGTTGTTAGTTGGAAACTGTACGTATCATGAAGAAAGCATACATCTCACTAGCTCAGCTTGGCTATTGGGGACCACTTGAAAAATTGTATTCATTATGAAGAACTCCACGACGTCATTGGTAGCAAAAGGGTCATAAATAGGAGCTAACGCTTAATTAAACGCGGATTGATTCGTTACGACGATGTCATATCGTCGAAAAAATAATCAAAATTCTTATATAATACAATGAAGCAGCCGCACGGATTTAAGCCCAGATGATATTCTCTACAAAGCTTTGATTGTCAGACCTAGGCATTAAAGATAAACATCCTGCCACACTCGCTAGCAAATTTCACTAGACTAAAATTTAATATGCAATCGTGGCCACCTCAAACGCAATAATACCTATGTTACGTTTTTTTTCTTGGTAGGGTTGACTACGGAGCGTTTGGGGCAAACCCGAAATCGAGCTAGCTGGACGTGCATATACATGCAAAGCGTTCTCACCGTGGACTTTGCTTGTTTCAAGCTTCAAGGTCTAGATCTTATTTTCAACATTAGCTTCTGAATCTGAAGTCGTGTTTTGTGGAATAGTTGTCCAGAACTTAGTATAACTTTTTGGCACGGGTTGGCCGGTGGCGGTCAGAATTCGAAAAAGATATTTGTGGAAGGTTCAAAATCAGATTGTGCATTCAGCCGCGATTGCTCTGAATTATCTTAAACCAATACTTTCCTAATTTGCCAATCCTCCGTTAACGCGTTCAGATGGTCTCCCGAGTATAGTAAAAGATATTTCGTTTCATACGGGAACTTGGATTCGGACGCAGATTATCAATTCCATCAGGGAAACCGATAAATTTTGTCTTTGGGGGCTGATAAGTTTGCACAGTCAATTTCTGGCGATGGAAACAGATCTCGGTAGCCATTTCGGCGACATATCTAAAATTCTTGATTGAGAAAATTTATATTAGATATCCTCTTAGCGTCGTCGTAGGGTGTTATGAACTCGTGGTGGGTAAGGATACGACGAACGATATGAACAAACCTTTGCGCCAAAAATTTTTAAACGTTAAAATGTAAAATGTGTTGGAACTGTAAAATAAATAAAAAATTACATATGTAAAAATACACACTGGTGAACTACCTACCTACCCACCCAGCTGGTGAACTGCCTACTCATTCACTAACAAGCAACTCACTACACAACATAATAATAACAGATTATTTATTATACAATATGATAATAACAAGTTATTCACTAGTTAATATAACAAATTATTTATTAACTAGCGAACTAATAAATTATTTATCAATTAATAGGTAGTTTACTAGCTGGGTAGGCAGGCAGGCAGTTCACCAGCTGGGTAGGCAGGCAGACAGTTCACCAGCCGGCAGGCAGTTTATCTGCTAGCAGGGAGTTTATTAGTGTGCATTTTTATATATGTAATTTTTTTCTTTATTTTATGGTTCTAATACATTTTATATTTTAACGTTTAAAAATTTTTGGTGCAAAGGTTTGTTCATATTGTTCGTCGTAAAGGAAGTCTCAGCGATATCTGAAACCGCGTGTTGTGACGCCAGCGCACCATGATCGAGAAACCTTGCCACAGTTTGGTTACGAGACTGGAACCTTGCGCGCGCAATTGCGGGGGGTCATGTTATTTAAACTGTAACGAGATAAAAGTATACTTGTGGAGCCGGTATGCGTTCCTCGTTCTGCAGATAACCGATATCGCAATAGCTGAAGCCTTTGTTATACTTTTCTGGGGTCCTGAGATCTTAATTTTAGGAGTGATCGATGATGATATTTGGTGAGGTATGGAATTAATGCCTGATATTGATATGCGTCTTAAACTCGAGCTGGAGGACCTAGGTTAGTATTGTATATGTGCATTTAAAGAGAAATCGTTTGATTGGAGATTAATTCAAACAATGACGTCGGCGGGAGCAAGGGGCATAAAGAGATACTTCGTTGGGTTTCAGCGAAAGGGCACCAAAACCGGGGCGATATATGAAAAAGTTCGAGTACTTGGTTAAGCGGGCCCTTGGCGAAGTATAGATATGTTGGCCTGAAATCTTTTCAAGAGAAGAGGGGTTTAACGTTTGTGCGCCTACATAAGTACTTATGTACTTATGCCAGGAATTAAATATACTGTTCTAGCATGCGGACTCACGAATTTCTTACAAAAGAATCAACGGGAACAAAGTCGATATTATATTAAATAATTTACATTGACTATCTCGCTACAGTCAATAACGGGATAAGCAAAAATTATATTTACAACTCGATTCCGGATCGCGAAGCTTAGAAGTTGTAATGAACAATATACCCAGATGCAACGTTTTATAAATGTACGGTACTGCCCGAAATGGGTGTCGTCGGATTTGTTTTCCGTCGATCGGCGCGCTGCGTAACCTTGCAGATCAGCGGAGGTAGTTCTCCGCCCAATAGAAAGGGTGCCCAGATCCATGTCCAGATGAGCATAAAGTGCCTCCAGGCCGGCTTGGCATATCCATGTTGAAACCGGTTTCCACACAAATACGACCCGTTGGCCGGTGCGTATAAGAATAATTAAATTGCAGCAACCTCCAGGTGTTAACAGCTAGCTTTCTAGCATCCGTCACCCGCTTTTTAGTACCGTATTTTCTTATAGTATACAAGATAGCCAGCAGCCACACGAAAGTGTAGCCCCCAGTCATTCGAATTCAGATTACGGTTTACAAAAATTCGAAACAGAGAGATGGAATCTGGGGAGTGCAGGAAGGATCGCGACGCGGAATTGAGTCCGGTGCCAGAAAATGCTTCTGAAGAAACGAGTAGATCACAGAATCTGCCCGGACCTCCCCGGAAACGAGTATATCAGTCGAGGCGTAATAGTAGAGCCTGTGATGCTTGCAGGTCTCGTAAAACAAAAGTTAGTTAAGAAACCAGTCAATCAATACGGCAATATGATTGACCTTCATATTATGAAGTTTCGAAGTTAAATCGGGGTTCAATTTATTTTCTAGTGTGATGCCAATGGCGCCGGAGTTTGTGGGCCTTGCACTTCTTGTGCTTCTGCATCGCTTGTCTGCAGATTTACAGAATCAGGAAACGGGAAAAAAATTGGACCGGTCAGGCAAGACTATGAACCCTGCAAATTAATGCTACGCCGGCTATCGAACGACTTCATAGCGGTGTGCTCAGGTACTAACATATGTGTATCCAATAATGGATTATTTAGACAAATACGATTGCTTCAGACGACTATCAAAGACTTGAATGAAAAGCTCAAAACTGCTGATGCTAGACTTCAAAGTCCGACATCCACGTTTTCGTCCAAGACAACGAATCGTTCTTCTTCTAGCCAATCACCTCGCTCTCCTAGTCCGGAGCAACCCCGTAGATTCTCGTTTAGTAGCACCGGCGAAAACTTTTTCCTCGGGTCAGCTTCTACTATGAGTTTTGTGGAGTCGCTTCGAGGGTATATGGAGGGATTAGGCTACGATGCATCACTTCTTGATGCGCGAGGGCCTAGCGAAGAAACCCCACACGCTTTAAGTACCTCTCCGTATTCGGATACCTTGCAGATAAGAGATCTTCGTGCCCTATTGCCTACTCAGAGCAATGGCGAAAGGTTCCTTATGATATTCTATCAATACCTTAAGAGGTGAGGGTTAACTAGCACCATTTCCCCAAACAAAGCTAGCTGCAGTATACACAGATCTGACGTTTGTGACTAAATCTGCAACTGATAGGTACATGCCGGCTATGTGCTGGTGTGTTATCCAGCAAAAGTTTGAGCGGGCCTATAGGGCACCTGTATTTGCCGAAGACAGATCATCCGTCACGGGGATATTCTGCGTCCTTATGACGATCAACGCCTACGCAAGCATATGCTCAGATGACTCAGATATATTCGAAGTTCCTAACTACAGTTCCAAGTACGTCCACGAAATATATATAGCAGTTTGAGATTTTGTCGACGCAGCTAACTTGATTTTATCTTGCAATAGACGGGGTTGGTATTTTTTGGAATTCGCAAAAAATTTTCATGACCTGAACCGTCCTACCCACTCTCTTTTTGATGTTGAAGGTAAATCTATCCTTGAATCCTTATTCTCTAAACTACTTTGAGTTTCCCTCGTGCTAAAACAGATGCAATTTCGTGTGGGGACCTAGTCCTGGTAATAATGGCCATGTACCTGGAGAGTGTCGCTCTGCCGTATCCCTTGCGCCTTACCGTCGAATATCTAGCAAAAGTCTGTAAAGATATTGGACTCCACCGTAAATCTACTTACGGTAAATTTAAACTGAGACCGGTAGATATAGAGCATCGGTCAAGGATTTTCTGGTGTACGTTTCTTTTGGACCAAAAATTGGCATTACAGTTCGGAGCTAGGCCGATATTTGATGCAGAAGAGATTGATATTGACGAACCCGGTCACAATTACACGGGTGACTTGACGAATGAGCACGCCAACGGTGGCATGAGCATGGAAATGCCCGAGAGTATAATATTGACGAGAAGCCTTACCTCGATCTCACGGTTGATAGGGCCTATTTTTCGCCTGGTGCCTCAAGCGCACGACGCTGAACACCGTCTGAGTCATATCGAGCAACAACTGGATTTTTTTGAAAGTAATTTCCCACAAGGCATATTGGCTTGGGAAAGCTCGACTCCACTAGACCCGGTTCTCTTGGATGGTATGATATCGCAGTCCATGTTTATAGGTTGCCGCATGATTGAAACTATGATTGTGTACTAATCAAGTATGGGTGTATAGCGGCAATTTTCGCAATGGCCATAAGACTCTCGCTTTACCGGTTTTTCACTGATGCGTGTCTCAACCCTGATTTCAGGGCAAGATGCTTGCTACAGTGTCTCGAAGTCGCAAAAGCCACCGTACACTTACTCCGGCGAACAATTAAATTTCCAAACTGGGAGGAAAACTTCCGCCTACGCCAGTGTGGATTAACCTATCAACATATATTCAAAACTTCAACTATTCTGCTCATTGCAGCTGCTATATTCCCTAAACCGGTCGACACTAGCTCCGAATTGCGTACATGTATTGGGGTCCTTCAGATAGCAGCGCCGACTCGGCCATTAGTTCTCCAGAATCTTCACACCCTTGACAAACTGAGCGAAATTATGAAGCAAACACCAGCTACTGCATTGTATAGAAACCTTAGAGCTGCTACCCTTGCCACAATACCGCCACATATTAGCAGTAAGGCCACAGTTCATCTTCCAGAAAAATCATATTTTTTGACTGCACCATCTTTAACGGCAACGATTCCTTCAAACGCTCCAATCCTAGCTTCCTATAAAACAGGAGGTTCGCAAGTTCCTTTGACACTGCCTTCAAATGATATCCCATTCCGTGCTAGGGTCGAGTCACCTCTTGGACCAAACTACAAATTCCCGAACATAGCGGCGGCTTGCCCTGCGCTTGAAAATAATATATGGCTTAATCAAGTTGACCTACCTTCATGGGCGCTAATGCAAACAGTTCTTCAGCAAGGAGACCTTCGTTAATTAAATTCATGGAGCACTATGTGCCTTGTTTGGCTACCAGTATTTCTATTCTTATTATCTGGAACGTATTTAAGCTTTTGCCCCCTATTTGTGTAGCGCACGGGGTATACTGTATGTTTGCTTATCGATTTGTTTATTATTCTTCTCTAGTGGGCTTGAGACCCCCGGCGTCAATTTCTTGGGTCCCTATCATTAATACCCGTATCAAAGTATTATAATAATATTCTTAACTTTTTAACAAAAACTATATATAAGAGTCGCCTCGCGTATTTTTAATATGTTAGTGTGCATGCTGTGCATTTATTAAATGGAGATTTGTGTGGAAACTTAGCGTGACGGCTACAGATAGCTATGCGTGGGTACACCAATACGTACACATCGATGCAGGTGGCCACGCTAAGGCTGCTCTTCCGTCGAGACCATTATAAGTATTAGGACGGCGTCCAGAAGACACGACCAAATCCAAATATCTCTACAGGCGTATTGACCAAGAAATTCGTTTCTCGAGATCTCATTTAAATTTAGCATAAGATTTGCTTCAATGGCTTACTTCGAATATAAGGGTAAGACCCCGCAATGGTTGCCGAGTTTAGGGATTACTGGCCAAATGATATAGGGCCCATCATGGTGTTATCGGTGTATATCGATACGTGTCGATACGTATCTATGTGGTTGATATTTAACGTTGGTGTAATGCTAGCTAGCCAGTCTTGCGTTAGTATGGCGACGGCCGCATTAGAGCATATGGTTATATAGAGGCCTTGTTTTGTACTATATGGCCTGGTACTGACCATGCCATCATCGAGGGTATTTTGAATACATGTAGCAAGCACTACGCCTCCTATAAATTAAACAGGATACCCAAGGTGCGTTGACGTCTTGAGATATATTTTGGTCAGAGGAAGCAAGGGACTACAAACTGGGTGGCAAGCTAGAATTTGTAGACATGATATGGTGAATGGCTAGGCTGACTTTATGATTCTGTAGTCAGGGTCTAGTCTCACTGTACATTTTTGTCTTGGTTGTAGTCGCAGTTTGAATTTAATAGCAAGCTATGTCCACTAAATGGATCGTTTAACATGGTTATTATTGTGCCCTAAACATTTAATTTGACGTTTGAATATAATCGTGATGGAGGATATGGATCCCTATGCATATGTAGATAGTTTATAGTTTGCGTATACATAAGTATTTGTATATACTATACTCGTTTATTTGATTAAGAGGCCTAGAGGATACTGTCGTTATTATTTCTGACGAGATTAATCTTACGAGACCCTGAGCTAAGTTGGAGTATTCAATTGGACATCTAGTGTATAGAAATTGCATTAGTCATATGTAATTAAGGAGAGGCCAAAAAAGCAAAGCCTTCAGGGTTGCAGGTCGTCCTGCGGCCGCACAAAAATATGTTCCGCATATTTACATACCACTAATACATCATCCTTGTTGTATTTTAAATTTGAAGATCAATATAATGGCTATGTTGTTGCCACTAGCGTGGTGTTCTTGAGCTACTCAAAGACCAGCGTTAGCGTGCCGCTTCGATTGATATTGACCTATAGCAATATCGAAAACTTGTGAGCAAACAGATGTAACTTAGACCATTGCGTCACTGATTAGCGGGATCTTTCGCGCGAAAACTTTAATATCAAAAGACCAACCGCTATCAACATTGATCTAGGGGATCTTCCTACTTTTTTTGTAGTTTCAAGTCAGCTCCCAAGATTCGAGGCTATTAGGCAACGGTGTACCCTTAGCCATATACAACTCCCCATAATTACAAGTACGTTGCACGTTAACGCGTTGAGGCCGTGGTAAAAGTTTCTTCCGACCCGTTAGCTAGCCTTCTGGGGGTAAGCTTAGCTAACCGCGGTACCGCGTGAGTAGCTAGTAACTACTTACCTGCTATAGAGGGTAGTGGATGCTGGTGATTTGTCTAAGATCGAGACTTCGATCCGCAAACGTTTAGCATGATGTTCACTCCAAAATAAAAAATATTCTAGTAAATGGGTATACGTATGCGCAGCCGAAGGTTTAATGATAATAGGAGATCGACCGGAGGCAATGATTGGGGGAGGACAGAAATTTAAAACTTTGCCTTATCGCCCCTTAGGTTTAAGGAGGTCATCATAACGCATTTAATGATCGATTAGAGTGGTGGAACAATCAAACGGATGAGATAAAGCTATCAAATTTGTGGGACTAGGTCAACAAAATCTTATAGATATGTATGTCTTAGAGTTCGGATTTAGATGAAACCTTCGGTTCGGCCAGGTCTACAAGTTATCTCCTTTTGGGCTCGCCTTTGCGTGGTATATAATTTGTCTCGTATCCACAGGGACTCGTATACTCGAATTAAAAACAAAGCCCGCATTACCAAATATGTAATTTAGTTTCTTAGGGCCGTCGCATGCGCGCAATGAACCGATGCACATTATGCATCGAAGTACACATATATGCATCGGATCTTCGATACGATTGTAGAAAGATTGAAGGCTATTGAATAGCCAAATGAGCCGAGCGAGTACTCGAAGGCTTAACGTTTTGATACCCACTGAGCTGTGACAGCTTACTACTAAACAATATAAGTACTTAGGTATATCCATGGATTCACCCAACAAATTTGTACCACATACACAGAAATTGTGGAGGTGGAGTGACTGTACATTTCCAACCGCATCTCTGTCTACCGAGACTCTTCCCTCCTAGGTTCGAATTGCTCTCAGTAAACATAACTCTACTTCCAAAACGAGCGCTGAAGGTATAGGTTACCCACGTAAGGCAGTCATATCTATATGTTTCCGTGCAAAATTCTGTTTCGCCATATGATTGATACGCTTTTGCGACCAGACCCCTCTCAGGACCCTTGCTTTCGGGATTTTCTTTCTTTCTTTCTTTCTTTTTTTTAAAAAATAGAATTACTGTGTAAAAACGTAGTTCGGGAGATATTGCCGCTGGGCATAGGTTGACTTGTGGCCGCTATGTTACACACGATGCCAAAGACCTTGGTGACGGGAGCTGAATCAGGGCAGTAGGCCTAGAACAGCCCAATCACAGCAATTACATCAATTACATAGGCACTCTTGCGTCAAAGTCCCAATATGTCTACGGCTCTCGAATTTGCTGCGGACCGGCTGTTTCCTTTACAAATGCCCTTCAGTTTGAACCTTTTCTGAGCGGACAGTCATTCAAAAAAAATTCTTTTAAGGATTCTAAACCAGCCTCGCCTTAGTCAAAAAAATCTATCTTGCGGAAGGCCTTAAAAGTGCAACAACTCCTTGGAGTGAATTGAGAAGTCTTCTCTTTCTACCCCCGCCCCCACATTGTAGATAGGGATCGGATAAAATGCCGACAACTACTCGAAGAACGGAAGACGAAACCTCGCCCTTGCTGCGAAAAGAGAACGTCAAAAAAGGGCCCCGTTTACCACTGAAGCAGTTAAGTATCCTAGGTAATATTTCCCACCGCTTACTTTGAATTCAGCACGTATATTACGGGCTAATACGGTTGAACTTTCGATCTAGCACTATGCCGTGTGGCCGACCCGATATGCATGACGAGCGTCTTTTCCTACTTACCCCAGATGATAAGAAGTTTTGGGGTTTCTGAAAATGAGATTGGAGTTTGGGCAGGTTAGAGAGCCTCATAAATTTGAATTTTGGATTCCGGGAAGAAGAGGCCACTGATTATGATTATGTCACAGGAGTTATATCTGCATCTCTTGCGTTATGCCAGTGCTTGACAGCGGTTGCATGGTGTCGACTAAGTGACAGGATTGGTCGTATGTATTTATGTTACACGCTTAACTAAGTTTGTTCGGTTCAACTAACTGCTTAACTGGTAGGCAAACCATCCATCCTCCTGGGCCTCGTTGCGATGATGGCGAGCACTATAGCGTTCGGCTTCTCTACGAGCATTACCATGGCGATAGTTACTCGATGTTTAATTGGCCTGACCGGGAATGTGGGCATTTTAAGGACGGTGGCTGCTGAACTTGCTCCGGACCCAGATTTGAAGCTTCAAGCGCTGGGTATCCTGCCTTTGGCATGGAACCTAGGTACAATAACGGGGCCCGCCATTGGTGGGTTCTTGAGCGAACCGGCGCAGAAGTATCCGTCATTGTTTCCACCGGGTGGGTTTTTCGACAAAAGCCCATGGGCACTTCCGAACCTTCTGATCGCCTTAATGATTTTTACTGGGGGCTTCCTTGCTTTCCTATTTCTTGACGAGACTCTTGGGTCCAAACAACGAAGATACGATCCGGGGAGAGCAATGGGGAAAAAGATCGAGTCCTTTTTTGGCTTAAGTTTCTCCGAGCAAGATAGTACATCTAGGGTAGCACATGACGTTGAGAGCCACCCTAAGCAAGCGACTGACAACTACGCCGGTGCAAACCCAAATATCCCCCTCACTTGGTCCGAGATTTTAACGCCACAATCAACTTACCTTGTCGTTCTCTTTTTTATATCGGCAATCCACCGGGTCACTGCTGAACAGCTATTCTCCCTGTTCTTTGCTACCCGCGTCCACTCCTCAAAGAACCCTATACGGCTCCCATTCCATCTGCCAGGCGGGTTTGGTCTCAATAGTTCTCAATTGGGTCTGTTGTTCGCCGCACTTGGAGTAGTCGAGATACTTACACAGCTATTCATATTCGCACCAATGGCACGCAAATATGGCAATCGAGCCCTACTGTGCGTAGCTGCATTTGCAGACCCGATACTCTATTTTGCGGTCCCATACACTCTCGCTCTCTACGAGAAGCATGCTGGACCCGGTGGTAACTGGGTCTGTTATACTACTGTTGCTGTGATCCTAATGCTCTGTTCGATGAATAGCGTTTTAGGACTCAATAGTGTTGTTATTTTGGTTACGGACAGTGCAAGTTCTACGAGGGCACTTGCGACACTAAACGGATTTGCGACCAGCGTTGCAGCTCTTGGCGTAGCCATTGGCCCAAGCACATTTGGATGGCTATATACTGTTGGCCAAAAATCTGAATGGAGTACCATTCCTTGGGTTGGATTGACACTCGTAGCATCTTCAATGTGGATTTGGATCCCGAAGGTAAAAGTCAGAGAACAATCAAACCGGAGAGAAAACGAGGTTACATCCGACAACTAAGAGAACTTTCGCGATTGACCCCACCGATTTAGATATCAATATCACAAAGGTAGTGATTTATAGATGGCGGGTTCGGGTTCGGGTCAAAAACTTACAAGCTACTTAACTTAAAGTCCCGTGCGAAATTCGCTCCAAAGAAAACTTTCATCAACGTCTTGTCGCTATGCTCTCGTTTTGTTTTCCTTTTACTTATTTACCAAAATGTAGGATTAAGAGCCTGGCAGAGGCTTAAAAAAAATTCGACGTTTTTCTTCTTGTTTTCTAACTAGCCTTGGTGTACAATACTATCGCTCCCAGACAATTAAATTATTATACATGTCAACTGGTATATTGCATTTCTACTCTATATCAAGCGGAAAAGGAAAATTCAAAGATGGGCATTGACTGCCCGGCTGGTACTATTCAATACTGTTTATGAGCTGTCTCGAGGCGGCATTGTTCATGCAGATTGATATTAATAACAAGTCGCAGGCCTTTGACATAGCAGACCTCACCTACACTCTACCGACTATACATTAAATAGAGCTTAAGGATTGGCGTATATTAGTCTTACATCAATCAATTGCATCCAAACTTTTATACAGGATGGTTTGACGGTGTAAGTACTGTCTCTGTTCTGCGGTCAACTGCGGCACGCATGCGGGTACATATTGCAGTGACTACAGACCACCACAGCCGTCTAGCCCCTTTACTTCAGACGACAAGACTTTGTCCATACTCGAAGATTCGGTTTTTTTTTTCTTCATAAGCTTAGAACCGTAATAAAAAATCTGGGAGAGAGCTCCGGGTACCCGGTGAGTAGCTAATGACGGATAGCGAGAAGCTAGAAAACTCTAGAAGAAAGTTTTCGGACCAATCAATTTCATGCGGGCGGCACGAAAAGGATGTCCAAAAATCGAGGAGTTCATTGAGGTGCATGGGTTCAGTGCGTAATTAAATGTTTATGCGCATGTACATATGCTCATGGATAGAGATCTCGACCCCGTCAACCTGCGAAAGGAAGTTGTTTTTCCGACAGCAGAAGTGGATGGGTGGTTGGACCAATGAGATCTCAACTCAGATTCAATCAGTTAGGTGCATATCTCCGAAGCAAGGGTTATTATGAGCGTTCTCCAGCCATGTGCTAACAATATTATGAACCTGGGTGAATAGCCACCAAGTTGACTGCTAGACATCAAGCTTTTAGGATATTTAACTTTGTACCACAATCGTAGTCGGGCTAAACCTTCGGAGTACAAAACTCCTAGCACAAAGCTAGTCTGTTATAAATGTTACCGTGCGGTCCTGAATTGCCAGGCTAACTAACCTATGAAATGTCGGCTCATAAAATTCCAACAGAGTACATGTATTCCAGTAACCAACATTATTCCGAAACGCTCGCGATACGCAAACTCAGCCGATGGAGGGTCCAAAATACTATTATCTGGGTCTGATTAGACTTCAGTACCATAGAATTGAAATTAGTGTAATATAAAACTATATACGCCCGTATTGGCCTTAATTCCTAATTGACAGATGATATAATTCAAGAACCCTCAGGAGCGATTTTTGACTAAAGCCAAAAAAAACATTCAGGCAACTATATCAGCGCCATTACAATATTAAGATGACAAAGGAGAAGACACTGCCCCAGCCAGCTAATACTTTAGCTATGGCGGGTGACAATACCTACAACGAAAACAGTGGCCAACAATATCTTGCGATGGAAGCTTGCTTGCCATTGTTTGAAAGCCTCGGCTTTGGTATGTACTAGCACTGAATATAAGGAACATGAGCAATAGTCTCAAATACCTTACGTTATAAAGCTGCTTACTCCCTTAGCGATGCTTCAGCTATCCAATTTTTGAATCAATGGTTGCTTCCACCGCTAATTTACAACTTACAGGGGTCAATGCAACATTCGTAGATTATGGTTGCTCTCAGGGAGCTGCTAGGTATGGCCATATGAATTACATATGATATACAGTGCCTGAATTTGATTTGACTATAAAAAAAATATACTAACATAACTATCTTGATTCCTAGCATGGCGGTCATGCAACGACTTGTTTCCCAACTTCCCACCAACTCCACCGCGACTTTGGTTTTCAACGATCTCCCTTCGAATGATTTTAATAGCTTGATCAAGCTTCTGCCAAGTATCAAGTCTTTTGATTCAACCAAAGTACTTTACCCATGTATTATTCCCAACTCGTTTTATAACCCCATCATGCCCCAAAGCACTGTTGATGTCGCCTTTGCTTTATCAAGCATTCACTGGCTGCGTCAAGTACCGCCACCAAAATCTACCTCGGAAAGCTTCGAAGAATTTCTTCGTAAGCGTGACAGTCGCAACTCGGCAGCCTCCCATAAAGACCTTGTCGAATTTTTGAATTTGCGCGGTCGAGAGATCAAGTCCGGCGGGAAACTTATCGTCGCTGCACCATCCCCATGCGCGGACAATGAGGATGGAAGGATTACTGGAAATGAACGGCTACGCTGCGCATTATTCAAGGCCATGGAAAGTCTTATCGCCGTCGGAAAACTACCACCCAACGCCACGGCCGGGATTTATCCGCCAAACCATGTCCACACAGAACAGTCCTTTCGCGCGGCTATAAACGAAACTAAAAGGATCTGGAAAATAGAGAAAGCATACAGTCGAGTGATTCCTCACCCAGCATACCAAGCTATGTTAGAATCACAGAAAGGGTTGCGAGATATAGAACTCCAGAAGGCCTTCGAGCGCGCGTACGCAAATACCGTCGTCGATTGGATTTTGGCTGTATTCAAGCCGTTTATGAAATCATGGTGGATAGAAGAGGGCCTCGATGAAGAAGCATGCGAGCATGTTTTTCAAGAGTGTTCTAGCCTGGCCAAAATCGAATTTGTCAAAAATGCAGGGGCTCAGCTACCAGTTGCTCAAGACTTTATTTTTGTTAGGCTTAACAGGTGCTAGCTCTAGGATCATTTACATGTAGCTAGATCTACGTCATATATAGCATGCGTACCAAATTAAGGAATTTTTCATTCAGTTTAGCTGTTGCAGAAACCACCTCAAAGGCTATGTGGAGCATCTGAAGGGTCTGATACAAATCCAACTATTGCATTCCCCGCGCTAGTTCTACCGGTATAGAGACAAAAATAGAATAGTCTGTGCAGGAGGCGTTAGAGCCCAAGTTTCATTCTTGCATTACCTGCGAGGTTGCCGATCATTTAAAGCTTTGCTCACTTAGAGTAAATGGCCTTAACACTGCAACAATTGATACTTTAAAAGAAGGGGCGCTTCCAAGTTGCCAGTCATACAGTCCAATGCCAACTCATTCTTTTCGTCTTGCCCCGAGATAATTCTGCATCCCCCCCAAAATAACTCAGGTATACACATTCCCAAGATAATCTCGAGAAGCTTTATTTTGCCCGTTTTGATAGAATTAGTGGCATAGATCTATTCACTTTTGATCCCCAAATCGACTTGCGTTTTATCTTTACACGTTATCAGAACCCATAGATCATGTCTGAGGGTGGAAAATTAATTCTAGTTGGCACTGGAGTTCGATCTCTTTGTCAGTTAACTCTAGAAGCCATTGATGAAATTGAGCGGGCGGACGTTATCTACTACGCAGTACGCGATGCTACAACGGAAGGATTTATCAAGAAAAGGAATAAAGAAGCCATTGATCTGTATCAGTATTTCATCAATGACGAGGAAATACCGGAAGCAGATATCTATATCCAAATTGCCGAGGTAAGAAAATGTTAAACTTTTGCAAGCTCTCCGTTCGCTGACACTACCCAAAAAATATAGGTCATGTTAGCAGCTACAAGAAAAGGGCGACGAGTTGTTGGCGCATTTTTTGGACACCCTGGGCTGTTCATGAGTCCTAACAGGCGGGCTTTGGCAATAGCCCAAGCCGAAGGATATACGGCAAAAATTCTGCCTGGAGTTTCTGTCGACGACTGCCTCCTTGCCGATCTTGGCGTTGATCCTTCATTCATTGGTTGCCTGACGTGTGAGGCTCGCGACTTCATGATTCACGATCACCTTGGATTAACATCACGACATGTCATTATGTATGAAGTTGGCTACCTTGGATTCTATGGAGATGATAGCAAGGTTAGTTAAATAAACTCGTTATTTCAATTGTCTTAAATTGATATCAATATATATAACTTAACCAAATTTTAGACCGACTATTTTGAATATTTTGTCAACAGACTTGAAGAGATATACGGGAATGAACATTCGCTCGTAAATTATACAGCAGCCATTTCACCATTAATGCAGCCAGTTATAAATACTCTTACGATAGGAGATCTTCGCAAGCCAGAAGTTCGAAAGCAAATTACATCCGCCTCAACATTATACTTCCCACCAAAAGAAATACTCAAGCTGAACAAATTCGGGTGTGATCTATTAGATCAGGGGATAACAAACAAAGAGCAATTCCAGCACGCCATATTTCCTGGGCAGCCGCTGTACCAACTCATCGGCAAAGCTTTACCGCATGAAGCGTACTCTGAGCACGCCCAGCAAGTGATTGCTGGTTTGCATAGGCGAAAGATATCACCTCGCTACCCTCTTTACCGTGCTTCTGCTGCGATGCAATCAACCATGGAAGATATATATCTCAAAAACGAAGTTCGGAAGGAGTATCTTATTTCACCAACCTCATTTACCTTGCGTGTGGTACCGGGCCTTAAGGAAATGGAGAAGATTGCTTTAGCTTCTGGGAATTACAGCCAAATTGATGGTGCCATGAAAAGCGGAGATCTTGATCAGGTACGCAAATTCAGACCACGGTACCCTCGTTTTCGTAGAGCTAACCACCGGCGCGATTGAAATAGGCAATTACAAAGTAATATTATACTCAGGATATGCCATAGGGTATGAGAGAGCAACCTTTGCCATCGCAGATTTCACAAATTTTAGTTTTTTCAATATATACTAGCTATAGATGGCGAGTTTTGTAAGGATGCAAAAATAATATATTTCAATCTCATAATCGATTGGTATGCATGAAATACTAAAATCAACGCAGATATAATTTCTAAGCTATAGAATATGTAGCCTTTCTCGTCTCGTTAATTCTGCGCTCTTAATCTTTTCTAAAGCTTAAGCGGTCCTATCATAAAACTATGAACCTTCTAAACCGTTAATCCAAATAATGAGTTAAAAAACCATACTATTATCTAGCCATCCTTTCATTTACGTGTTCTCTCATACCGCTGAGGTACCAATCATCCCAGCACATACTAAACATAACGGAATCCCGGCCTAGGTCCCTTCCATTCATGTGACCAACTTTGCCATCGACATCTAGAGGTTTACCATTTGACTCTTTTCCAGTATTTGCTCCTCCAGGGTAGAGACGATCCCATCTTATCACCCCTTCTTTCGTAAACCCCATCTTTTCGGCGGTCTTGATTGATGGATGGTTCACAGAACTTGTCATCCACTGTACTCGGCGGAACCCCAGCCCCCCTTCGTTTGGAGAGTCCAGGGCCAGTTTTAACAGTAAACCAACAGCGTTAGAAGTGACATGAGTTCGCTGAAACTGTGGAAGTGTAACCACAAAGCCAATCTCGGTGCATAGATTTGCTGGGGAAGTACCGAGATAGGCGATAAGGCCGGCCAAAGCACCATCTTTGTCGGCCAGTGTGGGAGGTTTACACCTATCGATCACAGCATATAGCAGCATGTCCGTCTTCGGTCGCACAATTTTGTCTATGAAATCTGTGTCAAAATTCTCAGCAGACTCAAAAGGCCCAACTGGCCCATGCGTCCAGACCTCAGGGCTATCTTGGACCCTTTTGATGAACTCTGCCGTGTGTAACGCCGGCTATACTTATTAGCGGGTTCCGTAGGAAATACTAGAGGTTGGATACATACATTGAAGGGAATTAGTTTTACTCTCTCATTTGAGACCTCGCGTAGGACAGTAGGGATACAAAAGTTTTCGCTAGCGTTTTGCGTCTCTGGCGACGCGTTCGATACGCTATCATTTCAAATGAGTCAGCGGTTTTGTTCATCTCTTGAAACTAAAATCCAAAATGAGGTAGCTTTATAGTCTTGTGGGTAGTCTCGGGTCTGGTGGGTGGTTTTAACGTACTCTCGCTCCGATTCTGGGTATGCAATCTTTAGCACATCTTGCCATTGGCTGTTATCTTCGTAAGATTTACGGATAGGCGCAAGGATCTGGTTCATAGCGTCCGCAACAGCAGCCTTTAGGGTGCCTGAGGACAGCTTCCCTGCCAGAAAGTCGTGCTCGATAGCTTCATAGGATTTATAGTGGTACGATTCTCTCCCAGACATGATTGAGAACACACACCCTTCTGGTGCATTGGGCTCGACGAACGGAATGGTTTTTTTGGCATTAGAGCCCGCCCTAGCTGACTGTTCTAGTCGTAGTCTGCCTATAGGTACTAGTATTATCTTGAGAAGCGCTAGTATAGGATTATCATTGGCTGTGCTGGAATCGCAATGAGCCTCCATTATCTTTTGATAAACTATTTCAGGCGGATCCAACAGATCGATTTTAGACTTGGGGTTAGACGCAGACATTTTTGTTCCGGTCAGGCCTGGAAGCATTTTGTTCATTATGTGTGCATGCCGCTTCTTGTGGCCAATTTTTGGGAGATATTTGTCTCCATAGACATAGTATCCTGCCTTTGACACGTAATTCTTTCGTTAGATGATCTGTTATAAAAGCTTAGGAGCTTCCAAGAATTGGGGGGCCTACTTGGTCCAAACCGCCTAGTTGGAAATCGCAATCCATATATCTCTCATCTAATGCTTGTACGATAGGTACCACTAAGGGACTGAGCATCGTTGTGGTGGCGAGCTCTTCATTCGGAGACCTAGCTTCTCCCAACGATGTATAACTCAAGAGTTCGTAGACATCATTTATAAAATCCGGCGAGACCGAAAATGAAGTCTCTTGATGGAACGCAATAGTTGAAGCTGGCAAACCCGAAATGGTCTCGAAAACAGCAGTAAGTGCGAATCTGTAGTACTCTCGGCGGGATGCGACCAAGGAGCGGGAGTGCCGATAATTTACGAGGAATGCATAGAGATCTATTTCGAACTGTTAATACGCTCCTACAGGAAGGGATATATATTCATTCTAATCCCACTATCTTGGAGTGGCCGAAAGAATCCAATAGATCTCTAACCTGCGAGTAGAATTTTTACCTAAAAGAGAAATAAACATGATTCAGCATTCGAAGGGAAGCCGACGAACTGCAACATCCAATTTTGGGGGAAGAGGCTTACCTCTACGCCGGCCTCCACCAATTCTGCAATTTTTACAAATGGAACTAAATATCCAATATGGGCTGCCCATAAAAAAATTAGGTTCTGATCCAAAGGCCTTCGATATCTTACTCACGCCTTCCCGTCGGTGCGACCCCTGAGACTTAGTTAGCATCGAAAAACGATCTTACAATTTATTGTAAAACTTACCCCAAAAGATGTCAGGATGCACCTTTTCATGCAGAACATCCTTAATGAGTTCAGCGTCCGCAGTATCGACCCGCTCTAATCCACGTAGTATGAGATCAAGTCGGTGATCTTGACTGTCAGTAGATCCGGGGAGTTTCGTTTCGGCCATCTTTCAAACTGCTTAACTTCAGCGCTGTGAGGAAATTGGGGCCACGCGAGATAGTGAAGCCCGCGGTTGGAAGGCTCGATAATATTGATGGTCCCCTTTTGGTTCAATACTGAAATCTTGTACGTGTATATGTGTAGGGTATCAAATGACAACAGAGAGAGTTCCAGATGCAGAAAGCCGTAGTTAATCCAATCCGCGGCCGATCTGCGTTACGTTTCAACAAATTTACTCTAGGCCGTCAAACAAAAAAATATGCTTTTTCTATTTTCTATTCTTTCAAATTTCAAAGACAAAGCAATATGCAATCCCGTACAGAGTCTACCAAATCATCGAAGCTAAGCTCTTACGAATCCAGGGCAACTCCTAAGCAGCTAGTCTGAGGCGGGGTTCGCCAAGGCGCCAAGTTTATACTGTGCGACATGATGGGTTGCACAAGGCTTGGTAGTCCCGATCAGGCTAGATGCAGTAGTTTCAATTCAGCTCTCGCGCTCATCAAAGAGCTCAGTTTGCAAACGAGTATCTGCAGCACGAAAAACACTCGGAGATGCAAGCGAATTGCTAGTGCACAGATTCCCATGTATGCACCTGCGAACGAGGAATTTGAAAAAGGCACGTACGTATGCATGCGTGCGGAAATCGTGCTGGAAAGCGAACAATTGTCATGAACAAGGGCCTAGGGCCGAAACCAGAAATATGCATGTTCATCCCGATCGATCGGGTAGTTAGTCTGGGCCGATCGAATGTCGAGGGGACGCTCACCCCTGCCTTGCTGGTCAAATTCACACTGTGGGGCACGGAGTAGCTATTCCATAAACTTCGCTAGAGCTGGGCCGCTCGCCCCAGAATAGCTCGACATGCATACAGGATCGCGATCCTAGGCCGGCTAAAATCTGAGAATTTAATCAATGGCTCGTTGATACAGACCACATGGATTTCAGCTCGGATACAAGCATAAGGGTGACGGCTCTAGCCGTCAATAGGTGTCGCGTAGTTAGCGATTATCTTTCTGTAATGACCACCACAGCTTCGGATAAGCCCTGCGTACTACTAAGATAAGTTTTGTTTGACCAGAAAATTCACATTGTGATAAAATTTCGATCCCTTACAGCTTTTAATACACTCTAGTACTAATCTTTTCACGATGCAGTTACGTAATATTGTCTCATCGAAGCAAGGAGTATACTCTGGAAGACAAAGTTCAATATACCTGTATATAAAGCAAATCATAGTGACAATGATACTCCTCTATCGAAAGCTCGATATTGAAGCATCTAACACTTTTAACGATATCATTCTAACCTAATAATACTTTATCTACTTTGAATACAGACAAACTTCGAGCTAGTTGGCCGAATAACCCGCATCCCTTCGGAGTAATGTCTATTCCATGCAGAAAAGCTATAGTCAACAATACCGAAATCAATGTCGCCCCTCTGGAAACTGTGAGCCTACGGCTCCTCCTCCAGAAGGATGAAGGCGAACGCATAAAGCTCTATAGCGCGGCTAGATCGTTAGGGTTTTTCTACCTTGATGTGTCAGACTCTAAGCCATATCTTGCGGATGTGGAGCGGCTTTACTCGGTCACAGAACAATATTTTGCTCAGTCCGAAGAAAATTTACTCAAGGATTTTAGAATGGACGACGAATTTCGTGGGTACGCAAGATTGTCCCTCTAACATCAACGCCGGATCAAAGCCAAAAGTTTTAATTGTTCTGTGCCCTACATATAGGTATAAAGGAGGGAACAACTGGGGGTCTCTTGAGGTATGATGGCCCTAGACACACATCTTTCACGTCCGCATACCGAGCTTTTCTGCCGTATCTAACCCATATCCCAATCTTACAAGATCCTTCGAGACGACGTTATTTCCTCTGAAGTTCCTTTACCGGATATTATCGAATCAGATTCCGCTACTGTGCAGCGTTTCATTTCTGCTTCACATGAAGTGAGTCACGTAATTTTAGGTGAACTATCGAAATCGCTCTGGCCGGACTCCGAACACCATCTCGAGGAAAAACATCATCCTAAGAAGCGGAATAATAGTAGTTTGAAGGTTTATCGTGGACCTACCCTAGAGAATCTCGCTGATGTTAGAGATAACACGCACACAGACGGTGGCAGTTTAACGTTACTCTACACTGATAAATGGGGGACGCAGGTTGAATTGCCATGGAATAAAGAGTGGGCTTGGGTGGAAGCAAAGCCCGGGCATGCAATTGTAACTGTTGGGGACACGCTGCAGGCACTTACAGGCGGACTGCTGTATTCCTGCCGACATCGGGTCTCACAGCCGGTTGGTGGTTTTGAGGAACGATGGGCTGTAACTTATTTCTTCAGACCGGAAAATGATACTTCCTTGGTTCCTCTATAGTCATTAGAGTACCTCCATGCATGTCACACAAAGCAAAAACACATTCTGCAACATTTAGGAACGAAATGGCGAGCCCGATTAAGGGGAACAAATTTCCTTATTTTAGAAAATCCTATTTATATTGTAACCGCTAGGTATTTGACTTGTTCATGGGCGTACGAGAAGAAATCGGTAGCATTGAGATAGAACTTTTTTCTATGCATTGACGATCTTGGCTGGTTCTATCGTACGATAGAAATTTCGGATTCAAGGCTGCGAAATTTCAAATTCTAAATTGTACCAATCAATCTGCAGTGTATCGCTCTTGCAATGTTGACCTACCAAAGTCCGAAATTACCAAAGGCCTCTAGACACGTCCAGTAGTTTATCTATTTTGCAAAAATTGATCTCTATAGAACCCAGCTCTCGGGTAGTTATGGCGTCTTGTGTCACCAAAGACCATACAATATTAATGAGAACTCGATATCTTTGCGGTACGACAGGGTCCTAGGATCCTAGCAACAATACTAGATCGATTTATAGAAAAGAATTTTTGCCAGACTACTTTGTAAGCTCGGTAATGCAGGTTGCTGCTGCAGGAAGCTAGTGAACTATTTTAATGTCTTACCTTCACCCAGGGGAATTCAACTGCATATGCGCATTACGTATCAGTCGGGACGTATAGATATTTAGGGAGTCGTGACGAAAAGCTTCATGTAGCTTCTCAGTATAGTGATAGTCACCTAACTTTTGACGACACTAAATGCCAGGAATGTTATTCGCTTATTTATGAAGCACTAATCAGATGGATAGTATTCAAAGCCCTTGCAGCTGCTCAATTGGCGATCTTGTCGGAACAGAAGCAGGGGGTTCCCAAAGCTCAGATATCGGGTTTTACCTCAATTCGTAATTGATTGATACTAGAAAATGATAGGATGGCTGAGTGGGGGTTCGGCCCAACAAATTCCTAAATGGATTTATTAGCGAAACAGAAACGAAGGACATGGTATAAAAGACCGTCGAAATTATACCATAGTGTGTTAATAAGCCCTTAGCTAGTACCAAAAGCTCCCAGCAAATATACCACGGACACAATCGATCTTCTCAAATGGTTCAATATATTCCTTCCACGGCGCCGATGTTATCTCGGCGTGCTTTACATAACGTGACGAACCGGAACGAGTATTTTGAGTCGCTAATTGAGGTTCGTAACTACCTATGGATAGTTTTGCTCAGGAGTCTACTTGAGCTGGGAGGCTATACACTCTTTCCCGACTCTTCAATAGTGGGACTCAGAGGACTAATGCTTCTACGCTACTTACCTTATAATTAGTTGATGGGAAATACATACCATGAGGAAACCAACCCTAATGGAATGTATGTAATCTAACACTATCTTGAAAAGTCGAGAATGTTACAAATTTGGCTGTGAAATGCTAATAGAGATATATGGGTTAGAATAAATTTAGCAATCGCTGAGAATAGTCTTATGCAAAAGATTGTAGCTGACTACTTAAATGAAAACGTAATTTCAAATTCATTCCAACTTTAACTGGCATTACAAAGCCGAGATACTAATACTTGTGTGTTTATTATCATATTCAGTTGCGATTAGAAACAAAGCACTTGACATACGGGGATGGGACCACTGGATCTTACCGACTCAAATCAAATCTCACAAATTTCATCAATAATTATTTCAATCCAATAATAGATGTGCAGCCAAGAGAGATTATCGTTAGCTCAGGAGTCAGTGGGACTCTAGACCAACTGATTTGGACTCTTTGCAATGAAGGAGATGGGATACTGGTGGGAAAGCCGGTATACTCGGGATTCATCAAAGGTATCAATCCACAATACCGATACAAAATCTCTGAATCGAGGAAGTTAAGCCGAGACTAAAACTAGAAAAGACTTTTACGCACGATCCAGGTATGTCAAAACTACGGGTTAGCAAAGAATCCGGTATACTAAGTTTTCGATTCGAAGAGCGAATGCGGTTCCGGTTTCATTTGGTGCCATAGACCCATTCTCTATACAAGCATTGCAGTGTTATGAGCAAGAGCTGGTCAAATTCAACAACGAGCATACTCATGCCCGGATACAGGCAGTATTACTCGCAAATCCGCATAACCCTTTGGGAAGGTGCTATGTAAGTCTTCCCAGACAGCCAAACTTACAGCTTCTTTGCTTGGACTTACCTATATTTATAAAAGCCCCGGGAAACGCTTGTTGAATATCTAAAATTCTGTGAAAAGCACGATATTCATTTGATCGCCGACGAGATATACGCTATGTCCATATTCAGAACAAGTTCCAACAATGATGCCGTTGAATTCCAGAGTGTTCTGTCTATCAATATGGAAGATATCGTGGACCCCATGCGTGTCCATGTACTGTGAGTATTGATTGAGGATTATATCAAGTAAATTATTCTGGAACACTAAGTTTTAAAAAGCTACGGGATGTCCAAAGATTTTTCATCCAACGGATTACGTCTGGGTCTTGTGGTATCCCGTAATCCACAGCTCGTAGAAGCCATGTCCAGCATTACTATATTTTCATGGCCTTCTGCACCCGCGGATCTAGCCTGGTGTATCATGCTCGAAGACACTATTTTTCTCGAGTATTATATTTCGGAGCACCAAAAAAGATTGGGGGAAGGCTATGAGTTTTTGGCAGGGATCCTGGACAACCTTGGGATCGACTACGCTCGAGGGAGTAACGCAGGTTTTTTTCTATGGGTGGACCTCAGCTTTGCACTAGAGCAACCAGAAGATGGTAGCGAGCCAGGGTTGACGGAAGATATGAGACTAGATCAAAAGCTCATTCAGAATGGGGTACATCTTGCTGCCGGCTTGGGCTACCAAGCTGAAAAACCTGGATGGTTTCGGTGAGTAACAAAGCCTAGCGGCCATCCTGTTAATTTCAAGCCCTAACTGCTGATGCTATATATGTCCCATAGGATGACATTCTCCCAGCCCAGGCCTTTATTGCTGAAAGGCCTGACTAAAATGATGAGATTACTGAAAGGAGTAGATCTTGATATATTGGCCATCCAAGGATTAGAACCAAAACGAACAGCTTCCCACACGAACCAAAGGGTCCCCCCTTCGATTCTGGCAACCTTTCGTCGACAGGCACCTACCCAGTGCTTCAACAACCAGCCACCCCGTAAGCCACGCTTCTTACCGCCTCTGTAATTTATTCGTCAAAATTCCGTCGTTGCTACGGTCGCATCACGTTATAACGTTAACGAATAAACGCCAGACAACTCAACAATAAATTTAGTATGCGTGGATAGTATACCTTTGCAAATTCTGCCAGATCGATTGAAATAATAGTCCCTAAAAAATGGCTTAGATATATATAAGAGTGCCTGTGTTTTTTTGTAATTTTTTATATTCATGACTGGTGGTTTTCTGCAGCTGGGAGTTGTTTTCGTCATTTTCCATGCATGGTAGGTGGCTCGCAACGCCGGTAATTTCGCAAAGGCCGCCCCTGTTGACATCACTTACTTGCTTAAGGTTATCCCCAGACCCCTCACTTATTAGAAAATACGCTTTGGAAATTGAGGAGAAAATCATCCGATAGTATCGTCTGAAGGGTCAACGTGTAAGATTCGTCTAGGTAAAATCATTAATCATGTCGATTAACAGGAGCCATCCGAAATTTGTGTAACATGTCGATATTTCAGGAGATAATTTCATAACCGCTTCGTTGGGGGAACATCTGCACATAGATAATAAGTCGAACGAGAATAAATTAATTGAGAAATGAATATCTACTGGAACCAGCGGAAATGTGTGCCGCAAAATTCACTGATAAGATCAGCCAGCTGTGGCTCTGGAATATAAATCTGAACCTTCCCCGTTCACTTTACAAGTAGAATCCTTCCTTCTCGCGAATAAAAAACAGTTCTCAATATAAATCCAAACTGCCTACGTCTACCTTTTTCCTTGCAGACCCAAGCTTACAGATTCAGATCAAAATATTAAAATGGAGGGGGTGGACTCTTTATTCGCCCATTCGGCCGCAACTTTCATCGTCTTATTTACAATTTTTACATTTCTAGCCCGTCAGAGATTTCAAATATCCTTTTATATTCAAGGAGAAGGGAAAAGACCATTGCTAGAAGTAGTTGGAAGCCACAGGAGAGCAAACAAGGTCTCATCCCGACAAATTGAACATGATATCAAAGCAAAAAGTTCCATGCAACTTCACAAAGAGCTCTATTACAAGCTTCAGCACCTCGAGGCGCACCATAGTGTGTTGCCGCAGGCTAGGGACGTCCTGATTTCGTTGTTTTCTGAGACTCTTGAGCAGGCATGTAAGGCACCAAATACCGGGATCCTATCGATCGAGCAGTACTCACGAGATGCGTTGCTGGAATTCCAACAAAGAGAAGACAATAAAGTCATGGACCTGTGGGAACAATATTTAGCTAGAAGGAGGGCTAAAGGACCAAGAGAGATGTTTTCGACGAGAGAGGAAGCTAAGTGGTGGCTTTTGCAAAGCTCGCCGGTGAAATATGTCGATGGGGCTTGGTTGGGACACATAAACAAGATAACCACTCCGTTTGGTCTTCGTCGGGTGGTGAAAAATGCATGGCAGGTACTTTCGGAAGAGCTTGGGGATGGAGACCTTGAAAAGAACCACGTTTATCTTTACCGTCAACTCATGGAAACCGTGGAGCCTGGGTTTCCAGCTGGTGACGATATCGATTTTATAGATCCCCGGCACGGGTTAAATGAGTATGGGGTCTGGAAAGCCGCGATCGCACAATTGTTGATCTCGCTTTTCCCGCATCAATTTTTACCAGAAATAATCGGATTTAACATGCATTACGAAGCCATGGCACTGGAGACATTGAAGGTTTCTAAAGAGCTAAAAGAACTGGGATACGACCCATATTATTTCGTTCTTCACATTTCAATCGACAACGCGGACTCCGGTCATACCGCAATCGCCCTTGAAACCGCTATGGAGTATCTCGAGTTAATTCAGAAACGAGATGGAGACGCTGCCGCAAAACATACTTGGAAGCGTATTCAAGTTGGTTATATTCTCTCGAAAGGTCTCCCAACGGCCCCTGTCTGCCCGAAGTTCAGGACACTCAACACTGTTTTACCCACAGAGCGGGAGATATTTCCTCGCAATTCACTAGAGGCAGAGGTGATCCGAATCTTCAAAGCTAAAGCTCTAGTTTCGCAAAAGATACATTGCAACAGCAAAATCAAATTTGGAGGCCGTACAATTACTGAATGGTTGATACCAAATGGATTGGAGTCGCAGCAACATCAAATACAGTTCCTAGATGCGCTTAGCAATGCTGAACCGTGGATATTCAAGGGGGACAGTGATAAGAGCCGACTCATGAAAGAGCTTTCCTGGCAAGGAAGAATGTTCGGCTCTTTCACGCAGTCGGAAGTCCTCGCGGTAAAGAGATGGATCGATTCCTTGGGAGGAACCGGCTTCGTTTCAGACCCAGCTTATTACTGGAGTTTTATAAACGAGTCTGAAATATCCTCCAACAAAGCTTTCAAAAGCCTCGATATCAGGGTGCATCACCCGGTGTTTTCACAGCTTCCAGCTAACAATATTTTAGCACAACTTTTGCCTTCAACAACTCACCTCCCAAGAGCGTCGAGGATTGAGACGACAGTTCCAGCGAATTGGGAAAGGTTTTTCCCACTGTGGTTTACCCACCCTTGCCTCCTCGAACATTTTATTTGCATACCTGCGCAAACTACGACCCCGATGGCATGCTCTATTATTCGAGTGCTACGTGCTCAGTCAGGCTTTGGGCCAGAGGATTCCATGGTTGCTGGCATGGATGAAGTCCGGCGCAAGGAAAGCATTGGGCTTGTTGAGTTAGGCCTCGAAATGGTCAAGTTCTCTGGATCCATGGAGCCAACATGCCTTAAAGATGTTCTGGAAACTTGGAAGTCGGATTTTGGGCTTTTGATGCTCCATTTATGTCAACGTCCAATCGAAAATACTGGGCTCCTGTTGGGGCTTGCTATGGCGTTTGTGGATTTACACGACGCCGTTGCTTTGTCGCCAATCCTACTCTCTAACGATAGCCGTCGCCTATTACATGATATCGCAAAACGGGAGAGAGACAATTTGGACCTCTGTCTCCAAGAGCTGGAAAGTACACCCCCCCGGTTTTTGGACTTCTGCCGCGGATATCATCTTGGACGTGCAGAAATTGATAGGTGCTTCCTCTAAATAGAAGGAAGAACCCACCTGATAGATATGACCATAATTGTATGTACAATCTTTGGTTCATATACATCGATGTGTTATATATAGATCTATTTCATCAATTTCCCGTCTAAGGAATCTTGCAACAGTCAGTCGGAAAGAATATTAGTTATTGCCGTTACGGCAATACTTTTACTTCAAAAAACCTAGATAGCTAGGCCCTCAGCACTCTTGTAACTTAACGTGTATATCCCTGACAGAATTATTAAGCCGAGTTACCGCAGATATACTGCCATGGACTCAACCACGTTTAGCGTTTACAAGTATCTAACTTTCTTTTATATCTTACGATCGGGTCGCCCAATTGTTAGAGCGTCCCCATTTGCAAATAACCATATCTCGATCTCGAGATCTCTCAGGGGATGTACACCACAAAGTTTGAACATCCACATATTCGAGCATTGAAATTTGGAGACAAACTTTTATTATACCCATATCCGTTGATTAGCTTAATCCACCCCACGTTTTGGATAGTTCATGCATGCCCGCCCGCAAATTTGAAGGCTTCGCATGCAATTGCTGCCAGGCCAAATCATCCCATAAACAACTAAGCTTACAGATTTTGGGCACCGACATCATCCTAGAGCCCCATACTCTAGGGGCTCTATAGTTGGAGCTCCGGCGGCTTTGCAGTGGCGTGCTTGGATGCAGTTATAGATGCCAAGTGACGTAACTATAGGCGGTCTCAAAAACTCAACCTGTTTTCTTTGTGTAACACAACAAACTGATATGATACGAAGGCAAAGTTTCACACGAATCGATAGCTACCATACGTATTTTATGAAACTGTAGACACGGGTCCTAATTACCAAGGCATTATACATCGTCTGTAAATTTTGTTAAAATATCTATATATGATCATCGGAATGTCAAATCCTTTTCAGATAAAAATATGGGAGGTTGGTTCAATTAAAAACATCTACCGGATATCGATATATCACAGCATGAACCAACGCTACCGTATACCGCAATTAGTGTTGCATAATGCAGGAGCTACGTAGCGCGACAATTAATCGGCTAACGCTATGTGACTTGACAACAATGCATGCAAGTCTAGGAATGTGATTTGTATACCCACTTAGCTTCGAGACCAGTACCCACGTACCCACTAACCTTCGATCGGCCTCGGCACGGTGGACAACGGCACGATGGTGTTTCAAATTCCTTGTGTATCGTGCTAATTTGTTGATTCAGCCTAGTAATTCCCGCCATTTAGTCCGCCACACCGGATATCGCTCAAGATTCCGAGTGGTAGGACGCAGAAATTGAATCCATGACAAGTACCTTCTTGGTGACATCTCCGTTCGGCTCTGTGCATTGGAACGGGAGAGCGCATAAGAATTATATTGAGTTGGTTACTAGACCACACTGGGTCACCAATGATCTCGAGCGGGGTGGTGGAGCCGGCATTAAATGCATCGATGTGGATACCCGAGCCTAGAAGCTAGACATAATTTTTACATGTCACAATATACTCATGTAATCCTTTCTCCGTGATTGAACCCCCAATATTCCTAGCTCTACGAAGTTTTGAGACTAGCCTTGACATCATATGCTAACTCGAAAGGTGAGGTAGTCTGGTGTGCATTAGACGTGCGTCCCCCAGACTAGCATTAGGCCTTGGGTATTAGCCTAGGCATTAGCCGAGTAGCCTGGGGGACGCTTAATTCAATCATCTTAAGTATGGTTAAGTTCTTAATTGAGGAGAGAGAAATCTTGTACCACCATATCTACAACTTGGGTCATAGTAGTAGCGAGCTCTCGTTTTCCTTTTGAAACTCAGGCCGGGTCGCTCTTGCCGGCTTAAAAAAACTCCATGTAGAAACCATCTTACGATGCTTTTTAAGTAGTCTTATTCATGTAATCACTATAAAATTTCAAAACTTTGGAAAATCAAAAATTTACTGCATTTTTCCTACCTTCTAGAGGTATTACTATAACAATCACGAAATATTGAATCGATATCAGTACCTATTTTGAGAATGGATCAACTCCCAGCCGCGTCATTGGCGCCAGATAGCCCTCAAGGTTATGCAAATCACCTAGCGGGGCTTATTTACACTCAGACTATGGAAATAATCGAGGGGAAAGCGACGAATGTGGCTTTACTTTATCTTATGATCCTCCTAATCCCAATTTATGGAGTTTATGGGGTCTACCAATATCGCAAATCATACGTGAGTTCTACATATGCTCATGGGCTGTGATATAGTTTAATTTAGCAAATACTAAAATTGGTTAGATTGATCTCCCTTACGTTGGCATTCGGCCTGGCCTCTTCGGATCGTGGAAAGCTGGATATTACTACCTTCACAACTCAGCAGATGTTGTTTGGGAGGGCTATCAAAAGGTTTGCAGAAGTGTAACTCAACTGTTTACGAATTAAATGGAATCTTACGCTGAGTGTCATGATATTAGTATGCTCGAGAAGGAAGAGCCTTTGTGATATCAACACCAAAGAGGTGGTTGGTTTTCCTTACTGATCCGGACCAAATCGCTGAACTCGCTATGGTGGCGGACTCCAAAGTCGGATTTTATGAGGCACTCAATATGGTATTTATTCTTCCGGGATGTCGTTCTTATATACTCGGTTAAGAGCTGGCCTAATTTGGGCCCTAGAAAAATAAACACAATAGAGTGGCAGAGCCATCCCTCGGAGATTATATCAACACTTATCACGTAGACGTAATCAAATCGCAATTAACTCCCCGAATGGCGAGTATATTACCAGAGATCCGACAAGAAGGGAACGTGGCTTGGAAGGATACTTTGAAGCTTGGACCGGGTATAACTTCCTTTTTCTTTGTCACAGTAACCTCTTGAGGATTTATAACCAACTGGATGGTCTGGACTAGGCTGGACGAAGGTCGGTATTTGGGAAGTTGTGATCCAAGTCGTTTCTAGGTAGATATGCACTGTTGATATGAATTTCTATACGCAGAATTTAGTAAGGGCTAATTAAAGGATTATTTAGGTCTGCTAATCGGTGTTTTGGTATGAAATCTGACCCTAAGGCTTTTGGATGTGTTTAAGGGTATACTACTAACTAGTATATTTACAGTCGGGCTTCCTCTCTGCCGCAACCAAGAATTACTTGATGTATTCCGGGCCTATGCTATCAGGACAAACGAAGTAGTCTATATGGTAGACCTGGCTCCCAGAATGTTCCAACCCCTTCTGGAGTGGGTTCTCTTAAAACGTTTTAGGCTTCCACAACGGGCAATGAAGATATTGAAGCCTGTATTCGAGGAGCGTAAACGCATGCGAGAGGAACTCGGGCAAGAACGTTGGGATGCCGAAAAGCCCAATGATTCGATAACATGGATCATTGACGCTGCGATGAAAAAGGACGCACACCAACAAACCAATGAGCAAATGTCTTGGAGGTTGATTTGGTTGAATTTTGCAGCAATCCATACGACATCTATGGTAAGTCAGCCCTAAAACTATACGTAATGATATCCTTTTTCGATTATTAACAAAATAAACTTGGTAGTCTACATTGCATATTCTCTACGATTTGGCTGCTAACCCAGAATATATCGATCCCCTCCGAGAGGAAATCATTGCCACCATGGATCAACATGGCGGCTACACAAAGGAAGCTCTCAACAACATGTTAAAACTTGATTCTTGTCTCAGAGAGTCCCAACGTTGGAACTGTGTTGTGTCTATCGTCATTTCAAAGCTCACCATGTCTGACTATACCTTTAAGTCGGGGAAGGTCCCACTCCATCTACCAAAGGGCACATTTGTCACCGCTCCCGCCACCGCCACCCACTTGTCTGAAGAAATATACGGCCCCGACGCTCATATATGGAAAGGCTTTCGTTTCTCTGAAATGCGTGAAAAGATGACCAACCCGGAAGAATCTTCGAAGCTTCAAGCCGCTGCTACAAGCAAAGAGTACTTGGCATTCAGCCATGGCAAGCATGCATGTACAGGCAGGTTCTTCGCTATTTATCAGTTGAAAATGCTTCTTATATATTGTTTGTTACGATTTGACATCAGGTTACCATTGGATCGCAATGGAAAGCGACCAGACAATCGGTATATTTTGGGAAGAAGATCCGCGGAAATAAACGGGTCATTGGAGTTCCGTGAGAGGAAAGAATGGAATGAACTGAAGACTCGGTGGGGCGAGTTCGACGAAGAGGAGGACTAAGGGGTCTCTAAAAAAGTCCGGTTTCTAGTAACATAGGATATACAGTAGCTATAGAGTTGTGTGTAGCTAGAATACGAATGAAAACCAGCTTTGTGGCTCCATAAAGCTTTAAAGCTGTTCGGTGCCGCATGCGAGATCAAGACTGGCGAGGTCTGAGCTAAGCTGGTTTAGTGTCGAGACTGGTAGCTCGCATTAGTGTTGATATATCAAAAATGCAACAAAACGCCTGAAGAATGGTCTGTGCGACATGGCATAGCCACAGTATCGAGTGTGGCGCTATTTAATTTCGCACACAGATCTGGGTTGAACATGCACATTTGGATTCGAACCCACTGAGGTTATTCGCAACCGCCTAACCCCATTCGAGTTAAGTCTCCGTCTCACTCCGGCTATATACTGTTATCTGACAGCCTCTGAGTCAATATTCCAATTGGCTCTTCTTGTACAAGCAAAGTGCACTGATTGGAATTGGGGACTGGAGTCATCGGTGTCGTCAGCCAAATAAATATTGGTCATAGGAAGCGTGAAGTTTCAAGATTCCTGGTCTTTGTTCAAATCGACTCCGAATATCGTACAGTCGATGGCGTTTTCGGTCGTGATAGGCTATGGTACTTCGCCACTATTTCGCAGTGCACGATGGAGTCCGGACTGTCCGTCGTGTTTGCGTGCCCTGTTGCTGTTATATGCAATTATACCATCTTGAGAATAGTTCTCCCACTATGAGTGGATGACCAATCAGACCCTTCTTAAAGTAACGCCAAGTAATACTGTTTTCGAGGCTTATACTAGCTGAGTGTCGAAATTGGAGCGATCCATTAGCCGAAGCCCTTCGCAATTGCCGTGTGTATGTACCTTTGAAAAATTACTTAAGTATTTGCACTGTGGGATAAATGGTGTGTGTCAGCATATTCGCCTCGAGCGACTAATGGTACCCTCAGTAATCACGGCTCTTTACTTATTCCTCGTTGAATTTTGGACTAGAACAGGGAGTGGATTGAAAAAATCTAGCAAAGGGAAAGGGAAAGGGGTTTCCATTCATACTTTTGTTGGTCAAGTATACCTTCTCATCCTTCTTGATGTCCTTCCTTTGCGTCTATTGATCGGCAAGCTGGGTATCTTAACGATAGATTTTGCACTTGCCCGATCACGAACCCGAAATAACGTTCCACGATGAATTCTTCTATTCCAATTGCTGACTCGATTCGCGAGTCTCTTTCGCTTATTAGTGTTACACCAGGGAGCATTGCGCTGTATACCGCCTTGGCCGCCGTTTTACCTCTGGTGTATACCTTCGTTACAACAAGTTTAAACGCAGGAAATCCGACGAAAGATGGCGAGCCACCGGTTCCGCCGTACTGGATTCCTTTTCTGGGACATGCATTCAGCTTGATGGGTAGCATGAACAAGTTACATAGTGGCTATAGGTAGGGTACAGCTGTTTTTTTACCATCCATTTCTACCTAGGCATGCTTGTGTGTCGAGATTGTGCTGACTGTATGTTTCCCCATGATCATAGGAAAATGGATGGTCGCTTAGGAAAACCTCGTACCCTTTTCGTGTTCGGCCAGAGAATATATTTTATTACAGACCCCGCATCCATCCTGTCAATGTGGCGTAAAGGGAAGACAGTTGTTTTCGAACCATTGACCGAGTTTGTGCTGAGAAACCTCTTTGGTACAACAGATAGTTGCATCAAGGTTGTGTCCGTGGGTCTGCCAGGTATCGACCAGACAGGGTTGGAGGGGCAACTTGGATGGTCAAAGATCATACATAAGTGGTATCTTCAAGAGTTTAATCTTGGAACAAGTGGGTTGGAAAGCTTGACAAGGCAATTTATTCGAGAGCTCAATGTTGAATTGGAGAAACATACTGTGAACGATTTCCACAAGGTTGATCTCTTCGCATGGGTCAAAGGGATAATGTTCCAAGCTTCGGGGCGAGCGCTTTACGGTCATAAGCTACGGATGGACGATGAGTTTGTTCGTAATTTCTGGAAATGGGATAGTGGTTTCCTACAGCTGGCTAGATTGTACCCTGACTTCCTAATTCCAGGGGTTCGAGCAGCAAGATCTAAGGTTCTGGACGAATTTGTTAGATGGCGTCTGGAAGTTCAAGACTTTGCGGAGGACATTGATGAAGATGTAGCTTGGGAGGAAAACCTTGGGGCCAGGTTGGTCCGAAATCGTGTCAAATTGAATAGACAGGTTTTCGCAGAAGACGACCATATTGCACATGCTTCGATTCACGTGTCTCTGTTCTGGGGGTACGTATGTGATTAGGACCCGCCCACTAAAAAAAATACTAACCATCATTTCATCGATAACTAGTCTCGAAGCAAACGCCATACCTACAACTTGCTGGATGATTGCACACATTTTGTTTACACCTGGGCTACTAGAAAAATTGAGGAATGAGGTCGCTTCATGCACCGAAGATCCAGTCAAAGGTTCTTCTTTGCCAACGTTTGATGTTGAAAAATTGACCAAACTTCCTCTTTTAAACGCTGTTTGGCAAGAGACACTTAGGTACGCGTTACTATATTCCCTTCATTGCATCAACCAGGCTATATAAAGCTAACTCCTGATACAGACTCGGAGTTTCAGCTCTTTCACCTCGTATTGTTCTTGAGGACACCGAGATTGACGGATATATGTATAAAAAGGGTGGTATGATACAAGGTCTCTCCTTACTTGTTCAAATGGAGGAAGAGTACTGGGGCAAGGATGTCAATGAGTTTAACCCAGATCGATGGCTGCCTTACCCGGGCGAGGACCCGACGATGGCCACGAAGAGAATTCGCGAATTTCAATCCAAGCTTAGACCTTTTGGTGGAGGTACTACTGTGTGCCCTGGAAGACACTTCGCATCACAAGAGATTCAAGCGATTGTAGCTGTTCTCGTCACGGCTTTTGAGTGGGATACGGCGGGTGGAAAGGTTCCTGAGGTCGATCGAGACTTCTTTGGGGCGGGTGGCTTACCTGCGAAAGGAGATGTAAAAGTGAGGTTTAGACGACGGGTGTGATTTGCTATTACATTTGTTAGGTATATTTCGTTCCAAGCTTCTCTAAACAAGATAGGATAGAATAGAATAGAGTCAACTGCAATATGAAGAAGCGGGTGCACAAACTAAAAAATTCGAGGGATGCTCTAGTACTAGTATAACTCTTCTTTTTTCTTATAGAGTCTGAAGAAGGTGGTAATTAGGTAATTCCTATATGAAAATAGTTTGGTTATGAGACTAGACGACAGTCTCGAAGCTGGCCAGGTGCCGCAACACAATTTGGCCCTAAAATCCCACACATTGCTCAACAATTCACGGCTCCCGGCACGCGGCCGAGACACACCTTCGATTTCAACGGCCAGCTACCTATTTTTGGGTAGTCAGCGCGGTCCATAAGTCTAGAGCAGAGCTATAACGATCGTGTTCTGATATTGCCAATAGTTGGCTGTTTAGTTACCTCGCTAGAGTAGGTAGACGGTTTTAAGTCAGACTGGAAATGAAAGATCTTAATAACTACTAAGTACCTACTTATTGACGTAACTTGTGATTATATTCGGTGCGAATATCTCCAAATTCCAATCTCGTCAACGGCACAAGCATATTGCAGAGCGGAAGATTTAATCCAAAGTAAAACCGATCGAGCTTTGGAACAGGTACAAATATACAGATACTGTGCAGGGGCTTCCCTGTCTCGGTTCACAGACTGCTTTGGGAAGAATCTCAATCAACTGGCTACTGTGGCCACCTTGGATTACTTCCGCCGCTAACCTCAAAGATTCTAGATTCAATGTTGTACTCCAACTTCAGGACCTAGAAACTGATTGAAATTTCCTCCAAAAGCTATCACGATCGAGCTTCCTCCACTGTCTGGTCAGTATTTTTTTTTGGCGCTGTGTAGCGTTTGAGCATATTAAATTTGCCTGCGCTGAGCCTCGACGCCTGTTTTTCGGCCACCCATTTCAAGAGCTGCGGGCGTCTTGTGTTGAGCGACCAAATTCGCCCATCTTCCCACGGACAGGTTTAGTCGAGCACTGTGGAGATATCACCAGCTTACATCCGACCTCCGCGACTTCGGCCACGCAGCTGCTTCCTATATCCTAAACATCGCTACCTACCTACCTAACGATCTAAGAACTATACCTATCGGAAGGGACGATAACTACGGGAATGGTAAGGGCTCTCGGCGTACAGACGTCTATTAGCAGCGATGAGCATCGATATTGTTGCACCCCTGCGCTTCAGTCACGATACTCCATCTACGGACTAGCTAACGTCAATTGTGGCATTATAGGCACAACTATAGAATAGGCACATTTCCGTACCATTATCATCACCTTCGACCGAAGCGCTTTCCGATCCAGTATTGCAAGGCCTAACATGGATTCCTCCCAGGATGCCGTTGCATCCACCCCGAAGTCACCGAGCACGAGTACACCTGATGGGAGCTCTTTCTTCGAGCAGCTCGGCATACCGAGGATGGATGAATTTGCACCAAAAGAAAAAATACCCACCCTAATATCTCCATCTATAGTAGAGCCTCCTGTTGACGATGAGTTTCTCGCCCATACCGATCACCCTGTCACTGAGAAGTCGTTAGAGCAGTCGGAAGCACTCGACCAACAGCACACACCAGAACCTCCAAACTTACCTCGTCTTGATTCCGATAACCTTATAACTACTTGTCATGTTGAGGATATCACGGTTGGTTGTCTCAAGTGTCAAGCAAAGAGTGCAGAGAGACTAGCTGCAGGAGAGGTTACAAACTGGAAAACGATACATCAACAACATTTGCACGAAGCGGACGGATATGAAAGCGAAGGTGGCCTAGAAATGGCTGCTAGTCACCCCGGCCAGAGAGATACCATACCCGAAGAAACTTCCCGCGGACTAGATGGTGCTGAGTCGAAGGATCAAGATGGTGATGTACCTGATACTAAGGACATTGGGTTTACGCCGGAACCCTTCGAAAAGCTGGGGGTTTCAGAAGACCCGTTTGAAAAGCTGAAGCGGGATTCCATAGCGCATACTGCCTCCTTTCCGATAGTACCAGAGCCTCAAACAGCTGCTACTGATACTCCGTCGAACCCGTTCGGGACGGATAGTGCCGCATATGATTCGTTCTTTGGCTCCGTCCAGAATGAAGATAAGCCAGTGCAAGCCTCGGATTCAAACTTTTTTGGGGATGAAGGGACTTCTGGGGATGACTTCTTCTCCAACGTTGATACAAACGGAGTTCCAGCTCCTCCAATACTTGAAAGGGCAGCGACCCAAGACCTAGCAATGGGCACTAATGTTGAGGATGAGGACAACAGATTTACAGAGGGGATGCCACTTTTCAGCGGCCAGCCTGTGAATGAAGAAGATTTCTTCTCGCGGTCCAAAACTCCAATCGATTCTAGCACTGATGACGACGAGACGGCATTTTTTGATAACCCGAATTCTTTAAAGCGAAAGAGCACAGCATTTGTATCTGGGTTGCCGGAAGGACCTGTTATGACAGAACCAGCCCCCGTGGAAAAACCAAAAGAAGATCTTGCATCGAAGTGGAAAGCAGCGCTAGGCGACGATGATGACTTGTTCGGCGATGAAGAAGAAGAAGATACGGAAAATGTGACGACGCAACAGCAAAGTGCACAGCCGGCTTGGTTTGACGATAGCGAGGATTTCTTGATAGATGAAGGAAGTAAGGTTTCTGCACCTATCCAAGAACCGACTCAGTCATCCCAACCGGCTGTCCAACCCGTATCATCTAGATACTTGCCCTCGGCAGTTGCGCAGCAGCAGCATATATCCGGATTTACGGCGGCGACTAGTAATTTCCAGGCTTCGAGGCCAAGTCATGCGCCCTCTCCATACGCTGCCGCGTTTCCGGCGCCTCAAAGGCAAACAGAGACTCCGAAAGTTGAATCATTCGTGGACAAAACTAGCAGTTATGCCTCACCTTATGATCTCCCGGACGATATTGTGAAGCCTATCAGGAAAAAGCCAGCACCTGTGCAGCAACCCCCAGCCTATGGAGCAAGCCAATACTACGGACCACCAGGCTCGGCCAGTTCTGGTCACTCCGGGCAATCGATATTCAGCCCCGGTCCGCCAGGGGGCCTAGGGTCTCCAGCTGATATCAGAGGAAGGCCCGGCTATGGTGGGCAGGCGGCTCCACCCCTTGCGCCTCATGGAAGGCTAGGGGCCCCGACTACCCCTAATTCTATACCCCATAAAGCCGCAAAACCTCAAAGTAGCGACTTTTTCGAAGAGTTGCCCATCAGTTTGCCTAAGCGGCCCGCAAGCGGAGCATCGATGAGCAAGTATACACCTGGGGCACGCACTCCAACCACCAGCGCGCCGATGGGGCCTCCTCCCACCTCCGCTCCAGGGATGGGCCGTGGTCCTAGTTACACTGGTCCTCCATCACGACCCACGTCCGTAGAACCTGCTTATGGGTCGCCGCCTGTTGGTTCGCTCGGAAGGCAACAGTATGGTTCGTCGCCGGCTTTAGCGCATTCCCCATTGGCCCATGCTGCATCAGCTTACACTATCCCACACGGGCCAACGACTCCCAATTATGCACCAAAACCATCACCCACCGCTGGATTATATGCATCCCCACCTAGTGCGACTCGTGGAACATCTCCATACGCCCAGCATCCGAATGCGCCACCTTCAGCGCCAGCAAGGACGTCTAGCGTGTCGAGTGATGGACGATATGCTCCGGCTCATGGACAGGATAACATCGGACTGGGCCTCTCTACCCCAGAAGGCTTAGCAAATGGACACATACCATCTGCAAGACCTCCTTCAAGAGACAGGCCCGGAACGATGGATAGTATGAAAGCTCACGCTCTTGGTGGAGTGGCAGAGGAAGACGAAGAAGGAAATGCTCCAGCACGCTCATCGTTCGATAACGGTCCTCCTCCACCAGTATCTAGCCTCAACCGATATAATCCTAGTAATCGACAGACACCCCCTCCCCCAGCAACTAACCCCGCATTGTCCCATCTCACATCGCCGCCCCAGAGGTCCCAATCTCCGGGAAAGTATACACCAACAGGGTATCAGACTCATACCGCTACATCATCGCTCAGTTCATCAATACTCTCTCCTACAGACATGCCAAATGGTTTCGCCCCCCCAAAGCGTTCTGCCACTCAATCACCAGGCTTCGCTGCTTTCCGATCCCAGAATATGCACGGAATCCAGCGCCCTAGTTCCGCTGCTGCGCATGCCACTAACTATACTAACACTTATTCTCCAATCGACGCCCGACGCCCTTCTTTCCCTGTTCAATCGCATCCGGCGGCACCCGCCCCCCCACCACAGAACTTTATGGCGCCCCCACCTGGGAGCATCGAAGCTAGTGATCCATTGGAAAGATGGAAAGGTGCACCTCTGTTCTCCTGGGGCTTCGGTGGGAATATTGTTACCATGTTCCCGGTTCATACGAGCAGATGGAATGCGGAAACAGGCCAACAGATGATCAAGACTTCATTGGGTGAGGTTAAAAACCGACCAGCAAAAGAAGTACTTAGCGGAGATGATTTTTACGATGACCTTGCTAAATTCCCTGGCCCAGTATTCGGTGGTCGAACCGGGGGCAAGGGGAGGAAGAAGGAGATTTCTTCGTGGATGGAAACCAAGATCTTGAAACTGGAAGGCGAGTACACAAGATTTAGGGACCCAAGAAGCATGGAAAAGGTTATTCTATGGAAAATTGTGAAGCTATGTTTAGAGAATGATGGAATATTAGTGGGAAAGAAAGAAGTCCAAGACGCAGTTCGGCAGATCATTAGTCCGGAAAGTGAAACGCTGGAGCCTCCTCGCCCAAAAAACGCGCTTCAGCAATCAAGTGTCTTTGATAGCAATGCCTTGGAAGCTATCCGCACGCATCTCATGAAGGGTGACAGAGATGCCGCGGTTTGGTTTGCGATCGAGAACAGGCAATGGGCTCATGCGATCTTGATTTCCTCGACCACATCACCTGAACTATATAAGCGGACTGTTCAAGAATTCGTGAAACAGGAAGTCAAGAGCAGTGATGGGACTGAAAGACCTGGTATGCAAAGTTTGGCTGTTTTATACGAAGTCTTTGCGGGAAATTGGGAGGAGTCGATTGATGATCTTGTACCCGCCAGCACTAGAATGGGGATGACAATGATAAATACATCTGGAGGTCAGAATACAAATCCCTTGGAGGGCTTGGAGAAATGGAGGGAAACTTTGGGTCTCATGCTCGGCAACCGAAGTAACAACGATATTCAGGCTATCGCCAAGTTGGGATCGTTGCTTGAGAGTTACAACCGAATCGAGGCCGCACACGTTTGGTATGTTAACGAGTCCTGCCAAATTACTCTTTCCAGACTAACAATCTACCAAGCTATCTATTCTCAATGCCAGCCGCTATTTTCTCCGGAGCAGAGGATTCAAGCAAGAGTATTTTCTCCCTACTTGGCGCTAATCACGTCAATAATCCTTTCCACTATGGCCGAGACCTCGATGCTATCATCTTGTCAGAGATCTATGAATATGCCCTTTCACTGATGCCTGGCGCCCCTACACTAACAAACTTCCCCCACCTGCTACCGTTCAAACTACATCACGCCCAAGTCCTTGCACAATACGGGTTTAAAAATGAGGCGCAAAAATACACAGAGGCAATTTCAGCTTCCTTCAAAATTAGTGGCCGACCACAACCCTACCTTCACGGGGTACTACTAGAAGGCATCAACGAGCTCGCTCAGCGTCTTAGTCAAGCGCCTCGAGACAGCAGTGGTGGGTCCCTCCTTAGCAATTTACCAGGCCTTGGGGTCTCTAGGGGTGGCGTTCTGGCTGGCATGCAAGGAATGCTTGATGCCCTCGTCAATGGCGGGGACCAGCAAGATTCCCCTGCTCCTGCTGGTATCAATGGCAACACTGGAGCGCCTGCGCATGGAGCAATATCAGAAGGTCAGTTCGCGAGTCCACCAGCTACCTCGGGTTTAGATAGATCACACAGTGGACCAGACCTATACGGTATTGGATCTGGTGGTTATGCACCTTATAACCCCGCTCAACCACCTCTGGGTACATCACCAGCTGCAGCGACCAAAACAGGATCTGCTGCCTCGAACAGGTATGCGCCTAAAGCTTCGGGTGCTGGATCGTATACACCTCACGCCTCCACCTCCGCACCACAAACTACCGAACCTGCAACACCTGGATATGGGGGATATGGAGGATATGAATCAAACGCTAGTTACGGAGGATATGGGTATGGGCCAAGCCCACAGCCCACACCACAACAGACACCTCAACAACATGCAGAAAAGCCAACCGAAGCGGCTAATGGTTACGGCGGGTATCAGCCATCACCAGTGCCACAATCAGTAGTTCCAACCTCGCCCCCTCCGTATTCTAGCCACAATTCTTTCACATCTCAGGTTCCATTAGCATCGAGTGATACCACAGCACCCACCAACACAGGCGGGTATGAGGCACCAGGCTACGGATATGAACCCCCCACTACTGAATTCCAACCATATGTACCATCACCTGACAACTCAGACGACGAAGGCGAGGCGAAAAAATCAAAGAAAAAAGGGGGGGTCATGGCCCATAGTGATGATGACTTTGGAGCCGCAGGGAACTCGACAACGGATTCTGCTGCCGCCGCGAAGAAGAGGAAGGAGGAAGAGGAAGAAGAGAATAAAAAGATGGTTGCTGAAATCGCTCAGAAAGAGAAGGAGGAGGAAGAGAAACGTAAGAGTAAGTCATTTACTTCAATCATTCATATATATCCGAACTTTGGACTAATGTTCCCTAAAAGAAGAAGCAAAATCCGGTGGCTGGTTCGGAGGCTGGTTCGGCGGGAAGAAAGATCCCAACATCCCCGTAGTCCATAAGGCAAAACTCGGAGACGAGAGTTCCTTTTACTTTGACCCCGAAACAAAGAGATGGGTTAATAAGAAGGGGGGATCAACAACTGATTCTGCTGGAGTCACTCCAAGCGGAACACCACCACCGCCAAAGAGACTCGGCTCCCCTGCAATAATCGGAGGACCCCCAAGCCGACCCCCAAGCGGACCACCCTCAGTTCTTGGCACTCCACGGCCTGGAACAAGTAGTAGTATAGACAGCGGAGGCTTAGGCAGTATTCCAAAGCCGCCACCCTCTGCACCACCTACAAGTGCCCCAACAAGCGCACCATCTGGTGGACTTGCACCACCAAATCCAAGTCCCCTCGCTAGTAGCAGGGACCCAAGTCCCAGTAGACCGCCTCCACGACCGGCTACTACCGGTAAAATCGATGACATGGAAGAGCTTCTTAGCGGAGGCGGAGGCCCACGTAAGCCAGCGGCAAAAGCGAAAGGAAGAAAGAGATATGTCGAGGTTTTGTAGATACATTCGATACCGCAATTTTCTAGCCTTTAGGAAGCCTTGATGTGGAACGCTTCATTCTGTATTATGATATTACGCTCAGTTTTCTTTTTTGTAGTTTTGCCTTGTTTCGCTCCGCGATATCATTGACGAGAGGTTACTGCCGACTTTTTCCTGGCATCTGAGTGTTTTTTAATGTAAATTTTAGTAGACACCTAGTATGGGGAGACTTCTTCCTGATCCTCCTTTTTTTCAGCATATAACATGCATTCACTATACATGATTAAAGCAGAAATTAGTAGCCTCGAGACCAGGCGCAGGGTGAGGGCAGAGAGAAATTAGTACGAACGAAGTCAGTCTCGCTTTAGAAGCGGAACAAGTGTAAGATGTAAGGAAGAATTAGTTAATGGAAGAAAATATATCATGATATGCATACAGTTAAAACCCCAACCTTCCCCTACTAATCAAGCACAGTACCCCTTCAAAATCAAGTGTATACTAAAGTATAAAACAAATTGCAAATGGGTTTTACTTGGACCATGAGGTCGGTTTGACGACATACTTAAGCATATATTCCCAAAGCTAACCTTCCGCTCAGACTTACAAAATCCGCACCACCCCCAAACAAAAATCAAGCGCCGTAGCCCCAAATATGCAAATCAGTAGAATTAAAAAAGATATGAAGAACAAAAAGATAGCTTAGCTACTCACGGCCCCGATAGGACTCGAACCTATACTGTCCCGGTTAAAGTCAGTGAGTTTATAAGGGAAGTGCATCCAATTACACCACGGGTCCTTCGCTGTTGATATTGATAATACATCGTCCGTTATAAACTGCATGTAGTACCGAATCCGGTAATAGTTCCAAGCTAGAGGAATGCATGCCAGAAAGTCTGCAATGGTGGAGTCAATTTCTACAAAAAGCCAGGCATGCCTAGTGTCTATCGAAATGATTCAATAAGGCAAGTCTATGAGGCTAGTAAAAAGGACTTTTTCTTACTTATAAACGCGGGGTATCCGATGCAATCGTATGGTGTTTAAATTCACTAATCTTGGAAGTTCACCGTCAACACAATTCAAACGGAGAGTTGGCCCTTTATATCAGTCTCAGTACTTTTTTTGATAAAAAGGCGGGGCAAATTTCTTCATTACTTCATTAAGTTTACACATGCGATGGCTGCACTTGATACTGCATCTATTCGATCCGGCAATGAGCATGAAGTTGCTCGTTACCTTCGGGATCTCTCCCGCGAAGGGGACGTTGAAAATGCCACACAACAACTCATAGATGCCGTTGAGAGGGGCTCTATTGCACCCTCAACTTTGAAGATATGGCTGAGCATATCACATGAGCTAGCTGTATTGAAAAAGGCCTTCGAGCAGAGTGTTTCCGTTCGGATTCGAAAATTTGCTATCGACCAACTCGAGAAACTACTTAGGTCGCGCAAATGGAAAGAAACTTGGGATGGCCTTGGGGCCGTCGAAGGCTTCGTGAACCTGTTTCGAAGTCTTTCTACTTCTGATGTTCAAGACATATGTCGCGCAATTGGCTCCAGCACAAAAGGGGAAGACTCCGAGAAGAGGGAGGCTATCACAGATCTCTCCGAAGCCCTTCGAAGCCAAACGCTGGACACACGTCCACTCGCCGAATATTACAAGTATCTACTACCGGGATGTACGAAGAGTCACGCCGCAAAGGCAGTGGATACACAGATGGAAGGAATCAATCATCGCCAGCAAGACCTCCTCTTACGAAATCACAACAATGTTTTACATGACAATTTCCTCAAAATGGTCCTTGACTACGATGGGCCAGACCGCCCCTGGCTCTTTGGGTTGATGCAGAACTATCCAGCCACCCCTGCTGCGACCAGACCACACCTATCTTCGTCAATGGAATTTTCTCTAGAGGTCCTTCGGAGTCTAGTGCAAGATGGCAATGTGCCTCAGATCTCTGACGAGGCTTTTATGTTCGAAATTGCACAACCCCTACTTTTACGGTGCCTCAAAAGAGGTGTGGCGACGGAAACCGTCAGAGAAGTTGCCGACTTGATATGTAAATACATCAACCGTCGTCCATCAGCAGGACGTGTTCTTGAAGTCACTAGGGACTACTACTGGGATGATCGCAAGAACAAAGCGATACTTCTCGAAAAGCTTGCAGAGTCTTGGTTACGAACGCCTGAAATTCTCGGAGACTTATTCCGTTTACTGTTGGGGAAATTGCAATTTGATCAGTGGATCCGAGATGTACCAATCGATGCTTTCAATTCACTCCTCAAGAAGTTCGATTTAAAATTCAGATATAAGCTTCTGAAGTTCTGCATCCGGTTCTCTACCATCAAGAAAGATGAAAAAGATATTACTTTTGACGATGCCCTAGCCAGGACATCTGGTCAACTGTCCTCTGGCAGCCTTGGAGATTTCGATCCTGAGGATGCTTTGGATCTACTCCTCCGTGCGCATAAAGCTAGGGGTGATAAAATTTGTGGCACAGCCTATATTGGTAACACCAACGGCTTGTTTTCGACTGGTAAGGAAGAGCCTTCGGAGAAGTCTACAGGGCGGGATTCCTACCTCCCCGTGGATTTGGATATATGGCAAGTTTATTTCCTTCAACGGGCCTCGCGGCAGGAAGAAGCGGAGAATTTGGCGAAACTACGTATCGCAGAACGTAAAAAAGCCCAATCAACACCAGATGAACAATACCGTCTTCTCCATGCGAGGGCTGTCGTATTTTACGGAATTGCCAGTGGCTCTTTATCAATCTTAGGCGAGGCTATTAATTGGACTAAACGCCTAACTCGAGATCCCAACATCACTATATTCAAAGATACGCCTTCAGAAATCTATAAATTGTTATCCGGACTACCATCAACAATCGGCAATGACGCATCGGCACTTCGTGACCAAGTCAAGGAAGCGAACCGAATAATGAGAAACCTATGCGACATAGTGTTTGCGGGTTCGAAAGATCCAGCGTTCGAGATCAGTAACTGGAAAGACGTTTTTGATTTCCCCCACCGGGCTATTTATGAACGTGCCGTGCGTTCGGCCGAGCTGAAGGAGCACTTTTCTGACGAAGAGATCTACAGCATTCTGTGGGAGGATACCCTAAAGCTCCTCATCGATGTAGAGCAGAAAGTTGTTGACAACTCGCAGCTCCAGAATGCTGATGAACACTACTATAAAACGGGGATTCGTGATTTCAAGTGCGAAAATGATCGCTCGTCTATGCAAATTGATAGCACTAAGGTGCATACGTCAGTATATCGTTTCTTCGATAGACTAGCTGAAGAACGAAACGAACTTTGGAAGAAGCATCGCATTTCAAAATGCCCCGATGTCGCAGACCTGACTGAGTTATTCCCGCAGGGTCTCCCAATACAATACCTTCTTCCATTTTCCTTGACGCCCACCATTCCCCCAGAAGACTTGACCCCTTATATCGCACTCCGTACCAAAGCTGCCGTCTTTCCTCCAGCGGAGATATCTAAAATACTCATCCCCACAAAGAACAACCCACCAATTGCAAACGGAGATCCTCTTCAAGATTTCATCGACGATTACCAATATGCACTGAATTTATATATTTCCGTTGATGTCCCCGAGCAAGAAAGACAAACGCGCTTCGACTCTGCATGGGATTATGCTATTGGTCCCCTAAGTGAGGGCCGCATGACCACTGAGCAGGCAATTCGCTATTGGCGCAATATCTTCAGCAATACCATAATCAATCCGGACCAGTCGAGATCTCCATATGGATGGACTATAGGTGGATATCTCGACAGTGATGTTATACCAGAGCACAAGAAAAGGATCTTTAGGGAAGACCTCAAGCGGGTTCGAGGTTCATCAGTGGAGACAAAGCCAGAAGCCTTGAGAATCCCTGCAATAGATAATGCGGATAGCATTCTGGACTGGGATGCAACCCCAGAACTAAAAGAAAGCATCGCACCTGAGATGATTACCGAAGTAACTTATATCGACATCGCCACGAACAATCATAGCAGAGGTCATCTTGAGCGCTATACGGAAGGTCGCGACAAAGATTACCTTGGTTACATTTCAGAAACAAGATTACCAGGGCAGACTTACTGGCGCAATGCGATTTGGACTCGGAGTGGGGACCAAAAAGCTAAGGCTCTCTTTCAGTCACAAGAAGCCCAAATTCTGTCTGCTCTGCTATATCTCCAGGCAAAAACTCAGCTTCCAGAGAAACTCTTGACCTCTCCGTTCCCATCTGCTGATGACATGCGGTATCCAGCTAGCCGGCTGAGCGCGGAATGCCTCTCAAAGCTAATTGCAGTAGAAGAGAGGACCACATCGTCCCGAAGGCGTAGAGGCAGGGGAGAGACCCCTAGAACAACAAAAGGGTTGAAGGCAAATGCCAAAGCCGCACTCAAAGCTCTCGAGGCTCACATTAGCTTCGTGCCTCCAACGCTCATGCTGAAACTAGTAGAGAATGCGTTATCAAGCCTTGACGCAGCAGACCAAGAGGATCGAAACACTGACTTCGTGGCTCTTGAGGCTTTGACATACAATCTTCTAAGGCTTTTGGCGAGAAGTGATAGGCCTAAACTAGCACTGGAGCCTGCAAATCGAATTATTTTGAAACATCCTGCTGCTTGCTTCTGGTTCAAAACCATATTTACTCAGGGTTTTTTCCGTGATCTGAGTCCACAAGACGCTGGGGAAGGAATGGCAAAATTCTCGGAAACAGTCTCTTCCTTGTTAGACCAAATGGAGAAAGCTAAGGAGTCTAAGAAGACAAAGTCCGCGGACGAAAAGACTTCAGGCGAAGAAAAAGACACCGGGACAAAAGAACAAGGCTCCGGTATAGAAAACCCCGAGCCTTTGGTAGAAAAGCCACAATCTGAAGCGCCAAAGGAAGAATCAGGGTTTGTCAAAGTATCAACCATCAAGCTACTCGTAGAGCTCTTCGAGGATGCAGATTTCTTACCCAAAGAATCGTCACTCTCAAATATCCACGCTTTGTCCAAGACAACCTCGAACGCCGATATCCATAGGACAGTTATATACTATTTGACTCGAGTTCTCAAATCTCCTCGGCCTTTAGAGCCCGAGTTCTTCTCAATCGTATCCACTCTTGTTGATAAAAACTCGGAGATCGACATCCACAGGCTGCTACTCCAATTGGTCATCTTCGGCCTGAAAACATCGAAATACGACAACAAGCACCAATCAATTGCGGTCTCAGTAATATCAAGCATATACAAAAAGTGTTCAGGTGTTGAGATAACAAAGCAGGTACTCGAGTATCTCACTCTTGCACTTGACACACCGCTTTCATCAGACACTAAAGTCCAAGCTCTCTTCCTATCTATGGTGTTGGAGATGTCGAAGGGAACCTTAGACTCAAAGCTTAGAGGTGATTTGGTGGCCTACCTTCTCCGTTTACTCGAAATGTCTACGTCTGAAGGCTATAACCAGATCTTGGACGTCCTCCAAGGCCTTGTATCCAACTGCAGTAATATCAATGAGATCGAGCCAGTGACAGAGGATCAGTGGAAAACTCTCGAGGAAACCCTCGTACTACCAAAAGGTGATATCCGGGGTGATTTTGAAAGCAGCAGGAACCCAGTATTCATGAAACTCATCGACTTTCATCAGAAAATTCGACAATCCGCAAGCTTAAATATCACTTTCACAGAAAAAATCCTAATCCCTATTATCAACGCACTCAACTCCCAATATTCCAGATACTTTTCGATTTTCTTCGAACAAAAGGGTATCAGTAGAACAGACCAGCAAGCCTTTAAGCTTCCACCGTCGAGAAGGATCACCAAACTTATTAACACTGTTATCCAAAATGGTCTTGGGGAGGGAATCATTCCGTTAATCCGCCAATGCGTCTCACACGCAATATTCTGTATTGATCCACCAGAAATCCTTGATGGTTTAAATAAAAGACTTGACGAGGAGGATGATAATAACACCAATTCCAAAAACACTGAAGAGTCGAGGAATTGGCGAAAATCGTATTACTTTGGTCCTGCAGCACTAGACGAACTGGACCTGATACAAGTTATCCGGGAAAGAACGGATTTACCAGACGAAGAAAAAGTCAGCACTGTTGTTAGAGAAGAATATCTCAAGCTCTACAAGGTCACATTCTGGAAAGAAGCAAAGGAATTAGATTTCGGCAGTTCAGACAGTCTCCTTAAAAACCTCGAACCCAAAAGACTTGACAAGGTCTGGCTAAAATATCTTCAGCCGATACTACAAGATATTTTAAATTTCAACAACTCTCTACGCACCGCAGAATGGGAGCAGAATTCAGATCGGAACCCTCAGATCCTTCCCGACGTCTTCCGCGCCCAATTATGGCTTTTGAACATACCCTCCGTACATCGAAACGATCAAGATCAAGAAACAAGAAGTCAAATTTTCACAGAAGAAATTCTCAAAGCTCTCGATGACATTCGAATTTCCCATGACTTCGTTTCCAAGGTCTCCGACTTGGAAGGGATATTATACTTAGTCAAGAACAACACCGAGGATAATCTTATTGTTGCCACTAATCTCGGAGACCTTGCGAACATTGAGACTTCACCTTTGACTATCCAAGGTTACACCAGAATCGAACTCGCATCCAAAATGCTGAACAATCTACGCTATGTCAAAAGCGAGAATTTGAAGAAGAATATCGACAAAATGTTTGAATCCTGGAAATCCAGTCAAGTTGAGGCCGTCAGAAGACTTGGCTATTCCGCTTCATGTAAGTTTTCAACCCCCCCAATCCATTATCTACTTTTCTTAAAAAAAACTAATCCGTTAAACCTCAATAGCACCGGAACTTAAAGTTCCCGAAGAAAAAAAACCGCCCAAGGTCGTAGAAAAGAAGCGAGAACCACGAAATGTCCAGAAAAGGTCAGGCCGGACGAAGAAGCAACAGAGAGGGAAGAAATCACGTTGGGGTCCTCCTGACTTTACACTTGATAAGCCTACGAATCCTACAAATCCTACGAACGATTCACACTGGTAACTGGTAAACAACTTCAGGATTTGTCGGTACTTTGCTGATGATTCTTCGATATTTTGTTAGACACTTTGTATAGGAATATAGATTTGTAGTGAACTAATTTCTTGTACCGGTAACTAGATCGAACAACTCTTACTAAATATGTACATGAATATAATAAGCATATAGCAGAGTAACATTCTGGGAACGGATACATAAGGGGGAAATTGCCATATAGGGGTAAAATAGTGTGAGCCGGCAGAGTATGAGTGGTTACCGTCTACGTGAGCATATTCTTAACATATTCGATAGTATGTATTTAACTAGGAATACACTGTTTGATTGATTTCAAGTTTAGTATCAATTTTCAGAATTACATAAAATACAGAATAGTGATAGATTTATGCCCATCTACCTAGTGAACCCTCATCAGTTGTAAAAAATCTGTCTATATCCACTCTAGAACCATAAAATCACCTAAAATGCGTGAAGAATAGCTGATAACTCCGTTACCTGGAACGTTAACCAAAACAGAATCCCCTTACATGTATCGCGACCAACAAAACCAAAAAGGGTAATTGGGTCTAATGGTTACCTAATTATACAGAAGTTAGGATTTAGAAAGGATAAGTCAGAAGGAAAATAGGAAACGGCGAGACCACAGGAAAATGGAAGCAAACAGAAAACTCAGCAAGAATATTACAATAAGAAGATTTTTTTTTTTTTTGGGAAGGATAAGCTAAACTACGATGCCTAATGTAGACACTTGGTTTAGGAAGATATTGTAGTGCAGCGGGCCAAAATATTGGTATATCAAATTAAATCCCCAATCTTTACGAAAGAGGCAATTCGGCCAGCCACATATGAGTTTTGTAGTAGAAGTCATAGGTTCCGTTTCTGTTCCTTGTCTTTGTTCTTTCCCCTGCATGCTAATCCTGCGTATAAAAAAAGTCTTCCTGAGTATGGTCTGCCCAATGATTTTGATCCTGAAAGCTAGGAGGGCTCCAGCTTTGAATGTACGCTTGTGCATCGTTAGGCGAGAGTTGAAGATGCCCACCTTGGTCGGGGTAATCGGTGAAAACCTCTTCAGCAGTAGGATATCCACCAGAATGAGCGATTTCCTGGCCAGAAAACACCGCCCCGAAGTATGAAAGATCTTGACCGTGATGATGGGGAATGCCTCCACTATAATGAGAGTCTTGGTGTTCAGAGTATTGATACTCTTGGTTTTGATACAGTGACATCTGTTGCAGAGAAGAGCCGGCGTCAAATTGTGGGTACATAACCCCGGGGTTTAGGAACATTGGCCCGTTCATTGGTTCAAACGTCTGCTGTTGGTAGCTCTGAAGAGGTTGTGGTGGAGAGTCAAACTGCATATACGGAGGCATGATAAGTCCTTGGTCGGGCCCTATCGGGTAATCGTCAAAGAAGCCATTTTGAGGATCTGGCTGGTAGTGGCCTTGCGGCCCGGAGGCGGTTTCTGGGACTGGGTTGTTACCTATTCAACATCAAAATTTTAAAGAATTGGTCAGAAGGGATGCCCTAAGGGTACAAGCTTATTGAGCAGCATCTTACTAGTAGGCGGTAGGTGATTCTCGTAATTCTGAACATGAATTTGGGGGCCCATTTGGTTGCCATTATTTGTGGTTGGGTGGAGCTCCAAGTCCCTTGAATCGCGAACGGCGCGGTATAGCGCTTCACGTTGAGTTGCACAGTCATATTCACTAGCAAGCTGGTCGTATAACGTTGGCGACTCATGATCTGTATCTCAGAGCCCGATATGGACGGTCCTATTGTTAGCCAGCGACTTAGAAAACCGTCAATTGCAAGCAAAAGCAAACAGCACCTACACTTTGAGGGGTGTTTTAGTGTGTCTGGCCAATCAGGAAATAGTTTCAAGAAGATGCCCTTCCAGGTTTTCGCGTTGGGGTGGGAAATTGATTTCAACTTTTCCTTAGACCAAATGTCTGTATGGTTATTTTTTATATGGTACCTAGTACGTGTTAATAGTAGTTATTCTTCGAGATATATACCAAAAGGACCTTTGAGTATCCCCAACGGTCTCTAGTTTCGAGAGTTCGACAGCGATACACGGATTGTAGATACTGACCTGATATCCTTCAACTTCCGACCGCCCCCAAAGCTTCGACCCCTACGCCTTGGAGGGCATTGAAACTCGGGAGGTATAGTCTCGCATTTGGGAAATCCGATTCGCTGTAACGGACACCCTAAATGCCAAACCGGAAAGGAATTATATATCTTATCATGTGTTCTACCCCTGCCATCACCGTCAGACCCCTCATCATACTCGTCGTCACTTTCCCCAAAGTCATCCTGTTCCAAACCTTCCCCCCCCCCACTTCCTCCCGCGGGGTTACTTTGAAGATTAGGCATTCCATTCGCATCTGCCCCATTTGGTCGTTGATTCTGCCCTCCATAGGGACTCGAGGTTTTCCAGAGCCCGTGGCTACTCCCATCGAACGGCCGGCCATAGCTTTTTTCTAGATACAAGCTAAATCGTATGTGCAGTATTGCCTGAAACGAAGAGAAAGTTTCTGGAACGTCTTGGAAACTTGGTGCCTCGCACTCAGCCGTGGGGGAAATCGAAGAGTCATCTTCTTGCTTGATCTCAATATCCGAAGATGCAATTCCAGAGGATGTTTCGCTTTCCTTGTGCAAACCTAATGTAAAAAAATGATTCATGAATTGTCTTAGCTTTGGGTCTCAATAATCAACCAGGTCAGGTCAACGGTACTTACGGCGTGGTCGGATTTTGTCCGGTTGGAATGACCAAAGTCTCTTATATTTCTCTCGAACAAGCCGGAGGTCGAAGTCTAAATGGCGAACGAAACAGAGTTAGTTGCCCTCAGGGTTCTTGACGGACTGCGAGCTCCGATTTCTGAAAAATTCCAGAATATCGTTTATCGTCGAGATATTTAAGGCGTTGGGAACGAAATCCATGTCTTTAACTCACAAGGTGACGGGCACAAGCCAAGGTCTGCTTCAGGGAAACAGACCTTGAAAATCTGGTCCCAGCTGCTGCATGGAAGAGTCTCCCAAAAAACATCTCGGTGATGGGCTCCGATATGATTCCTAGAAGTTTACGAAATAAACGGGGGGTGTCAAAGCATAGCAGAACAGTGAGGAACTTACCTGATACCATCCAAATTTCCTGCACTCACCAACAAACAAGGGGTAGTCCACCCTGCCTTGAATGCAGCGAAAGGGCATCTAAATCTAGAATCAAATTCTCTTGGTTGAATCACCCAGGGGTTCGAGGCATCATCTCCGATTTCTTGTATATGTCGGTTGCATTCTTGCTCTAGTCTAGATATTCTAGAGGTAGCAGCCTCATTTGACGATTTTTTGTAGAAAGGAATTCCTGCAGCTACACAATGAGGCACAGACAAGAGACCTTGGTCGTCGTCCGACGCTTTAGTATCGATCGAGTCTTTACCATTGCTCGAACCAACAGACGAACGGCTGGTATCCGATCTGGAACTGCTGCCACTGGAGGGAGAACACGGCCTTCGCCAGGCCGGAATCAGCGCTTGTGGACCTTGCAATATCCTACTACTGTAAGGCGACCATGGGCCTTTCAAATTCGCGACCTCGGGCGGCTCCGGGTGGTTTAGTCGATGGTAGGAGGTATCGAACCGCTGAATGTCATCGAGAATGTCGGTCCGCTCTGCAAGGAGCTTCGACGCCTGGTGCGCGTGTGTTTCCAGGGTACCTAGGGCTGTAAATGTACTACTAAGATCTGGAATGGCTAACGGGAATTCAGAATCGCTGGAGTCGGCCGTGGGGCCCACGAGCTCGCCCTCACTTGGATAGTCATAGGTCTCGCCATGGTCCGTATAGCGAACCAGGGTCCGCATGGTGATGGTGACACCAACACATTCCGGAGTGACATTCCTCCGCAGATCCAACACAGTGGCAGCCGTGACGGCGGTCATGTCTATAACTCGAGCTCGAGGTCCTTAAGCCTTTATTACAAAATTGCAAAATGCTTACCGGCTTAGGTACACTAACGCCAACTAATGGTGTTTTGCTTTCAGTTGAACTTGGCTGGTTAGTTGACGTTAGTTTGTTTCTCATTCCACAGAGAAGCTATAGCTGTGGCAGTCAAATAGAGCTGGGTAGATCCGTCGGGTCGGGGCGCGGCGCCCGCACCCGTGAAAGCGGGAACGTACAGTACTGTGCAGACTTTTCCGTTTTGTTGTGCGGCTCAACGCTATGCGACTGTAGAGTGAGTGAGTCGAAAAATGGCGAGGAAGCAGCTGGTTTGAGGGGAACTAAGGCTGTCGCCCCCGCAAGAGAAGTTAGGTTCGATCAAAAAGGTAAGTGGGCGGTTAAGGTTGTGGGCGATGATGCGTAGAACGAAAATCTAGGACACAAAGGGGGTCCAGTCTCTATATACTGATAATATATGCCTGAGTATAGATAGAAATAGATATCCTAGAGATGCCTGGCTAACTGGACCCGGCGACAGTCTTGTATTTAAACGCTTCGGCTTGGTCACAGATATATACACAATATCCTGGGCCGCATATGGGCGCGAAAAAAAGGAAAGAAAATCTCACAGGATGATATACAATCGTGCTGGAAGGTGTGACTTAGCGGAGGCGTATACATCTTCGAAGCCAGAGGTGGGTCCTTCTAGCTAAACACACCGTCGAATCGTAATCGCCGCACATACTTGAAGCTAGGAGGTTGGTTAACCGGTTTAGCTTCTATCATGATATGTATGCAGCCCAAACTTTCTACTCGCATCTGAAGCGCATATTCACCAGGTCATGAAGGCTAAGCTTTGCAACTGGGGTAGCGTTGTGACAAGGCTACATGTTTTTGCGGTCTGCCTGCACATATCTATCACGATTCCAAAATTCATCATTTGACAGCCCTCAGGGATCCATTATTGCCTACCCAGCCAGGAGGCCAGGACAGCGCCACGTCCGAATAATAGTGCGTATTCTATTATCTAGCTTTCTAAAGTCAAATTGACTTGATCAAAAGATCAATCACGCCGCCGCAGCTGTCATTCAATTTTTACCTAAGTAATTTCCGAATTCCAGATATCATAATATGCCAAGAACAAAAAATTCGAATCGACATGAATGGCTTTGAGATGCCTTACATTAACTACACCACTTGGCAACATGCTGCCTATATGCAAGTCTAGCTGGCACCTCTGAAACTTACGAGCTCGAGCGCTCGAGCTCATGTTTGGATGGAATGACGCGCGGTTTTTGTGTATATTAAAATATTAACATTAACATTGTATAAATGACATCGGTACCGGTTTGCACGCGACAACTAAGCATGCATATGGTTTATCCGAGCTCCTTTGGCCTCGTTTCACGAATTCAATCATTTCCGCCGAGTGTGGTCAAAACGGGGTAGAATTATAATTATATATACTCGAGAGATACCCATAAGCAACATTCTTGGAGTGCAAACTATAGTATATACTGAATTTCTTAGTATATAGTATATATGCTATATTAATACCCTATTTTGATCGATCTGATACAACCTATCGAATAGAAGCTATAGTTTAACTCACAATATTAATAAATATCAATATGCCAGGGCATATAATATGAGACCCTGCGCAACGCCCCACACAATGGTGAGGTCCAGGCCGAGAATCACGAAGCTAGACGTCATATATCTAATTGACCCCACCTAGAATCGGTTTCGATCTGACAAAATGAAACTGGCGATATGCCTCCGCGAAGCACGCATCAGAACTATTGGATGCGCAGAACGCAGAAGCGCAGGCTAGTGGGTCCTGTGGCGCTTTGAGATCATGATAATTGAATCCTACATGCTCCAGAGCGGGTAATATTGATCTTGATCTTGTTATGGCATGCTAAATAAGCGGCCAATCTAACCAGTCTAGGGCAATTTCAAGATATGATGCACAATAACAATCTACATTCTTGACAAGGGCCCCGGCATCATCTTTTACTCTGGAACCCCAGAACTCCAAATCCCACCAAAAAAGGCAGAGCTCCGATTCGATTGATTATGCGCTCTGAATGAAATTTTCTCTTCTCCGGTACAATTGCTTCTATTTTCAAGGCGGAGTCGATCGACAGACCGGTGCAGTGCTGATGTACGAGCTGAGATATATCTACAATCCAGCTCTAAAGCCCGTCCTGTATAGCTGTACTGGTACCTTGCGGACACGTCAATTAACGGCACACCCAGCAAAGAAGTAGCTTACCGCAGATGGGAAAATTTACCAATCCGCTGTTGGCCCTGTTTCTGCTCGAAACGAATATCATGATAGATATGTTGTCTCAGTGCCAGGCCAGTCGATCGATCTGGATTTGGAAATACCACGCGCGGGCCAGGACACCTTGGGAATATAGGATCACATTATCACAGCTACGCAAGTTACACAAGAGCGAAAAGCTGGTCTTGAGGCTGGGTTTCTCGGGAACGAAATAAGCCTAGATGAGAGCCTCAGGAGGTTACCGAATGTTCGCTCGGAATGTTTTGAATCGGGGTGTTCCAGACCGCGAGCTGGTCGCTTCGAAGCTTCGGTTGAGCTCACAGCCATGCTCAGTTTGTCGTTTGTCTCGGACGGGACCGATTTCCGACTGCGGCCGCATCACGTGATGAAAACATGGAAACTGGTGTACCGGTGTTCATGCGAATGCATTCGTCAACCTCAAGGCCGGCCCTCTTCGCGTCGTTCTAACCAATTTAGCTATAGGCTCGAGCGTTTAGCTAAGTGGGTTCTCCCCACAGTTGAGGAGTCTGGCGACGAGACAAGTTCTCCCAGAGACTAGCAAAAGACCCAAAGCCGATTTTCAGTTTGTTGTCTGTGTATGGCGTCGCCAAACACCACATCCTTGTCAATCCGTATCGCGAACCCCTCCAAAGAAAGCCTCAAAGCCGTCATCTCGTATCTCCATATCTCCATCTAACCTCAAGGCCAAATTACACGAATCGACTATTCTAAAGCCCAAAATGCCAACAACATACACCCCACCCTTCCTCTTCACCGCCACACACACCCTCGGCACCCTCTCCCTCGCCGGCCTCAGCACCCTCATGCTCACAAACCCCCACCTCTACCACAAACACATCCTCCGCTCCACAAACCCATCAACAACAGACCTCTTCATCTCCACCCAATTCACAAGCTCCACCCAAGAAGTCCTAAACTCCTCAATCCGTTCCTCCGGCATCTTCCTCCTCTCAACTTCAATCGGTCTCTTCGCAACCAGAAACCACTACCCTTCCTCATTCTATCTCCTAAGCACCGTCTCCCTCGGCGTAGCAGCAGGTCACGCATACCTCCTCAAACCGATCTTAACAAACGACATCCTACGAAAAGCATGGCTGGAAGAAACGGAAAGAGTGACAAAGATGGGTGTGGTGGTTGGTGTTAACGCCCTAACGGTTTTGATAAGTCTTTGGGCTGGATTGAGTTACGGTGGATGGCCATGGCATGCCGAACGCATGTTTTTCAGTGCACCTGTGGGAAATCCTTCCGGTCAGAGTTTCGGATCCGGGAACCCCGACGATTTTGATTTGGAAGGAGTGGTGAACGTCTTTGTGAAGGGTGCTGTCGAGTTGGCTGGTGGAGTTGGTGGACTACTTCAGGGCGTTTTGGCTGCATCGTCGTGATATATCGGAAATCGATTCAAGACCCACGACTTTTTTTTTTTGACACTATGACTTTTTAATACGACTTTGGTTTGGTGGAAGGATATGGATATGATAATACAGAAGAAAAGAAACGCCATGCAATTCCCCTCTCTCCTCGATGCAGCATTCTAATACAGCAAATATCGATATCAAAGCGACAGCAGGGGTGGCTAATGAATAATGATGCTGAATGGCGACGAAAAACCTCCCCTTTCGCAAAGCAGAAAAATGCCTTGATGCAATAAAAAGATGAGCAAAAAAAAAAAACGACCCAAACCCGCAAAGTCAAAAAAAACAAAAATAAGAAATCCCTGCTCCCAAAGAAGAAACAAAAGAACTCCTAGCAAAATCAAAAAAATCAAGCTGCATCTCTCTCTTCTCAAAAGATCAATATCTCTTTTATTTCTCCGGTTTGGAAAAGGCCAAAGGTTTTCGATCTTCACGCACCTCTGGTCTTCCGCCTCGTAATACTGGCAAGCGCCGGATTCGGGCTTTCGAACACATCATCCAACTCCTCCAGCGTCCGTCCCTTGGTCTCTACGAAGTACTTATAGATGACTGTCGCTTCCAGAATATCCCATACGACAAAAAACCCATAGAACCAATATCCGTATGTCGCCATGGCGACTGGAGCGATAGCGGTATTGACCTATTCAATACTTGTTAGCTCAATTAAAAGCTCCAGAAGATTACATATGTAACTCACAAATCCAGCGGTTCCGGACGTAAAAGATGACAATGCCATCCCTTTTGCCCTCATGTCGTTCGTCATGACCTCAGCTGGGTAAATCCTGTACATATAGCGAAAAATCCCCAGTTAGTTATAGAGACTCCACACTAAATATCAAATCCTAATGTGTATATAATAGGATGGGTTAACGTACGGTTGCATGCTCGTATATCCTAGCGCGAAAACAATGCCGAAGAGGTATATCCAAACCACCAACGTGCCAGACATGATCTTGCTCTCGGTGTGGGAGTATACCCCGGCTGCAGCCGTTATGACTGTGAGACAAACGACGAGTCCGCAAGTACATCCGAACAACATCTTACGACGGCCGAAGACGTCATGAAGACGAGCACCACTTGCAGCTGCGATCCATCCAACAATAGCGTATATGCCGTTGAGAATGAGTTTGGTGTGCGTGGAGGTGATTCCAACGTCCGTAACCATCTGAGGAAGGTAGTACGACATGATCTAGAAATTCTCTCGTCAGCAAATGTGCACAAAACGATAAACCCACATTTGAACCCACGTTGTTTCCCGAAAACTGCCCAAACCAGCTCATGCAGACCAGTACAAAAACTCTGTACCTTCTCCCCTTCGTTCTAAACAACGTGCTAATATCAAAATAACTAGCCGCAGTCATCAATCCACCAGAAGATTTAAGGTCTTCCACCATTTCAGAAACTTCCAAGTCAACAATCGGATGTGTAGGATCGCCATTAGCATGGAATCGGATAATGATTTCTCGAGCCTCGTCGATTCGATTATTGGCCATCAACCATCTTGGTGATTCGGGAACGAACATGATGCCAATGGTAACGAGGATCGGACAAATCATCTGATACCATATCGGAAGCTGCCAAGCGAGATTTGTATCCGGGTGATCTCTTTGAGATATAACAACCGCTGTTGTAGCAAGGAGAGAACCGAAGTAGTATAAAGTGTTATACATTCCAGCAATGGTACCACGGTATTTCGGAGGGGCAATTTCGATGAGAAACATAGTCGAACCCTTGCATGCAATTGTAGAGAAAAACCCGAGAGCGAAACGACCGATGATGAATGAGTGAACTATATCCCTTGTCAATACTTCTTAAAATTGGATATTATAGTAAGGGTATATACCGTCAGTGGCATTCGCCTGTAGAAAGACAGATAGTATGACACCGATACTACCAATCTTGATGCAAAAGATCCGTCCTTTCCAATCGGCGAGCCAAAGGAAGAGTGCTCCGATCATACCACCCATCTACACCCACTGTACATCAACATACCGTCCCACAAGTATTTTAAATCAAGCATATGATTAAGTATATACCTGAACCGAAGAAAACATCAACCCAGTCTCCATCCCAGGCTTATCCAACCCAAAGAACTGATGAAACTCCGGTAAAGCATTGATATTTCCTAGCAAACTGCCATCGAAACCAGACATTGTCGAATCTAAGCCATCCCAGGATTCAATTAGCGAGCCCGTTTCCTAATACACACATTACGGACAGCTGCAGGAAACGCCATAGCTGCAGGACCACATTGCATGGCATACTCAAATATAACAGCAAACAAATGCAATACAGCTCCTTATACCCTTTCCCCCAAGGATCCGGATGATTTTCAAATGCTGCTTCCTTGATATCACTCCTGACCGGTGTAGGATGTCCAGACATCAAGGGAACCTTATCCTCCATCTCGTCTTCCTCAATCGATGGCATCGCCATTTTCGGAACCAAATCTGTCGTTAACTTTAATTAACTTTGGGGTGTATGTGTGTTGTCGTGTGCTGTTCGCGAAACAGAACAGCCCGGTGCATATGCAGCTGCCAGGTGTGGGGTGAAATTGAGACACACGACCGATTGGTACGGTATGATGGGTAATAAGAAGAAGAGGAAGAACAGAATAATATCGCTGATGCTTGGAGATACAATAGCAGAAAAGAATAAAAGTAATTGAAGGTTCTTTATGGGAGAAGGGAGGTTGGGTTCCGGGGTGGTTTATGAGAGAAAATCAGAGTAATATGAAGTCAGGGCCACATTTGTTAATACTCCGCGTCGTCACTGGAATTATGATTAGCAGCAATCAATCAACAATCAGGGGCTGCCGGCAGCTGGCAGTCGCGCTGGCCCGAATTTCTGGCTAGGCTTTGGTGCAACCCCAGACGGCACGGCACACACCCAATGCGACAATACAACGAGGCAACACGGGGGGAACCTTCTCGGAAAGCAAGCTGTCCGGCTGGTTACGTTACCGGTTACCCTCCAATGATATCCCGGCGTCATAAATTTAGAATTCCACTTCATTTAACTTAATTTAACTTAGATAGATCAATCAATATTCTCCAGATACATGTAGGCTGAGGATTCTTTAGAAGGAAAAGAAGAAAAGGAAGAAGAAAGAGCCTGTTTATCCATACAAATCGGTATGTCCACCCAGACGATCCATAATCTCCGGATACTCCAGAGCCTCAATCCCTCGAACACCCATCCTCAAATTCCTATAAAATAAAGTACTTCCATCCGCTACATCCCAATCGATCTTAGAATCATCTCCATCTCCATCTTCTGCAAAATCAATATCTCTGCGTTGAATCATAAAAGCATGTCCCTGTACTATCTTCTGGGTTGAAAACTCAGTGCGTATCCCAAAGCAAACGATCTTTAAAGTTTCGGATAAATCTCCTTCTCGGATTTCATTCCGTAGAGCGCTGTAGACCAGACTAAGACACTGCTCACTATGAAGAGGGATATCCAACCACTCTGGACTTCCGATGTAAGTCGTATCGTGGAAGTACTTCAAGTTTGGAAATGCATCTTTGTTGAATATGCATGCAGGCTAGATCGGTAAAAGTTCAAAAGATAAGCAAATTAAGAGTCAAGTCAGTCAGTCAGTCATGCATATGGCTTTCAATGATTGGACGGGTATAGATAAGAAGTGAGCAAGCAAGTACTTATAAAAGCTTAATAGCACAACTGTACTTACCAGTCCATCTTCCATCTCGGAAGCAAACACCTCTAGACCCCTGCAGTTCCTCCCTAACTCTTCCAATACTTTTACCGGGAACCTCATCCCCGTGAGCTTCACGTGCACCTGTTTCAGCGAATCCGCATGATGCTTCAACCCCGCAGTCCAAGCGATTCCAAATTCCCGTCCGTGGAAACTAGAAACAATAATCTTCGACAATCCTTCAAACGTCTCCAAATACTTCTGCAAACCCAGTCCGTTATTAGGATACTTCTCCAATGACGGGAAAAGTTCACTAATATTTAACCTGGAGTATTTAGAATATAGTCCCAAAGCATTTCCCTCCGCATCCTGCGTCAAGAAGTTCTGCAGTGGAGACTTCTGCACAATCCCACTCTTAAAACAAAACTCAAAAAACGCCTGATCCATCTCCTTGCAATTCCAAACTTTCAACCGGGGTAGTTCGAATTCCTTCTCTCCACCTCTCAATAACTGCTGCTGGCTACATTCCCCACAGTTCTTCCAGTCATTATAAGCATCTTCAAACGCCGTCGATAACGAAAGCTCAACAAACGGATTATCAAACATATCCGTATGACAATGAAACTCCTCCAGGGTATTTCGACAACTACTCAAAAGGGCGTAGATACAATGATACTGTCTTGCCGAACTTCGATCCTTAACCTCGAACTTGAAATATTTCAGACAAGGGAAATCATAGACAGTACAGTCATTCGCAAGATCTTCCCTCAATGTAATCTTCAACTGTGATATCGTATTCTGATACTGATATAACGCCCGAACAGTAACAATACTTATATCCACAGAATACAAATCCATCGTATTCCTAGTATCAAAGTTAAACGCCTTCAATTGACCCGGTGGAATCCGCGTGATCAACTTTTCGACAAGTTGGTTATTGAATAAAGCTTGTCCGACCTGTTTCAACTCCATCCCTTCCGTTCCATCGACTGCCCAGCCAGTATCGAGATTGATATCTGGGATGTGAAGGTACCATGGTGCGAGGCAATCTTCGCAGTCTTGGTAGTAATAAATAATTCCGATCTGTCGGACGTATTGAATCCATTGAGGCTTTAATTTTCCAAAAATCGAATCGGCGTCCCAGACAATCGGAGGCAAACCGATCCGGATGGCGATAATGAGTTTTTCATAAAACAGTGGAGTTGCGACAGGATATAACCATCTACAAGTCAATGCGACATCGATCAAATCGGTAGGTACCCTGATCTATACATTGTTAACCGGATCAGATTACAGTCAGCGATGCCCGATTCTAATCTCATTTATCTTTACATAACAAAAAAAAAAAAAAAAGTTTGGAGCGGTGAATATCACAGTACCTACATAAGATAAGATATGAGTAATCAATTCACAAGGAAGCTGCTGTAATTTCGCCATCGTGGGTTGATTAATATTCGTGGAGGGAGGGACGGAGGGGAGAGGGGAGCGAGCGCGGGGTATAACAAGAGTAACGTTGCAACTGTGGCGTTTTTACGTTGGTTGGAAATTGGATATCTAAGATATCGATGGACCAATGCAATTGGCCAATTAATGTTCGGCTGGAAGGAACTGCAGAGCTGAGATGATATAATTCCGGATCAAGATTTCATATGCCCTGCTGCGAATGCATGGTGCATACATACACATGCGACGAACGAACGAAATTAATTCCAGCGAACAGGCATCTCGGGCTATATCTGTTTTGGGATGTTTTATCGTATATGTAGGAAAGGTCCAGAGAACGTAAGGTGTGCACACTGGAACTGAGTCCTTCAACGTCACGAAACAGCCACATTCCATTCCCAACAGCCACAAAATTTCAACGGAATCCATTACTTACGTACTATATTGACTTAAATATATAAAAATTCTACTTGGATAGGTTGATTATCGACCTGGATGTGAGATATGTGGTGAATCCTTTGGATCATGAATCTCAGACACGGCAGGAGAGAACCGTGCTAAGTAACCCAGCGCCAGCTTAGCTAACCCGAATACCGACATAACCAGCTAACTAGCAGCTAAGCTTCAGGTTATACGACCGGCTTTTGGTCTATCCAAACGAACGCCTTTCCAAAATAAACCTAAGAGAGATACGGATATTATCGGCTTCCCTTAAAAACATTGACGGTTCATACCAGCTAACTAACTGCCTCGAATCATAAGTAGGCCAGGTCTACATAACTGAAGAGGTCATGATTGCAATTGGGATGTGTCTTGGCGCAACACTCCACTTAGAAAGGCCATCTTAAGCTTGGTATCTCGATCTCGATTCTCTCCCCAACTTCACATTCCTCTTGTTGAACAAGGTATCTTCCTATTCTTTACAATTCCGACATTAAAAAGGATATAACCATTATTGCCACACATATACCCAAGCTCTCATCGAATTCAAATTTATAAAACATGCCTGGATTTTCACTGACTTTCCGACGTTTGCGATTGCATCGATTGATACTGTCTGGCTAAGCGGATGAGACGCTTATCGCTGATAATATACCTCAGAAAGGTAGCCGATTAACGAAGAAGAGAACTGCCAAGTTCTGGCTATCAAAGGTATAAGCTTGCGTGCTAATATTTGTTTGTTAACCAATACTTACTAAGTACTTATATGAAGTAGGCATAGATATCGATAGCTCGGGAACATGGGCAAGACTTAACCGGCTTGGATACAGCTGAGCATATGCCACATGCCAATCTTCACGGGGATTTATTCCGGAAACAGAATTCGGCATTCCAATCTTTATTACAGATTTCAGTAGTCTGCAAAATCGGTACCGAGAACCGTTTTAAACATAAATATACTTATACAACATGGCATGGAAAGCCGGACCAGTTCCAGGCCAGGGCTGTGGGTGGCTGACTAGCCTCGGCCGGGCCGCGGCCTGGCCTGTACAAACAGGCGAGGGGAGCTTTCAGTGCAGTTTTTGGTATAAATTACCCGCGGCTTAAGCATTCGGTAGTTACCTAACTGGCTGTCGCGCAAACATCAGTTAACCACGGACTTATATTCACCACCACCACTTAACTTAAATATGGCGTCGAGGACCTGCACCCCCCTCGATGTCAATCTATTTATCAGTTTCCTGGTATATGATCACGTCTTATTGCTATTTTCCTAGAGCTTTTTTTATATAATTTAGTTTAATATATATCTATATCTTCCTTACATACCTATCAAACAAAATGTCAGCACCAGGCGTCGGTTTTGAATATCCAGAGGTGGAAGTCAGCTGGTTGAAGCGAGATCTTCTGCTATTCGCAAATAGCATCGGATGTAAAGCTGATGAACTTCATTTCCTTTATGTAAGTTTATATATAGTCTATTCTTTATCATAGTACTAGCTAGAAGGCTAATATTTTCTTCGTCTTTTAGGAACTTCACCCAAACTTCGCCGCTTTCCCAACATATCCCATCATCCTTCCCTTCAAACACACCGACAAGGACGTCATTGATTTCTACGCCCGATCAAATGCAATCCCCATCCCCGGTATCCCAAAACTAGACTCTAAGCGTGTAGTCGACGGTGAAAGAAAAATAGAGTTCCGTCGAAAACTCCCACTCGACAGTGTCGGCAGACAGTTCTTCATCAAGAGTAAAGTTCTCGGTGTCTACGACAAGGGAAAGCCAGGTACTGTCGTTGAAACAGAGTTATTGCTTGTTGAGAAGGTTGGAAGTAAAGAAGTCATCTTTACCAGAGCCGTCGGTAGTGGATTTTACGTTGGACAGGGAGGATGGGGCGGTCCTAAAGGTATGTTTTAACTTGATTGCTTTTCAAAACGATGAAAACTTCCACTTTTTTATAACATTAAACCCAGTTTGCATTTGCTAACTTAAAAAAAACTTTTGTGTAACAGGTCCAAAAGCTGTCAACTTCCCACCTCCAGAGGGCCGCACACCAGATGCCACCTATGTCCACCCAACAAATGCAGAATCCGCCCTCCTTTACAGACTAAACGGAGACTACAATCCTCTCCACGCAACCCCAGAACCAGGTGCCAAGATGGGATTCGGAGGAGCAATCATGCATGGTCTATTTTCATGGAACACAACTGCCCACGGTGTCCTCCAAACATTCGGCGGGAGCGATCCAGCAAACATTAAGGAATTCCAAGCTAGATTTGCCAGCCCTGTTAAGCCTGGTGATACATTGGTAACCGATATGTGGAAGATTGGAAGACCTGATGGGACTCCCGAGGGATGGGAAGAAATTAGATTTATTACTAAAGTTCAAGGCGGTAAGGTTTGCTTGACCAATGGAAGGGCTTTGGTTAAGATCACTGCTCCGAAGAGCAAGTTGTAAATATTCTTTTGGGAGGGTTTTATATCGGTTTCGGCGGTGGGTTCAAGGAATGCTTGGCATTTGATAGCTGCGTACTTCTTTTACATTGGATCGGATTGGGATGTATTTATGTATTATATCATTACACCAAAATGGTGATTTTTAGGTCTACCGAGCATGCGCTTCTATATCTTTAATTCCGTAGGATTGCATTCAACCAGACTTGCGTTATATATGAGCAACTTACAAACAATACACAGGTTTTTCATGCTTTGATATAAATAGTACACTCAAACACACCCAAGCTTGCACTAGCCAGCTCGAAATCCAGATGGCTGTTATAAAAGTTGTATAAACGGACACTAGATAGAGCCGCAACGAGTATTCTAGTCCGCTTACCACATTCGCATGCATACATTGGGACGCCCTGGCGTCACGCCAAGGGCAGCCAGCATGCCGACCAAAGTGCAGCACCAGAGGGATATTCTTTTAGCTTTCCCATTAAATAGACCTTTGTATTCTAAACATGATCTTATCGCTATATTTCTAACCTATATTATATTTCTGATCACGAGCAATCAAAGGAGTACTTGCGTCTATCTAGGTTTGAGCAAATCCCAGTATTGATCACCAACCTTAGCTCGGATTGATCAATTGGATCTCCGTCACCTAAGCACTATCTACCACGACTCTAGATTACAAAGCCTAAGAACCAAAACCGTAAAGGGGAAACTACCTTTCATAGATTTCACTAATATTATAGCTAAATATGGCCCATAATACCACTTTAACCAGCCTCCCTGAAGAAATCCTTCTTCAGATCTTCACCTACGTATTATCCACTCCCCCCAAAAAATCCACCAAAAACAACACACATCTCTCAACCCGAGCGAACGAACACAACTGGATACGAGACTAATGCATACGTATATATCCCCAGGTCTCAGATTCCAGTACAAAAGATACTATTTCAATACTATCTACCTCCAAGAAATTAAGCAGAATAGCAAAACCTCTAGTTTATAATACAATCTTACTTCCAGCTCGTAAGAAATGGGGAATATACGAATCAACAGACGTTCGAGAAAGGATAAACATCCTGGCCTCAAATATTGACGCTGTTGCACCATATATTCAAGAATTTGGGTTATGTAAAGCAGAACCTGTACTTGAGATCCGCGAATCTGCCAAGAAGTTCCTGATTTCTGAGGAGTTGGTGCCAGTTTTGGCGAAAATACCATCGGGGCAGTTGCGTTCTTTTAGGTATGTCATCTTATGTACTCATCCGAGTACATACTTATGTAAAGACCTATCATCTTAGAATATTACTATCATATCGCGGTAATAAAATGATTCAAAAACTAATTCATGCGCTTATTTATATTAACAGATGGGACATCCGAGCCGACTGTCCAAAATCAATAATATCAAACCTCCACACCCACCAACAAAACCTCGAAACTATCATAATATACCATCCATCATTCGACCGTGTCTCGGAACCCGCCACTTTCACTAATAAACTAAAAACCCTAGTCACCAGTCCAAAACCCTTCGCCCTTGACCTGCAAGTTTTCCAAAACCTCCGTCATCTTTGTATATACGGCCACGTGTACACCGCCAGCGAAGCAAAACAACTACTTATGAACCAACTCCCAACTGCACTCAAAACCCTCAAAACGTTTACAATGGTGAATCTAACCCATGGTCACCAACTTTGGCCTTCGTTCAGTGGTGTCGACACATCCGTCATTAAAAAAAGTAAAAAGTTCATGGGGGTTACATACCCCTATTTGGAAACGTTTGCTTACGATGATAATGCTTTTGGTGCTATGTTTTCCAAGTATATTAGCTTGGAGAGTATATCACAGTTTCCGAACTTACGAGCTTTGCATTCTAGGTTTTTCTTATCTTCAACTTTGCTTTCGAATTTTGATCCAAAGGTACCGATTCGTTTGAAGACGCTGGAGGTACAAGGGTGTGGTATGGAGATACTATCTAATTTCTTATTGGCATTTAAAGGTCTTCAAGATCTAGATGTATTGGTTTTACTTGCGGAAGATTATCCAGATCCAGCTCCGATTTTGCACCATGCAGAGACATTGAAGCGATTGGTATTATGGAGGGTGGTTCGACCTTCTGGGCGATTACCGAGATTGGCGCCCATACCTTTCGCTTTAATGAGATCATTAGGGAAGGGATTAGGACGGTTAGAGGAATTCTGTGCTACCCTTCCTCAAGAAGTGAGTTTTCCTATCTTCAACATATACATACTTACTTTTAGAGGAACATAATACGAACGTTTATTTACACTATTGTAGTATGATCCATTCGAAGGGAACCTTTTCCCAGAACTAAAACTCCTTTGGCTATACAATACCGACTCTAACTACTCAAGAATAGACGCTATCCCAGAATACCCATGGATCCCACCTACAAACGACGAAATCAAATCCCATCCACAATGGGTCATTAAGAACCAAACCTTACAACTAGATATCACCGCCCATCCCAACCTAACCATTCCAAAAAACCTAAAAGCCCTCGCAATAGGTCACTGTAGCCGGGTTATAGACCTGGAAGCTGAAACAAGCTTTGGCTCGGTCATTAACTTCAGCCGTACCGAAAGACTTTATGAACGTGTTAGAGAAGAGAATGATACGGTTATTTGGAGGAGAATTGGTATGCGTGAGCTTGCGAGGAAATATCCTGATCTATTATCGCCTTATGAAGACACTTTTGGGGTACCCCTTATGAAACGGTATGTACAAGTTTCTCGGAGTAAATATGTAAGGGGATTAAAAGCTCATCAGCATTCTTAAGGCACTATATCTTTGGCAGCACCGAAAAGGACGGTTTACTTGACCCACTCGAAGTTCTACCGAATAATTAGTATTGAAAAGAGAGAGATATGTGCGAAGTGAGTTTAGGTATAAACACCCTCCAAGAAAAAGATCGTTCTAATCAATAAAACGACTGTGAACTATCTACACAATTCAAACTCTGATACCCCAAAAATCAAAAGGTACAGCTAAGAGAACTAGAATTACAGCAATTAATATACCAACCTGATGGTCCCATCACCCCAAAGTATCCACCGCCCCATCTTCCAAGCCCACATACACTTTATTCGGCCGTCCATTCCACCCATTCCCCCCCGCATAAAACAGCCCATGATCCACAACCCCATAAATCCCCTTCACAATCTCCGCTAAAGCCTCCACCTCCTCTCCAGCATCCCTCAAACTCGGCCAAGTAGCATCAATAATATAATTCCCTCTTTGCGTAATACAAGGCCCCGAAATCGCCGGCTCCCCACTCCTCAAAGAAGCAATCGCTTTAGTCCCCCTAAGCCCCTTAATCACATAAAAATACGACTCAGGAGTAATCTCCACCGCCATACTCTTCCCATTCGTAAACAGTGTAGGCACTCGTTTATGATAATCGATAATACAAACAAAACATTCCGACCTCAAAGCCACCATCCTCTCAAGATGTAAATTCCCCGTTCTGCCTCTGATACAATTTAGATTATCGTCGACTTTATCGGCGGTATCGAAATATACATCGATTTTTGTTTCGGGCGAGAGGAGGTTTAGTGAGGTTATAGGTCGGAGTTTATATGAAGCCATGATGTGCTCTGATGCTGCCCCCGTTGAGACGAAAGTTACATCTGCGAGTTGGTTATATGAATATTGTGATATTCTTTCCACGATTTGTAGCATTAGGGCACCGGATCCGATGGCGATGTATGCTGGTCTAGTGGTTGGGAAATTATCGTTAACGGCTTTATATGCCGCCAACCTGCGTACCGTGCTTGTCGATTCTCTTCTTCTCAACGACCGAGTTGACTTTGAAGTTGCACGTGTGGCGTTAGAAATGAGCGAAATCAATGATGGCATGTGGTGGTGGTGATGGTGTTTATGCTTTTTGGACTTTTTGACAGAACCATTTATCGAAGGGGTCGGAGTAAGCGTATGATCATTCTCTCCGCCCTCCTCCTCTTCAGGCTCTAATTCGGGTGATTGAAACCCGACATGTTGAAGTGATGGTTTCCTCCCAGGTTTAGATAAAGATGACCTTCGACTCGAATTCTTCGGCAGTGGTTCGACGGTAATAAGTGCAGGACCCTCTGTAAGTGAATACGTAGACCCATACGCCCCCGGTGGAGTAGTAGATATCGAAAAGTCCTGAGACACCCGCTTCGAAGGTCCGCCATCATTCTCATTTTCCACATGCTCTGAATCCCCATCCGCAGCACCAGCTGCACTAATCGATATAGAATCTATATCCTTCAAATCCGAATTTGAGTCGTTCTTCTTCTTCCCCTTTGCCTTCTCTTCCTTCCGACTAAGATTTGATTCCTTCCTCTTCAACGAAGCACTGCGTACTTTTGTTAATAACTTCTCCATCCGCTCGAGGATACCTTCGGAGATGTGGGTTCGATGGGCTTCGTTCATATGCGAACAGAAGTTATGAAGGATGTAGATGATAATGAGTGAGGTTATGACGTTTTTAACGGCGGTTGAACGAGGGGTTTTTAATGTAGAGGTGAAGGGCGTGGGGAGCATCTCCTTAGCCTATTCTTCCAACTACCACGCACCCGCGTGCATTCGTGAAGCTGTAGATAGGTAGGTGGGTGCATGGAATATACTTGGTGTATCTCATAGATATCGATATGAGGTCATCACGCAGAGACATTCGAGAGCCTTCTGGTTAGGAACGTGGTATTCTCGTGTATTATGATATATATGCTAAGTATACTATAGTATAGCACTCACACCTTGCCACTAAACTAAGTACTTACCTACCTACCTACCTACCTCAGCACTAAATAATATAAATTTTAATACGATAATACTTTTTTAATAATTGTTCCTCTCTAAGAAAAGCTTGGCCATGGTGTCGGTTTCTATTAAGCTAAGTGTCTATATAAGACCGACGGTTGAAATAGTTGATCGGCAGGATTGGTAAATGACTCAAACGACGTTATATCAACCAGAATATAATACGACTATATAAAGGACCATTGTAGACCGATCTACCAAATACCTCTTCCTTCCCCCAACATCCTCACACATACTCCTCTATACTTTTCCGAACCAACCCCTCCCTGGCCTTATACGCAATTAATTTAAATAAGAGACCCCCAAAATGTCGGCAGCACCAAACCCCGGTGGCTTCGGGCCCGATGTCGATATTCCAATAGACACGGCCCCGAGAATCGCAGAACTGAAGCTTATGCTAGAAGATCCCGCAACCTGCCAGCACCAAATTCCAAACATCTTGGCTGTTTTGACAGAGTATGAAGCAGGCAGAACACCAGAATTCATATACCAAGATGGCAGACCTATCTGCATCCGAGATTTGGACTTCAATAAGCCGTCGTGGGTTGAGGTATGTATCTATCCTTGCATCCTTCTCCAATATTTTGAGTGAAGTACTTGGCGCTTTTGATATCCAAGGAGTTGGTTTATATATTCGGTAGATTGCAATGGGAGCTGACTATATTTTTTTTGTTAGGGAGGGAATATGCTTGCCCACCGTTAGGTTTCTCAAACTCTAGCTATGAGAGCAGTACAGTAAGTTTAAATGCGAGCTTAGTTTTGCTCCACAATACCTTTGATTGTCAAAAGACTCCGATATTAATCTATATTCATTTTCAGATACTAGATGATAGTGGATCGGACTGTCGGGTCATCCGTCCACTGGACCTTTTAACCCTCATGCCGGATTTCCCATTGCATTTGAATCTTCACCAGTTTCCACCAGTGACGATTCAAACTGCAAATGGGATTATCTGGCTCCCGGAACTGGTGGTGGAGGCGCGCTTGTGTAACTAAAATGGTTCCCAGCCGGTGGGGCCATGGTTCCCCGAGACCGCAGTGATACGACCCCTCAACCGAGGTTCACTCGACTTTTGGGGGCGAGCCTGCGCGCGACTTTCTACCGCGCAACTCTCCCGCGGGGTTCCAAGGCGACAGTCTTCGCAGAACGGAAGACTCACTTTGTCCAGAGCCTCGGACCAGCAGTTTGATTTCATTGGCGTTATTTGTATTGCATTGTTCGTCTCTAATCTGCCTATCGGTTGCGGTGACTGTAGCTAACAGTTTATTATGCCTCAGGATTATTAGCGTTACGTATACGAGCAATATAACAATGAGTGAGGGCCACTCTGAAGGTTCGGGTCGGTCAGTCTCTTCACCAGACTTTTTTGCGAAATTATCAGGGAGACGAGTATTTTGATGAATGGTTGGGATGAAAGAAAGAAGGATTGATTAGTTAATAGGCTCTACAATAGTAACAATAATAATGATGAAGCTCTATGGAAGAAGTTACTTCTTCCATCATCAATACAATTACTTCACCCAAATCATAAACATCTACTACAATTGGTCTAGTTTTGGTCAAGTTATATACACACTCACTTAGTCGATATCGAATCTTGGATCATGCTCACAAACCAAGTAATACCACTCTAAGACGTCTTAGTTCCCCCAATTGTAACTTTAATATCTACACATCTTGCGGAATCCCTGCCTAGTGCAACATAAACCTAAAAAATCCGGTATATATACCCAGAAGCTTTCCGATCCTATAACAGATCTAAAAACTCCAACGGCAATAAATCTCCAATGACTTTAGCTTTTGATGTTGATAATTTAATCTAAAGAATACATAGAATAACGCAATTAATACTAAACTTAAAAGACCTCCTAGTATATTTAGAATAACATTTAGGTAGTTAAAATACCTTAAGTGAGTATAAAGCGAGTGAAGTAGTATATTATCTATACTAAAAATATGATAAAGTTAATAGGTTTACTACCTGGGCCCGCCCGCTTTACCTAGTTTGCTGCGTATAAGCTTGGATACGTACATACTTTTATAAGATCAAAGAGAAATTCGACCATGATTGAGGAACATCGCTTATAACTACGACTTGATAGAGTAGAGATTTCGAAATCAAATTGATTTTATAAGTTGGTGGATGATAAGGTGGTGCTTTGTATGCATATTTCTGTATCCGAGATACTATTTAGACTGGAATGTGTACTTAGATATAAAACTTCACCCAGTATACAACAACGATATCACTGTCGCAACTTGTTTCCATACTTCAATCCTATAAATATCCGCGAATAACGAATGAAGTCTAATCTGATGATTTCAGTAATTAGCCAGTAACCCTCTCAGCCGAGTTTGATCACGACGCTGCTATTTTCCTCACCAACTTCACTCCAAAACTTTAAAACTTTATCCAACACAAAAGTTTCCAAATTCCAACAAACCTCCTCCTCACCCTCATATCATCCTCAAATCCACCCATCCGTCGTTATTCGTATTCTCAAATGCCTCGAATCTGTCGCGAAATCCTTAAAGAACTCCGAAGTCACCACAAACTCCTCCCCCTCCTCTACCGCGAAAACCGTATCCCCGAACTCGCCAAATTTGAACTCCGCCACCTCCAAGACCACGTTCTCCAGCGCTCGGATCTAAAACACTCGCCTAGACTTCAATTCAAACTTCTAAAATCACTATGCGAGCGTCGTGCCCGCGCAGAGCCGCTAGACCACATCCTAGGCACCACACAATTCGATGATCTAGAAATCCTATCCGGGAAGGGAGCGTTAATCCCACGTCCTGAGACAGAAGCAATGGTATTGCGTCTTTGCGATGCTTTAAGAGATTACCATTTCGTGAACGAAAAACGAAAACGGAATCTGGGGAATAATTTTCGTGTGTTGGATTTATGTACGGGAGCGGGACCGATTGCTTTACTCATGGCGAAACAGCTTTATGAAATGCAACTGCCGTATGGTCACAGGGTTCTTGGAATCGATGTATCCGGACCGGCGTTGAAACTGGCAAATAGATCTTTGGAATATAATATCGGAAAGGGTGTGTTACCGATAGATGCTAGGCGTGATGTCGGTTTCTATAAAGGCAATGTGTTAGATCCCAAACCATCGATTTATGGAGAAGGTGGGGATCAGGAGCTATCTTACCTCGGAAAATCTGAGGTTCATGATGATATCAGATCTTTCTTTGGTAATGAAAATCAGGTGAATTATAGCGGAACGTTGGACATCTTGGTCGCGAACCCTCCATATGTTTCTGCGGATGGGTACTGGGGAGATACGGAAAGAAGCGTAAGGTTATATGAACCTGAGATAGCATTAGTTCCACCGGAAAAGAGGCCTGAAAATATGTCCGATAGTGTTTTGAGGGAGGATTTCTTCTACCCGGCTATTGAGGAGTTTGCAGCATATTTTAAATCAAAGGCTATTGTATTCGAAACTGGAGGAGACACGCAATCCGGTCGTGTCAAAGCAATGTTGGAAAGTCGAGGTTGGGAAACAGGCACCTGGAAGGATTTTAGAGGTATTCAACGGAACGTCGTAGGTTGGAGAAAGGAAACGGGCTGGAACTGGCTACTTTTACCCTCGAAAAACGGGATGAGCTATGACTAATATAATTAATATTCCGCATAATACTGATAGCATCATGATGTCACCTTTATAAAGGCCCTGCATACGTTACTAATCGGTATTGAGAGCTAGGAATTATGTTATAAGATAGCAATTGCATACTGCATATGGAAATGTCAAAACTTTTCCCATCCGGAGTCGAATATGTACATACAAAATCCACCCACTACTTCGTCAATATATTTACAAGGTTCTTCGCCCTCACAATAATCACATTCTTCACTTCCCTCTCACTCAAAAGCCTATCTCCTTCCTCCGTCTCAAGCACCTTATCATAAACCCATTCCTGTACATCATATTCGTCCGCCCACCCAATCGCCTGATCCCTCAACGTCAACTTGTACTTCCCATTAACATGCACGATGATATCTACCGAGTCTTTCACCTCTTTGACCTCGAATTGTTCCTCCTCCGGCCACTTTTGTTCCTCCAAGAGACTCCGGGGTCCATGCATGTGCTCCCAGCATTCCGCCGAAATAGCAGGACATATCGGCGACATGAGCTTCAACAAAGTCTCCACTGCCAAAACGTATACCTCCGGTCCCACTAACTCCGGGGTAATACCGTGGATATAATTTGTCAGAATATTCAAATCGCTGATAGCGGTGTTCAAGCTGTACACGTCCTCCATTGAAGATGTGACACCTGCAACCGCGGATTGGAGTTCCCTCATCAAATCCGATGCAGCTTGATCCGAGTCTTCGGCAACAATAGCCTTCGAGTAGGATCCAGTAGTTCGGTGAAATTCCACTTCCACCTCCGCCCTGGCTGCCAAAGTTCGAACTTTCGCCAACCATCTCTGCATGCCAACAATCTTTGCCTCATCCCAATCAAGAATATCTGCAACTGGTGCTTGGAAGAGTATGTGTGCTCTCGTTGCATCCAAACCATGCTTATTCAAGCATTCGGTTGGATCCACGCCATTATACTTACTCTTCGACATTTTCTCATACGTGATATCCACCTCTACAAAGGTATTCTTGTCAAAGGCCGGCCCACCTTCAATAACATCCACCTCATCAGGCTTCAAGAACTTTCCGGTCTGCGGATCTTGATAGGTTTTCCCGTGAACCATGCCTTGCGTGATAAGCCGCCTAAACGGCTCAAGATACCGTGAATCACCCGTTCGCTTCTCTAGAAAGTTCGAAATAAACCGTGCATATAGTAAATGTAAGATGGCGTGTTCAACCCCGCCAATGTAGATGTCTACAGGCATCAGGTTATGCTTAGGGTCCGGATCCATTCCGAACCGGATGAAATACCACGACGAATCAACAAACGTATCCATCGTATCCGTATCTCGCTCCGCAGGATTTCCGCATCTGTATGGAAAGAAAAATTCTTTTGTTAGCAAAAGACCAGAAGCTTCGCTACTTCGAGGATATCGTATCAAACTGACTTTGGACACGTAGTTTTCACCCATTCCTCCGCTTGCTTCAGCGGACTTCCTCCTTTGCCTGTCAGCGTAATCTTCGGCAACAAGACCGGTAGATCTTCGTCTTTGACAGGTACAGAGCCACAAGAACCGCAATGCACGATTGGAATCGGTGTCCCCCAAAACCTCTGCCGTGATATTAACCAATCCCGAATCCTAAACCTCTTAGACGGCAGAGCCATGCCTCGTTCCTTCAGCGTAGCAAACAACTGTTGATGAGCAACTACACAGTTCAACCCTGCATATTGCCCACAGTTCTCGTTTAGAAAACTTTTAGTAATACCTGGTGCGAATATTTTGTTCGTGGTTGAAGTTACCACCCGCGGTTCAACCATTCTATCCTTCGCACCCTGCTGCACAATCACGAACCTAACTGGCTGCTCAGGACAATTCTCCTGCCAGAAGTCAAAGTCACGTTGATCGTGTGCAGGAACCCCCATGACCGCGCTGGTTCCCAGTCCCCCCAGCACATATGGTGCCACGAAGACTGGCAGATCGAAGTTTCCAGCAGGTAATAACGTCCCGTCTTCTGCCGTCTCTTGTAGGATTGGATTAAAGGCCTTAACATTGCTTAGTAAATACCCTGCCTTCGTTCCAACTGGTAGATTCGGAATGTTGTCAACGAATGCCTTTAGTTCTGGGTCTGTTTCCGAAAACTTTTGGACTAGAGGGTGAGTAACCGATAAGGCCAAAAATTGGACCCCGAATATGGTATCCAATCGAGTGGTGTATATCTTCAAAGCGTCCTCATGCGAGCTGCCGTCTGCGTCTGCTATCCTGAGAGGGAACTTGACTCGCGAACCACTACTTTCCCCGATCCAGTTTTCTTGCTGACGAATAACATAGTCTGGCCACTTGCCCCTCAGACTCTCGAGACTATGTCTCAAGAAAGGTGCGTTCCTAGTGATCTTAAAAAACCATTGTTCCAGATATTTCTGTTCAACCTTAGCTCCGGACCGCCAAGACGTTCCATCCTTTGCTACCTGCTCGTTAGCCAGAACCGTCTGGTCCACAGGATCCCAGTTGACGAGCGCGGGTGCGCGATACGCCAATCCTTCCTTGTAAAGCTCCAGGAAAAGCTTCTGCGTTCCCGAGTAGAAATCCGGTGATGACGTGCGTAGCTCCTATTTGGTGGAAAATAAATAAAAAAGACCATGTTCGGAGACAAGGTCATTTCTGTGCCGTCAGATAATCAGTTTTCCTGAATGCGGAATCGAATGTAAAAATAATAATTAAAAAACCAAGATCAGAGGAATATGGACAAAGTGGATTGATTGGCTGTCGTTGTTCCACCAGCGGCTTCTAAGACAACCAGGGGAGAGGAGGGGCGGCGAGCCCAGGGATGTGATAGTGCCACACTATCACCGGGGAAGAACGGGGTGATGGACTAGCTGACGTACTCTGCTCCAATCAAACCGGGCCCCCATACGCTTCAATTGAGTCTTCATCGTCTCGATGTTCTGGTCCGTCCACTCAGCAGGGTCCACCCCTCGTTCGATGGCTGCATTTTCGGCGGGAAGGCCGAAAGAATCCCATCCCATTGGATGAAGGACGTTAAAGCCCTTCATGTGCTTATACCGGGCCACGACATCTGAGATCGTGTAGACTCGAAGATGTCCCATGTGAAGTGTTCCAGATGGGTAAGGGAACATCGAGAGCACGTAGTATGGTGGTTTAGTCGATGTCGAAGGTGATTGGAAAGTACGAGGTGTATCCTCCCAGCGCCCAAGCCACTTAGCGTCGATTTCGGGTATAGTGATTTCACCATATTGCCTTTTCGACGTCTTCGACGTGTGCGCTCTGCGGAGAAAGACGAGAGGCGGCGGTCGAACTCGAAGGAAATGGAGCACAATTCTGGGCGACGAACGTCCACCACAGAGACACCGTGTTTGGAGTATCATGTTTACTGCGTTAATTACCGAATCGTATCGTCCATTCCGTCAGGTTGCGAGTAAGCACCGGTTAGAGATACGGAAAAAGGAGCTGAGTCAGGACCAATGGAGCTGCGTGGATGGTGGTTGGTTGGCGAAGAAGTGAGGTTGAGGTCAACCAACGAAATCGCAAGGTTTGAGCTGCCTTTTTATCGATAACACCCTGCAGCCTCGACATCATCCAACGCACGCACACGCACGCACGGATGCTGAAGCCATATGCAGGTCATTCTGCTTTTTAAAGTTCTATATCTGGGTATCTCAATCACGGAAATGCGTTTTTATTGGAAGCTTGGAGTATGTATAATTCGTGTTTTATTTCTGTTTTTGGAATCCTGGAAATAAAAAAATATCACAGGATGGAACTAGCTATTTTGTTTCTTGTGGTGGTCATCAATGCACCTGGACAGATCCCAGAAGTGCACGGTTATTGGGGAGGTCATCATGATATCGACAATTCTCGCAACTAAAGAGGAAGGCAGCAGTGCAGTAAAATAGTAAAATGCGAGGACGAAAGATGCAGTTTTGCAGGGGGGAAAATAGCAAAAATTGGTGAACAAAGACCGCCACTGGTATATAAAGAAAATTCGTCCAATCCAGACTCCAAAAATAACCGGAGTGGCTCTGGAAGGTAAAGAGAGGAAACTTTGCGACTGAAGAAACAGAAAAAAGGATATCAAATGGTCGTTAGAAGTGGTATAAAACGAAGCAGAAGCGAGAAGGATTGAAAACTGCCCGAACGAAGATGAGAAGTGAAAAGTGAAACGAGATGCACCAAAGGAATGTACGAAGCAACGGATATCCGCCAAAGTCTATTACAAAATAACGCCAAAAGAGTTGGAAAGGGTGAATAAAATAAAAAAACCAAATATGCCGAAGAATTGCGAACCGGGAATATGAAGGAATGTAAAACGGAAAACGCCTCCGAGGTATTGGAAAATAGACACAAGTACTTTTGTCAAGGAGATGATGAGAACCTTGAGTATGGCATATGAGAGATGTTTAGTGCTTCCTGAGTCGTTTTGGCGACCTTGTATCATCTTCTTCAGAAGCAGTGCTGTGGCGACGGCAGTCAGAGGGAGAAACAAGAGAAGGGATTCGGCCTCGCTTTTGTCCGACAGCAAGGTTGGTCTTCATGATCCATTGTTCGAGAACCTCCTGGTGGATTCGCTGACGTTCAGAAGCTGTGCGTTTCTGATTGCGAGTGGCTTGAGCTCGGGAGACGACCAAAGAGAGTGGTGGCGGAGTATATACAACAGAAGTCTTGATGCCATTTGCCTTTGGAGCTTCGTCGGAAGCGGAAGAGCGCTCGCTATCAGAACCGTAAGCACTGTCAGCATCCGCATCACGAGGATCAATTTCCTCGCCGACAACGGTGCTGGCGTCAGTGACAGAAGCTTCGTCGTCACTGTTGCTAGCAGCCTCCTGCTTGTACTCCTCGATAAGAGCAGCTTCGAAAGCAGGTAGCTCGTTCCATGCAACATCTTCGCGGTCAGCACACTCACAACCACCCTCGGCCAGCAAAGTCTTCTTATAAGCCTTGTGGGGGCATGGTGGGGTCATGCATTGACCATATCGATTTCGTGGGGTCTGTGGGAATCGTCCAACTTCAAGCATATCGAGCTGGAAGCGGGGTGGAATTCTATCCCACATTGTATCATTCACAAACCAAGTGACATATTGTGAAGTGAAATCGATGGCGGAGCGTTGACGACAGAAATCCTGCATGTAAGGAACATCTCGGGGGCTAGCAACAACGCTGCTAGTAGCGAGCGCATTCTTGAGAGCAGTGGCGACTGGTCCAGTGGAGTAAGGGTTCATATCACGCTTGCAGGCCTGATTAAAAGCGGTCTGAAGCCACTCGAAAAGGTGCCAGCAAGTCTTGGTAAGTCCCATCTTGTTCAATTCGTCGACGTAGTTGTACAACAGATCGACTGGTGGGACAAAGGACTCGGGTGTGGCAAGCTGAGCTGGAACGATAATACTCCGGAGACCCTCAAATTTAGGAGCCGGACCGCTGCAAACAAAAAGCCATCCCTTCTCGATACATTGCTGGAGCATTTGAACATTGGTTGTGATCTTTCTACTCGAGTCCCTGGTGGCAGCGACTGAGTAGGCGGAGTGAAGCCATCGGAGAATGTGCCATGCTTGTGTCAGCTTGTTCTGGGAAGCAAAAAGTCGAATATAATGATATAGAACCTCGACTGGCGGTGTTATCTGAGAGCGGGGTCTTGGTTGCCATACTGTAGGTGGCAATTGTGACGATTGTAAAGTGGATTGGGTGTTCATTGTGAAAGTCGAATTTGACATGGTTGAGTTGAATATGTGTATATAGTTGTAGATATATAGAATGATAAGGATCGTTCGATAGTGAGTATGCCCTCGGAGTCAAGGGAACCCAAAGATCTAAGACCTAAAGTGTGTCGATAAGCTATAATGCAGATTAGAGGCGTGAGACGACTTGAAACCGGCTGCCGCTAGAGCTTAGAAGGGTGTCGATGGAGGAATATATATAAAAAATAAGATAAGAAAAAAATGTCAAAGAAAATACAATACGTGTGAATGGTCGACTGCGACGGTGAAAGATAAGTGCCGCAGATGATATACAGAATGTCGAACCAAACTACAAGACTACACCCGGAAAAGAAACAAGAAAGGCCCGAGGGAAAAAAGAAGAAATAAAAGAGAGAAGAGAAGAGAAGGCAAAGTGACGATGGGGAAACGAGTGGTAAAATAGTATCTGCAAAGAAATCGAATCAAGGTTCAGATGATAGCAAAGTGATTTGTTACGGCGGGCTGGAGGTAATGAATGACTGGCTGACAATGGTTTACACGTCTCTGTGAACTTCGGGGAACTTAAGCAAGAATCAGAACGGGCGCGGGGAAGAATTAAAAGTAACTGGACAACGAGCACGCGCAAAGAAAAGAAAAGGACTGGCAAATCAAAAGACGAGACGGAAGGGGAAAGGAAAAAGATGTGTATCGACGCAATGATGCGGAGGAGAAAAAAAAGAGCAGTTTGAGAAGAAGGAAACATGGATGAAGAGAAAAGGGAGAATTAAGGCCTGTCATTGGGCGAATTGCGAGTGCAACAGGGCCGGGGGTCTTCCCAGATTGTCTGCTTGACAGAACAGTTCTTTTGCAGGAACAAGCCTTCGACTAGGCTGGTTATGGCTCCCTCCCCTGCCAATGCCAGGGCCGTCAAGGAATCCGTCTGGCCAACCAGAATCGCGGAATGAGCTTTCGCCTAACAAATGGTGACAACTCAGCAAGCTATCGTCTCAATGCAAAACTGGCCAGTAACTGGCTCCCGCTCTTTGCTTGAAACCAGTTACGCTCGTCTCGGTGGGCTCCACGTGAACCTACCCTGGTTCATGGCCGAGATGGAAAGGAAATGGTTGGACGTTCCTTCAGCCGTTCGCAGCTTGTCATCCAATCATCCTTTGCGTTAAGCACTCCGTGGGCATGCTTGCTGTGCCATCGCCGGAAGTTAGCGTCTGTGAGCCACATTCACTTTTGCCCTGCAAGGGATTGCCCATCCAGGGAAGAATTGCGGATATTTCTTTGTGCGAATGTTGGCGGAAATGATGGGCGTATGCAACTTTTTCGCTCTGAAACTTGGGCCTTCGCCCCGAAGGGCAGTTTCGGGTCTGCTTCAGGAATTTTTGATCTTTGACCTTCCCTATTTCGACAATCTCTTGCAAAATTTTATTTTTTCCTTTCTGCAGGCTCTGCAGATTCTTCAGAATCGCTGTCCAGCGCCTGTCTCAGGATGCATGGCCACGCGGTGATGTCAAAGAAACGTCAAAAGTTGTAGGAATCAGTTGTCTCGACATGCGGAGCCGCCAGGTCGGTCGGTCGCGGTCGCATGTTTGAGAATCTGCCAAATAATCGACCATAGCCTGGCTTCTGCACCCGCTGCCCATGGTAATTTGTCCTTGATTTTCGTTGGATGCCTTTAGCTGTGTGCGCTCCCTCTAGACTGGACTGGCAGAGGAGCTGTTCGCTGGGGAGGCCGGCAGCTTATGCAAGGTACGAATAGCTGCTCCTTGTCCAATCTGAGCCGTACCTGCAGGTTTCAGATAGACGTTTCCACCGCCCGCACCCAAAAATGGGTACAGGCAATGTGATCGAGCAGGACGTTACATGAGCTTTGGGGAGCCCTCATTTCGTGCGAAAGAGACAGTAATTCGTAAAGTTATCGTATGTAAGTATTAGCTCGTGGATATTCTTATCTTACGTCTGCAATACCCCCCTACCGCGCGTGCGGGGAGTGGAGCCGAGGATGCATCCCGATCGATGTCGCATGCTATTTCTGCAATATCCAGGTGCCATGTTATATATGTAATATACGGGGGAAACGGCCTCCTTCGGCTGTTTCGACAGGTCTATGAAACGGTCTTGATGCATTCGATACTGACAGCCGGTGATGGTTGATGAGTGTGGATGTCTGCCTGGAGGAAACATACATGACAACCTCATGACAACTATCAACAACGCAAAGAGGTTCGTATTGCAGACATCTCTCCTTTTCGGCAATCTTGCGCTGTGCAGCACGAACTCCCACGTTTCTGATAAGCGGGAGGCTCAGGGGTATATCTACATCTCCTTTCAATTTTATAAGGCGCTTCGAGAAAGGAGAAGACTATATTTAATATATCAACCGAATTTCCCGGTTTGAAGCTTCCACGGGAGGTCACTTCAAACCGTTCGTGAACTCTTATCTTGCTTTGAGCTCGGAGCTTCTTTCTCTTAACAAGGAATATCCTTCTGGGAATATCGATGGGACTTCGAGAATTATATCCTAGAGATATCCTCAACAGAATCTCGAAACACGAAGACGGAAGATACCCTTCCCCGGGTTCAATTGTAACATGTTTCAACATCTTCTCCACTTTGGATTCAAACGGCTGGAAATTCTACCCTAAGTCCGAAAAAACATGAACAGCATTCCAAGAAATACAACAGTATCAACACCTTACAGAAATCTCCAACCCCTAATGAGCTCAAGAACGCCTCCAGGTCGTATTTCTCGAAATCTTGCATGCATATTCCATATGCACATAAATGTGCTTTGATCGCAACATAGCGTTGCCTAAGTAGGCACCTAACCTGTGGCATAGGAAAAAGACCAATCTCAAAATCACGGGGCAGTTAATCTCAGAGGAAGACATGAGCCTGCATGAATCCGCCAAGCAGATCATTTCACACCCTTCAGGATCCTACTGAGACAGACAATTTTCTTTGACTTTGCCTCAGCTGCGAGAGTATAAATTTATAAATAGCAGTAGTAGTTCGTGATTCCTTTCTTATATCTGGTTAGGTACCTCTATCCGGTTACTGTTAATTATATCGAATGAATATCGTCATCCAGCTGCAGGCTGTGGTAGCATTTGATACGAAATCTAATTCGTAATCTGCGTTCGAGATTCTTCTGAATTTTATTGCTTCGATCGTATAATCGATCGCCCTGGCATGCACAGGTAGGACTTTGCCTCCATTAAACTATTGGGGATAGGTCCGGTATTTCTTTCAATTTTGCCCCTAAGTAAAGTCATGCATGGGATCGAGGATTTAGATTCCAATTGATAGAAAATGCAGTATGGCTTAGGCAAGGGATAGCTCTCGAGTTTTATAATTAGTTACTAGTCTCTACAACTGATCTAGCATATTATATTGACACTATGTAAGGGGATGTTTAAAGAATTTTCATCCACGAAGTGCATGTGGCTTCGTGCAATCATAAATGTGCGTGGCTAAGCTTGCTGTTTTTGTATACGCGTATACGTAGTCCTGTAGTTGAATCCTGCCCAGGGAACCTACAAATTTAAATATGTACTGACACTGCGACTGAACTTGTAGATCCACCGTTCTAGGTACATATTATATATATGATGTATAGTAAATCAAGGCCGATTCGAACGAGTAGTGTGCTATTTTACTTCTGCAGTATTAGATGCGTGGCTAGTATGATTTTTGGAGTGATAAGTTCGAAGAACCGGTTATATTGCATTGTATATAAAATCAATGCCTAGGCTGCCGACCGCAGTAAAATGTATTTTTTACTGTTCTATATCGCAGATAAATATCGCATCTCTTTAGTGAGTCCGTATTCCTAGACCCCATACGTCAGAATGGCACTGACTATACCATAGTCGATAGCGGAGAGGTGTGATTTATTACTGGTAAATTGCTGTCATTGAGGCTAGAATAAATCAAACGCCTGAGAAATGCACTCGCTTTGCAACATAAAGATCTAGATCATCAATAAAGTCCATAACAAGAAAAAACAAAAGGAAGAAAATAAAAGAAAGCCCTTTCAATCCTCCCAAAAAAACCAATATACATAGAAGAACGCAGAACCTCGGACACCTTATCTGCCATAGTAACCAGGAGTACCTCCATAACCTGAAAAGTCATCACCACCTCCGCTCCACGGTGCTGTCGCCGACATGAAAGGCTTGTCGTTAGCTGGTGGGGCCCTACCGCCGGCCTGTCCGGGAGGGGCCGGAGACCTACCACCAGTTTCTCCTGCTGCAGCTGCAAATCCCCTTCTTCCGCCCGCCGGATTACTATACCCCGAAGTTGGGGGTGGTGCTCTCCCTCCACTAGGCTGGGGTGACACGGATCCATAAGACTGTTGACGAGGGGCGGCAGCCGGTGGCGGCGGTTGCTGATGCTGCTGTGGTGGAGCGGTTTGGGTGTGTTGTCTCTGTTGCTGCTCCCTCTTCAATGCCATGAATGGCTTCACTCCACCTCTCGGGCCACCGGGGAGACCCATCGGTTGGCGTTGTGGAGGAGGTGCTTGCTGAGGCTGTTGGGGTTGGGGTGGTGGTGGGGGGGGTTGATGTTGTTGGTGTTGGGCAGGTGGTGCAGATTGCATTCCGCTACGCATTGGTAACGGCTGTGGAGCAGCCTTAGGACCGTCTCCGAAAATATCACCCAACATGGCCGGTGAGCCTCCAGTTGCCATCTGTGCCGGAGCCATCGGACGCTGTGGAGCTGCCATCTGCGGGTTTTGCGGTATCATGGGAGAGACGGCAGCAGGAGCAAGCCAGTCCGGAACGAAGCCATCCTTTTCCTTGTAGTATGAACGAAGAGCTCTAGAAACGGCGGATTCGTCCTCCTGTTCGGCATGGTCGGCATCACTGCTGATGACAGTGAAGCTGGGGGGCTTGAAATTGGCAACCTTGGTGGAAGCCGCCTGGGTGAACTTGGACCAGTATGACATCGTAGGTACCGATAGACTTCTTAGTCTCTTGATTCGAACAAGGATATGATAACGAGCGATGAATAACGAGGAATGCTTTCAGGGGTCGGTGGGAATGCTCTGTTGAAGAGGGGCGTCGATGAGAAGGAGGTTGGCTGAAGCTGAAGGAAGCTGTTCTTTTGGAGAGGAGATGTTCCAGATTGGACATCGTAAGCGGCTCCACACGCCAAAGTCTTGGCGCTGGTTTCCTTTTTGGGACACAAATAATTTTTTCGACGGGGCATTTTGGGCCAGACTTTTTTTTCTGCGACAGCTTCTCTGCTCTGCCACTATCACCACCACCAATTTGATATCGCCACTATCGCCACGATCTGGGCATCTACACTTTCTGCTATTGGATTATACTGACTATATCATCGGCATCGTCATTGAATTGTCCTAATCATGGCCTCCGACGAAATCGTCTGGCAGATCATCTCTCACCAGTTCTGCGCCTTCAAACTCACCACACCGCTCAAGACGGCCACCTTCTGCAGAAACGAATACAATGTCACCGGTCTCTGCAATCGCCAGTCTTGTCCGCTGGCAAATTCTCGTTATGCCACTGTTCGCGCCGATCCTGCCAATGGACGGCTATACCTCTACATGAAGACCATCGAGCGAGCCCACCTACCGAGTAAAACCTGGGAGAGGATTTTACTGAGTGAGAACTACGTCAAAGCACTAGAACAGGTCGACGGCAGACTGATCTATTGGCCTAAGTTCTTGGTTCACAAGTGTAAGCAGAGACTTACTCGCTTGGTACAAGTGGCAATCAAGGCTAGGAGAATCGAGAAAGAGGAGGCATCTATGCTGGGTGAGAAGATGGTACCCGTTAGAGCTCCCAAGATTAGAAGACGTGAAGCAACAAGAGAACGGAAGGCATTGGCTGCTGCCAGACTCGAGAGACAGATCGAGAAAGAGTTGGTAGAGAGACTGAGAAGCGGTGCATATGGCGATAAGCCATTGAACGTGGAGGAAGGTGTCTGGAAGAAGGTCCTCAAAGTCTTGGAAAAAGGTGGAGAGGCAGAGAGAGACGACGACTTTGATGGAGAAGAGGAGGAAGAACTTGAGGAAGAAGGTGAGGGTGCTGACTTGGAGGATGGAATGGTGGAATATGTCAGTGGCGACGAGGGAGAGAGTGATATTGAAGACATGGAGGACTTTAACGATTGGCTTAAGGGAGGTAACGACGAAGAAGTAAGCGAAGAAGACGGCGAAGAGGAAAGTGGAGCATCGGACTTTGAAGAAGAAGACGATGGCGAATTCGACAGTGAAGACGACTCGGAAGGAGCCTCAGACAGCGAATCCGGCAGCGACGACTCCGAGCGACCGCCAGCCAAGGTCGTCAAACCATCCGCGAAGGACCTCAAGAGAAAGAGATCAGAGGCAGATGTCAAGCGGAAAACCAAGAAACGTGAGTGGTGCAGACTAACCGACTATGGTTTAATATCAGATACTAACCAAATTCTTCACCCTGTGCAGGCTCCCACCAAACCATCGAGATCGAAGAGGAGCACGAACTACTACCCCAGAGTCGGGAATACGCATAAAAGGAATTTATATCTACTGTACGATATACGCTTTATTGTCGTTTCTAGCGATACTCATATACTGTACAATATCTATGCTCTTATTATAGTTATTCCAAAAGTTGGACGGCGTTAATGGTCAAAATATATAAGTCCCCCAAGGCCCCACTTTAAAGCTTTATATGCGCAGATGCATGGATATCGGATGGCTGGAATCGTCCATTCGAGCCGAAGCGCGCCCCACGGCACCGGATGCTTGTTCAAGACCGCAGGGTTCCAAGGCTGGGCTCTTAGCTCAGGCCAGTCTCCTTGATCATGTTAAGGCTTCAAACCCAAGAGTAAATTCAAATGCAAATGCAAATAATTTATTCCTGATCTTATTACCCGTCTTGCCCTCCGCCTGATTGAATTGGGTGTGGGATAATTCGTCACTTCTGTCCGAGTGCCACTTTGCCGTCGCAGCTGACTTACGCAAGCTGCCCTTCTGAGCCACCACGCTAACCAGCACGGTCACCCCATCTTCACTTCCTGATCTTGCTATATATCTTGGACTTCGAAAAGGAAAAAAAAAGGAGCTGTCTTTTTGATATTTTGGATTTACTCACCTGCATTTCTTCTGTATAATACTTCTCTCTTCTCAATCTTACATAATTTCCCATGTTCATGTTCCCGTTAAACCGGTGTTGTTAAGCTCCGACTCTTAAGCACTGCACTGTTCTGTGAGCTATTGTTGGTGCTGCCCCGCCACATCCCGGCCGAAGCTCATCGCCAACGTCACTTTCGGTTTCAACCTTCTCCAACTTTCATCTTTCCAGACTCCGTTGATATAAAATCCGGAAGTTCTACGGATCACATTCGTTCGCCATGCCTGAAGAATTTACTCCACCGGCCTCTCCTACGGCGTCTTTCTATGACTTATCCGAAGATGACGAGGATTACAGCACAATTACCCATACTTCCACCGGCAGAGGCGTCATACTCCTATACACTAAAAGCAAAGTAAGATGACTTCAAAACCTATTCAACAATACTTTATACCAAAATGATTTCCGAACTGACTTAGATGTTATAGGTTTACGTGCATCCTACTCCATCGGCCAAAGATAATATTCCCGGCTTCATAGCCCTAATCCAACAGAAGCCACCTACCGGCGAAACCCCATCAACTGCATCTTCCCCAGTTGTAAATCCAGCCAACCTCCTCCTAGCCTGGCTGCCTGAATCAGCTCTCGGTTCAGCTTACGATACTTATGTCAAAGTTGATTTACTCGATACTTCCGCTCCACCGAAACAAACTTACCTCGTTCCACCTCCTCCAATTTCCACTGGGAACTCTTCGTTAGGGTCATATTCATTCTCCGTCCCCGTTTCCCAAATCTACTCTCTTCTCGTTAGACCTCCAAGTCTTGGTTGGTGGTGGGGTAGCATTGTTATCAATTCTCGAAGCGGTGACTCCTTCCCTGCGTTATTCTTCCATGATTCGGAATGCGCGTCTACAATTGCCCAATCGAAAGCTAGGACGCAAAGGAACTTTGACCCATTCGGCGAAAACGGAGAGTTATTCTGGGGTGGAGACGAAGTCTTAAGATGGCTGAAACGATTCGTCAAGGTTGAGAGAAGTCAGGTGGAAAGAACCGTATACCTTATCGACCCTACTAAGGACGATCTGTTATCTTTCGGCCAAAAACCTGTTATAGACTCTACAGCTGGGAGAGACAGAGCGGTGGCAACGGCAAGTGGAAGTACTGATATCGCTGCTGCGGTCATGGACCCATTCACAAAAGCGATTAAATCTGCACGATGGACCCTCTTAGAGCAATTTGCCAAAGTCACACAGTTCTCCCGACAGACAGCGAGTAATATTATCGATAACCCGAGTTTACCGCCGCAAGTCAGGAAACTCTTGAAGAACCCTGATGTCATCAGCTTACAAGATGACTTTGACTCTGCCAGGTTATACCTTGCGCGATGGGCAATGGGTATAGCAGAGCAGAGCGAGAAGGAGCGTGCGAAGATCGTTTGGAAGAGGGAGGATATTATGGAGATGGAGGATAGTGCCGTTGGGGAATTCGAAATATTGGATATTGAAGCTGGTAACATCAGGGGAGATGGCGATAGGAGACGCGTTGTGGAAATGGATGAGTGGAGCTCATGGTGGAATAAAACTTCGGGTAGACTTGAAATCACAGTTGATGAAGTAAAGGAGAGAATATTCCACGGTGGATGTGATGCAGCGGTGAGAAAAGAGGCGTGGCTGTTCCTACTAGAGGTATACCCTTGGGATAGCACGAAGGACGAGAGGGCGGCTTTAATGAATAGCCGGAGGGACGAATATGTGAGACTAAAGGGCAAGTGGTGGGATGATCTCACGAGGCGGGAGGGCCAGGGTGAAGCTGGCGAGTACTGGAGAGACCAGAAGAACCGGATAGGTAACAATTCCCAACCTCTCTACCCTTTTTTTTTGAAAGGCATATATGCTAATAACCAGCACGGACGTTTCAGAAAAGGATGTCCATAGAACCGACCGCAATATCCCAATCTTTGCCGGCGAGGATACCCCTCATCCTGACCCCGATTCGCAGTATTCAACAATTGGCACCAATGTCCATCTCGAGCAGATGAAGGACATGCTTCTAACCTACAACGAGTACAACACTACCCTCGGCTATGTTCAAGGGATGTCGGATCTCCTCGCCCCCATCTACGCCGTCTTTCAAGACGATGCGGTCGCATTCTGGGCGTTCGTCGGTTTCATGGAGCGAATGGAACGAAACTTCTTGAGAGACCAAAGCGGTATGAGGGCGCAGCTAGTAACACTGGATCAGCTAGTTATGCTCATGGACCCCGTGTTGTGGAAACATTTGGAGAAAGCTGAAAGCACAAATTTCTTCTTCTTCTTTAGAATGATTCTTGTGTGGTATAAGAGAGAGTTCGAATGGAATGATGTGCTGAGGTTATGGGAAAGCATGTGGACAAATTATTTAAGCGGGCAGTTTCACTTGTTCGTTACGTTGGCGGTGTTGGAGAGACACCGGGCGGTTATTATGGATCGTAAGTTTTACGTTTTATTCTGCATGTCATAAAGCTTGTTTTGGGTACGGTGGCACTAACATACATTTGTTATGTAGATTTGCAACATTTTGACGAGGTCCTGAAATACATCAACGAACTTTCGGGGACAATTGAGTTGAATTCAACGCTTATACGAGCCGAGGCCTTGTTCTATAAATTCCAGAGAACGGTCGAGGCTTCGGATCGAAGAAATGGGTTCCCAAGTCCTGGTACCGCAACTCCGATGGTTAGGTTGACACACCGGAGGACTACCAGCTCAGCCCCCTCCGCATCATCTGAGAACTCTGCGAGCGCTTCGAAAGGTAAAGCAGTAGCGGATAAAGATGGGCCTGAGATTACAGAACCGTTGAGGGCTTTGTTAAGTAGGAATATTGTGAGGGTTGAGAAAAAGGAGCCGGCGGAAGATGAAGCTGGAAAAGGGAAAACACCGGTTAGAGAGTAAAAGTTATAGGTATCGCGGAACACGGTAGCATTTGGTTCACAAGATAAGTTACAGGAGGGGAGACCCTTTAAAAGAAAAGGGGTATTTATCTATAAATTTGGACGATTCGATTCGATTGTTGGTGGATATGGGGTTTATGGGATTATAGCTGGATGGCCATCACACGCACGCACACATACAGACACACACTCTCTTTTTCTTTGCTTTCGGTGAACTCGGGCCCTTTGTTAATTTTTTTTTTGCGTTTGGTCATTACAATTGCTTGAGGTTATGAAACCTACTCTGGAGGGCGTTCCTGAACTGGGCATTTTCAGTTGCATATTATGTGATCAATCATTTGGGTATTCTTTAAGTTTCCTTGATTTCGAATTCTTATCGACAGGGACTTTTTTGTTGAGAGTGTACTTTAGTTCAATATATGTGGCTTTATCGATATCATTCTAAATAACATCTACAAAATATAAATCCAAGTCTCACTTTTCATTTTAAAATAGATGCGATAATTATATCAATATCATTGTAATATTCTTTGGACGTTATGAGATGTCTTTGAATACACTCCGTATATAAATAAAAACCCCGGTATCTAGCAAAATTATCTCAAGATCAAGCCCGAGAAAAATTCTTTTACAACGTATATAAAATTTATAAAGTTTGCCGATTTCGTGATTTATTATTCTCATAAAAGATAGGGCAATTCAGTCATTTTACAAACTTTTTTTTGAAATAGAATTTTCAAGATCTAGAGTATACTAGTAAAATCAGTAGTTCTTTGGTTTTACGAGACAATATAATCCGGTCATTCCCCCCCCTGAATCGGACCGAGTGAGCAAATTTTGAAGTTGAAATCGGGGTCGTCATGCATGGCATATGGATCTGGAAGAGATAAACCCCTCCGCAGGGTCAATTGTGGAATATATGGCATTCAATATAGTAATCAAAACCCCTCTGGAATATTCTATATATTACTACATAAGTAGGTACCTAATAAGCTAACAATTAATATAAATATATATACTAGGTAGGTAGGTATAATAGGAAAGATATGTAATGTGATAGGGTTATATACTGGTTCTATCAGACGCTGTTTATCGAGTAGATTATCCTTGAGCTAAATAACGGTAGTTTGGTCTGGAAGGTTATCTCGCGATCGATCCAGCTGACGACCGTCGGTCAAACCTGCCTATCCAAATACTCCATAGACATCAGAACACTGTATTATCGTCGAAGATAACTTCAACTTGGTATCTTCAGACGTCAGTAATACATGTGTACCCTTAATCTATAACCCACCTTTTGTTCGAACCAGATCCCGAAAAAAAAGAAGAGGAAAGAAAAGGAAATATGCTCCTCCTAACCCCCACGGAAAAACTATCCTCAAACCTCTTCCCACTCCGTCTCCGCCACTTAACCTTCCTCCAAGGGGCCCAAGAAGACTGTAATAAATACGCCGAACGATTTCGAACCTACTGCAACCATACCCAAAGGATCTGTCGCGAGCTGATGAAACTTAGTAGTTGGAACACCTATCAAGAAGAAAAACTCTTGATCGCTCGAGAAACAGAGTTGATGCATATGTACTGCCAATTATCGGATGAAGTAGTAAGGATTAGAAAACATATTGACGAAATTGCTACGGATGGGTTTGAAGGGTGTGCTGGGGATGTGAATCCTACTTGTAGATGTTGGATGGGGATTTCTGGAAAAGACGGATTTTTGTGTGATAAGAAGGGGAGAGAGCGAAAAGAGAATGAGGAAGAGAAAGAAGGAAAGCAGAAGTTTGGGATTTTGGAATTTAAGGTGCCTGATGGGAAGGTATCATTCTTGGATAATATGGACGGCATCTTGGACGTAGGAAGACGGGCCGAGAGTACTGTGTATTCGGTGCTGAGAGAAACAGAGGGCTATCCTTCGCCCGGAAGTGCTGGTTTTTATGGAAGCTTGGGCCTGACGGAGAAAGGGAGTGTGAGGTTTTATGATGGAGAGGGCGGCATATCGCGGCCGATTTATACTAGTTATTTTGCTAGTGACAGTGATTGAATAGCAAACATGAGGTACCTATTAAATGAGCCTGTAAGTAACTACGTTTGTGATGTTTCTATAAGAATGGATGACTTGAAACCGTTATTATTTGACTGCACCAAGCCTGAAGATAAATCAACGGATCGGATGTCCAGACCACTAGGTCTCAATGCTGTTGGAATATAAGAGAGTGCAAATAGTTCATGATTAATATTATGTGCGCTCTTGATGTTAGTGACCAAGAGGGATTAAAGGTTGTTATCAGGGGGAAAGTATTGCTTAAGGGGAGCGCACAGGGAAAGGGTTGAAAAGGGAAGAAGATATAAAAGCTATCACCCAAGCGCTCTAGTACTTAACCAAACCAGCCAACCATTGATGAATCATACAGTTGGAGTATAGAAGGGTATCGTACCACTTCTAGGCAGCTTTGGCAGTCGATATGAGCTTCTTTAGAAGCTTCTTGCGGAGGCTATGAGGAGAACTGACGGGACGCTGGTTTTCTTTCTTATCAAAACCCTCGTCTTCATCTCCATTCTTCTTTTCATCCTCCTGAGCCCCTCCATTCTTTAGAACGGGAGGGTGCTCTTTGCTTTCGGCCACGGCCACATCCTTTTGCGGGCCCCTGAACACGGTGACGTTCTCGTCCGTGCTGTTCCAATCGAGCTTAAAGCTCAAACCGGTTTCGGCCATTTCCTTGACCGAAGGTACCTTCTTTTTGCACAAGTTAGCAAAATTGCAGAGAGCCCCTTACGAAGACGAATACGGATACGCGGGCTAACTTACAGCACGACGCTTCTTCGTGGAGCCGTCCTTACCCTTCTCCTCTGGTTTCTCGACCTCGTCGATGGTACGTTTCTTGCTACTACCATTGTTACCTAGGTAGTATTCGATCTTTGTTTACGGGATTAGTCAGATTGCTAACAAGTTGGGGTTGTAGGACGAGGTCTCATACATAAACTGCTTCGACGAGGTTAATTGCATTCCTCTCGAGGGCCCTGGCCTTGGGTGACCCTCTCAAGGGATTGGAGTAAGGCTTAACCTTCTCGATGATGGCCCAGTGCCAGCGAGCAATATCATTGCTGTACTGAGATCCCTTGATGATCTCATGAGCAAACTAGGGTAGCGGGAAGTCAGAAGATAGATTCATTGAAGGAAATGAAGCTTAATTTAAAGTGGGGATGATACTGACATGAAGTGTGTCTTCGTGGAGCTTTGTTCCATGCTCCGGAAAAGTGCCAGTCTCTATCTTGACGGCATTGAGGATGAGAGTGATGTCCATTGTGAGAAATTGCTGTGATGAAGGTTTAAGTCTCTTCGATGTTTGGGTGTATATTCCTAGGTGGACACAACCACCAGGAACAGGCTATACGATGGGATAAAAGAAATACCGAATGCAAGGAGCTTAACCGGCAGTGTTTGATACAGAAGAGAAGGATAAACGAGAAGATACCGTTGATTCAGCGATATTGATGTGGGAAGATGGCGTGTAGGAAAGGGATGAAGGACGAAGGATGAAGAAAGAGGAATGTAGGTGAGAAGTAAGAGGAACAATGAATTGGGTGTGAATGTTATACTGGGAAGTCTCAAAGCTCAGCAGTTTGCTCTGTCAGGTTGTGTCTTGGCCTAACCGGCCGGCGTAGATATTGAGCTTCCATCCAGACTCAGACGACTCGCGACTAACGACGACAACACGGATGGCCGTCCAGAATGCAACGTTTGTTCGGCATCTCGTCGCACAGACTAGCAGGGACTGGGACCCCAGCCAGTTAACTGGATGGAACAAGCGGGGGAAATGCTTGGACCAAGCTTGGACCAAGCTTGGGACCCAATTGGTCGAGCTCGGACTGGGGTCTTCCATCCGTAGCGCCTTGTTCAACTCAGCCTTGTTCAACTGTTCAACTGGATATCTACAACCTTTTCATTCGATTAATTCTTGTTCATATGAGGGCCTGACGACTTCTTAACCTCTCATCACTATTATCATATACTTCGAATAAAGCATATAGTACAACATATCTGGGGCCAAGGGTTCAATGGCGGAATATCATGCCTCCTCCGCGTACGGCGGGAACACATACCCTGGAGGATCACGTCAACCGGCGCGAGGCTACGACAATTCAGCTAAAGGGTACCCTACGAGTATCTCTGAAACTGCATCAACATATTCTCAGGGTAGCAGATCTGAGAACTCAGCTCCAACAATTCCCGGAATGGAGCATCTGTCTATAAACAGTCGTCTCAGTGGGCCGGAGCATATCGACGCAGCCGACTTCTACCGTTTCCATTCACAACCGCCCAATGCAAACTGGAGACAAGAAAATACAACACCGGGTCCCGCTCCGGTGTGTAAAATATGCTTAGTAACATCTTGTGTTATGAATGGAGGATCGAAAGAAGCTGAAAGGTTAAAAACAACAATGGCGAAAATGAAAGCAGCCCGTTCGAAAGCTCAAATGTTAATGCTCGGAATGGAATATATGGAACCATATATTGAAGCCTACGATAATCTCTGGAAGTCAGATGAATCCAACATCAGAACCAAAATCAAAGAAAATCTATCCGTCCCAGGTGGGAAACTATTCGCAGAAACTTCACAAGGGCTAAGCCCAGTTACTATTTTCACATCTCTGGGGAAAACTGAACTCGTTGCGATTTTACTGCACGAAGGTGTCGACATCAATGACGCGCCAGGAGGAAGGGGAAAACCATTGGGACATGCAGCTGCATGGTTGGGAAACGATGATCTTGTGGAGATGCTACTAGCCGCGGGCGCAGATCCTAACTCGGCAACTGATCGCGGTGTAACTGCCCTCCATGTTGCTGTCTCTGTTGGAAACATAAAAGCAGTCAAACAATTGGTAAACGCCGGAGCGGATATTGATGCAAAATTGGTGAATTTCGGTGGTGTTCATAGTTTGCCAGTTTTTAGCAAACTGCGGGATAGCCACATGGCAACATATGGCAAAATTATCGATTTTCTAGTAGAGAGCGGTGCGAGTACAGATTTACATGATACTACGCAATGGACACCTCTTCAATACATCTGTATATCGGGATCGGTGGAGCTGGTCAGGCGGTTGACAGAAATAGGGGTACCTAAAGAGCCCTTAGTGGCCTTAAGGAAACTAGTCGCTTCTGACTGGGTCATGAGCGGCTATTACAAGAACTGGGAGATCAGGCTTGAAGAGGACGCTTGACAGGACTCGAGGCTGGTAAATCTACAACGCGAGAGCTAGATTACATATTTAGTAACTTCAACTGCTCCTGGAAGCTTGCTACCGGGAAGTAACTAGGAGAGCGAGGAGCGTTTAAGTAGTTTGATCAGATAGCAAAGATACTTTAATACCTTTGATAGCCTAGGTCATCTTGATAATTAGATAGATCAGCTTCAAGAATCATGTGGAAATAGGTACTTTTTGAACGGATATATAGTCAATCAGGACTGGACTGTCACGTCGGGTTCTGATCTAGTTAGTTGTATTAGTCATAGGCACGAGCATCCTAATGTCCCAATCGACTGCGTATTACTAGGTGCGGCGAGTAATAACCATTGTGGCCTCCGATTCTGATGTTCTTATATATATATATATATATCTAGCGGAACTACGAAACACTACGGCAAGCACGATTCGTATACCTGTCGGTCTACCGATGTCGACGATTTTATATCAAGTATAAGTATCGTATTTACAAATCTCTACTAAAACCTCGGCCATAGTTTTATAATATTAGGTACCGATAATTAAATATCGTGAGATCTAAGCATCTTAGATACCCAGCACGACAGCGGAGACGAAGTTAGGCACAGAACGGTACGTAAGTTATACTAACCCTAATCGTCACTCTTCCTTATACATTTAGGCTATCTTAACTATCATAAAGAAATGAGATATATGTACTGACAGCCGTGCGTGCATGCATGCATACGTGCACCTGATATTGACAGATCTACCTACAGAATGCGTTTAACATCTACTCTACTATTCCTATTCATTGGGAGAATCGCGGCCCAAGAGAGCTCGGGCTCGTCGACTACCACTGTCTTTGAAACCGTATACAATACTTACACTATCACTCGAAATATCGACTGTGAAGACCTAAGCTTATGCGAAAATCTTGCCTGGAATCCAAGACCCGGCAGTCCAGCCCCCGGAAACAATGGAACCGAAGGGCCTCCAACTGTTATACCACTGCCTTTTGACCCAAGTTCCACTAGTCCTACAACCCCATCAAGCACTGCATCAGACGGCTCTTCTCCTACTGACGAGCCTTTTGAATTCCTTTTGCGGGGAGACGGTGTACTCAGTGAACATTTTATTGCATTTGACGAGAATAAAGCCACAGTTTTGGTCCAGTCAGGCAAAGAGCCGCAGTACCTGCAGATCTCAGCTGATGGAGAACTTGGGACTGTGAATACGACAGAAACCACTGAAGTCGTGTTTCTCAGGATCACGAACGATACTCTTCCTCTTGTACGAAGGCAGGATGACTCGAACGCAGAAGTTTACGAAATCGGAGATCTACTTCACGCCGCACCCAGCGAAATTTTGTCGTCAGATAAATTGAGTACATTCTATTTCTCAGGAACGGTGCTAAAACTCAATTGGAAGGGATTGATATACACCTTTTACGCTGTCCCGAGAGATGTCATCGGGGAATACTCTTTGAAGATGGCAAGATTGGGCACAGTGGTTCCAGCGTCTTTCATTCCATTGAATTTGAATTATCTGAGACAGCCATCTTCGTCAACGACATCTATCACCTTCCCGACTGGCACACAAACTGGGGTTTTGCCTAGTACAACGTCCCCTACTAGTAGAAGATCGAGATCTCGCTCTACGGGGGTATCTGATTCTTCTTCTTCATCCGGCAATGATAGTGAATCAACGTCGTCTAACACCGGGACCAGTATTAGTGATACAGCTACAAATGCAAGCCCAACTAGTGTAGATTCGGCTTCCGTTACTCTTGTCTACGACATCATCACCTCTTTTAGTTACCAGTCTTTCTGCTCTGAATACTTGGAATACACTGGGACTGTCTCTCGCGTATCAACTGAAGAATCCTCTGTTCTTGCTGGCACCCTGGTTACGACCTCAACAGACATATTCGAAAAATTCGTCTACACCAGCACAGAAACAACTTACACCGCAACCACAACAGTCACTACTGATGCAACTGCAATGGAACGTCGAGAGGTAATAAGTCCGGTACCAGAAAATGGACCTCGTGCCGCACAGGCTCAAATACCTTTTCTCCTGGCTGCATTTAATGCCGCCGAAATCAGTCTTGGCTGTTCAAGCGCTGTTCCAGCTCGAGAAACTTCGACGGAGCATAGTACCACCACTCGTACCGTCCCCTACGAATCCACGGATCTCCATTCGGAAACATCGACAACGGAGATATCCACAGCTAGTATTCTAACAGCAGCTGAACCTCTAAAAATCCCGGTCCCCGCTAATGGTTACTGGTGGGTTGCTGACGCATCAATAACGGCGTTTTACCATCAGCATCTCACCGTAATTCACGATGATACGGGTGTCTCCTACGAGGAGCTAACCCAAGCCACAGCTTCCACTGTTTGGTTCAACTTGCAATGGAATGACACAGCACAGGCTTATAACCCTTACTGGCAATACACATACACAACCACCATAAACGGGGCTCCAACTTCAGTATCAGAAACCCGTTGGTTATGGTACTATGTCGAACGTGACACAATGAACTTGATGCTTCCTCAACTACTTACCGAGGAGGTAGCAGCTGTGAAGCCACGCGAGCTCAAAAAGGCATTGTTTACGGTCGATATCAATGGGTTTCTTAAAACTGTCGGTGAACCCGTTATATATATCTGCCAATGGCGTGGGAGCAACCTGGCTATCGGGTACTCGATCTATACATTTTGGGGCCCACGTACGGGATTCTTGGAGCTTTTGAAGGCAGCATTGATTCTACGTGGAGATACGACCACTGAGCCTTATGGCTGTGAAAACGTCTCCGATGCTCTTCAGGTCATTGCATTTGCTGGAGATTCTCTCGGAAAGAAATAATCTTAAAATTGATTGTTTATTTACCGACGTATTCATGAATACCATCGGAATATAAAGCCTTTCTTTTCTCACTTAGGTCACAGCTCCCTCAGATATATTCAAGCTCTTCATAATCGCTTTCGCTTTCACACACTGGAGGATTTCAACTTCGCTTCTATTGATTGTTCTTGATTTATCTTCTCGGCTCGAAAAATTTATTTCGACTTATAAACCAGTTTCTCCACATCAAGGATCAATTAAAAAAAAACTTCGCTTTTGTATGCTTACAATGTACTTAAGTCAATATCAATTTCGCATCTGCAGTTAGCCGAGGGCCGGTTAGTCAAAAAAAATAAATGAATACCCCCACCCTTAAAATTACAAAAACTCGATTAAACCTAATCATATTCAGGTCCCATGCATTTAAATAAAGCTGACGATCCCAGCAGTATTCAACCGTTGTTATAATTAAGTTTCCATATTCGAAATATTAGATCTGACGAAAAGCTAGAACATCAGTTTAAATTTCAAGCATCAAGTACCGAATAAAGCAAATTAAGATAAGTAATTCTTTTCATAAACCCTTCACACTTGATTAGAATTCTAGGTTTCAAAAAGACCTCGAAAAATGCGACTCATCGATCAATCAATCAATACGGACAGGAAACATCTCATTGCCCCGGCGAATAGCATATCGTTGAGTCCCCGTATCAATGATCCTCCATCTACCTCTCCTGATACAGTCATGGCACGGAACATTTCTTTTCTTAACATACTCGTTTTCACAGTCCCTGGAAAAACAAGAATGTTGAAAGTGGTGGGTTTCAGTGGTACTGTGGCCACAGGTGCGGAAGTAGATCCAGATGCTACACATTTTGGATGATTCTCTAGTGTATCGATGGTGTTAGATGCTCCTAACTTAATTTTTATATCTAAGATAAAGGCTTGGGTACTTTCGAGTGAGATGTATAGTTTGTTTGAGCCGGGTGTATGGCACTTTTGTAGGCCTTGTTCAAACTAAGTGGATTTAAATCCTTAGCTGCTGAATTACTCGACCCATATCATATGCTTCGGGGCATCGGAATGACTTACTACTGGTGGTGAGGGTGAAAAAGAATGAGATCAGATAGTACAATGCGATTCGATGGATGCTTATGTGATGGTTGTAGGTGTTCTTAATTAGATGAAGATGAGGAAGAGGAGAGAGAGGGGTGAGGTTAGCTGAGAGCAACGCTGAACGACCGTGGTGTTTTTGGTGCGTTCCAGCTCTCACTTTCCCATTATCCACAATTAAATATTCAATTTCATCTTACTCGATCATAGAGCTAGTTTGGGAGTATATATTATATTGGTAGAAGCTATGCTAGAGAAAAAGTAGTACAGTTATTTTAAAAATAGTCCAGTACGGCCCACGGTTGACTCTACCAACAAAGAATAAGAAGTTGAGATTTGATCTACTTACTAGCTAAGTAAGTTTCGCAGTAGTCATCATCGGAACATCATCTCTGTGCAAGAGTTTTGATGAGATATAAAGCGGTTATCTTTGCTAGTAGCTGATATACAACCATTCCAGAAACAGAAAACCCCGTAAGGAACCACGGAGGATATATATTGAGACCATTAAAGGGAAAAAAGCCCTTCAGGATGAAAAGAAAAGCTGTCAGCAGAAAGGAAACAAACATCTGCCAATACTTGACCTAGTACAAGTATCGATATATAGAATCGAGGTCATTGTATTGTGCATTCTTCATCGCTGTCCAAGTAGCCAGGAACTTTGGGGATATCGGTATCCATTCGATCGTAATCCTGAAGTGCTTCTTTGGTTTCTATATTTTCAATGGGTTCCACGAGAGGCCGTTGAATTGCTGTGCACCTGTGGGTCTTCTGGCCATCGGATGGTGCCACTGTTGTCGGATTAGTATCGATCTCGCTATCGGACTTACGTATAAAGAAAAGAGGATCATACGCTTTTCCGGGGTTTCGAAGACCTACAAGTAACGCACTTGTAAGATATATGCTTTTGCTACTGAATTGTAAAAGTCGGATGAAGACTTACTATGGAAGATATCGTCTCGAAGTTGACGGAAGGATTCAAAATAGTCCGCCTCTGTTACTTTGGACATCTTGAGGGTTTTAAGAAAGTCGTCCGGGCCGACCAATCTGAAGTTTAAGTCCTCCTTCTTGTCCTTTGTCGGCATCATATCATCGGGGATGCTGTTCCGACCAGACTCTTTCTTGCTCAAAGGATGGGTTCCTTTAGAAATGGAGGCGTCGTCCGTTCTCGGAATCTTGCTTTTACCTCTCATACTCCCTTTCTTATTCTTCTCCATCTCTTCATCGTAGGCTCTCTTAGCTTCGCTCTCTAAAATGGATGCCTGGATTTGAATCTTAAGTTCAGTACGTATAGCCCACATATCTAAGTATTTATATCTCGGTATGGCTAGCTGACCTCGAGTTGTTGGCGGTACTTGGACGCTTGTAATTGCGAGACATGATATGCAACAGCAATATTCAAGTATTGTCCCCTCGATTCAGCGAGCAATAGGATATGGTCTGCGAGAATCCGAACCCATTTAGAATGCAATTGTAGGTCATTGGCGCAATAGTACTCCAAAGTAGCCTTGATTCGGTCAAAGTCGCCCTTTTTAGATTTAGCATTCAGTTAACTAACTATCAATACGGGCATGTAAAAACGATGAAGGATATCGATAGAACATACAATCAACTTGGAAGCTTTAATTTCCTGTTCCTTAACCTTTTGGCGGGTCCACAGTTCCGAAGAATACCAATCTGACGTCTCGACATCGCGGTCGAGTTCATTCCCATCAAAGGACTGAACAGGATATTGAATGGGAGACTGGATTGGAGAAATAGGTGGTGAACTGGTACTCATATCAACGTCTCTATCCGGCTTCTTGGGAGAAGGAATAACACTGGGTTGAGGTTGTGAAACTCTTCCAGGGGAATTTGGATGCAGAGGTAGAACGGCACCGAACTTGATACGGGCAGCGAGCGAGTCGTCAAGGAATATAGGAAACCCTCCAGGCATTGTATAGTCGGCAAAGAATTGTTTGTCAGATTCCCTCTTAGTAGGGTCCTTACCCTTTGAGTTATTTAGCGACATTTTGGCTAGTATAGTAACCGGTTCGAAGGAAGGGGTGCGGGTATGTTATATATATAGCAGGGAGGTATCTAAGTTTATAAAGAGATGTGGGATGGTTCTTTTAGAGGGGTTTGAAGCTGATGATGTAGAATCTTGTTACTACCTAGTAGGTACTTGCTTAAGTAGATGAGATCCCGGGAACAGCAGCGCCTGGAAGATGGCGTAAAGGGCTAAATGCGACTGCTTTATTTACATTGGACTTTCCTCCGCGTCGTCCGGCTGTTGGTTGAAGATCTATCATGCCTATCGACGTTTATCAAAATACAACATAACCATGTGTTGATCGACATGGCTTCATAATTCTATTATATCAGGAGGAAATTGTTCTCTAGTTGATAGACTGAGCACTATTCTATATTCTATCTTCTAAATGGGTATTCCGTGGTCTTGTGTACTCCGGGGTGGACAATAGTCTACTTCAGGTTAGTCTCGGTGACCCTTCTTGTGTTGGCTTCAGGTCAAGTCTTCCTGTCTTCTTATGGGTGGGATACCAGTTTTACTTAAACCCGATCCCGTGCAAGTCTACCAAGTCACCGTCGGAGTTGACAATGCCTCTCAGTAGTTCTTTCACGATTTTGCCCCCTTTTAATGTTGTCTTAATGATTCCCTCTATATAGCGGTTTGGTTATTACATATATTTATAATATTTATAGTGGTTTGCAGAATGTACTTACTGACATGATACGGCATCACACGTCCATACCAAATTGAAACGCTGCGACTCGATTCTGCCTTCTCTTTGGCATCACCTGGCCTAGCAGCCGGCAATGTAGACGCTGGGGCGTTATTTATAGCCCCAGACAGCGGGTGGTCGCCAGGAAGATGTATTATTACATTCCCCGCGAATTTGTGCCCTCCAATATGAGAAATATCTCCAATGATATAGTCGATCCCTTCCTTCTCACTCCCATTTGCCAATGCTTCTTTAAAAGCCCTCGCTATGACGGGTCCGAGAATCCCGCATCTTTTATCACGATTTCCGTGTGAGCAGGTTAATATCACCGGTTTTGATATTCTTTTTGTTGTGAAAGATTCACGATCTTTTTGGGGAGATGATAAAGGGTTAGAAGGTGGGAGAAGAAATGAAGTCACCAGAGATCTTAGGCTTTCCATGGAATTTGGTATTGAGGTGATCTCCACAGCATCTGGAAATACTGTTATCGTCCCATGCCCTTCTTGCGCAGAAGGGTCTATGGGAAGGGAAGTGTTGGTGACAAGGATTGGGTAAAATGGCTAGGCATTTGTTAGCGGGGCGTAGCGGAAAGAAAGACATTAGAATTGATAATACATCAACATATATACTTCCTCGGGATACCAAAGCCTTGAGTTTAGCAGTTATGGAACTACTCTCTTCATCCTCTGTTATATCCTTAGACATTCTCGACCTCTTTGAAGATATCGAAGGGCCGTCCTCAATTCTGCTAGGCCAATCACTTGTCCCAGTGTGAATTAAAACGTGGCGATAGTGACGAGTGATAACACCCCCCAAAGGAGATTTCATGTCGATTTCATCACCCTCCAGATCCGGAACGCTTAAATCAGATCCACAGGGACAGCTCTCAATAGAGGGAACATTTGACGAGTATCCTCGAAGATGTAATGTGTTGATTGTTGGGTTTGGAAATCTTGAAGGCGGCAATTGGAACCGAGGGCTGGCAACTTGCGGCCTTTGTCGTCCAAAATCGCGGAAGCATTGCATCCGACCTCGTACTCCCTGGATACTTAACCTCGAACTCATTTTTGTGAAATTTGATTGCGAACTCGAAGGTTATTGACACGAGTTGCAGAATTCTTAAAGAGATTTCATTGGCTTATGAATCAAACCTCGCGGCCTCGGCGGCAGGTGTTCCCGGGATCGGTGATAAGAGGCTCGGACCTAACATGATACTGCATTTCTGTGAAACAACAAAAACAACGTGGTGGTTTGAATACTTAATTGAGTTATGTACGAAGGAAGTTTATAACGTTTATATGTTGCTGATCGAGGACTTGAGATGAAAAGTTATATGCATTACTATGCTAAATTATAAGCAGCCCAAAAACATTAATTTTTGGACCGGAAGAAAGAATAATAAATACATGATATGTCTAGATGTACGGTTTTGATTTTGAAGTATTATGATGAAGATGCCCGAGTTAAAATGTTGACTGGATGGTCGGGCTGAGTTGAAGAGCGTGTTCTAATCCTGCTATTTAGAGAGCACTTTCAAAATATTCAAATGGGAATCCCAAAGCTTCGCATTGTGGCCTCTCACTTAAATCTACTGACCCACCATTCCACTGCAGTCGCATCATTTTTGGCTGTCGCGTGTTAACGCTCTCCCACTTGCCGGTATTAGCAACTTGGTTCAGGGTTCCCCAATATCCTCTTGCCTTAAGATACCCAGGCTTTGGATTTGGATCTTTGTTCCAGATAAATGCAGTCCAGTAGTCGATGATCAACTGTTGGAATGGAATATCATTTTCGTCCCTAATATTTCTACCATAGTAGAGCAATTCACCATGGACGATATTAACTTCACCGCTGTGGCACTTGAAGTACTCAGCATCCGGGTCTCCGAAGGGGTGTCCAGGGGTAACTGGTGGCTCGCAAAGGGGATTTGTGTATTCCACGGGGGAATATGTGCGATTGAACTCATATGCGAAAACCTTAGGTAGAACCTTGTGCTTAGCAGCAGAATAAGCGGTCGCCCAGTTGAGACACTTGACAGCGCCGTCAGTAAGAATTCTTTGTGTAAGATTGAAAGCTGACCAAGCCGCACCTCCGGGAGGCTGTGGGAACGCTGGATGGTTGGCGAATCTAGTAATGTCCTGGAGAACAATGCTTTGGCTGATGTACTCGAGATAGGTGTAGGCGTCAGGAATACCGAAGAATGGAGATAGCTGGATCGAGTCTTCGTCGCGGTTTACACCCATGAGAAGTGGTACTGGAGCAACGTAGCCTTTGCCAGTTACTTGTAAATCATTGGTCTTTAGCAGGATGTTGTCAAGGACTGGGAAAGCCAGACTATATTCGGACAATATATTAGCACCCACCGCATAACGGTCTTTGTGATCAGTACTTAGAGATAATATAAACTTACCTGCCGAGAGGTGAGGTGATAGGGGTCAAGATTGCCGGATCGACGTTAGCCAAGCAAGCCCCGATATCAGTCGCGCTGTCACAGCCAGTCCCTTGAAGAACCATTGGTGCGAATATACCCGAATACTCCGGAATCGAAAGCCAATGCGCAAACAAGTTGACTGGAAACCAACCAATTGGTAGGGATTCCATGATCGCTGCGCTGAAAAGGCCCTTCGCCGCTTCGGACGCCATCAATGCTCTGACATCAGATGCACCGGCAGAGTCTCCACCAATGGTAATACGGTCTGGGTCTCCACCGAAAGCCTTGATATTCTTTCGTACCCACTTGAGACTGGTAATCATATCACCGAGTCCGTAATTTCCTGTTATAGGTGTTCCATTGATCGCCAACCATCCATAATGGCCGAGTCTATAGTTGATCTTAACGACCACAACATCGCCACGTGTAGCCAAGTTGACACCATCAGACTTTCCACGATTTCCATCAACTTCCACGTTGCTACCTCCATGGATCCAGAAGAGAACGGGCTTTAAGTTACAGCTCTGAGAATCAGGTCCAGGAAGATATGGAGTTGCAATATTCAAGAAGAAACAATCCTCGCCTCCGATATCTTCACCGTCATGCCATTGCCTACAAACATTCTTGTACTCCAAAGCTTCGGCATTGCTTGGACCGTCGAAGATAGATGAATGCTTGAACCTTCCGTTGAACAAACCGTATCGGATACTCTTGAATCTGAAGCCAAGGCCATCTCTAAACCCAGTGATTTTATGCTTTCCAGTTGAGACGGTAACTCGATACTTTTCAGAGGTGTCCGTAAACGTAATGTTGCTAAGTGGCGCACTGTGGGAACACAGAGCTGGGAGAAGGCGGTTGCAGTCCAATGATCTCACTTTCCCAGCGAGGTCAATTGCTCTGCATGTATTCTTAGGCTTCGAAGCAGGTTGAGCGTCCGCAACCCAGAATTGTTGACTATATGAGAAGTTGCGAAGGTACGCTTGGTATGAAAGTGAATTGTTGACGCCTGCTGTAAAGTTCTCAAGCTCTGGAGACCAAAGGCCCTCGGAAAGGGATAAACAGATGGATTTGGCCGCGTTGAAGGTCTTTGGCTTCTCAACGAGAATCGCAGCGGATGTCCTATTGGAGTATTGCGCTACAATCGCAACCAATCTCTTAGTATGCCAAAGAGCTTTCTTGCTTGAATATTGGATCACTACTTACCATAGAAATCATTATCTTTAAGAATTGTCAAAGAAGTTCCGAGAGAGAGAGGGTTCGGCGCCGCAATGGCAAGACCGAAAGCCCCAATGAAAAGGATGTCTCTAGTAATGCTCTTCATCTTGCATACTATCTTGAAGGACAAAGCGAATTTTCTGCCTTCAAATCCAGGAGTCCTTGGCAGTTATATAGATCTCGAAGTATCTCGACGACAATCCCATTTTCATGTGCATAGACGCCTCAAACTGAATCAACACACTGACTCGGTCCCCACCGGCCATAGTTTGTTTCATTTAAGGTTGATGCTCGGATAAACGTCGAATGCCAGGGGTAGCTACAGGGATAGCTGCAGGGGAACTAAGTTTTGGCTATATATTTCGTCAATAGCATTGTCGGAATTATCGATATTAATCGGGGGAGCCTCAAGTGTGCCTCGCAAACCACCTTTGGGATGCCTTAAGGAGCGAATACGAGACCCCGCCTCAGATTCTTCGAAGAAGTGGTATCAGCACAATCTGCCGGGTTCCGAAATTTCGCGCCCGTACATCAAAATGGCTGGAGACAGTGATGGATGTTGCATTTTGTCCGAAGATTGCGTTGTTATATTATCCTAGTCCCAACCCCAAATAGACTTAGTCTCGCCGCCATGAATCCACTTAGTTGATCATACGAGACCGAGATTATCCACATATAACTGTGACTCGGACCACATGGCCTAGGGAGGAGAGCGAAACCTGGGAAACCAACCACACAGTAGGGCTTAGGCTCCTAGTTCAATTACTATGTGAATTGCCTGCATAAAGATATCCCAATACATGCAATCTATTAATCTTAGTATGGTGGATCATGTAACATTAAAACGTATTATCCGTCGACTAGACGTCACCTTTCTAGGGCAGGGATATTTCACGGAGCTTCAGAAAAACCAGCACATGCCTTCTCTTTTTTGGCAAGAAGCGGGTCCTCCATGCGCATGCATACAGAGCTCCATAGCTTGCCTTCTAGAAGATCACAACTACCGCGCCTACCCTCTTAACTATATATAAGCGACTTTTCCCGGGATCGTTGCGGCTCTCTTGCTACATCGTATTTGTTGTGAGGCTGACCGGTTGGCTCTCTCGCTATTGATTTTATCCCTGCAATGGAGAAAAAAACCGAAAGGACTCGGAGAATCCGGCGCCGATTTGCACCCACGACCGATAATTCGTCAGTGCATTAATAACTTCATTCCGGATCGAGGCCAGATCCGAAACTAGTTTCACTCTAATCTTGATAATCACACAATGGAATACATCTTTACAAACTGAATACGACTCGATACTAGGATACCCGTATACGGGTCAACGGCGGGAGCATCCGGCTAGGTGTCCACTCGCTGGGTCATTGCTGGCTTCATGCGGTTCCACCAATCACTTCATCATAATTGGCCATTCCATCAGTATAGAAACTACATATACAGTAGCAGGGGGGAGTGTGGAGAGCTTCTAGTAGGTAAAAGCTGCGTTACTCGTGTACTTGGTCTCTTAATTTTTCCCATTGTACAATTGTGCACTGCCCCAAATATTTATCCACAGAGCTCATTGACCTCCACGGATGGATCTCTATTATGCGGACTAAGAGCAAACCAGCTCGGGAGATATTTCCAGATACTCTCTAATACAGGAAGTCAAATCTATTGGTTCAAAACAAATGAAATGCTGCTGGTCGGCGAATTTCCGGAAATCAAGTCAGACATCGGTTACGAGACTGGTCAGACATTGCGAGTGCCGTAACTTTGTAATTATGTGTTGCATGTTGGATAATAAAGTGTGGCTGTGCGTTGTCTCCTGGTGTGGCTAGTTGTGTGAGGCGGTTCTCTAGGGACCTGGGCTGAGGCCATGTGGATGTATCGACGTGACACAGACTGCAACCAGTATATGCAGTACCAGTCCTTCGTGTCGATATCTTGACCTTTTCAGGCCACGTAGTCACATGTATAACACTTTTCCACGTCCTACGGCTTCTTCGTAGCGTTCTCTTTAATGCCCCCGCAGTTGAACCAGCGCTAGCTTATACATTGAACCTCTCGAGTTTCGAATACCTGCCAAGAAGGTCGAATTTATCGAATACCCATTAAACTATATTATATATCCCCATATTTACATATATGTCTTTACTTTCAAGAATTGGGAGGTCATTGAATTGGATCAATCCCTCAGGGATTGCGACGGATCCGAGTGCTCAGCAATATAAACATCTTGCTACTGATGCCTCAGCGACTTTATTGTCAACGTTTCCGCAAGAGCTTATAGACGAGATACTGTTCAATATCTCAAAGAAGGATGTTTTCCAGTTATCTTCCTGCTCTAAATATTGGAGAGCTCGGACGATTCCATTGATTTTTCGTCATCTGGCTTGGAAGGATGTGAACGACGCCTACCTCTTTAGTCATGGAGGTATACTCGCCTATGTGCGACCAGTGGTTCGGTAGGCACACCTAAGCCCAGGATAATTAGATATGATCTTTCGACTTGATCACAGTCAGAGATATAACTAATCATTATCCAGCCAAATATCGATGTCCTTCACCCGCTATCCCAAGGCCCTCATCAAGATAATAGAGACATACCGCGTCTGGATGGAAGTCTTTAGTCTTTTCCCCAACGTCAGAGATCTTCAGATGGATCTTTATGTTGTCAACGAACTAGAGGGAAATATGATCCGATCAATTCTGACCCAAATCTCAAATAGCCCTGCTTCAGAAAAACTTCAGAGTTTAAACATCGAACGTATACCGATCGAACGGGGTTTTATCCATGATCTTACTCGTCCACACGGATCCATTTTGGTTTCAACTTTGGGAATCTATACCAATTTACCTCTAGGTGCTCGGGAATACTATGAGATATTACCACGAGAAACACAAGATTTCTTGGGTCCGCTGATCAATAACGAAACAGATATATCACTACCGGTACCAAAAGGATTAACCAAGTTGGGCGTTTCCTTGAAGGAATTTAGTCTAGTATCAAATCCACACTCATCATTAGACTTCAACGTTCTAGTTCATTCCTTGGCCGGTTCTATCAAAGAACTAAGGATTATGGCTGACAGATTCATCCACACGCAAGACCCAACTTCCTCTATAAATGTTTGGCCAACGACCTTTTCGGCTTTGGCAGCGATTACGATCATAGTTGATGGATATTCTTTACATCATCTAACGGATATTGGTATCTGGCTCCCAAATATACAGTTCTTGACGTTATCAAACGGTCCTTCATATCCTTACCGTCACCGGAATCCAAATATACTAGCACTTCTATCGGCTCAGGAGCAGATGCTGTGTAAAGCCATTGAACACCTTAAATCATTGAAAAGAATAAGACTACCTTGGCCTTATACATATGAAGACCAGTTAAATATCGGTATTGATAGCCTCAATCATTGGCCAAAGGTATATTTCAGCAGCGAAAGATTGAAGAGTTTGGTCGGCAAGTGGGTGAAAAGTGGGTCATCTACGTTGGAGAGGGTTGTGTTCGTAATAGAATACTTCTCTTCGAATGGGAGACATGATAAAATTCTAAGAGTAAATGTTCTAAGGGGGCCTGAGTTCGAAGAAGGGTGGAATTTATGCTGTCAAGAAGATCACAACTATATCTATAAACCGTTTGATCGAGATATTTTGGTATAGTCTGATCTCGAGGGCAATATACTGCACTCATACAAGTGGTATACACAGGGGGTTGGAAGGGCATAAGATCAAGCTAACGTATCCATTTTAAATTTTGTAATTAGCTACTATCTTTCAATAGTACATCGTTAGATATCTTTCAATAGTACATCGTTAGAAGAATAAAACTGTGGTTTGGCGGCCGCGGGTTGAATTCACAAAGCCTCGTTGTACAGTATACGAGGATCTATACTGCTGTACACGTATCATATGCATATATATATATGCACTGTTCGACACAATGCATTTTGCAAAATTTGTAAGAACGGATCCTTTACTGAAATTTAAAAATAAAAAACGGCTGACAACTCATAATTGAAACTGCAAAGCCTAAGCTGAGGCTGATCCACAAGGCTGGGTGTCGACAAACCTCGATCGGATGGCCGATGATACCCCGCTCTCGGTCGAATTTTAATAAGTTATATCAACGTTTCATTCGAATTCCTAAGTCAACATATGTATGTGAATATCCATATCTCACTATTAGCTATCGTCTTGGTGAAAGGACTAACTAATTTTGCTAACAGAGACTAAATTCGCTTCAACTGATCAACTAAAAGGCCATTCTAACGATGGAGGGTCTATCAGCTGCGGCCAACATCATAGCTGTTGTCCAGCTCGCGGCAAAGGTTGGAAAGGTCTGCGTCCAATATGCACGAGAAGTTAAAAATGCACCCAAAGACATCGAGCGCGTTAAGGAACAGGTGGATGCAATTTCAAAGCTACTTATTCACACGCAACGACTTCTCGACGGGCCATACAGGAGTAAACTATCAGCTTCCACGGACCTGGAATCCTCGCTATCAGGTTGCAAGGACCAACTTGATTATCTGCTCAGAAAGCTCGAAGTGGACTTCACCCAGCACCCAAATGGGAAAGGCCGACGCCGGGACAAATTATTACGCCCCTTTAAAATCAGTTCTCATGATTTGAAGTGGCCATTCACCAAGACGGAGGCAGATGACATCATCAGGCGGCTCATAACGGCACAAGAGCTCATTAATCGCGCGCTCCAGGTCGACCAAATTAATGTCGTCCTTAGTGTCGAGCAAAAGGCAAATCTCGAGAAGCTCCCCATTGCTAATGGCGCAATTTTTAATTCTTTCGAGGACGAAGACGAGCCAGAATGCTTACCTGGTACCAGAACCGATCTGTTGAGAGACCTCAATACCTGGATAGCAGATCCAAAGGAGACACGGATATTTTGGCTTTGTGGAATGGCAGGCACTGGAAAGTCGACCATTTCCAGGACCCTGGCCCGAATCCTGAGTGAAAATGGACAACTGGGAGCTAGCTTCTTCTTCAAACGCGGTAAAGCAAACCGAGGTGATGCGTCCAGATTCTTTAGCACACTTGCGATGGATTTACAATCTATAATACCACAACTGGGACCCTACATCAGTGAAACTGTAGAGAAAGATCCAAATATCTGCCAAAAGTCTCTATCAGAACAGTTTCAAAAGCTACTATTCGACCCTCTTAAAAAAATTCGGCGAACTGATGTCCCGGACCCTTCGAAAGCCCTTGTACTCGTGATTGACGCCCTTGACGAATGTGAGGGCGATGGAATTGTCCAAAGGATAATTGAATTTTTTGGCCAGCTAGCGGGTGTGGACTTAAATATGCGTATCTTCGCCACCAGTCGACCAGAAGCTCCCATTAAGGCTGGGTTTGAGGACTTGACGCGGGATCATAAGGACATATTATTGCATAATATTCAGGAACCTACCATAAAAGACGATATTTCGATATTTCTCCAATATGAATTTGGAAAAATAAGGAAGACGCGGAAGCTCGGTAGCAATTGGCCCGGGGATGGCACAATTGTTACGTTAACTGATATGACAGTTCCGCTTTTCATCTCAGCAGCTACCTTGTGCCGCTTCATTGGAGACAAAAGGTTTTCTGTGCATCAGAGATTGGAGAATGTCTTAAAATTCCGAAATGCGTCCTTTGCATCCAAACTAGACCAAACCTACCGTCCTATATTCGACCAAATTCTTGCCGACACAGATAAATCAGAAGAGGACGAACTGATTCGAGGGTTCCAGGAAATTGTTGGTACTATAATTTTACTAGAGTCCCCCCTTGGACTGACTTCTCTTTCCATCCTCCTTGATATGGAGGAGGAGCAGCTTCACTGTCGGTTGGATCGGTTTCAATCGGTCATCAATATTTCAGACGACCCTGGCACCCCGATACAAATCTACCATTTATCTTTTCGAGACTATTTGCTTGATAGAAATAAACATACAGACTGGTTCCGAATTAACTCTTCCCAGCTCCACTGGTCGATTGGGGCTAATTGCCTCCGGTTTTTATCGAAGGCGCTCAAGCCAGATATTTGCAATCTAATACACCCAGGAACTCGAATCCAAGATATTGATCCTACCGTTCGGGGGCAACATATCACGCCGGAGATTGCATATTCTTGCCAATATTGGGCTTACCATCTTACCCACTGTATGGATGAGTCGGGCCTTGACGAAGAGAAGAGCCAGACTTTGCTTAAGTTTCTGGAAAGTCACTTATTACACTGGCTTGAAACAATGATCATCCTTGGTGCTCTTGATAAAGCCCTGGATGCAGTTAATAATTTACAATCGCCAGTAAGCTTCCGCGGGAATTAAGTGTAGCCGAGCTGCCCAAGATCATCTAAGCTAATTGGTTATTTACACACATAGAATCAAGGTCTTTCAGCACTACTTCGTGATGCTATTTTCTTTGTGAATCTTCACTCAGGCACCATCAGTGAGGCGCCGCTACAACTATATTCCTCTGCTTTGCTGTTTACACCGGAGAACAGCATTATAAAGCGGCTATTCTTCCGGGGTTTGCCCGCTTGGATCCCAAGACCACAAAGTTGGCACGGTGACTGGGGCTATTGTGTTCGGGACATATGCCCGACAGAGATCGAAATCCAAGACGAATTGGTGATTTCTCCAGACGGGAACTTACTTGCCTTTATTGATGGGAGGGACACTTGTGAGGTGCGGAACGCAATCTCGGGGAAGGTTTCACAATTAATCTCGATTACGGAATTGATTCGTTGCGACGGGCAGAAGATGTCAATTTTGTCTGTACATTTCACGGAAGACAGCAAATACCTAGTGGCCATAGTGAATACGGGACAGGTTGTGCTTCGAGACCTATTAACCGGCCGAACGTCACTGAAAATAATAAACCTAGACATAAATTCAAACACTGGGCATGACCCGGAATTTTCAAATTCTCTTCAAAAGCAGATCAAGACGTCAGAGTCCAGCCAGTCAGCCAATTATGCAGCATTCTCATCCGACAGTATGTTTCTAGCATTCGGCTATGACAACGGTCAGGTAAAGATGTGGGCACGGTCAAACTTTGAATCCGACTTTCAGCCATCACACCTTCAAGGCTTCGATTTCGACCCTATCTTGGCCGATAGGCGCCCTTGGGATTTTCTATTGATGGAATTCGAACCCAAAACTAAAACTCTTGCCGCTGTTTTGTATAACTGGTGGCCAGATGGTGCACCTCTGTCGATACTGGAGGCTGTGACGATTTTTATTCTGTGGGATATCAAAAGCGGGAATATCGTTAATACCTATCGATATTACAACGAAAAGGCTCCTTATGCGTGTGCGTTCTCGGTTGATTGCAAATATTTGGCCGTTGCGCTACCGGAGTCGACAGTTGAGATCTGGGATTCAACTTCGCATTCTACCCTTCAACAGCTCAAGGAATCCCTGGACAGGCCAAAAAATAAGGTCCGGTCATTTAAGTTTTCTCCGGATGGAAAACACCTAGCGATTGGATATACGGAGCAAAGGGTGAGGATACTAGATCTAATGAATGAAGTCTACATTGAAAGATACAAGGAAGAGCGCGGCGGATATTGGGAAATGGGTCCGATGGTATTTTCGAAAAATGGCTATCTTCTGTTTTGTATCAGGATAGATCAACTACAAGCATGGTGTATAGACCTTGCAGGGCTCAAAGCCTCCTCCCATGATGGCACTCTACAGAGCCGTCAAATTAAAGAGCCTAAGGTTTCCCGTTCCATAGACCGCGTTAGTGAGGTACTTAAGCCAATAGCAACACTGTCTCCAGACAGGAAGTATCTGGCGGTGTCCCGATCACCTGGGAAGCTTCAGCTACAGGATCTTGTATCTGGAAAATCACAAATCTTGCTTACCGACGAACCCTCCATGGGATTTGAAGCTGCAACAGATTTCGAGTTTTCCTCAGATTCAAAATGGTTAGCAGCTAACAGAGCTACAGGACATTTAGTGTTGTGGGAAACGAACAACGCTAGCGGAGCTCCAAGAACACTAGAGCCTTCGGATGTTCAAGGAGAGCGCCGATACGAAGTTGCAGGGGGGACGCCTAGGTCTCTGTGCTTCTCGATTGATAATAATCAACTATTTTATATTACCGGGAATGTGACAGTGGAGGCTTGGAACTTGGCCACAGGGAGCAGATCTCGGATTTATATGAATGAGAGGTATCGCGGCTTTGAAATCCAAGCATTGAAGCCAACACCAGACGGATTACACTTGGTATTATTGATACTGTGGGACCCGGTCTCTTATATTAAATATTTGCATATATCTACAGGATTGATAGTAAAAACGGTAGATTTGAAAAGTATCGGTCTCGATGCTAACTCGTATGGCCAGTTGAACCTCTTTGGACGGGAATTTACGACATCTCGTACATTATCATTCTCAGAGGATGGAAGGTTACTTGCAATAGCTGCATTAAGGACCGTTGTCATTTTGAACATTGATATTTCAACGGCCATTGGAGCTATCGCAACCGAGATCGTCAATAATCTATCCTTCTCAACGGGGGGGCCGGGTACGGGTCATAGCCTCATCATCAATCGTGGCGCTGAATCTATGACCGTAGACGTGTCTAAATCACTGCAAGTTTCTGAAAGGTCACCAGGATTCCTTGACCTCGGATGGATAGTCTCCAATAATTCTACGATTCTTCGATTACCCTCTGAACTTCATCCTACAGGATCCTTTGTCGGTGTAGCTGGTGACGTCTTCGTCTTCCTGCTAGAGAACGGCGACCCTTTTTTCTTGGAAATTACGGACATGGCTATAAGGAACTTACTGGCAGAGCACACAAATGTACAAGGCAAAAGGGGTATTTAAGTATATAGTCTTATAAGTTTATCACTAGCCTAGACAATTACAGCTATATATAGCTACTTAGCTATGATCCTTCTTCACATAAGATTGGAAGCTCAAGCAACGCACTATATTGTTGTATTTTGAATGAAGCTTGGCACCATTGCACCAGCCAATGGCGTGCCGCGATGCCCCGCATTCGGCGGCCTCGCTGGATTTTACCCTATTCGTCCCAGGCTGAAAGATTCCATCCAACAGTTCGCCGCGAAGGGCGGCCGACGACGGTCTTCAGTGCAGCGTTCGTCTTGACTCATTACAATTATCAATCTCAAATGTCAATGCTTAATACTTCCTGCAATTATTAATAGTCTTCGCCTTCCCCTCATTTCACACTGGCTGGTTTCTAGTTAACTCAAAAACTCCATCGAATCGTTTGCACTTCATCTTGTTCACTCGCACTGTATAAGCTATTGTATAGTTCTAAGTTCGCGAATTCATCCCCCCTCGACTAAATTACATCATCTAACATTCTCAAAAAGACCATCATCTACAATGCCAGACCGCGCTTCAGTCGCCTACTTTGGTGCCGGCCCATCAGCCCTCCCAACCTCTGTTCTCGAAACCGCCGCGGCGTCTCTCATAAACCATAATGGCTCGGGTCTTTCGCTGGTCGAACAATCCCACCGATCTGCCTTATCCGGCCAAATCCTTCAAAACGCTAAGGATTCATTCCTAAAAATCATCAATGCTACGGCAGATACTCATACTGTGCTATTCATGGCTGGTGGTGGAACACTCCAGTTTTCTGCCGTAGTTTACAATTTATTCACAGCTTGGGCGCTTAGGAACCCCGAAAGGGCACAGAACGGAGAACGTGGTGCTTGCGAGTATCTTATCACTGGTGGATGGTCCTCCAAGGCTGCTGATGAAGCGAAGAGGTTGATTGGAGAGGAGAATGTGAACGTTGTGCTTGATTCTAGGGGTTATCACCATGCCGGTGAAGCCAAGAAGTTTGGAAATATTCCTGATTCTGGAGAGTGGAAGAACAATTTGAAGGCTGGGAAGGATAGCGCTTTTGTCTATTTTTGCGACAATGAGACTGTGGATGGAGTTGAATTCCCCAAGGGCTCTCCCGTCGATGTTCTTGGAGAAGATCCGGATAGAATCATCGTAGCGGATATGAGCTCGAATATTCTTAGCAGGACTTTCGATGCTAGCAAGTTTGGCGTCGTATTCGTATGTCTAACAATATTCAAAATCCAAATCATACCGGGTGAATCTTACTAACTATCAAAATAATAGGCTGGAGCTCAAAAGAACGTCGGATCCACAGGTGTCACTATCGTTCTTCTCCGAAATGACATCCTCAGCCTCCTAGCGTCTGGTGGCTCCCTCCCTCCAAAACTAACCCCACTAATCCCGGTCACTCCGGTCATGATGCATTATCCAACCATTTCTAAGGCTGGATCGCTCTACAACACACTTCCAATATTCGATGTCTACATCGCCGGATTGACACTAACCAAGCTTCTTCAACGTGATGAGTCTGGAAAGACAGCGCTTGAACAGCAAGAAGCTGAAAGTGATCTAAAGGCTAAACTTATCTACGATGTATTGGATAAATATGAAAATATTTATCGTGTCGTTCCTGCCAAGAATGTCAGAAGCAGGATGAACATCTGCTTCAGGATTTCTGCACCAGGCGATGAGGCTAAGTTTATCAAGGGAGGCGAGGAGATTGGACTGCTGGGATTGAAGGGCCACAGGAGCGTTGGAGGTATCAGAATCTCGAATTGTAAGCCTCTAATATACATCTAAATCTCTACGAGTACATCTACTAATTGAACTCTTAAACAGATAACGCCGTCGGCGTCGACAGCGTCAAGAAACTAGTGCAGTACCTCGAAGAGTACGCAAAAGGTATTTAAAGAATTTTTATTACCATTATTAATAACAACCTCAATTTTACGAGACAACATCAACTGTACATAGACTATCATTCCAAAAAAAAAGCGGGTGCCATTATGTTTTCTTTTCTCTCAAGGGCATCATTTTAGAGACTAATTCAACATTTTTTTGTTATCAATATGGCCATATTATTCACTTTTTCCATCCATCTACTAGCTTCATTTTATTTTGCGTTCCTGAATTCTGTTACGTTTGACTAATTAACTTAAACAGCTGTCCTGCGAAACTCGGGGCCAAGGGCTAAGCTGTAGGTTCCAGGATTGCTTACTCTCAGGAATGGGGGTCGGTGTGCTTCCTCGAGTATGGCATCATCGGCTGCGGGCTTGCCAGTCCAATCACAGAGTCTTATTAATGAGTCATATGAGCTCGGGATTCGGAGTAGTTCGGAATATTTGTTAAATAGAAATACTGTAACTAGGTTTCTAGATAGACCATGTATCTATTGATAATACCAACTATTCAAAATATAAGTTTAGCCTGCAATGCATGTGAAATATGTACAAGTTCAAAGAATATATTAAGGTATCAATGTATCAAAAACCAAATAGCTTTTCCTCCATAACTTTTCAGAAAAAGACCAAAAAAAAAAGAAAGGAAAGGAAAACCAAATAAAGAGAAAAAGAAAAATACTCCGATCATCTAAAGGCCTTGCTGCATCGCCATGCCGGCGTAAATACCCCCCAGCTCCATCAATTCCTGATGATTCCCCATCTCCACAATCCTACCCTTTCTCATAACCACAATCCTATCCGCCCCAACCACAGTTCCAAGTCTATGCGCCACCATCACCACCGTCCTCTTCAACTCCACCCCTCCATTACAGCTTTCCAAAATAGCGTCCATAACTGTATTCTCGTTATAAACATCCAAAGCCGAAGTAGGTTCATCCAATATCAAAATCTCCGGATTTCTAATCAAAGCTCTAGCCAAAGCAATCCGTTGAATCTGACCACCGGAGAGACCCGATCCATTCCTTCCACAGTGTGTAGAATACCCCTCAGGAAGTCCCATTATAAACTCATGGATTCCAACTTTTCTACAAACGGCTTCTACCTGTGCTCTTGTAACCTTTGATACATCTTCACCGGCTCCGATGGAGATGTTGAAGAATATGCTGTCTGAGAATAATGTTAAATCTTGAGAGAGGATGGAGATTCTATCCCTATGCCTAGAGATTGGAAGTTTTGAAATGTCTTCGTTGTCGACGAATACGGTTCCGTGGGTTGGGTCGTAGAAACGTTGGAGGAGTGATAAGAGTGATGATTTACCGGATCCGGAGTCGCCTACTACTGCGACGAATTCACCGGGGCGGATGGAAAGTGATAGGTCACGGATGACGACGGCGGAGGGTCTGCTTGGGTAAGAGAATGTGACTGATTTGAAATCTATTGCGCCCTTTTCGGGTTTTTCGGGTGACTTTTGGTCTTTGATTGGAGTAGCTGGTGAGCTTGGGTTTGGTGTATTGTCCTCTGAGTTCGATGAGATGATCGGTTGGGTATCAAGTAACTTGAAAATCCTCCTTGAAGCCGCAGCGGCCTTTGTGAATTCCGGTGCGAGGGAGAAGACTTGTCCTGCCGTTTGGGCAGAGAACAATAACGCCGGAAGAACGATAAAGAACTCGATGATACTATAATCTCCATTTCTGACTTGCTTAGAGCCCCACCAGTACGCAAGCGCATAAACAAAGAATCCAATCGAAAGCGCAAGTGCCATGATAGCGCTTCCCTGAAGAATGAACTTCGTATGTCCTTTCTCTGCTTTCAACAACTCTTTCTTGTATTCTCTCATCACACCGTCTTCACGAACCAAGCTTGCGACGGTACGCATTGCGTTTGTAGCTTCCGTTGCCATACTAGCTGCCTTGACGTATGTAGTTTCTTGCTTAACCTGTGCTTTCATAAGCACACGGAGACGAAGATACCCGGCTAGAACGATAACCGGAAGGGCGGGAAGAAGGACAACGGCGATTTTCCAAGCGACTACATGCGCGATAACGATTCCGCCAACAAGTGTAGTAGTAACAGAAACAACAGTTCCAATCATAACCCCAGAAAGGGATGTCAAAGCCGCGGTATCGGATTGAATACTAGCTACCAAGGCGGTTTCGGTATGTTCCGGATCAGCGAAGAAGGAAAGATCTTGTTCCATAATCTTTTGGAAACATAGATCTCGTAGACGTTTGACTAGTCTTTCGGAGACCACGCCGAAGCAGAAACCTGAAGTTGAGTAGGCGAATAGAGCGACAGCACCGACGACGAAGAACATTAGGCAGTAGAAATTAGGGTCTTGAGGGCCGTGGGCAGGGAGTTCATCGCGGAGGGATGAAATAATGAAACCGAAGAGAACGGATTCAGCGACGACAAGACTACCAGTAAGCATCGATGCTACGAGATCAAAATTAGCAAGGTTTTTGAATAAACATAACAAAGGGGGTTTTAAATATCATACCGAAAATTCCAGTAAGAATAATTGGAAGATCAGGCTTGCACATAGACATAGTTCTCTTCACGGACGACGGGGGCTTTGGAGGAGCGCATGGCAAACATATCGAATTCTTCTTGACAATGGAACTGGCACAATCCTCAACAACTGCCGTTATTTCTGCCTTTTCAGAGATCATAGCAATTCTCTCTGCACTGGCCTCTCTGCTCGAATCGCTTGACTTCTTCTGAGTTTCTAGAAGCTTGTTGTAGGCGCCGTCTGATAGAACAAGAGCATCGTGATTCCCTTGTTCCACGAGATCTCCCGTAGACATGACTACAATGTTATCTGCAGTCTGAACGGAGGAAAGTCGATGAGTGATCATAACTATTGTCATTGAAGTTTCTTTGTGGAGTTGCCTAATTGCCCTCATTACGACATTTTCGGAGTGAATGTCCTGTAACACGGTGTCGAAGTTAGAACTCGTGCCTGATAGAAAATGGCATAGGGATACATACCAAAGACGCAGTAACTTCATCAAGAATCAATAATTTTGGTTTAGAGACCAAAGCTCGAGCAAGTGCAATCCTTGCGACTTGGCCACCAGACAGCTGACTTGCACCGTCGGGTCCAACAATTGTATCATACCCATTTGGTTGTGCTTCAATAAACTCCTTGGCATTCGCAAGGGCCGCAGCTTCAATACAAAGCGTCGACCTTTCCATTTCAGAAAGCTCATGAGACCCCGGAAGACCGTGGAGAATATTCTCCTTAATCGTCCCACTAAATAGAACAGGGTCTTGCTCAACGAAAGAAATATGTGTTCGATATGTCTTAACCGGCAATGTCGTAACATCACGACCATTTAATAAAATCTGCCCCGATTTAGGCTTATAAAATCTGAGTAAAAGGGAGGTCAAAGAGGACTTCCCACTTCCACTCTTTCCGACTATAGCGGTGAATGACCCAACCGGCATCCTCAAGTTAACGTCCTTTACAACGTCAAGCTCCGGAGCACTGGGGTATGCAAATCTTAGGTCTTTAAATTCAAGCTCAAATGGAGTACTCCAGTCGAAGCTGTGAGAGTTTCCAGCTGGGTCGAGCTTCTCGGAATGCTCTTCTGCATCTTGGAGGAGGCCATCGATGCGACGTCCTGCGGCAGCAGCAAGTGAGAATGTGTGTAAAAAGGGTCCGAACTGGCTGATAATGAATGAAGCATCTAACATGAGGAAGATGATGGTGTAGATTGTTCCGGCATCTGTGGCATTCGATTTGACTTGTTTGATGCCATACCAGAAAGCTAAAGAGTTGACTCCATAACTACAATCGCATTAGCCTTCGTCCACTATAATTTAGAAACTCATATTTGTAGAAACTTACGCCAGGAAGAACAAAAATCCCAATCTCGCTGCGATAATGAATGATCTTCGGACACCATAGTACCGTCCTGACTCCAACACCTCCCGGTTCTTATCACGGAAAAGGCCCGAAAGTCCAAAAGACTGGATGACAGTTATCATCCTCACAACATCTGACAACATCTCCGATGCACGGGTAGTCGTTTCCGCAAGATGCTTTGTAAAACGTCTATTAAGGCGTTCACAGAGGACTGTGATAAGAAGTATCGAGGGTATAACAGCAGCCATGAGAATAGCTGTGAACTTGGCGTTGAGGATCAAACCGACGAGAATCGCAGTAACGAAATATGAAATCGATTGGATGAAGATTCCGACTTTTTCACCAGTTCCGGTTTGAATCGTCTGTACATCGACCATAAGGTATCCCGCGAGCTATAATTTTATAATATATTCATTTTAGTCTCGTCTTCTTCAAGTATTTGGCAATACCAGAGTACAGAAAAACTTACATCAATTCTCTTCGTCTCATGATAGGCGATATCCATATGTAAGGTCTTATCCAAGACAACCTCCCGAATACTCTGACTTATTCTTGTTCCCACATAGCCCCAGCAGTATGTATAACCCCATATCGCAAAGAAATTGATAGTTGCTAGTGTAATTCACAATATAATCAGCCAAGAGAAATGTTGGATTTTAGTGCGTTGGACATGCATACCGACGACCATCATTTGGATCAGCTTCAAACGCAAGCTGTGTTCTTCGGGTGGGAATTCATTGATAATTTTACTATTCAAAGAAGTTACATGAGTATGCTAGGTCATTATCAGTAGTACTATATCTTCAAAAACATACCCAAAGATAACGCCAATAATTGGCAATGGTACACCGGATAAGCTTGCTAGCGATATAGCTATCCATAGCACCAATGTATCTTTATTCCGACCCGAGAAAGATTCTTCATTACTTCTCCTCAAGAATTTGAAAATTTTGTAGTAATCGCTATCTGGAAGGAGCTTCTTTGTAGCAAGCTCTTGTACCCGTTGTCCAAAGCTTTTCGTAGATGACTCCTTTGTCGGCGAGGTTGGTTCGGTATGCTTTTTTGCGGCCATGGCTAGTATATATCGACGAAGGTTCGTCGCATGTATTCACTCGACCGGACGAATAACGAGGGAGACACAGATCAAAAGATCAGATAAACCATATGTATTTCTTTTACTATCCATGGATCTATGAGAGGGATATATACAAAATGTTCCCTGCAATTGCCCACCCCGCTGAACTCTTTGCAAAAGAAATGACAAGAAGGGGAGATCCCTCGACCAAGATGTTCCAAATCTTTACTGCATAAGTACCTAAGTATTATATTTCTTATTAGTCAATTTGACAGGAGTGGGAGGAGTCAAGAAATCTGAGAATAAGGAAAAATTTTCTTCTTCTTCTTTTCGTTCTTCTACTCGCTGTCGACATCATGGGGGAGGGCCCCTGCCACGGAAAATACACAGTACTGGGCAATCAAGGTTGGTGAGTAGTTGGAGGTTTTCTTTTTGTTGCTACTTTGGGGTCTAGGATGTGCTTAAGGTTTTTTTTTCTTCCTTGACGAGATTTTGACAGTCGGTTGCTTAGCCTTTGGGGGCGGGTTTAGATCTGAACCCTGACTGACGTCTTTTCGAACATGTTCCTAGGGATCGGGGAAATTATTGGATGTGGGCGTTCAAGAAGGGACGGTACCGGTCATGCAATGGTGGGAAGCGGGCGAAGGCTGCAAGCCATGCATATGCATATGCTTGTTCTGTGTGCCGAACCTGCGACTAAGCAAATAGTATATGCTTATTGAATTGGCCAATTTAGATTGAAACGCCTTCAGTCGTAATGAGAAGGTTTCTAGATTGAATTGTTTTTTCGTAACAGAAATAGGCCTTGGCCCTGAACATGGGTGACGGTCACTTGTAGGGATTCAAAGGCCCTTTCAAGGATCTGATTAGATTTTTCAAAGGGTGGGAGGTAGATTATACCGTTTAGGAAAGTGATATTTGAGACCTTTCGTTGGATTCGAGGTCCACGGTTGTTTTGTTCGGCAGGTTTTTTTCCCTTTCACGCGGACGGACTGCGGGATGTTTGGGACCTGAATTTTATAAGTTCCCGAAGTCCTGGCATTGGCAGACGCAACCTGGCATTGTATCGAGATTCACTTGCATGGAATGTACACGTTCTTTAGCCTCGATCTCATGTACTTATGTACTGGTTAAGCAGCTGGTTTTCTGTTGAGAGATCTGGTTTTTCTAGCGTGGCCGTGGGTGGCTTTCGCTAGAGGTTTGGGTAACGATGCACTGCATATGCAAAACCTTCACGGCGCCACTACTATTAAATCTTGATCCGCCCTGGCCGGGAAAAAAAAGAAGAGAGTCGGCCTGGTCTTGTACTCCGAACTCGGAGAGAGGGATTCGGACATCAAGTCAAAGACGGGCGAGGTGCATGATGCACATGCATGGTTGGACGTAAGGAGATCCAAATCAATTGCTAATCCAGGCGAGCAGCTTTAGAAGCTGGGTGGTTGGAAATCAGGGTTCTTTAAGCTTCTGCTCAAGGCATCCGCGGCCAAGGCGAACGAAAGTGTCAAGCCGAGATGATCTTTTGACATCAACGGTGGCCCTTGAATCGAACACGGATCAGATAATCTCGAAGGGACACGGTCAGGTTTTTGGGCAAGGAAGGTCGTCAATATGTTAATTTCTTGGATGAAAGTCTTGGACGGAGCTCGCCATGGCATAAGACAGCTGCATATGGCCACCACCACGATCACCTCGGGATGTTCCTCTTATATAAGAAGCTCAGCTATTGTGACGAGGAAATTATCAGATCCGCTGATTTGATGTGATTGATTTGATTATGCGATAAGAAGGCATATCCCTTGCATTGTACGTGCGTACATGTATGTAAGGATAGTGCAGTGCAGTTTCCAGACCACCATCACATCACCCTCGCCGTTTTTGCCCCTGGATAGCTGGAATATCCCATCGTCGGTTGCGTGAAAAAAAAGAGAGGAAAAGACCGGATATCGTATGAAAGACGTCAGGGTCCAGGTCTGTGCAGCTTTGAGGGGTGTCCTTGTCAAGTCACTTGAGAATATGCAATTCATGTCGATGAGACGCAGAAACACGAACGTCATGGCTCGCTCGACTCAACACATCTCCTCCGTCCTCAAACATTCAAACACCCCACGTGTGGTAGACTGGTACACCCAGCGCCGCCCTTGCACCCCGATGGAAATGACATGACCTCCACTTTTATCACCACCGAAGGCACACCCGCCGAATACACATAACCACCGTTCCGATCTTTGATTTGATTTGCTGTGCTGTGCTGCGACTGAACTAGCAGTAGTACTGCAGCTGCTTTTCCTCCCGGCCGAAAATGGCGGCCCAGCCAGGGAGTGGCCGTGGGTACACACCTTGGCAATCTACGACGCACAAGATGGGCCAGCCTATGCTCAAGGATAGCTCTGCGTACCACCAAGTCAAGGTTGAGCTTGCTGGCAGGTCGTCAGTTAAGGAAAACGACATAGGTACTTTCACGGCTTCACCCGACAGAATTGGTTAGATCGGTGATGCTAACCGCTCTTCTCCTAGACGTATGCTGAGTTCCATGTTCTTTCACTACCAGAATGGACAGCCGATGTTGACAATAAATGTCGATTGTATAGGCTCATCATTCCCATTCAATCGGATTATATAGAAATAACTTGGTATTTAAGACCGTATATGTCGTGAAATATTGGTTATAGCTAAACTTCTCCAGGTCGCTTGTTCAAAACGGTACAACTTCCTGTTCGTCGCGAAATCTTCCAAAGTCAAGGTCTTCGTCCCAACGTATCCTACTCAGGCTGTATCCAAACCACTCTTAACACTCCATGGACCGGAAGAACTTCCCGAGCTTCGAACTCAGGGTTACATCGATTGCAATGTCCCGCATACTATCAACAACATGATAGTTGCTGATCTAGGAACAGAGGAAGTCCTTCTTGTTGCCAATGACTGTGGTTATGTCACGCTATGGTATACAAAGCATCTGATACAGAGAAATGGGAATATGGACATATGGTTCGATGTCCATAAGAGCGCTTGGGGAATCTCAGTCCATAAGGCGAAAAGGCTGATAGCAATATCGTCGAACACGACCATGATATCCGTATACGAAATGGGGAGCGAGGCAGTAGATTCGAGCAGGCCACCTAGGGGAGCCCAATATCCAATAGTACTGTCAGCAAATCATCAAAATGTGCCGTGTGTAGCATTTCTTGACGACGACTCTGGGAGATGGCTAGCTGCGACAGACATCACGGGATCAGTAATCCTATACGATTTACTGCGTGAAGCAAGGACGATGACAGAATATAAGGGACAGGGTTGGACAGTGACTTTTCTGTGCGAAAGCAATTTCCTGTGGGTTGAACACGAAGAATTCATGGAGATGATTGAAAAGGCGAGAGAAGAAGCACAAAAGGAGGCTAGGAGAGGGTTGTTGAGTTTTGCGACTCGTCGATTTGATGATGATTCGGACGGAGATGAAGCAGATGATTGGGCAAGTGATGTACAAATGACATTATATGGTGGAGGATCTGAAGACGAGGAGTATCAAGATGGGGTGAGCGACCAATTATCTTATAGTGATGAATATGAAGATGAAGACGATGACGATGAAGACGACGATGAAGAGATGAGTGATGAGGATCCGGATATTGAGATGAATTTCACAGCGTTGGAGGAAGCTATTTTATCCCACGATGCTCAAAACCTTTTGGATGATGAGAGTCTAGATGAGGATCCAGAAGATGCGAATGCGAACGAAGAACATGGGGGGTTAGACGTCACAGAAGAGATGCAATCAACAGCATATGGCCCTGTCAACCGATCGGTTTCCTTGACTCCAGATCCGACTCTTTACGGTCCCATCTCACAACGAATTCTAGATTCGGAGGATGATGCTCCTTGGGAAAACCCACCCCCATCATTCATCATACACTCTAAAAAGTTTGACCTTAAGCTTATCATACCGAAAGATCCTTCTATACCGCCACCTTTCAGCTACGAGTCTCGACCGGTTCATCTTAATAGTCTTATTACGCTAAAAAATTTAATACCTGCGGATGGCATCACTCTAGCGGCACGGACAAGTAATTACCCGCTCAGAATGAATATGCACGCTTACATACCCGCTCTGTCCTTGTATGTTATTGGGAGACAAGATGGAAGGGTTGCATTAGTTAGGATGATCAGATCACGGCCACCACCACAATCGGAAGATCCTGCAGGAACCTCAACCACAGAGGGCAATACACAAAATGGCGAGAACAAAGGAGTTGTTCACAGGCATTTCATGAATTTGGAGCATATCATTCCGAAACAAGATACCGCGATCCCCTTTGCTCTGGTGGGTGTGTGTGTCGCACCCGTTCAAGGTTGGGAGGATCGCCATGTTTCCAACGGGATGAACCAGGGAAGCGGTCAAGGGAAATGGTTGTATACTAACGGCGGGGTGGGAGGGAGATGGAGGATCTTCTTACTCTATTCTGGTGGAGATGTTATTTGTTACACAGTGTCCGGAGGTATACCTGCACATGAGAACGGGTTGGTGTTTTGATATCACCGCTGTATAAATTGATTCCCATGCATTCGTTCAGACTGTGGCGTTTTTGGTGCTGCTGTCTAGTATTTCTTTGTTTCCCTATCTTTGTTTCTTTTTCGCTTTGCTATCGGCATACCTTCGGCGTCCTGATACTAGAACAGCGTACTTTTTAGAATGTCATTATCTGGTTTTGGATCATAACTTTTCCCTTGAAATATAATCCAATGGCTTCTCTGTAAATGGAGTTAAGTGCCTTCACATGTGTACATATACTTATATATACCTAGGCCTAGGTACTTAAGTCATTATTATATTATCCATTATGGTTTCGAAGTATCGGCAAGGTGGTTATAGCTTCATAACCTCAATCTTTCCGCCTTGTTTCCTACTCTTTAATATCTCTCCTACAACTCCACCAAGGACACCTTGTGTCTCTAATCCATCTTTCCATCCTTTCTTCCCAGCATAGTGGTTCACAAACCCTTCAGGTCCAGATACCATGATGACATCTCTTCCACTTCCCCTACCACTCCCCATTTCCAACCCAGCAACCGCAGCCTCGATATCAGGTTTAGTTATAAAACTATCCTTATCATCATAAAAGTACTCGACATCAACCTTAATCCCAGCTCTCTCGATATCCCCTAGTTTCTGTAGCTCCTGTATCTGCGGTAGGACTTTCTCGCTAGCCGTTCTAGAAGCAAACAGAATCTTTACCCGACGTTTTATCCCATCTTCTGTATATCGTGAAAATAAGTGTGCCGTTAATTGTATAGCAGGCGATACTCCTGTCCCACCGGCTATGAATACCACATTTCTGATATCCTCCTCTCCTTTGACGGTTTCCTCGGGTTTAAAAGTATAAGTAATAACCGGCCCACGAACTTCGACTACATCGCCAGGTTTTCTCGACAGCAGGTATGGAGAAACCTCGCCACCATCAACAGCACGTACGAATATTGTGATCTTATTATCAAGATTCCTATCTCTTTTCCCACTACCATTACCATTCGATGACAGTAATGATGATGTTTCAGGTAACGGTGTATACTCCCGTTGTATCTGAAGTTGTGGTTGTTTGATCTGTACGGACCAAAGTCCTTCGGAGTTTATTATGGACCAGAAGGAAGGTGGTGGAGTTGAATGGTGTTTTGGAGATAATGTTATTAAAGATGAAGTTGGTGAGAGTGGCGTGGTGGAGGTTATTACGTGAGGAGTGAAGCTGTAGGGGTTTATTGGATAGGGAATCGTGGGGGTTGTGGTGTAGGTGTAGGTTATGTAACCGAGGATGAAGGCGGTGGGGATTGTGAAGAATGGTGTGGTGTAGAATGGCCGGGCTCGTGGTGGAGGTGGAGGTGGAGGTGGTGATAGAGGTGAGGGTCTTGATCTGGGTTTAAATTTTGTAGTTGCTAGGCGGATGCTTTGGATGTGATTGAGAGGGGCCCGGTTGGCTGGGAGGTTACTTGTTAGGGCGCTACATCTTTGGGGCAGATGTGGGCGGGTGCGGAGGATTGACCGCGGGAGCATGGTAGGAGGGTTTGAAGTCCGTCGGTGGACCGGCTAGTGATGCTCGAAGAATTTTGATATAGTTTATTTTATATGTAGACAACGCAGGCCTGGTGTTGGAATTTTCGTTTCTTTCTTTGTCTCAACACTAGCACTGGTCTCGTATACCTTACACCTGGGTAGTCTTGTGCAAGATACTTGGGTAGGCACCATATTAATTGAGGGACTAAGCTGAGAAGAAGAAGGGCATCAGGTAGTTTTAACGGATACATGTATGTTGAAAAACAGGATTAACTGAACAATTCAGAATTTAGAAGTATTATGCCCTGGGATGATGTATTGTCGGAAGCCATGTGTATCCGTATTAGTTTTTATCAATCTTAGGCTCATGTTTGTTAAAGCTTCGATGGTTCCCTAATAATGGCGATTTAGATATTAGAATTCCTGGACGAAGCAAGACAAGATAAAATAGGAGCCAAAATAGACTTACGGAATCAATAATGTATTTGTCTGAATCTATTACAGAGTTACGGGCTACATGTAAGTATATACCAAGTACTTATTATGAAGTGAGTACTAGTACTGTACATGGACATGTGTCGTGAAAATGCAGAGCGTTGACACCTCGTTCAATCAGCGCATGCGTTGCATTAGCGTGGTATATTCCAACTCAGTTCCAAACAAAGCCACCAAAACAACCAATTAAGCCAGCTGCAGCGACTCGCGACTCGAACTGGTCGCTCTTAATATTATCCCCTCGAAAAATGTCAACATTCCATCTCACGACCTAATCAAAACCTCACCTAGCTTCTACGAACCTCCTTACGAATAATGATACCACGATAACTTATCCTATCTGATCGATATGGCCTCTCTGTGGAAGGGGTCCATCTCCCTGCCTGATGGTCTTCCTCAGCCTTCTCTTGAAAGTATGCCAACCTTGTTCGCCTTTTTTTTTGTGTAACTGTCGGCCGAAACCGAAACCGAAATCGAAGCTGACCATGATCCGACACCTGCACTTTTAGGCATCGAATTCCTTTCGAGCACCCCAGATGCTGGGAACGCTTATAATCCCAAACCTGAAACTGATGGCACTATATTCAATGGTGCCGAATTACGAGTCCAAGCTGTTGTTGAAGCTTCTAGGGTGCCGTTATGGCTGTCTTGTGGACCAAGTTTCGATGTTCAAACTGAGAACGAGGGGACGGCAAACTTCTTGATGAACATATTCGTTCAACAAACTAGTCAGAAACGTTCATCCGAGTCTGAAGATAGGGAAGAAGGGGAAGCAGAAGGGCAAGGGGATGATGGAGAACACGGAGAAGACGACAATGATGCGTCGGAAGCTACCGAATATGAATCAACAAATAAGGCGCTCGTCGTCAGAGTTACCTACGAAACCGCACCTGAGGAAATCGAAAAGCCTATAATCACTGAACTTGTACTCTATGGCACATTATCTTCCGATGTGCTACCCTCCGAAACCACCCAATCTAGCAATTCCGATTCGCAGATAGCACCCGTCCCACCTACAGGACCTCCGTCACTATCTGTATACGCTCTTCCACTCTCCTCTCGCCTTCTTAAGGAGAAAAAACTCCAAACTTCCGTCAAGTCCGAATCGCTTGAACCCGGAAAAGCAAGGTTTCTAGCTCCAATCATTGGTCGCAAACGCAAATTCCACGCCGTATTTACGGAATACGACAAGAAACAAGCGTATTATGCCACCCTACCGCCTGGCCTTCGTCGCTGCTGGCATAAGAGAAGTGATAGTATTGCATCTCTTCAAGAGGACAGCAACGAGAACAATGCCAGTATAGGAAATGGGGATTCGCAGAAGAGTAGATTATTTTCGCGATCGGTTGGCCCAGCTGCTTCAAGTCAACCCGTCACTTCAGTCGACTTTAGGAAAACTATCAATGAGGACACAAGGTATAAAAGAGAGAGGAGCACGTCGGTGTTTCAGGCACGACTACGAGAAGCTGCTGAGCGACCAGATCCGTCACGTCGAGAGTCCTCTGTTAAACCCGTACGCTCCAGCGGGGATTACTCTGCTTTACGAAGGGCCGAAACATTTGCTGGATCACGAACACGAAACCAGACTCCCGAAACCAGACCAGGATCAGGAGCTAGTATTAATAATAACAACAGTGCAAATCTTGGGGGCAGTACGGCTGCTGTACCTACTACGAACAAATTTGCTGAACGGAACAAAGTAGCTGCACAGAAACTTATATTGGCATCCATGCGACTTTACGGATTTACGCGTGCAAGAGCTGGTGAAGTGAAAATGGAAAGCGAAGAAGAGGAATATAAACTAGTATTCCACACCACATTGCGGTCACTGACATGTGCTATGAGGAAATCATGGAATTCGGAAATAATTGGGATTTCCAGATTGAAAGAAACAACCGAGTACCTTATGAAGGCATTCGTTGGCGGGTCCGGGGTAGTGCATGGGAGCAGTGATAGAGAGGAAGACGACTTCAAAGACAAGGAGGAAGAAAACCCGTTCAGAAAGTCCAGGGTCGGGAGGATGAGCGTCATTCTCAGCGGAGCGATTAGCCGCGATGATACGCTCGTTGGAGAGGACAGCATACTGGGTGGCAGCTTTCTTGGGGAGAGCCTGTTGGGGGATGGTCTAGTCTCCGATGATTGATAATAGCTGAACTAGGTGAGCTCAGAAGTCTACTGAACTAGACTAGTCACCGCCAGGGGCTCGCCACGACGGTACCATGTACAGGAGGGCCGCTTTATGGAGACGGTTATGAAGACGGAAGCCCGTTTCGACACCCCATCGCTTACTGTCTATATGCATACTATCTAGAATAATCTGTAGGTGTTCCAATACCTCGTTTGCGAATCCTTATAAGCTTATTTATCTGCTAGTTACTACGTACTAGAGAAGTCAGCATGGTAATTTATATTCGGGTGCACAAGAACTAACTTTGGGTGGAGCATACTAGTATTCCTGCCTAGCTATATTTTACCAGCCGTAGCCGACAGAATCCCACCTGCCTCATCTCAGAATTCCTTGCGCTCACTTCTTTACGTTAGATAGCCGTTGCCTGCCGGACCACAAGGCCCTCCAACGAGTTAGTCTCAGCGTTCAGGGGCCAGTCAGTCCGGACGCATCGAGCCAGTTCGAACCTTCTTTTCGTCCGTGTTCTGCCTCATTGGACATCAAAAATTCTTTGCTGCAACACACCGCGGACTAGGCCGAACCGAGCATCAACATTAATTTGCACCTGAACTGCAACGGCTTCTACGCTTCCGATTCCTCTAGCAATAGCATTTTTATAACTTCTAATTTTTAATAAAATAAGATCATTATCTTTTTTGCTCTTTTATACTGGTCTCTTTATTATTGCCCAACCGTTATCGCCTTGCCAATTTCTGCTTTACTTGCTTAACTAAGTCGTAGTATCTCGTCGTTTCGCAATCCCGATTACCCAGGCTCCACCGCCTACTTGCAAACTTCAGCCAGGCTTCGATGGGCATCAGTCAATGAGCATCTTCAAAGAGGGTCTGTGTCAATATCCGGAATGAATTACCTCTTCCGCGTCCCATAGACCCTTAATACCTTCTACGAATGCCGGGCTAACCTCTCAACAGCCGACCTATCACGATACCCTTCCCCGTTTTCGCTCAGTTCGCCGGAACAACCTCGTTACCATACGAATTTCCTAGCATTTATATCCAAGGATATTTCCGGCCTCTTGACGATCACTTCCATATTTCTAGGACGATATTTATCTGCGCTATAATCTAAGGCAAATATCTTTCACAAGGACTTTTTTTTTACAATGACCCCGGTTCGCCGAATCCTTCTCGTCGACGCCTACGACTCGTTCTCGAATAATCTCGCTGCTCTTATTCGCCTCGTTACCCATGCCGAGGTCCACACTATCAAAATCGATGCTTATAGCAACCGAGATTTTCGAGGGTTTTTGAAATCTTTTGATGCCATCGTTATCGGCCCCGGGCCCGGAACCCCGACGAACGATGAGGACGTCGGTATCATTCCTGAGATTTATAATTTGCCCGAGGATGAAATCATACCCGTCTTTGGGGTTTGCCTTGGCTTCCAGAGTCTGTGTCTCGGGTTCGGGGCTACTATATCCCGGTTGAAGGTTGTGAAGCATGGTCAGAGCTCTATCATTCGGCACAATGGGAATGATTTGTTTCAAAACTGTGGAGAAGTAGATGCTATTCGGTATCACTCACTACGGGCCGAGATGACCGAAGAGGCGTTGAAAAATCTGGAGGTGCTTGCTGTCACAGACGATGGACCCGAGGAGAACGGAGAGGTTATTATGGCTGTCAAACATAAACAGCTACCTTTCTGGGGAGTACAATACCACCCAGAGAGCTGTTGTACAAATCTAGATGGCGCTAAAGTTGTGGCGAACTGGTGGAAGATGGCAACTCGCTGGTTGAATCGGAAAGAGCGTATCAGCCAGCCACTGCCTGAGGGATGGGTGGTGCCATTGGACAAACAGACCCTGCTAGGGATGCCACCAGTACCATCTGATCGCCAACTTTGTTACCAGTCTTTCCACGCCCCATGTTTGGATATCGTGGAACTCTGTGAGCTATTGGAGGTGCGAACGCAACAACAGTTCGTAATGCTGGATTCCTCGGCGAAGCATACAGGACGATATACAATTCTTGGAGTGTTTATCCCGGGAATAACGGATACATACACCTGGAGGGTGGGTGATGAAAGTATATATACTGAGACCTTTGGGGAATCCGGTAGGAAGGAGGGGAATTTCAATCTTGATCCCTCGCCATCCGGAATCTGGGGCGACCTCGCCGGCCGTATGAGTTCATATACTACCACGGGAGGAGATGAGGAGTGTCCATTCTGGGGTGGGTTTATCGGTTATTTCAACTATGAGGCCGGAGTATCTACATTGGACGTCGAACTTGCTTCCCCGAGAGGGGACGAGAAGGATAGAAGGGAACGGGTACCGGATGTGAACCTTACGTTCTTCCATAGAAGTATCGTGGTGGATAATATTAGCGGGAAGGTCTGGGTACAATCTTTTCAGTTCCAGGATGAGGATTGGGTGGTAGGGATAGCTGAGAAAATTAAGCTACTGGCTGCTATGAGCATTACGCCTACGACGACACCACCTAATGATATTGTGGGAAATAGCGTGGTGACGCTGCCTAGGTCCACTACCTCCTCTGGTGCAAGGGTCAGTACCGCGACTGCTATTAACGAGCCACTCTTTGCGGGTTCAGATGTAAGGATTACACAGCCAGAAAAGGAGAAGTATATGGAGAATGTGAGGATTTGCCAGAGAGAACTGGCAAAGGGAGAATCATACGAACTCTGTTTAACGGCGCAAACAACAGTCAGCATTGAGGTACCCTTTGAAGGTGGTGAAGACTCTTCTTGGAAGATCTATAAACATCTCCGAAAGAGGAATCCCGCCCCCTTTGCAGGGTATTACAGAGCTGCCGGTACTACGTTGGTATCCAGCAGCCCTGAAAGGTTCCTAAGCTGGGATAGACATGGGAATTTCCAACTACGACCTATCAAGGGTACTGTCCGAAAGGCGAAGGTAGATGGAACAACAGTTACGAGAAAGGAGGCTGAAGATATTTTGAATACGCCTAAGGAACGAGCCGAGAATCTCATGATCGTAGATTTGATCCGACATGATCTTCATGGTGTTCTGGATGGGCAAGAAGACGAGGATGGAGGGGTCAAAGTCTCCAAGTTGATGGGGATTGAAGAGTATGAAACAGTGTTTCAACTTGTTAGTGTGATCGAAGGACGGATGGGGGATCATCTTAGAGAAGAAGGGTTTACGGGGATGGATGTCCTTCACAGGAGTTTGCCACCTGGGAGTATGACGGGTGCGCCCAAGAAGAGGAGTGTGGAGATCCTACAGGATATTGAGGGAGACGCTGATGAAGGGGATAATTGTGGTGAAAGAGGGGTTTATAGTGGTGTATTTGGGTACTGGAGTGTCTGTGGAGGAGGCGATTTCAGTGTGGTTATTCGGAGTATGTATAGATTCGATCGGGAGTTTAAGGCTGAGAATGATTACAGGAGAGAAGAAGGGATGGATAAGAGGGAAAGATGGAGGATTGGAGCTGGAGGGGCTGTTACGGCGTTAAGTGACCCTGAGGGGGAGTGGGAGGAGATGTTGACGAAGTTGAATAGTACGCTGGCGGTGTTTCAGTAAAGGCACTGCCCGCTTACTTCTCAACCACCAAGTGAATATGGTAAGCCACTGACGGCGTTTTATTTTATTACAATCATCTTTTGGAACATTTCTTTTACATACTTTTCCTTCTTCTCTTTTCCGCTTGTATTTTTTTATATATTTTTTTTGAGATATCCGGCGGCGGTTTGTATATGCGACAGACGAAACGGCGTTACGATTTCTTTTTTTTTAACAATCATAGAATAACGCCACTCCTCGAATTCAACTTCACTCTAAACTATCTATTCCTTTTATCTTTTCAGAGTACTAAGTACTAGTCAGACACTGAATTCTTTTAAACGATTTAAACGGAGAAATGCTATATATCAAAATATAGACTTAAAGAACCGGAAAGAAAATATAAAAAATATATATAAATACGGAATGAAGAAGTACTCTGAGCTGCCAACGCCGGAAATGAGGGAGAAAGGAGAAGAAGGAAAAGCTGATATCATGCAAAGACTAAAGGCGCAGGAGTGCTGAGAAGGACATAAGGCATAACCAAAAGGCAATAGAATGTACAACTGAAATAGATACCAAACAGACAACAGAATTATCCAAAAGACTATCCCATACGACTTCGTCCGCCAGGGATAGTGGAAAAGCTAATAAGACTCGGACTCGTCCTCTACTCGAAAATGCTCCCTCTCCCCTATTCCCCCTATCCAGTGCTGAAAGTTATGTCCACCGTTTCTAGCACATTTGGTTGTTCCGTTTTAAATCGCTGCAACCTTGTAGATGATAATGAAAGACCCTTCCCCCCAGGATTTAATGTACCAGGGTAAACTAGTAAGCTCCAGTTCAAAGCTAACCATCCACCTCTTTGGTACCCATTGTTTTTCTAAAAAAGGATTCCTTCGATATTTATTTTAAAAATCACTCTCCTCCTGGAAGAACATGGTAAACGCAATGATCGTTCCATAAATCAACAGACCACCGATGATACTCATGACCATAGCGCCCAACTGTATCACCCCAGCATGTGCAAGAACAGCCGGAAGCGCCATACCCATCAAAACCAAGAAACCGGTTAAGAAGCGACCAAGGTCCAGAACCGAAGAAGCGGAGGAGCCAGAGTCCATGAAGTCGTCGTTGTAGGAGGAGGCATAGCGACTACAAATGGCATTTGGGATGGGTGCTACGAGGTAGGTTGCTACTACGAAAAGAGGGGAGTATTGACCATAAAGGGCGGAGGAGAGGATTACGAGGAGGAAACCTATGGCGAGGACCTAAGAGGAGGGGATTTGTTAGGTTCTTTAATCTTTAATCAAGCATGTAGAGGAGTTTGTGTAAGGATATTGCATACGAAGGAGAGAGCGATGATGGTTTTTAGACCGGCGTGCGGCATGGTGGGCGGGTTCGGTGGTGGACTTTTTGGAGTAGTGATGTCTGTCCTTGGGGGGTTTTCCAAGGCCGAAGTGGGATGGATAGATTGCCTCGAGGGTGTAGCTGGGTTTGGTAAAAAGGGCAAGGTGACTTCGAGGCCTATATTTAGGGAACCATATACCGGAGGATTAGTCTATAATAGTCGCCTGTTCTTGGGTATTCGACTGGAGGAGGTGAGGAGGTCGTCGAGAGATGGTGATGAGAATGCGATCGAGGACGGACGATGGAGGATGTGGAGGGAGGATGAGGCTGGGTATGTTTCCCGACAGGCTGTTCGCCGGAGCCGCTGTGTTGCGAGATGACGCGCCTCTTCTTGAGACACCAGCCACAAATGGGCTGACTAAGCTAGAGTATGGTGCACCGCCACAAGTACTCCAACACAGAGGCTCAGGCACGTCCCACCAAAGCTACCCATTCCAACGGCCGCGTAGACACCTCCCTCCTCCCTCCACATTATCGCTGCTTGTCATCGGCATCACCATCAGCTCTTTGACCCCTCCTCCTCCTCCGATATACCGGTACCTCTGTTGGAGCTTCTACTGGGTTATCTATAGCTTGGATCGCGGTTCCTAACCTTACTTACCTCTTGTCCTGTCGTCGTTTCCCATAAGCCAGGATGTTTCGAAATAATTACGATAACGATTCTGTTACATTGTAAGAGCTTCATCTCGCAGCTTCTGGGAGTGTATTGTGGGCGTTTGATGGAAGTTATGGTGCTAATTGGATGATAGCTCCCCGCAGGGACGGATATTCCAGGTCGAATATGCTCTCGAAGCCATCAAGCAAGGTTCTGCTGCTGTCGGTCTAAGGTCGAAAACTCACGTTGCTCTAGTAGCTTTGAAGGTACCGCCTAGCTCCCTATATTCCCTCTCTGTGGAGACATATTATATGAAAATTACATTTCGAATATATATACTAACGGTTTGAATGCTATTGGATATAGAGAAATGCCGAAGAACTAGGCTCCTACCAGAAGAAGATCATTCCAATCGATAAGCATCTAGGCGTGGCCCTTGCTGGTCTCTCTCCTGATGCTCGTGTCCTATCCAACTTTATGCGCCAGCAATCGATGGCCTCCCGTCTCCTTTACAAGCGACCCGTCCCAGTTGCCCGCGTCGTCAACGCCATTGCAGACAAAGCCCAAGTCAACACCCAGCACTATGGTAAACGTCCATACGGTGTTGGTCTCCTCATCGCAGGTGTCGACGAGACCGGACCCCATCTGTGGGAGTTCCAGCCGAGTGGACAGATACTGGAGTACTTCGGAGCCGCGATTGGAGCTCGTAGTCAGTCTGCTCGAACATATTTGGAGAGAAGCTTCGAGTCCTTCCCTGATGTTTCTAGGGATGAATTGGTGCTGCATGGGCTTAAAGCTTTGAGGGATACATTACAGCAGGATAGAGAGTTGACTACAGAGAACACTAGTATTGCAATTGTAGGAATTGGTGAGGATTTGAAGCAATATGATGGACCGAGGGTCAAGAGGTTCTTGGACCTGTTGGGAGAAGACGGCACGAGGAGTCAGAGAGCAGCAAGACTTGATACTGCTATGGATGTTGGTGGGGGTGCAGATGATGACGATGATGAATTGGCGGGGTTGCTTGGACCCGGGGAGGGGACTAGTGCCATGGATACTACCGAGTAGAGTTTGATATGTATGGCATCTTAGTCGAGGCCGGTCTTTGAGCCGATAGAGAGAGCACAGATGATGCTTTCTTATTATTACTGCTAGCTATGCGAATTTATATGGAATGAACCGCCTGGCTCGAGGAGGTAATATCAAATATGCACGTTCACATGATCAGTTCTTTCGTGTCTCTTCTATCGTAGCTAGTACATACAGGGATCTAATACCCCTCCCTAGGGAGAGACTGCATTGCAATATCTTACTCCCACGGTACTGTGATATAACTACTTAAGTATGAACTCCGGAGTGATATTGTCACAGATGTAATATCCAAAGTCTATGTTTTATAGCTTGTCATGTATGCAAGTGGAGCTGCAGCTCAATGCGCTGTCCATTTGCGTTGAGCGGTCGTTTCATGGTCGCCGCAAATCGATCAATCAGTCAATCAATTAAATCGAGCTTCGAACTCGCCAACTAGACTTTAGTTAGTTCCAGAGCTTTCCGTCGACGGCATCACCACCATTCCTCTAACGTATCTACTACCCATATCAGCTTCCCGAAATCCGAGTCCGCCTTAGTAACAACGTCCTCGCCGGGAATAGATATGCGACACCCACATTTGTACCTTCTCCCGAGTACCTGATTCCATAAACGCGACACAGCACAGTCCCTTTAAGCTTAAAGAGTTACAACAGAAGCCAAGCTGGTTGCGCGCCTTGTCCTCCCATTCCGAACCCCAGTTGGAGCTGCAGTATGCCGACGCCAGATCCACTTTCGTTCACCGCACCCTCACATATACGGGTCCTCCTCGCCCCTGTCGGCCGTATAAAGCGGGCCAAGTTCTATGAATTTGTAGAACGATTGCAGGTTGTTAATACAGTTCGGTTGGAAGATGTCAGTCTCGATTCGAGAGGGACAAAGAGTACGTCCGATCTCGTGGGTCTTCCCATGTCCCTCCCTTTTTTGTTCGACAAGTACCATTTGTCATTTGTTTAGAAATACTGTTGTTCGTTCTGACGGGTAGAGTGTGGATCTTTATGTAGCTACCTTTTCGCCGCTGTCATTCCCGAATGGTCAGATAGTATATACGTTAACGACTTCTTATAATACGGAACATGAGTATCTTGATGGATTGGAGATGCATAGGAGGACCTATATGGTATGCACTCTTAGATCTTACCTTGGTGCTACCTATTGTGGAGGCGTGCTCTACGGGGAGCTTTCGAAGTCGCTTAAACTAAGCAGGTCTCCGACGATACCAGGTCATTGCTCTCGCCGACTATCATGAACGAAATTCCGTCGCAGACCTTCGAGCGGGGATTCAGGATTTGAATTTCCAGGTATTTTGGGGACTCTATACCCGTGTAAGGCCTCTTGATAGCCGTGCTGACGCTGGATAGTACCCAAAAGCCCTGTTATTTCCGCTGGTTATGTTTGATACCCCCATAGGTGACGACCTATTCTCGAGAGACACTCATCTTTGGAAAGAAGATGGCGAGGTATCTTCTAATGTCGCCGAGTACCCTAAACTCACCATACCAATACCCTCGAAGTATGAATCGTCGGTTGCATCGATCAAGTCGGTCATGTCTGACCTTACAGGTTTACTTCTTTCTGGGTTTTCACGGTTATCGAAGGATTTACAAACGCTTCCGACCATTGAAGCGCCAGCATCCGGTGATAATGAGCGACCGAGGCCTAATACCAGGATGTCTTTACCTGTTCCTGGAACGCTTCCAAATCCGGCGCTATCGAACTTGGGTGTAGGATCCCGGTTGACTACTATGACCGGGTTTGGAAATGCAACTATTTCGGAAAAGGAACGGTCTAGAGGGAAGGCGAGGATTAATATTGCTATCGCCAACTTACACCTCATGACTGGATTTGTGACGGATGCATTTCGAGAGTGAGTGGTGGGCTTCTACTTCCGTTTTCACGGTGAATTCTAATCATGGTGTAGATTCACAGAAGGGGCTCTTGCTGCGAAGAATAGCGGCGACTTCCTATGGCACGGGAAGGCATTAGAAGGCATAGGTGTGTGCTTGGTGATTATGGCATACATGGGTCTTGATCTTCAGATACCTACTGTGGTGTTTCCTGCGACAACTCCATTGTCGGAAACAAAATGGAAGTTGAATGGTGCCGTTACTGAGACCCTTGAGACGCTGTTCTCAATGATGCCTGAGCTTCTAAATACAATCTTAGGTCTTTATAGCAGAGCTGGCACATTCAACAGCGAGCCAGCACCAGCTCTTGTACAATCCGAGACTATCATCCGGTTCTGCAAGTTGATGGTTGTTGCTCAGCAGTGCCATGGGCTTAATGCCAACTCGTTGGGGCATATCGTACTTGGGACACCTCTTCCTGCCAATCTTGGGAAACCGCAGATGAAGAATCTCTCGAGGGGTGATATCGCATCTTTAGTGATGAAGGCATATCCTAATAACCTCCAGAGTCTTACGGTTGTTGATGCCGCGAGTATTCTTGGTGGTATGGCATCGGTACTCGACAAAATAGAATTCAAGAGGAAGAAGGCACTCGTAACAAGGGAGTTGTTAAAGCTCTTGGTGCCTAGTTTGATACAAGCCAGAGTTGTGGGTGCCGCGGAAACTGGATTACATCCTACAGCCTCGGGAGGGGAGGAATTTAGACCAGCCAGCAGAAATGGACCGTCACGGCCGGGGACTCCGCAACCTCAGGAAGGCCAAGGAGGACTTGACGGCGACGAAGCAGATATTGTTCGAACCAGTCGTCTCCTAGATGACCTCTGCTCTGCATACGGGATAACACATGATACTCTATCACAAGCCATCGAAACGTCTACGGATGAAGAGAAGAATACATTGCTACGAAAGAACCTTGCTGACGCCAATCACTTTAGAAGCTTTGGTTGGCTGTCACTGAAGGTCGGAGTTTTGAGGTCTTGTATTCTTCTTACAGAGGCTATTCCGGATTATGAAGCCATATTGCGATATACGACAAAGCTTCTGGAGATTGCGGGTACGGAATTGAGTAAAGGGGAGCAGGGAAAGTTGGCGGAAAGTTTTACTAGAACAGTGGGACTTGCGAGGAAGAGTGGGTTGGATGAGGATATGGGTGGTGTAGCTGAATATTGGGATGATTACTTGCTTAGAGATATTGAGCTGGTAGAGTATGTTATGCCTCTACTAGCCCTGGAATAGTGATTCTCTTGCTAATGGTAACTAACTATCATAGATCTCAAATTTGGAAGCCTCCTATTCCTCATGCTGCTGCCGAACTATCCGCAGTTACTGAAGCCGCCAAAAATCCCTTTATTTACAATCCATTTGCTTCGAAGCACACAACGGTCACTTCGCTCTCATCAACAACAATCAAAACGCTGCTTGTTGAGTCAGAACCGGTTGACTTTTTGATAACGTTGCAAAATCCCTTTGACTTTGAGATTCAGATTGATACCGTGGAGTTGGATGTTACGGGGGTCGAATTTCAGACTTTACCTGCGAGTGTAGTGATTGGCTCCTATCGACAGCATACTTATGTCATAACTGGTATCCCCCAAAGTTCTGGTACGATGAAGCTCCTTGGTGCCAAGATCAAAGTCTACGGTTGCAAGGAGAAGTTCTTCCCTATCGTACCGGATGTCCGAATGGTACCTGTGGATGGGGAAGATAAGATCAAGAAAGTCGGCATTGGGGCAATGAAACTCGAACATCCTCGGCCGAAATCACATATATCGTCTAATTCCAACAACGTCAGAGCGAGTCAGATACCCCAACCGACTTTTGGACCTGATCTCAAACAGTTATCCATTAATGTTATACCCTCTCAACCAAAACTCAGTATCACGCATACCAGTCTTCCTCAAAATGCGATCATGGTACTCGAAGGCGAGAAACAACTGTTTACGGTTCATGTTAAGAACGAGAGCGACTCTGTTGCTGTGGACTTTGTGACTATTAGTTTTGTTGATAGTACAACCGAGCCTGTTACCAATGCGATTTCGCAGAAGCAAGGACTACCAGCGGAAGTTTATGAATTGGAAGTTATCCTCTATAAGAAAAAGGCGTTTGAGTGGATACGGCCGGAGGAGAAAGTGACTATTCAACCCGGGGGAACTGGTGTTTTCAAGGTTCAAGTGCTTGGGAAACCTGGATTAACTAGTGGGAAAGTCGTGGTTGACTATGGGTTCATCGATCGAGATGGGAAAAAGAAGGAAGGCGAAGGGAGTGGAGGGTGGTACACTAGAAGAACGGAGACGGACGTTACGGTTACAGTTAACGCTGCGGTTGAGCTCGTGAGGATGGACTTCTTACCGTGGAGCGGGGTGAGCTCGTCGCTGATAGCGGAGCATCCGGAGACTCAACAGCTATCAAATGGGAATGGAGAGTTCAGCAAATCGAAGTTTCCCACGAGAAATGAACAAGTCCGGGAGTTGTTTACACGGCTGTCTAATGTCGATAATCCGAGCACTTATGCATTGGTCCTTATCGATATCCGAAATTCGTGGCCGCATCCTTTGAGGGTTTCTATGGGATTCGATCCGGCTGAGGAGGATATTGGTACAGGGGATGATATGCGTTTCACGGCTTCGGATACTATACCTGCGGGACATTCGACGCGGTTAATATTACCGCTGAAGAGGGTTTATGTATCGAATCCGACGGCGCCGATACCGAGTTTGAGCAAAACACAGCGACAGTATGTGGTTTCTTTGACGAAGGTTTCACCAGAGTTGGAGAGGGTTACTAGGGAAGGGTTCTGGTACAAAGAGGCGGTTTTGAAGAGAATCAGTGGGACTTGGGAGGAAGTTGGGACGGAGAGGCAGGGGGTTGTTGAGTGTAGGAACTTTAGGATGGGAGTGAGTAGAGGAGTTGATGTTGTTAAGGCCGAGGAAGTAGAAGTTACGGTTGATCTAGAAAATGATGGGGAAGCGGGAGATGGAGCGGAGGTTAAGAGTACAGGGAGGGGGAGGTGGAGCGTTAAAACAGATCACTTTTTCAAAGTGAAGGTTTCGGTGAGGAATAGAGGACTGAAAAAAGTGAGGTTGATTAGTCGGATATTACCTTGTTTGAGATTCGTGGGGGGTAGTACTGGGAATTCGGGACTGGAGATGACGAGAAGAGCAGGATTTAATGGAACTTTACAGAAGTCTTTGGGGTGGATTAAGGGTGGTGAGGAAAGGACTATTGAGATGGGGATGGTGGTTATTGCTAGTGGGGAGTATGAGATGTTGGGATGTGTGGAGGAAGTTAAAGGGGATGATTATGATGAAGAAGATGTTGATGATGGAACGAAGAAGAGCAGAGAGCCGTTGGAAGTTGAGCAGAGGTTATTGGAGGATATGATTAGAGGGGAGAGGAAGGTGTGGTATGCGCGGGATGTATGCAATGTTGTTGCTAGTGATTGATTGGTTGGCTGGTTGGTTTTCGATGTCGATATCGATTAGCTTTTGATTGTATCGAGAAGCGTGAGGCGTTTTTAATATTCTAGCTAGGTACCTACTGGCTAAGTACTTAAAGTAATCTTTGAGTAAACAGCTATTGGGGGCATAATTGTGAGGTCGAGAAGAGGTTGTGTATATATCAGTTGAATTCGAATTCAGGTATATCTTTGCAGTCGTAACGAAAACTATCTGTTTAGAGGCTTAGCTATAGTAGTAGTTACGAGACTGATATGCAGAGTGCAGGACGAACTGGCTAAATTCCAACAAACATTTGTGTTGGCGAGCGGTTGGTCTAGAAACGAGACGGGGCGGACTATAGATCCAGTTACCTAGGTACTTGAGGAGGTACCCCGTCTCTAGCTACTGGCTATAAGGTTGGCCGCCTAGGTACGACTTGTATTGATGTTAACATTGTTTACAAGCACCTAATTGGTTTATTTAACATTCAAATACTCGCGTCAATCCTAAGCTAGCTGCAAGCACCATCTACAGATCACCAACCCATCAACCATCTCGACCAAGATTAAATCCGCCACGAAACTAAAAATGACCGCTGAAAGGAAGACGACAAGCTCCGCGTCTATGAAGGAGGCTCTCGATATCGCTGTTGACGCAGGAGGCCCGCTTTTTCTCGATTTTATCTTAGTGAACAAGCTTTCAGCTATCAGGCTCCTACGATTCGCTTGCATGGAGAAGTTTGAAAGAATCGGAGTTCGGTACGTATATATCCCCAGCAAAATATCTTTTCTAATTCTTAATTTGCAAAAGTAATTTAAAGCTAATATAATAAAACCCGACTTTATAGAGCTAGATACGACAGTCTGTCGAAATATCTCTATATCCAGCTGCCCTACAGCGGCCAAGACTGCACAGAGAACTTCGCCAGATGGTTGTGGGAAAGCTGGCAAGATGCAGAACTGCTTCCCCCAACGGCGAATGAAATGATTCGACGAGAAGCGAGTCCAAGTAAAATTAATAGCCATCTTGCGTTCTCTTTTTTTTATATCTTTTTTTTTCCACAATCCTTCGTTCACTTGCCATTGATGCAAGTGTACCTTTGATAAAATATGCTAACGAAATACCGATTAGAGGTTACTGATTTTGTTGATGACTACAAAGGCTCATATCAGCAACCCGACTTCTTTCTTGGTCCGGTTGGGGCAAACTTTCCTTCCATAGCCTTTGAAACTGGATTCTGCGAATCAAGCCTAGCATTGCTCAGTGCTAGGGATCTATGGATTGACGGGACCGATGACTCGACGAAAGCCCTCGTTTCGATTGATATCGTCCGTAATTTTGAGCCCGAGCCCGAGCCTGGACCTGAACCCGATTCCACGTCCGAGCTCGGTTCTAAGCCCGAGCACAAG